AAGTCAAATATTCTTAGATAAGATATAGATTTTGATTAGCATTAGAGTTGATCGCGTAATTCCTTTAAATGCGTGGCATCCTTCACATTTCGGCAAACTTATTTTCACTCCTAAGTCTTCTTTCCTCCATTTCTCATCTATTTTTTTCTCCTTTGTGATTTTTCAATGATCTCTATTAATATTAATCAACAAATAAAAGAGAACTCTACTCACAATTCTTTGAGGATCAACCGCTGAGTTTACCACAATACTAAATTATTTCACAATCTAGCAGAGTAAATCCAAGAGTATAAATATTGTTGACTAATTAATTTTGGGGCTTTTCAGCAACCCTTGAAATTGATCTATCAATGATCAAGATTAATAGAGATAGCATGTAAGTAAATACTAATATACTTTGGATCATGTAATATAATGTGATATATATTGCATGTTCTTTTGAATCTGATGAATATTACCTTAAATTTTTCAACAAGTGAGTTCAAATTTTACCTCTAAGCTTTGATCATATAATTGAGTTATATTCGTTAGATTGTGTTCGAGTACATCCACATGTTATCGCATTTTTAATCAAAATGTTATCATTGAATCTGATATTTCTTGATCTAATGATTTTTATACTGCTATATTTTTTATATAATAATTGAGGTAAAATAAAATTATTTTTTGCATGAATTAACATAAATGTGAATTACTTAAGTTTGAAAAATATTTGTACTGATTTCAAAGTGATGTAATGACATTGCTCTCCTCGCTCGCTTGCTCAGCTCCTTGACCGTCCTCCTCCTCTCTTCTCCCTCTACTCCGGCGTCCATTAACCTCTCCACGGTTTTCTGTATCTCCTCCCTATTCAGCTGGAGGTCTCCGTCGGCTATTGTTCCATCCCCAGACAGGCGTCTTCACTCCGGTCGGGACTCCCACTCTCAGTACATCTACCAGGAGGCGTTCGTTGAGGAACTGTTCTGAAAACCCCGGCCATGTTAGAATTGGGACTCCGGCCGTGATTCCCTCCAAGGACGAGTTCCACCCGCAGTGAGTGAGGAATCCCCCGATGGAGGGATGCGACAGAATCGTCACCTGAGGCGCCCAACCCCTGATGATGAGGGCCCGATCTCTCGTCCTCTCCTCGAACCCTTGGGCGAGCCAATCCTTCACCTCTGCCTGGATGCCTCCGGCTTTGATCGACCATATGAACGGGCGTCGTGTGGCCTCCAGCCCCAACCCGAGCTCTACAAGCACAGCTAAAGAAGATCTGACCAGGGTTCCGAAGCTAATGTAAAGCACCGATCGCGGCTTCATGGCGTCGAGCCAAGCAACGCATTTCTCCACGTCGATCGCCGCCTTATCGCCCCTCGATGCCTGATCGATGGCGAGCTCGTTGCACAGAGACACGGGCCCTACGGCCCATACCTTCTTTCCTGAGGTCCTCTCATAGAGATCTAGGAACTCGGGCTCAAGTTCTGCGAAGGTGTTGACGACCACCCCGTGGGACACTGACTCAGCCTCCCGTATCTCGTCGTCCATCCAGGCCCACTCTGGCCTCGGAAAGAACCCCGGCGCCTGGACCCTGGCGACCTCGACGCGGAGGGGCAAACCCGGCACGACGATGGGTAGCCCGTCCTCGCCGCCCACGCCGTCGTCCATCCTTCGAACATTGAGGTTGTGTTCGCAGAGCAGGGCGAAGCAGGGCATGCTGTAGAAGTCGAACCTGGGCACCTCGAGGTCGCGCGCAACGTGGCGAGTCCATGGATGGCAGAAGTCGGAGATGATGCAGCTGGGCCGAGGCGAACTCTGTTGTAGGTGAAGCCGCAGCGGCTCCTCCAGCATCTTTGTCGCGGCGAGAAAGTTGTGCAGCGACATCGGCGAAGGGAGGAGGTCGAGGTTCTCGCAACCCTCCGACAGCCCCACCTCCTTGCACGGTAATTGAAGCGAGAGGAACCGGACGGGGAGGTCTGATTCCTTCATCCGGCTGATGACAGCCTCGATCCGGGAGAGATTGACGGGCGTGGTGACGAAGGTGACCATAACCCCCCCCAGCTTGGCGAGCAGTCGGGCGAGGTCCAGCATGGGAATCATATGGCCGGGTGACATGAGTGGCACCAGTACGAAGTGGAGTTCATTCTGGAGGACCATGGTCGGTCCCTACGGCAGAAAGGAGAACGGCGCAGTGGAGGAGCGGAGGAGCGTAGAAGGGGAGAGAAGGCCGAGTGTTTCAAGGAAAAAGAGACGGCCTCCAGGTTAGGGTTGTAGCCACGCTTTTGGTCGGTGGCGATGCACGAGGGGGGGGAGAGAAGATAGTATGGAAGAGTCGCCCGACGAGGAGTGCTCGAGGATCACATTCTTCCAAGTTGGTAAGATCCACTTGCCGTGGTGTATGACCGACCGGCAGGTCGAGGTGCTGCTCGGGCCTAAAAAATGAAAGGAGCAATGATAAACATAAAATGCGTCTGCCGGGAATTGAACCCGGATCTATTGCTTGGAAGGCAATTATCCTAACCATTGGACTACAAACGCTAATGCCCAAACGATCAATAACATAACAGAAGTATAACAACCTTATATAAGCCATAGAGGTGCGCCCTCTTCGAATGGCATTCTTATGTATGTGTTCACTGACACGACGACCCGGCACTTCTGCTTCCCCATCCCCTTCGTATTACGGGAGAAAGCGCTGTCGCTTCAGCCCTTCCCGAGGCCCGGGATGAAGCTTAAAATAACGACTGCTTGCCGCTGTCTGAGGACAACGACATTCTTGGGGAAAAAATTACTGGGCTACAGCCCGAAGCAAGAGATATAGGTTGTTGAGGGAAGATCGGCCATCTTCCACAGCCCTTCTCGCCGCCTCCGCAAAGTTCCTGGCTCTTCTCCTCTTCTCTTCCTCCTTGTCGACGTCCGTGAGGCTAACAAGCGCGAGCCCCCACTTCCCTCGTCATCTGCACCCCAGCCTTGTCTTCCGCCCATATGGTTGGCGACTTGACGCCAACAGCGACGGTAATATCGAGAATCTGCACCACCTGCCTTTCGTTCAGAAACTGCTCTGCAAACAGTGGGTAGGCGGCCATGGGCATCCCGGCGCACGAGCACTATAGAGTATGATTTTCTCTAGCACTCCCAACGAAGAACATCAAAAAAATACAAGTTCTAATTTCTAATCAACGTTTTTGTCTAGATTTACCATTAGATCATCTGTTATCAAGGCATGAAGTTCACTAGATTCCTACTAAAGGAATTCTTCGAATAAATAGGCACCGAGCTGAAATTCTGAACAACCTCCTACCCACAAAAAAATGGGCCAATAGAGTAGACAAATGGCACGATGAAAACTGCCTTCAGCATTATTTAACCATCGATTAGGATAATTGGTTAAACCTAGTGGACAGTTCAATTCTTTTACTACCAAGGAATCGGCATGTGTGTTGTTTGATAGTGAAAGTTTTGCAGAAATAAAGTATACAACTTATTAAAAATTATGTATACTAACAAAAAAAATAGAATGACTTCATTTGAAAATTTCTCCCCATTCCGTAGAACTTGGGAGACATTGGACAATGTAGAAAAAATTAAAGAAAAACGAAGCTAGCACATACCAACTGAATATATTCTCCAAAGTAGGCATTCTATTTTCCAGCTCATCCTCTTCCCATGGTATTGATTAGTCTTTCAAACTCAAAATTGAATGAACTAAATAATGTTGTAAGTCGTACAAGCTAGAGACTAGAGTAGCGGCAGAATTATGAAGGCGAGACCCAGAAGTTGTCCTCCAACGTGCACCCACTCCTTCGCCATGTCCCGCTTATTCCGCAGCTTAATCTGCCTTACTCACCCCGTCGTCGCAACACGTGTAGGGCAATCCAGAAGCAGTGGCATAGGTGAAGTCCTCTGGACCTGACAAGAGCCCCTTCCCTGACCTTCTCCAACACCTTGAGGATGCCAGTGTGGACCTCCACCATGGAGATGGTCTCATCGGAGTAGTCATTGGTGGATACGAGTTCTTCTAACTGGTAAACGACCACAGGGACAGATGCCAGCACAGCAAGGAACACGGCGAGGATGAAGCCGAGGGCAGTGGACGCCCTGAACACCACATTTCTGTTGGTCTTATCCTTGTGGAGGAGGTTGAGCGGAGACGGCACCCACAATCCTCCATGTTACCAAGGTCCCTCTACAGGAACTGCCCCTGGCAACAACACGATGGCATGCTCGGCAGGAGGGCAACACCAGCGCGTGCTGGCACGACACTCACGTGGCAGCACGGTGCCCGCGCGCATCGGCACGACACCCATGCACGGCAACACAGCACCAGCGAGCGATGGTGTGGCAGCCACGCACGTGGCACAGCGTCTGCACGTGTTGGCACAGTGGTCGCACATGGCGGCATGACAAGTGCACTAGAAGACACAGCGGCGCTGCGTACAATCCTAACTTGGTAACTAAAGGCCACAAAGACAGATGATGATCTCATGAGCATGACATCATTCGGAGGGGGAGTAGAGGATGTCACTACCCCAACGTCGTGGGAGTAGGAACTCTTAATCCAATATTGGAAATATAAACAAGGCTACCCATGAGACCCATCTATAAAGATAGACCCCTGGCCCTATGTATGACTGACTTTTGCTATTAGGAATTATCCATTGGGTCACATTCCAAGTCATTAGTACCGGATCGTCTAACGTACGTCAAGGAATTCACAAAGAGCAGCCAACTCCCTTGTCATAGTAGTATCAAAGCTAGGTTAAACCTTCCTACCCCTCTCGCTCTTGTTTGCTAGTGGTAGCTGATTAATGGAAGGGGAGGGTAGGTTGGGCATGAGTGTTACTCAAGGACAACAAACTGTCCAACTTGCTGAGCAGCAAGAGACCACAGCAGGCCAATTGGGTCGATTGCAAAATAAGTTCATTAACTTATGAAAGGAAATGGAGGCACGAGTGGCCCAGGTGGGGGAACAGGCCCAGGAGGCCATGAGTGTAGGGGAGTCCATCTCATGGTCAATTGGGTTGATGAAGAGCTCTGGTCAATATACGACCAAACAGGTGAGATGGCCACATCCCATGAGACCTAGAAAAGGAAAATCTCTTGTATTACAGGAAGAATTTGTGGAACAGATGGCCAAGCTACAATGGCAGATGGAGGAAGCTATGAGCAATCTTCAGACGATGACCTGTAATGTTCTAAGACCTGAAGATCAAGGTCCAAGCCGTGAATCATATTGGGTCAAGGCAATTGAACCTAGACCTTACTCAGGTGAGAGGGATGCCATGTTAATTGAAAATTTTCTTTAGGATTTATAAAAATACTTGAATGTGAGTACCTCGTTGAAAGAAGAAAAGGTCTTTCAGACAGCTTGTTTCTTGTAGGGCAGGCCAAGACATAGTGGTTTCTTTGATAATAAGACAGGTCAAGACTAGCGGTGACTTGCTATGACGAATTGGTCAAAGACAAATACTACGAGACATGGGAAGGCTAAGAGACACAGAGGGGTGAAGAAGGCGAAGGGCTAAGGGATATAGAAAGGCCAAGAGTCCTATAGTGATCCTTCGTACTCACATAGCCAAGAGTCCTATAGTGGGCCTTTGTACTCACAATTTCATCTTGTCAACTCTGGACAAGTCACTCGGACAGCAATGAAATAGCTGAAGCACATGAGGGTCATTCAAGAGTATATGGATAAATTTTTGATGCTCTTGTTGGAAGTACCACAAATGGATGAAGAAGATAAACTCTATTACTTCATGGAAGGGCTGTAAATATGGGCTCAAAATGAACTTCGTCGACATGGTTCTCAAGACATTCATGCTGGTATGATGGTGGCAGATGAGTTGATCGATAATCAGCAACAATAGTCAGATAATAATAATGATAATTCTCAATGGAACAAATGGTGTAATAATAATTGTGAATGAGGGCGTCCGTCACCAACATGAGGTCAAGAATAATCCAACGAGACCTAGAATGGAGAGTGCCCTAAGTGGACAAGATGCCACATCTATGAGGGACCCCATCGGAGTGCTGACTATTTGAACTGAGCAGAACGTCCCATGGCTATAGCCTATATCAACCTAGTTCTGACACTAGAACAACCCTCACCAAAGATTGAAGAGGTAACTAACTTGAATACCATTCAACTCTTAAATGCAGTGCATGCCAAAGTCATTCAAGTTACCCCAAGAAAAATGTTATTCATCGAGGCCACAATCAACAGTATCTTAACAAAGGCCTTAATAGATTCCAAAGCGACATGATTTTTTATTTGGAAGAGAGGCTCGTCAATTAGGATTGTTGCTGATTTAGACCACCAACAAAATCAAAGTTATCAATTATGAAGCCTAAATGTCTGTAGGACTGGCTCGACATGTGAAAGTCCAAATGGGTACTTGGAAAGACATGTTGAATTTTCTAGTCATAAAGATGGATGACTTTGATATCATATTGGGGGCAACTTTGTGATCAAGGCAAAGGCGATAATTTTCCTCCACTACAAAGGAATTCTCATATGTAGGGGCAAGCAATTGTGTTTTGTGCAAGGATTTACACAAGGGAGGACAAAGCCCCAATTTATTTATGCAATGCAATTGAATTCTAACTTGTAAAAGGATGCAAACACATATCTCATCACATTATGAGACGTGAAAGGAGAAGCTAGTGGGTCATCTACATGTATTTCCCTTAAGAATTTCATACCATCATACTTGAAAAACTCTTTGTGAATTTACTATTAAGGCGAGACATTGAACATGCTATTGAATTATTACTTGGGGAGCAACCACCAACCAAGGCCCCATAAAAGATGCCTCCGTCACACTTGAAAGAGCTGAGAAAGCAATTGAAAGGGTTACTAACAGTAGGGCATATTCACCATTCTCACACCCCATTTGATGCTTTAGTTCTTTTGTAGAGGAAGAAAGACGATATACTAAGGCTTTGTATAGATTATAGGACTCTAAATAATATCACGATGAGGAACAAGTACTCAATACCTAATGCAAATGACCTATTTGACTAGCTAGGAGAAGCAAATATCTTGTCAAAGTTAGATATAAAGAGTGGCTACCATAAGTCCAAATTAAAGAGGGGGATGAGCATAAGAAACGTGTGTAACACATTATAAGTCATGAATTCATTATTATGCCTTTTGGACTAACAAATGCCCATGCCACCTTTTGTGCCCTCATGAATCATATATTTTACCCTTTTAAAAACAAATTCATGATTATATATTTGGACAATATCTTGATATATAGTATTACCTTGCAAGAACACTTGTTACATTTACAATAGGTACTTAACACATTGAAAGATCATCAATTATATTTCAATCTAGAAAAATATACATTCATAATTCTAAAGGGAAAATTCTTAATGACTCATAAGTAATGGCCAGCTACGGATGGACTGGAAGAAAGTGACCATGATTGATCAGTGACCAACTCCTAAAGGGGTGTTAAAATTGAGATCAGTTCTAGTCGATGAGTCCTTGGGAATCAAATTAGGGAAAAGATATAAGCTCATTGACTTTATTTTGGGCCTTCAGTATCAATGAAGGAGGAAAGATATGGGGTGGTCAAACCCATTGGATTGGGTTGACTTTTGGTAGATGATTGAGATTGTATGTGAAAAAACCTACGACTTGAGTACCTAATTCGTCTTCTCTCTCTAAATCGTTTATAGATAGGCCTCATCATCAGTCATGAGCCTTGGGATGTTGATAAGTCTTGAGCGGGTTGAGATCTAATTAAGGGGGTGATATGAACCCATGAACTTTATTTTAGACTTTCCATATCAATGAGCAGAGGAAGATATGGCCCACCTAATAGAGCAAGTTGACTTTTGGTTGATATCTAGGGGAGTGTATGTGCAGAAGCCTTACAAGTTGACTACCCTGGTCTCCTTCTCTCTCCGAACTGTCTATAGATGGACATCATCATCAAACATGAAGCACAAGATGATAAGTCATTGAGATCAAATCAGGAGAATGATATGAGCTTATTGACTTCATCATGGGCTTTACGGTATCAAGAGAAGATGTACTAGGCCCATTAGTTGTTCCTAAGTTGTTCTAGATCCAAAAGATCATACTGCTCAAAGAGAATAGACCATTACCACTACAATCTAGATGTCAATTATCCTCCAAGATGGGGCTCTTCATGAGGAAGAAGGCTTATAGAGAGGCCATGTATGTTCCCACCGAGGTGATATTGTTCTTCAGATACTCTACACTCTAGACGATCCCACCATTGAATCACTTTACCTCAACAAGGAATACCTCAAACATGTCCATGAATTGTAACAAGATTGTGCGAAAAAATCTCACAATTGATAGGGAGAGTGAGTTTTTTGGTTCAGATTTCTTTGATGCTTCAACGTGAAAGTGACATTTTGATTAATGCATGTGATCCTCCATGCTTATTGCCCTTTTTTTTTCTCGAAGTTAAGGGCGTAGCTAAAAATGAATGTCCCAGGATGATAGGAGTTTGGCTCAACTCTCAAGATTGATTCATATGTAAAATCAAGAAATTATATGCCAGTAAGCCGTTATTCTGTGAATATTTGTAAGATGACATAAAGATTGACATCAAAAAAATTATTCACTTGATTCTATCTTCCACTGATATAACATTCAAGCATTACAAACCACAAAATGACTAAAAATAGACAGCGTTATGACAAAACAAATATTTGTGCATGAGCACAAAAGCCTTGAATTTCTGTTTCATCAAGATTCATTGTAGGTATACGTGTCTCACAAAAAGGAAACTGTCACGTGGATCGTTGGTTGAGGGTCACAAAGACCATAACCCTTGATGATGCTAAGCTGATCATATATATTATTATCTATTTCAGAAAATATCAATTTGTAATGCTTAGGGGATCACAAAGTGACTGAAGAACTCCTACTATAAAAGATCACATCGAAAATTAGGTAAAGTAGAACTTTAGTGATCTTTCAAACCTCACATCTTCGAGAGCTTTTTCAGACAAGCCAACACCAACTTCCTCAATCTGCAATGTGAATTGTCATGAAGCTTATACAATCTATTGAAGATTACTCTGATTCAATCAAACCAATAAACTAGATACTAAACAATAACTTTGAGATAAATGAGTCACCTCAACTTTTAAATATCGTGCTGTGTATGATAAATGAAATAAAGCAATAAATGTCAAGAATAAAAAAGACATAAGACCCTATGAAAAATGAATAAAATAGACTAATAGAAGTCCAAAGTTCATGAATCCCTGGTAATTATTCAGAAACACCACCACCCCCTCCCAATCTACTCTCTTAATGTCTTTTTCATAAATGAGTTATTTCATTATATGATCTAATGGGTCATGCTGATTATGGCTAGTACACTTGAGAGTGGGCTTATCAATGGTTGCCGATTGAATTATTATGGACGAATTTTCTTTTTGTGACTGTTTTGGTTTATTTTTAGTTCTTAGTTTTCTGAGTTTCCGTCCTTGAATCTATAGTTTCTGTGGTTGTTTTCTCCACAAGAGCTAGAGAAAACATAAGTATAAATCCTTCCTTCAATATTCTTTTTGCGTTGTTTAAGCTTTCACTTTGGCATATATGTTGATGTCCTTATACTCTCATATATTTTATGTCCTCTTGTTTAACTGCTCTTTACATGTGACACATTCGTTCCAACACAGTATCCGATGCTCTCAAATCACAAGGCTAGAACTCTTAAATTTTGTATGAAGGTATATGCATCACAATAGTCTTCCTTACTCTGGATCACATCTCCCCCACTACTATTCCTCCCTATGATCTTTCTGCCATCATTAAACAAGAATATCACTTATTCAGATCACCATTAATGATTTAACGACTAACCTGAAAATAATTTTCTCGTCCATCTCCACCTTTCTACCGTAAGTTGTGTCATGCTTTGTGGGTTGTGTAGAGGGAACAGAAGCGTCTCCATTAGCTGCTGCAGAACCGATTGGTCAATGAAGAAGATGACTTCAATGCCCACCGGCTCACTCTTCAAGTTCAAAGACAGCAACAATGGAAGGCAAAAGAATGACAAAAAAATAGGCTAACTTTTCTAAAAAAGGTGTAGGAATTCTTAATAGAAGACCAAAAGAAATTTATATGACAAGTTCTTCTGTTGATTTATTTCTCTTCAATGAACATGCTCTGTAGCAAGAACAAATGAAGATATGCAAGACAAACCCAAACGAACCCATGCAATTAAATTACCAAGAAAATAAAATTTTAAATACCTTGATAAAAATAAAACCCTTAAATAAATTAAAATCATATCCTAATTTCTAATTATGTTAAAATTTTATGTGTTTTGTGTGTTCTGACATGTACTTTAGAATTACCCTCAAGCTCGAGGAACGCAACTACGTAGGAATTGGAGGGACTTGTGTTTCTTCTTTTCTCTGTTCATTTTTATAATCACGTTTATCTTATGCTGTGAATGGAGTTTTATTTTAGTAAAGAGGCTTGAACTTAGTTGTAGATAATATTGTTGAGATTGGACACAAATTAAAAGACTATATTATTTTTATTTATTTATTTTACTTAAGGGTCATAAAATCTGTTCATTATTTTGTTACTTAAGTGACATTGGACATAATATTTTTGTTTTTTACTCATTTATTTTGTTACTTAAGTGACAATGGATAACCCACCTTGTTAAGATTTATAGATATAGATGCATAATATTTTGAATTTTCATACTAGAATGCGTAAGATTTAGATTTATGGTAAAAATAATTGGTTTTTCTAAAATTTATTTGGTCTTCGACTAAGTTTGTCCTCAACTGTTCCTCGAAGAACGAACGAACTGGTGGACAAGACGATGATCGGGCCAGTCATATTAATTTTGTGGGCCTACAACACGGGCCTTAATGTGCATTAAAACAAGGCCCATGTCATTTTCTGCCATCCCTTATCAAATCCAAAGAAATGACCCTCCAATTTTTGAGAATTTATCAAAACGATCATCTTTTTCTTTGAGATTTTATCAAAAAAATTATCTGAGTTCTGATATTTTATATAAAATGATCTATATTTTGAGAATTTATTGAAATAGCCCTCCAGTTTTTGAAGTACTTACTCTGAGGCCACAGGCAGATACTGACAGCTCCCGATCGGTGTACAGTGCTGGTGGTCCGCTTTTGAGCTCACAAACAGGACGTCGCCACCCTTCAACAGATGGTGGGAAAAATGTACAAGCTTTGACGAGATAACGACCATCTTTCTCAGCATATTGAGGATGAGGTTCAGTTCTTGCTCATCTCCTACAAGAAGATAGTCGAGGTGAGATCAAAGTTGGGTATCATAATTAATTTTTAATTTTATTTTTAATTAAGTATCATTATTTTTATTTATTTATACTTTATTTTATATTTTAAAATTATATTTTAGTCTATAAATGTAATGTGAGCATCAAGTCTAAACTGCTGGTCTAGGATAGCTTAGTCTTTCATCAACTGGAAACGGTATTCTCTTAGGACAATCTCATCATCTCACTGGGACCTCCACATAAAAGCCCCAGAAAAGCCAACAGATTTCTCTCGTTATCATATCATCCATGTTAACAGGATGGTGTGAATACAAGAAATGCTTGACTGTTCTTACATGATAGGCGTCAATAGGCTGCCAGTTTTCTTCCTCATCCGTCTATCCGTCGTCAGTGCAAATGATGCAGCCACGCGGCGCTATTCTCTGTCTTTCATTCTTGTTATAACACAGTTCTCTCTCTCTCTCTCTCTCTCTCTCTCTCTCTCTCTCTCTCTATCTCTATCTCTCGTTGGACCAAAAGGAACTACTCTCTCCTGGGGAGTGAGAATCCCACAGAATTTGCCTGCCTTGCCACTTTTTTTTCAATAATTTTTCGATAGTATCTTCCACCTTTGCCGAAAATTAAAAATGCTTCAAAAACATCAATAATAATAATTACAAGAAATAGAAAGAAGTAGTAACCAACTCTACTTGATGTCCCCACGGCTGAACATTATTGTCATCAAGTATCAACGACAATCTATGCATAAAGTTTGTTCTCCTCTTAAAAGTTATTTGTCAAACTGACGTCGTTTCTTCATATTCGAGGTCAAACAATGTTTGCAGCAAATTGCGCCATCAGGCACGCAGAGTAATTTTACGGTACCAACGTGGTCTTCTTATGAGCATAAAGCCTCATCTCCTCTATCAGTCGCGTCAGGCTCAGGTGCGACGATCCTCCAACCTCCATTGCGCTCCTCGCTCGCTTGCTCAACTCTGTGACCGTCCTCCTCCTCTCTTCTCCCTCTACTCCGGCGTCCATTAACCTCTCCACGGTTTTCTGTATCTCCTCCCTATTCAGCTGGAGGTCTCCGTCGGCTATTGTTCCATCCCAGACAGGCGTCTTCACTCCGGTCGGGACTCCCACTCTCAGTACATCTACCAGGAGGCGTTCGTTGAGGAACTGTTCTGAAAACCCCGGCCATGTTAGAATTGGGACTCCGGCCGTGATTCCCTCCAAGGACGAGTTCCACCCGCAGTGAGTGAGGAATCCCCCGATGGAGGGATGCGACAGAATCGTCACCTGAGGCGCCCAACCCCTGATGATGAGGGCCCGATCTCTCGTCCTCTCCTCGAACCCTTGGGCGAGCCAATCCTCCACCTCTGCCTGGATGCCTCCGGCTTTGATCGACCATATGAACGGGCGTCGTGTGGCCTCCAGCCCCAACCCGAGATCTACAAGCACAGCTAAAGAAGATCTGACCAGGGTTCCGAAGCTAATGTAAAGCACCGATCGCGGCTTCATGGCGTCGAGCCAAGCAACGCATTTCTCCACGTCGATCGCCGCCTTATCGCCCCTCGATGCCTGATCGATGGCGAGCTCGTTGCACAGAGACACGGGCCCTACGGCCCATACCTTCTTTCCTGAGGTCCTCTCATAGAGATCTAGGAACTCGGGCTCAAGTTCTGCGAAGGTGTTGACGACCACCCCGTGGGACACTGACTCAGCCTCCCGTATCTCGTCGTCCATCCAGGCCCACTCTGGCCTCGGAAAGAACCCCGGCGCCTGGACCCTGGCGACCTCGACGCGGAGGGGCAAACCCGGCACGACGATGGGTAGCCCGTCCTCGCCGCCCACGCCGTCGTCCATCCTTCGAACATTGAGGTTGTGTTCGCAGAGCAGGGCGAAGCAGGGCATGCTGTAGAAGTCGAACCTGGGCACCTCGAGGTCGCGCGCAACGTGGCGAGTCCATGGATGGCAGAAGTCGGAGATGATGCAGCTGGGCCGAGGCGAACTCTGTTGTAGGTGAAGCCGCAGCGGCTCCTCCAGCATCTTTGTCGCGGCGAGAAAGTTGTGCAGCGACATTGGCGAAGGGAGGAGGTCGAGGTTCTCGCAACCCTCCGACAGCCCCACCTCCTTGCACGGTAATTGAAGCGAGAGGAACCGGACGGGGAGGTCTGATTCCTTCATCCGGCTGATGACAGCCTCGATCCGGGAGAGATTGACGGGCGTGGTGACGAAGGTGACCATAACCCCCCCCAGCTTGGCGAGCAGTCGGGCGAGGTCCAGCATGGGAATCATATGGCCGGGTGACATGAGTGGCACCAGTACGAAGTGGAGTTCATTCTGGAGGACCATGGTCGGTCCCTACGGCAGAAAGGAGAACGGCGCAGTGGAGGAGCGGAGGGGCGTAGAAGGGGAGAGAAGGCCGAGTGTTTCAAGGAAAAAGAGACGGCCTCCAGGTTAAGGTTGTAGCCAGACGTGTGGCCGGTGAGATAAGACGCTAGAGGTCGTGGTCGTCGGCCGACTTGCAGAATTGGTGGATGAGATTCCTATAAATTTGCGTTGTTGAGTGACAAACCAGGTAGGTCGAGGCTGCTCCTCGGCCCCAAAAACACAGTTGAAAGAAGAAGCGAAGATAACATAAAAAAAGAAATGCGTTTGCGGGGAATTGAACCCGAATCTATTGCAAAATTTATTTTTTACACGGTCAAAGAGAGAGCCCATATCGCAATCCTGAAAGACCTTCCTACCTAATTGAACCCTACAACTAAGGATTTGCATCAAACCCGGAAAAGACATTTCTGGGTTCCCACTTCTTTCCATTATTCCCGTACCTACGGACTGATTGTCTCTGCCCGACCACACTGTAGTATAGGGAGTGCAATAGCCAGATCACGGGAGAACGAGGAGCATTGATTTCAGCGAGATATAAAGAAAATCAATTCGGGTTGAGACGAGTCAAACCAGTGTTGAGAAAGGGGCGTGGCAGAGGTTTGGTCCTAGGTTCACCAAACAAGAGAAAACTGTTCCGTCATATGCTTTATCAAAACTTCCTGATATTCGGGTGTTGGAATAGCTTCTGTCTCGGATAACATCGCTTTTATACGTCCACTAGCACGACGAGCCGATGGTTCTGCTCCCCTCCCCTACATGTTATATGAGGGCGCGTTGTCGCTTCAGCCATTTCCGAGGCCTAGGAAGAATCTTAAAACAACAAGTGCTTGTCGTCATTTTACGACAACGGCATTCTTGGGGGACATCTCCTGGGTTACAGTCCGAAGCAAGAGATCTAGGTTGGTGAGGGACGATCCGCCATCTTCCACAGCCCTTCTCGCCGCCTTCGCAAGGTTCCTGGCTCTTCTTCTCCTCTCTTTCGCGTCCTTGCCGACATCCGTGAGGTTGACAAGGGCCCGGGCCACCTCCTCCCTCGTCACCTGCACCCCAGCCTTCTCCTCCTCCCCCCATATGGTTGGCGACTTGACACCGATAGCGACGGCAATACCGAGAATCTCCACCACCAGCCTTTCGTTCAGGAACTGCTCCGAAAACAGTGGCCAGGCGGCCATGGGCACCCCGGCGCACACGCTCTCTAGGGTAGAGTTCCACCCGCAGTGGGTCAGGAAGCCGCCCACGGCGGGGTGTGACAGGATCACCACCTGCGGCGCCCATCCCCGGATCAGGAATCCCCTCCCCTTGTTTCTTTCCTCGAACCCTTCGTCCCCCAGCCAGCTCTCAAACTCACGGGAAGCTTCCTCGCCCCGGGTCTTGATGGCCCAGATAAACGGCTGCCCAGAGGCCTCCAGACCTAAGCCTACCTCCACCAGCTGAGATGGCGGCAGGCGGGCCAGGCTTCCGAAGCTGGCGTAAACGACGGAGCCCCTCTTCATTGAGTCGAGCCAACGTACGCAGAGGCTGGCTTCATTGGATGCCTTGTCCTCCCCTTCGGTTTCGTACGGGGACTCCCTGTCGCAGAGAGAGAGTGGTCCTATAGTCCACACCTTCTTGCCAGTGGTTTCCTCGAGGGCACTGACATAGCTGGGCTCCAGCTCGACGAACGTGTTCACCACGAACCCATCGGCGGACAGTTCTCCCTCTCTGATCTCCTCGCGGATGTCTTCCATGTCAACGGAGGTGCTAAATGCCCCCGGTAGCTGAGCTCTCGTCACCTCGACCCGCTGGGGCAGGCCGGGAACGACGAAGGGATCGGACTCAGAGGTTGCAGACAGGTGGGTCTTCTGGACGTGCAGGTTGTGCTGGCAAAGGAGAGCGAAGCAGCCGTACCCATGGAAGACCAGCCTCGGCACTCCCAAGGCCCGGCCGAGTGCCCGAGTCCAAGCGGCCCCTGCGTCGGATATGATGAAACTCGGGGCGATCCGCGACTCGCGTAGGCGCCGCTCTAGCGGCTCCTGCATCATCTCGGACGCCCGGAGGAAGTTCCTCGTCATGGACTTGGACGGAATCATGTCGAGCCTCTCGCACCCCTCGGGTAACCCAACCTCCCGCGAGGGGAAACGGAGCACGATGACCTGCACGGCAAGACCAGAGCCCGCGCAGCGCTGGATAGTGCCCTCCATCCAGGCAGCATTGGAGGGCGTGGTGACCAAGCTGACGACTGCGCCGCGGGAGGCCAGCAGCTTGGCCATGCCGACCATGGGGATCATGTGGCTGGGGGCCATGAGGGGCACTAGCACGACGTGGGGCGTCCCCCCCTCCACACCATCAGAGCTTGCCATGGCCGCCGGCCGGAAGTTCCTGGGAGCTCAAGTCCGAACGCTGGATGTGAAGCTGGCGGCAGTGACGTGCCTCTTCGGAGCTGGCGGGGTGAGAGTTCCTACAGTTTCTTCTAGGCGGAGACGACGACTGTATAGAGCCAGACAGATACCAAATCGACCCAACCAGACCCCCGAATCTTCGGGCAGCAGTCGGGATGGCCGCTTCCCCTGCCGGGAAACGACGACTGAAGAGACCCCGACGAATTGGCTGAGCATAGATGACCATCTTTTGGGGAACAGACGTGGCCCTGACGCAATCAAATCTTTCTATATTCCGATTTTTCATAATTTTTTTGTAAAATCCCTTCTTCTCTACACTACTCCATGTCTCCTCCCAAGACGTCAATTCCCGAAAAATATAAATCTGAGTTAAGTTACATAACCCTTGCCGGAAATGACTAGAATATCCCTCCTCCGTCGGCGAACCAGGGGGGAGCATTTTCTGCGGCGGAAACTGTGTGGGTAATGTCGGTATTTACTTATTTTAGGCGTCCGTTAACGTGTCGGAAAAAGTCCTTCTAAGGCCCCAGATTTCAGAGAAACTATTACGGCGATTATTTGGAAGCGACACGTAAGCTGGCGGAAAAGTCTTTCCGGTGACGTGTGTGGTGACCTCAGTGGACTGATGACGTAAGCGCTTACATGGGACAGTTGGACGGACCTCGGGAGGCGGGACCACGTGGAATGCTTGCAGATACACCAAAATGGGCTGAACTTTGGGCCCAATACTCGGCCGTGAAATGGGCCGGTCGATGCTCTTTAATTGGTTCTGATTGGAACGTGAGCCCACTCCTGGAGGTTCTCTTTCAGCTTCGACTTGATATCCGCACCGCCGTAAATAGTCCGTTATTTTTTATCGAAATTAAGCTATAAGATCTAACGTTAATATTTATAATAATAATACTATGCATTTATTTTTGTTGGAGATTAGAAAAATTTTCATAGCTTATAATATACGGTAGTTTCATGACATTATGGAAATACTGAAAACATACGGGGAACTTTTAATGGGTTTTTTCCCACTAGAAAAATACGACACAGAGGGGCAAGGTTTTTTAAGTACTTGTTATGGTGAGTATTTTTGGTAATTATTTGACAGTGGTTCTATTTGAAATATATAGTCCAGTCGCGTCACCCGTGTGTCTTGGAGTCGATCTCGTTTAAAGACTTGCCTTCGTTGACTCCTCACAGATTTACACGATTAAACTCGAAGAGTAGAATAAGGGGAGTCGAAACGGCGGAAGCATCGGTCACTCTCTCTCTCTCGCTCTACGTATTTAAGCGCTCCACTGAACGCGACTGTCCATGTGCGTGGGTTTGAATTATTCTATTTTCTAGGACACGGAGGAAGCGGGGCCTGGCCTGCCCTCTCCCGTTTCCTTTCCCGCCCTCTCGCCGTCCCCGTTCCCGCCCAAGTCCCCGTTCGCCGGTGCCTTCGTCGATATCCACGGCCACACTGCTTCACCTTGTCAGCGGAGGAGGCATCTGCGCCCTGCTGGGGTAAGGTTAAAGTCTGATCCGGTGAATTTCTCTAGTTATTCGCGTGTCGCCCTCTGGTATGATCACACTTCAGCTAGCATCACCAGGGTCGACGGACGGCTAGGGTTCTACCTTCCATCGTTAATCGCCCCCACTGATGCGGAAATGATACTTATTCTGTGCGTCGGGGCTTCGTCGTCCCCTGGAGAACACTTCTTTCGCTGTGCAAAACCTAAATCGCGTACAATTTACGGAGCCGTCTCGTCATTGGACCGAAAGTAGTCGTTAGATGCGGTATTTGGTGCTGCTATCAAGATGTATATAAAGCAGGTAATTAGATCCTAGATCCACTTGCTTTTTATTAGGAGCTGCGCTCTTCGTTCTTATCTCTGCCGCTTCTCTCAACTGCCTTTGTCTTCAATTAGGTCATCATAGAAGGATTTAAGAGCTACAGGGAGCAAATTGCCACAGAGCCATTCAGTCCTAAAGTCAACTGCGTCGGTAAGTATATTCTTCATTTCCTTCTGGATATTCTACATTATCTTCATCTGTGCTTCCATACTGATACATTGACGGGATATTTTTCTTTCTCCCAATTTCCTATTCAGTCGGAGCAAATGGATCAGGGAAGACAAACTTCTTTCATGGTTAGATGTTATGCGGAAAATTTGCTGAAAGCTTATATTTCCTAATTGCGATTAGTTTCTTTATTTCACTGTCGGGATAATTGTATGCAATTTTTTTCCCTCTCAAACACATATTCGAACTGTGCTAACTATTATTATTCTTCTCTTTCTTGTAAATTCAAATGCTACAGCCATACGTTTTGTCTTAAGTGATCTCTTCCAGAACCTACGAAGTGAAGATCGTCACGCTCTTCTCCATGTATGGCTTATTCACTTTGCTTTGTTGCTGTCATTTTTCTGGTGCTTGGGGTGTGAAATGATACCTGAGTTGTGCAATAAATCAATAATCAGATGGGTCCTGACTCCGACCTCTGAGGACATGTGAAAATTTACTTAGTATTATTCGGAGAGTTTATTCTTTTTGATTTTTCTTCTTGATCATACTTCAACCAGGAAGGTGCTGGCCATCAAGTAGTGTCTGCATTTGTTGAAATAGTTTTTGACAATTCAGATAATCGCATTCCAGTAAGTTCCTTTTTCTTTCCTCTGTTTGAGAAATCGAGAATACTTCTTACTATGATGTACACTTTAAATATCAGGCATCCTACTTCGTATGAATTGAAATGTAACATTCTCTTTAACATGAACGATGGATAAGGTTTTGGTGATTTGTCTGCTTCTACTAATTGTTTCAGGTGGATAAGGAAGAGGTCAGGTTGCGGAGGACAATTGGTTTGAAGAAAGACGAGTATTTTCTTGATGGGAAGCATATCACGTATGCATGCTGGAATATCTTTATAAATTCATGCTTCACTTTGGCTCTATAAATCCCATTATTTATGAGATTATATGCCTTGGCAGGAAAACAGAAGTTATGAATTTGTTGGAGAGTGCTGGTTTCTCTCGCTCTAATCCATACTATGTGGTCCAACAAGGGAAGGTAAAGTATGTTTCTTGATTTGCCGATAATTAATGGAATTATTTTATTTTGTCTCTTGATTTTCCATTTTTTCTTGCAGTTTTTCTAGTTTCCCTTTATTTTTCATATTTAACTGATCATAAGTAAAAAAAAAGTTTTTGTCATATGAATGTCACTGTCTGAACAATATATTTCCTATTTTAATAATCTGACCGTTGCAGGGCCACCTCGAGACATTTACAACATTTAACTAGTCGTGAATTGTGTCACATGTACAAAAGGAAAATGGAAAAAATAATATTGATTTTCCATTAATGCTTTGTAGATAGCGTCATTGACATTAATGAAAGACTCAGAGCGGCTGGACCTGCTGAAGGAAATAGGTGGAACTCGTGTCTATGAGGAGAGACGGCGTGAAAGTTTAAAAATTATGCAAGAAACCGGTACGAGTCTAAGTTTACAAAGCTATAAACCTCTCATATATTACCATGCATGATCATTTTGATCACAGTGCTCCATATGCTGATCAGGCAACAAAAGGAAGCAGATAATTCAAGTTGTTCAGTACTTGGAAGAAAGGCTTAGGGAGCTGGATGAAGAAAAGGAGGAGTTGAAAAAATACCAGCAGCTTGATAAACAGCGAAGGTCACTAGAATATACAATTTATGACAAGGAACTTCATGATGCTAGGCAGAGGCTTGGAGAGGTCTGCTATACTTGACATTATGTCGTAACTTCTTTTCAATAATTTTTTTCTCCGGCCGTTTTACGAATTCTAAGCCATTTATCTCGTTTATACTCAGATGATAACTCATGGTATCGGTTTATATGTGTATTTGGTTGAAATCTGATGGGTCTGTGATTGGGATTTAGGAATGGTCCTCGCACCTCACGAGGGAAGAAAATCCTTAATAAACTTTTGTTATGTTGACCTTCAGGCACCGCATTTTCTTTTGGCTTCTTCTAAGTTTCGGTGATCCCTGGTGCCAAGGAATCTGCGTGCTGTGTATACCTCGACTTTTGCCTCTTCCATTGCTCCCAATCCCGTGTCATCATCCACTCTTTGACAAAAATCTCCACAGTCTATGCAACATTGCATTCCCACAATTCATGTCCCAAGGTCGCTCTACAGAACCAATGCACGGGATCATTCTACATTTAGTGAATATTGCATATCTTCCTGTTGGCACTTATTTAACGGTAAACTTCACCACCGTCCTACCACTCCCCAATGTTGTTGTTTATCTGCTTCCTCTATCCTCACATTAGATGACAGGATACTAATGCTAGCATTTCTATACTTTTTGAGAGAAAAGGATAATCCTCCACTACTGATAGCAGCTGCAAGGAGCATATCGGCACTTTTTATTGAACAATTCCATGACTGAAAGTACCCTTCATAGTTATTGAACATTTCTTATCTTAATACCACTGTCAGAGTTTCTTTTTCCTGTTATCTAATCGATTTGCTCTAGTTGTTAATCTGGTATCTCAAGGAACATATAAGCACTTAGATTTTATTGTCACATTTACGTTTTAGGGAATATGTTTATTCTTAACCCGCCATTCTATGCCATTAGTGTCTCACTTTTTTGGATCATGTCACAGGTTGAAGAGGCTCGAAACAGGGTGTCAGAAAAATCTGCCCATATGTATAACAGTGTACTTGAAGCCCATGAAGAAGTAAAATCATTGGATAAGGAAAACAAAGTTATCATGAAAGACGTTCAAAACTTGCATAAGGAGAAAGAGACATTGGATAAGAGGCGGACTGAAGCACTGGAAATGCTTGCACAGATAGAACTTGATGTGAGGGACCTTGAAGACAAGAGATCTTTCAATCTTCGAGCCAAGGTCTGATTCTCTCCTGTTACAGGTGTAATTAATTATGAGTAGTTTCATTGACCCAATGATGAATGCAAAATTATTGTGTTGGTTTTTAGTAAGTTACGTGGAGTTGATTCTGATCTCAGGAAGAGGCTGAAAGACAATTGAAGAGCCTGAGAAAAGAAATTCAGGAATCCAGAGACGAACTGAATACAATAAGACCCTCGCATAATGCCAAAGTGACGGAGGAGGAGGAAATTTCAAAAAGGTACCTCCTGCAATGCCTACTTTTCTTGCTATCTCCAGCCTGTTGAAGTTTTAGCTTTTGAACGGGGTTTCACTTATGATTTGCTAATGAGTATCTATGTTGACAAAATTAGCATCATGGACCGTGAAAAGCAGCTCAGTATTTTATATCAGAAACAAGGACGTGCAACCCAATTTTCCAGTAAAGCTGATAGAGATAAATGGCTTCAAAAGGAAATTGATGATCTTCAGCGTATTCTTTCCTCAAATCTTTTGCAGGTAAGTTATTCGTTTTGTACATTATATGGCGCACTGTATTGCTATTATCTCAGTTGAAAGTTGAACCTAAAGTAAGCCACACTGAAAAACTTCTTCCTAGCTTAGGTTATTCTCATTGCATAAAGACAGGCCTTGGAACAGACTGTTTCCATTGTGTGTTGCTAAAAGTCGATTTTATGTCGTCAGTCCTGATCTCTTGCACCAGATCAACCCTTTTATTGGAGAATGAGAAAGTTCAGTTTTGCTTCCAGTTCAACTAGGCATGCTTTGCACCAAGTTCAGCATGTTGAATCCTCACATGAGATCGAATCTTTTTAGTGTTGTGCTGTATCAATAATGAGAATATTATGTAGTCATTGAAAACTTGAGCAGAAGCTGCTCATATCATTAGCAACTAGGGTAATTGAGTGCTTCAAAGTTTAATTGCTTAAACTAATACTCTTCTTGAAAATATTTATAGTAGTGAAAAATCTCAAGTGCAATCTATTGCTTGTGCAAGCATGTACTGTAGTAGCTGGATGGAGGAACGCCTCTAGAGACAAAAATGAACCCCACTAATATTTAGTTACCTTTGGAGGCTCGACAGAAAACCGGGTGTGCATGGAACTGTTATTGCCTTGTTATGCATGTTGTTTTCTTATTGAGTAAAATAATTCGTCACTAAAGTGATTACTGTCATACTTGATTTTGTTAGAAGCTTGATGGGCATCTGTTGGCTTGTATCATTTTTGGTAACTGATGGACAACTTTATCATTCCATATTGGGCTGTAAACCCAATCAAGTATACATCACAGTTGTCTCGCTCTTTCTGTGTGCGTTTAAGTTGAGTGTTCCACATCGTTGGTTTTGGATTAATGTTGGTTACTTTTTTCTAAGTCGGTTGATCATAATCAAACTCAACAATATTAATTCATTTCCAACTCGGCCTCTGTATGTTTTCTCAATTCCTGTTTTGAATGTAGTCACCAACTCATCATTTATGGGCTATTGCAGTATTTAAGTGATATTTGGTTTCAATTTATTTAGGAAAAGAAGCTTCAAGATGAGATTCGACAGCTTAAAGATGAATTAAACCGACTAGAATTTCACATAAAAGAGCGAGGTGCTGAATTGCAAAAGCAAAGTTCTCTCATTTCCAAGGATCAGGGAGAATTCAGTGCTCTGAAAACGCAAAGGGATGAACTCCAGGAAACTAGGAAGTATGTCAATCTTCTTTGTCCTTAATGCATAGCTTAATGTTCTATACTTAGTGCATAGCTTTTTTCTAGGTCCCTGTGGAAGAAAGAAGGTGATCTCACTGCTGAAATTGATAGACTTAAAGCAGACGTATTGAAGGCACAAAAAAGCCTGGACCATGCTACACCTGGAGTGAGTATTTGTATTAATTCATCCCTTTGGTAAATTTAATGGCCGCGCTGTGTCACCTTCATAGATTTTTTTTTTAAAAACCGGTGTTGTTCAACCGCTGTGTGAGCTTATGTAGTTTTGGCTACTGTGTAATTAGTTTTGATGGAATTCCCTTGAATATGTTTTCAGTACATTTTTTTGAGAACAATGCTCCATAAAAAAATGGAATGTCAATATTTACTTGCAATAGTAATAAATGAAAATTCAAAAATTAAAATAAATAAAAATTGTAAATATATGACAGATATACTGCAAGCATGGGATCATTACCCATGACACTTTTTGCTCTACCATGATTTTCTTAGGATGTTACATCTGGTTGGTCAAATGGTACTGGAGCCAATGTTCTCAGTGTGCATTTAAACTCAAATGAACGGTGAAGAACTCTTTTTGGTTAGTTTATATTTTTTTAATATCTCATGTTATTCCTTGTTTTCCTGTATAGGATATAAGGAGAGGGCTGTCTTCGGTCAACAGAATTATAAAAGATCACAATATTAAAGGTGTTTTTGGTCCAATATTGGAGTTGGTCGACTGTGATGAGAAGTTTTTCACTGCCGTTGAGGTTACAGCTGGCAATAGGTTTGATGATCTAAGTTTTAAGTCCTCTGAATTGTAGAGCTTTGCTGTGTTTCTGAAATGTTTGCTGTCTGTAATGATTGCCTTATGAGATGGTATTCTGTGTACAGTTTATTTCACGTGGTGGTGGAGACAGATGTGATATCTACTAAGATAATTAGATTTCTCACTTCAGAGAAAGGTGGACGTATTACATTCATACCTCTGAATAGGGTTAAAGCTCCTCATGTGAATTATCCTCATAGTTCTGATGTGGTACCTCTGTTAAAGAAGCTGAACTTCTCCCAGGAGCATGGTCCAGCATTTTCACAGGTTGGTTAAATTTCCAGTTCTGTGTCACTGATAATTTTTTGTTCAATATTAGATGATTGCCTACCATGATGTGGCACTGATTGTCACTCTATGCATTATTATTTCATTTACCTGAAGTTGATTTATAATCAATGCAACTCATAGATTGCTTTCTTTTTTTACTTTCATTTACACGAAAATTCTGAATCAAACTCTTGGGGATCAAAATATACAGTACTGTTCGAATCATTGCGAAGAAAGTCCATGTGTATCGACAGACACTCACATCGGGGTACTGACCAAGTATATTGTGGCCTTCTTCAATGCAATTAGTTGGAATCGTCTTTATGGGCCTATCTTTTCGTTCTTATGCAGTTCAAGTTATCATCTCTCTTTCCACTTTTTGCGCTCCCATCAGAATTATGATTATCATTTTGGTTTTTAATGCTCCCTTCTCTTTTGACATTTTCCCATGTATTTAGATGTACAGGGAACCTATTTATGATGAGATGATCACGACTTTCTGATGCAGCTAAGGTAGATATACATGATATCCTCAGTCATTAATGGCATTGAAGACACATCCTACAACCTCGAAGAAAGAGCTTCAGTATAAAAAAAATTACAGTACTTACCCTTTCTTTTAGAAAGAGCAACCAAAATTTAGAATGTAGTCAAAATAAATTAATAAAGCCAGAAAAAAACTTAAAAAACGCCAATCTGTCTGTAATCCCGTTTGTCAGATCATTTGTCTTACCGTGTGATTTGAAATGCTCTCTAAGCAACGGATTTTGGCTCATTTTCCAACGTGGATTTGCCTCAGTCATTGTTTTGTCTGGGCCTTTGGATAGAGAGGCAGTACCGTGCCAAGCATGGAAGGGACACCGCCATGATCATGTGCCAGCATGATAGAGAGATATATATTCTCTGGCCCTTAGATGTGGGGTTGGGATGATTTCTTGGAACCTCTATGTGATAAAGATAATATTATTTCCGCGCTGATGAAAAATTGAGTGTATTCCTGCTTTATGCATACATTACTTTCTCAATCTTGATGATAATTCAAAATCTTACACGACCAATTTACACTTTCACTTGTCGTTCCTTCAACTATCGTTCCAACTACCCATTTTTTAATAAAAAGAAAATGTCAAACGAAGTTCATGTTTCTTTTGTAAACTTTTCGAAATTTTTTCTTGACATTTAATGTCTGGGGGCATTTCCATGGATTTATGCTGATCGTTATTAGGAGAGAGATTATTGGAGGCCCAATAGGCCCAATAGGTACATGGGTAAATCTTTTTTGTTTTTTCTTTATGACTAATGTGATGAACACTTTAGCTAATCTTGAACACTTCCAGCTTTGTTTCTTTGATTTTTTGGATGTTGTGTTACTAGTCAAAAGTGGGAGCTTATTTATGAAACCATAGTTGCATGGTATTTTCTATATTTCAGTATTATTTTATTTTACTTCCTTTAACTGTTTACATTGTTACTAGGTGTTTGGAAGGACAGTGATATGCCGTGACCTGGATGTGGCAACGAAAGTTGCTCGAAGTGATGGCCTTGACTGTATTACTTTGGAAGGTATGAATTTTTAACTTTTTCATTTTATCTAGCTTTCTGATTTTTGAAAAAAACCACCTCACTTTTGTCATATATCAGGTGACCAAGTAAGCAAAAAAGGTGGTATGACGGGGGGATTCTATGATCTGAGACGATCCAAGCTGAAGTATGTGAAGATTATCAGGGAAAACAAGATTATGATTCATAAACGAACAGCTGAACTTGAACAGATTGGAGACAACCTCCGGGATATCCTGACAACATCTTTTTGTTTTATTTTCCTCATTTATTTGAGTCTATTTTGACGCTGTAATATTTCATTTTTCTTCTTGGGAGCTCTCACCCTGGCCTGCTATTTAAAAGCTTGATGTTGTCACCTGTACTTGCATGTGTCAATGCCTTTATTTATTAATATTTCGGTGAAAGTTACTCAATATTAATGTCATGTTATGATTTTTTTTGCTTGTTTAGATGTTTAAAACTCTGAGAGTCTGCAGCCGTATTTTCAACTTGGCATCATTTGTCACAGTATAGTAGGGAATTTGGGAATTACTGTTTCATCATAGTTTTACAGTTACAGTTGAAGCCCTTTCTAATGACTTTTTATGGTTATTTTACTTTTTCATATTTGAAAAGAAGAGAAATGATTGAAAATGCTGTGTTAAAGAACTCTGTCCGTGGCTGAAAAAATACCCAAACCAACGTGAATTATCCAGGTTCGAACATTCTAATCTGCTTCCTAGTCAGGAGCTGTAATCCCCCCTCTTCTAATTCTGATCTTTTTTGGAATCTAGTCTTGACATTCCCAGGTCCATGCTTGATTTGGCCAATCATGCCTTTGTCATCTTGACCTTGGAGATTAAATGGTGGGATTTTCATCCTATGCACTTTAAGCTATTAGATACTCACAAGTACATAAGTTCTTTTGGATACCGAAGAAAACACTAAACCAATAGATGGAAGTCTCCATTGGTTCATTATTGCATTTCGGTATTAGTCTTATTCGTTTTAATTTGGATGTTTATTTAATTTGTTAACTTTATTGTTGATTTCTCCTTCTACTTACATGTATCCCAGAGGTTAATAGTCGTAGAGGTTCTGATGACCTGTGATGTTCGTAGTAGTTTCTACAGTTATTTTGGGTTGTGCTAACCAGAGATAAAAGTCAAAAGAAGGGTTTTATGGATACTTGCCGCTATGTCAGTGAGCTAGTAGATATCCTACTATTTGCGCATGATGATAGGTCAGTGAGCTAGTCATAATGATATTCGGCAAAACATGTACTTTATCACATATTTCAGAGTGTTTGAAAAACATTAACCGCTTTCAAATTCCTGGTGATTACCTTTTCTCAGAAGATATTTTGAATCGTTTTAGCTATAACCATTGTCTCCCTACAAGCCGTAATCCACTTTTGCCTCATTTTACAGCGAACCCCTAATGAGGGTAAATGTCACATCCGGATGTTTTCTGATGGTTTCAATGGCATACGGTGGGAGCTTCAATTATTCCCTAAAAGAGACAAAATAAGAGAATCTTCATGCTGCTTGTGATTTATGTTTGTGTAAATGTAGTCTCTGAGGTCAATGAAAAGCTTCAGATTTTTTGTGAAACGTTTCCTTAATATTTCACACAAATAGATCAGAAAATTACTAGTCTGGTATCAGAGCAACAAAAATTGGATGCTCAGCGTGGTCATGCCAAATCCGAATTGGAGCAGCTTAAACAGGACATTGCTAATGCTTCTAAGCAGAAGATGTCTATTTCTAAGGCCCTTGAGAATAAGGTAGTTATCATCTACCTATTCTATACCTGTGCCGTTGCACTCTTTGTCTGTCTGTCATCGATCGGACCACCTTTTTGCTAACAATTGTCTGTTTAAATACTTCTATGTCCTTGTAGGAAAAATTGCTTGGAAATGCTCGTAATCAAATCGATCAGCTTAGAGCTGGTATTGCTATGAAACAAGCTGAAATGGGAACAGAACTTATTGATCAATTAACTCTCGGGGAGAAAAATCTTCTATCTCGTCTAAATCCCGAAATTACAGAGCTCAAAGAGAAGCTTATTGCCTGCAAAACAAGTCGAATTGAGGTATGCTGTAACTATAGATGCAATCCCCTGTAAACTGGCCACCAATCATACCTTCACATGCTACTGTTTTTCCAATGATTAAATTATATTTCCAATGATTTTGAGTTGTGCCAACCTGTGATACTGTTGTTTTATAGATTGAAACACGAAAAGAGGAGTTGGAAACTAATTTGTCAACAAATCTTGTGAGACGCGAGGAAGAGCTTGAAGCCATAAAGTTGTCTGCAGATTCTGACACATTGCCAGAGGAAATGGAAAGGAGAAGGCAGGAACTAAAGGAAGCTAAAGGATCCGTTGACAGTCTCACTTATCAGCTGAAAAGTCTGGGATATTTTAGAATTTGTGTATGGCTTGTAGTTCAGTGTAATTATTTCAACGTCTAAACTGAAATGGTGTTCTGCAGGGGTTCTTGAGAACTTGGACAGCCTAAAAAGAAAACAAAGGGAGGTTAAGAATTCTATCGAAAAGATGAAGGTACTCTTTTGACGCAGTTACAACTCTCTGTTTCTCCATTTATTGATGCTCATGACATTCTTGTAAGCTGCGCAGAATCATGAGGCAAACTATGATCGCACACTTCAAGACGAGGCAAAAGATTTGGAACAGTTGTTGAATAAAAGGAACCTTCTTCTGTCAAAACAAGAGGACTACATGAAGAAAATCAGGGAATTGGGCTCTCTGCCATCGGATGCCTTTGAAACGTAAGACCTCCCCTCTCAAAGCTCATCATGATTATGATACAGTTGCATATTTTTCCGCATTTAGAGTAGTCTAGTCATGTTTAACGATCCTAGCGGTCAGAACCATCTCAACTAGAATCGCTGTCCATGCGCTGTCCATATGCCTTTTGGTGCCAATCTAAGTCAGATTATCTCCCGTCAGAGTTCATTTTCCTTTCGTTCATTCAGGCAACCTTTTCACATGCATTATCACCCCATCTTGAACCTGAGATACCTTTGAATTCGTTGTGCATCCCCTCACCCCCGCAACGTAAAGTTTACACTCTCTCAAACAGCCGTTCTGCCAAACATTTGGTCATATCCTCCCAGCATTCTTTGCAGAGCGTGGATGGTATACCTATTTTTGTACTTTTCAATGACAAATGTTTAATAGATTCTGGATGTTTTCAACCTTATCAGAAATATGAAAAAGCTGCTTTGGCGCACATCTAAGAAACACATCTGCAACTGAATCTGTCACATTATGATTGCTGATCCTGTAAATCATATCTGATCTTGCATGTTCCGGATGAAAAGGACGACTGCATGATTTATGTCGTTGACTTTGTTGTGTGCCAGAGGAATCAAAGTACTGATCATACTGTGAGCATTTTTTCCGACTCTTGCTTTTTATTTTATTTTTTCTCTCTGTTCGTTCTTTTAGGTACAAGAGAAAAAGCATAAAAGACTTGCAGAAGATGCTTCATAAGTGCAATGAAGACCTGCAGCAGTTTAGCCATGTCAACAAGAAAGCCCTCGACCAGTATATAAATTTCACAGAGCAGCGTGAAGAGCTTCAGAAGAGACAGGCTGAGCTTGACGCTGGCGACGAGGTTTTCCCCTTTTGTTGCAGCTTCCCCATCTTGAAGCAATCATGGTGATATGAATTGTTGCTGTCCTAAGGTTTATCTATTCTATTTTCACAGAAAATTAGGGAACTTATCACAGTTCTGGATCAGCGGAAGGATGAGTCAATAGAGCGCACATTCAAAGGTGTAGCAAGGCACTTTCGAGAAGCATTTTCTGAGCTAGTTCAGGGCGGCCACGGCTATTTGGTCATGATGAAAAAAAAGGTAGGCTACTATGTTTTTATTTTATAAGAGTGGTACACAAAATTATGCTTCATTTACATGCATCTGCTTGCCATTTATTTTATTTTTTGAATTTTCCATCTGTCAGAAATATTATGACCGCCTTTGTTTAGCAGAGAATTGGTCTGTGTTTGAAGTGCATTAATGGTTAAGTAATGAATCGAGAAACCTTTTAGTCTAGCGTTCGAATAATCTTTTTCTCATTGTTTAATCTAATGCTTCATAAAATTTGCGACTGACTTGTTGGATCAAACCAATGGCCACTGCCTTTATTGTCATTCCAACAATCTTTATCGCCCATGAAATCGGCTTTGTTACAGTGCCCATAGAGTCCCTCCCCGGTAGTGTTCATGGATCGTTAGTATCCATCCTGTATGTTTTACCAGATTGATTCTCTGCCACTTTCTTTGATATCAGGTATGCTGTTTTCTTGTTTATATTCTTTGATCAACAATGGAAAATCTACTGATTTCACGGATCATAATAAATATGCTCCCTTTATTTTAGAAACCGAACCTCGACTGAAACATTCTTGTCACCTTTTCTTCAAGGACGGCGATAACGGTGATGATGATCTCGATGACGACGACGGTCCTCGTGATCCGGATCCCGAGGGAAGGGTGGAAAAATATATAGGCGTTAAAGTGAAGGTACGTGTCAGTTGCTTGACGCACGCGCTTTGTTTCCTGTCTATCTGGTGGTAGAGTTTTCTCGGCATATGTTTCAACTCCAATTATAGAACGTCGTAGTCGCATTTGGAATGCGAACGATATTTATCTGATTGACATGTTGACCTGGTGAGCCACAGACAAAGATTTGATTTGACCTTCAGATGAGAGCCCATCTCCCATCATTCTTTCCTCCCTCTGACATGCATCGAAGCTCTTAGCCCGGTCGTTTGGTTCAGGGAGAATTAGTCGTCTACTTGGCCCATCTTTTGAAATCGGGCCACGATCAGATCATTCCAGTGCCTGGAGTCTTCTATTGGAGCTCTACTAACTAAGTTCGTAGAACTCGCTTTATCCTGCAACCTAATCACGAGATTGCCATTTTCTCCCCCCCTTTATTTTAACCGGAAAAAAGTACCTTGTTTGTTCGAACCAATGTCTGAAGAAAATTGAGTGAATAATATCCCGCTGATATTCCTTCCATTCACTGATTTTCGGAGTCACCAGGTTTCCTTCACCGGGCAAGGAGAGACCCAGTCAATGAAGCAGCTGTCCGGGGGCCAGAAAACGGTCGTAGCCCTGACTCTAATCTTCGCCATTCAGCGGTGCGATCCCGCGCCTTTCTACCTCTTCGACGAGATAGACGCTGCGTTGGATCCACAGTACAGAACAGCCGTCGGAAGTATCCTTCACGTTCCCGCGCTCTCTTTCTCGTTCTCCTACTGCCTTTGCGATTTTAGTGAAACGAGATGGAGGTCGACGACGACTTGCTCGCTTTTTTCTTTGAAATACTGATAGCTTCCTTGACTCGCGGAAAGATATGATCCGCCGCCTCGCTGACGTCGCAAACACCCAGTTCATCACGACCACGTTCCGCCCGGAGCTCGTGAAGGTCGCGGATAAGATATACGGGGTGACCCACAAGAACCGGGTCAGCCACGTGAACGTGGTATCCAAGGACGAAGCCCTGGACTTCATCGAACGGGACCAGACTCACAACAACGAATGACTTGATGCTCGATCTGGGGGATTTGCAGGAGAGCTGCTTGCCCTCCTTCAGGCTTCCCCCGCGGCAGTGAAGGCATCTTCAGGTGATCTATCCTCATCTCGTGACATCATAATGTATATAGATCTGGAACTTCCTCGCAGACTTAGATCTTATGTTTTCTCGACCTGACTCGCCTAGGAAGTTTGCACACGTTGTACAATTAATGGGACAGATAATTTAGTAGGCACCGTGCGAGATGACTAACAATGGCAGTGCTTCAATACGAAGACGACGTGGCTTGCCCACACAAGAATACGAACCCACCCTCTTGGCGCGCCACGTCACTCCAATGTGAACCCGTCGAGCCAAATCAGCACCTCGTTCCTCTTCAAGGGCAAGAGTGGCAATGGCATAAGAATCAGTTAGGCCATTAAACAGGGGGAAGAGGGGGGGAGGTGTACCATGATGAAGCTCCATGTCCGGCCGGGATCGTTGTAACGAGCGAAGAGGCATCCCTCTCGCGGGTGGAGGCCGTCTCTAACGAGCGCCGACCGGAGCTCCTTCTCCTTGCTCCGCACGATCTCCTCCGTGGCTTGCCCGCTGAATTTGGAGACGGCGGCGACTCCATGCTCCACCCTCCTGATGGCAATCGACTCCCCGCTGGGCTCCGGTAGCCTGAAAGAAGAGGCGCATTCCTATGTGTCATGGAATTTCGGCAATGGGGTAGCACCGTGGATTTCAACATGAAACCGTTCGTATCTGTCTTGGAATGTCACTTGTCTGAGAGAGAGAGAGAGAGAGAGAGAGTCAAATGAGTGGGTGATCATTGAACAGCCATATGACATTGAAAACAAGCTCTGATTGACAGGTTAGCTTGGGTGCCATCAAATTACCAAAAAAAATAAAAAAAGGGCTTGGGCTTGGATATGGGCTTAGATGAGAAGTTAATTCACCTCATAAATAAAAATTAAAAAAATAAAATCGACCTTTCATTCTTTCTTTTTATTTTCATTTTTTTAACGTTGTATAGCTAACACTAGCGCCATTGAGGTGGAGAGAGGAGAGCGTACTTGTCCAACTCTTTATCCAGCGGTAAGACTATCTGGATGGACACGTCTGACAAGCCGTCGTCGAGTGCCTGAGTGAAGACTGGAGTAGTCATCGGGATCTTTTCTGATGACGCGTTCTTCCCAAATATATACCTGGAGAAAGAAAAAAAAAAATATATATATATATATATATATATGTATATATATGATCTCTCGATGTTCAGTCCTCAGAACTGTGGATTCAAGGGCGGGAGAGGGAACGAAATCGAAGTAACCACTGAGAATCGCTTACCCAGTAACGTTATTGAAGCCACCCGACCCGGATAGCCTGTCCGACTTCGACTCCACAACCAGGAATGGGTCATATTTTCTTATCTGTTATGGAACCGAGCACGATGTGAGTTTCAAAGCGGACGGACTAAACAGAAGAAATTCACCCAATTCATGTTGGATACACGCGATTTTTATTTTCGCTGGGGGTAAGAAAGTATCCCCCAAAGCAACATGTTCGAGTCGCCAACTCCCAACGCGCTCTGGAGAGGGATCAGAGGAGATAAGATCTTTTTGACTCTAGGAGTGTATCGTGATAGGCAGTGGCACGTAATCACACAGCTAGCCACCAGACTTGTTCGGGGATATCTTCTACACACCAAAGCTACATCCTGCGATCATATATAGCAGCGAAGACCCGACTTCTCGTCAATGGATATGGTATTGGGTCTTTCTGTCGGAGATGGGACAGAAGAGCCCACGGAAATCAGGTTTTTACATGTAGGACAGTAAATAAGCTGACGGAAAGTTGATTTTGGTTCATATTGAGCCGTCTGAAAACTAGTTATGAGTGGTCTCTCGAGCAATAACGGCGGAATTATGATGGAGAAAAATATGAAGACCCACTGGGAGATTATTATCGCATAACACAAGCAGATGGAACCAAAATGGCAATGCCACTGGGGGATAAGAGATGCACCTCGTAACTTCCCATTCTTTTCAATATCTGGTACTGTGGTGTTTGCAAGTCTGGAGTTTTGTAAATGCGCAGCTGAAAGATCACACACCAGCATAAGATCTCGGCAGTCGTCCTTGAGAAATGCAGAATGAATAAACTTTCAGGAGGAAATAGAAATATAAGATTTACCTGCGTAATGAAATCCCACAGACCTTCCAAAGAGAAATAATCATTGTTCTGAATGGAATCCCAGATATCCTAGGGACAGAGACAGTGATTGCTGAGTACAAACTGATGAAAGATGTCTCTGCTGAAGTTGAAGATGAGATAACAGTTTTCATCGAGGCATCCACTGGATCACACTTTTCATTGTGACAGAAGATGGAACACACAAATAGATAACAGCAAGGGGTACAAACTTACAAGATGACCGCAGAACTTTTGAGTTTGTGGGTTGATGGCCATAATTGATAATCCTGTGAAGACCAGTTTCGGCTTCCATGGGAGAAGGGAAAATCTCATTCCCATAGTCCATCTTGTGGTTATTTCAAAAGGTCCTGTCTACAAGACATCAATCAGGCTAGATCTTGAATCATGGACTGGCATCCCACAAAATAGGGGTGAAAATGAACTGGACAACTCAGCAAAGATAAAATAGCACGCTTCTGCGGCTAAAAAAAAAAAGCAGCTGTGAATTTGAATATGGTGATTCTGAACTAGAGAAATTCAAAGCCATCATGGGAGGGAGTAAGACAGCAGCTCTTAAAAGTAATGACTGACTCCAATTAGAAATGCGAATGCAAAAGGTATATAAGGGCATCATGAAAGTCATTCATCCTACGTAAAAAATGTAGGTGACTGCAAAGTTAGATAACTCTGCCGGTTCGTATAGCACAGTCAAATTGCTTCAAAAGTGAAAATCAACTGATACAAAAATTGCAAACAACAAGTAACTTTTGGTGTATGATTTGTACAGGTTTCTGACCCTATCCTGTTGTTCTGTTTGAAACGTTCATTCCACACTAAATATGGTAGTAATGTTTCTTTCTTGATCCATCCAACATTTGATGCCGTCAGTCCGTAAATTGACTTCTCTTGACAATCATGCATACTGATTGCTGTATAACTTGAAATTTCATGACAAAGTATGATTTCTAAGTCTTAAATTTAGACAGGAATTAACCAGAATATCCATCCTTGAGGATGGAGAAACAGCTCATAGTTCAATTCTAATACGGTAAAATCCAACTCACCAATTTGACAATCCAAATAATGGTTAGCACGCTTACGCTGGAGTGGTCATTACAAAACAAGATGATGCGGGAAAACTTTTTTTGGGATTTCTACTTGTTATTTTATGTGGACGAAGACATCTTCATGTCACCTACCAACCAAACAAGTGAATTTTCAGTTGAAAGCATGTATACTTGATTAGAGGAAACGACTCATCTTAAGGAGGGGTTAGGGGGGGGTGACTCCCCACAGGCACATTAACCAATTCAGTAAAACGTTTTAAGCAGTCAACGTCATCAAAATCAGTTCAATCCAAGGGATTCGGCTTTCGAGCACACGCAAAACACAACCATCAAGGAGAAATCCACGGCACCTGTTTCACGTAATGAAGTTGGAAGTCCGGGCGGAACAGCAGCTTCAGGAGGGCGATGTTGAAGAGGTAGCCGTCGACAGTGTCGTGGCTGGTGATGGGATCCCTGAACCGGACTCGCTCATCGTACTTCGAACGGTCGATCCCCTGATCGTCGAAAAGGTGGGGAAGGTCCTCATACAGGAACTGCACCAGCTCCTCTACGTCCACCTCTCCTGCTTCCCCCGTCCCCTGCGGCTCATCCTGCCGCGGCCGGATCTTGTCCCCAATGCCGCTGCTCCTCACGGCCCATAGCTCAGGCCTCCTCCAACGCCCAGTGCCGGAAGCCGCCCCCGCAGCACAGGGAATTCGCAACCCGACGAAGGATATTCCGGCGTACGGACGCCGGGGCCTTGACCGGACGGCGAGTGGCCGGAAGACCTCGCCGGATAGCAAGGCTTTCGACATTGGTGGTGCGATTTTATTCTCCCCCACTCGCGCGATATTCCCGCCATTCCCCTCCCCACTCCTCTTATCCCCTTCCTACTTGGAACCCCACAACATAACAACCAGACCAGCCCAATGGACCATCGCCGATCCAGACTGGGCTTTCGTCATAGGGCCCCGAGTAATCGCAAATGGGCCCAACTTCAGTCGACGACCCGAAGACGAACACCCAAAAGGACCCTTCGGCCCGTAATAGACATAATGGGCGCCATTGGGTCCATTTCGGGCCGATGTCCGGCCCAACGTTGATCCAAAATGGGCCGCCTGCTCTTTAATGGACTAGTCTACCGAGAGTTGCCGGCCACGGGATTTGCCAGACGATAATTTCTGAATCGAAAAAACAACCAGAGACCTGTACAATTTCCACGGCATCATCGTCCACTTGGCCGTGGACAGCCGATCGCCGTCCGAGCAACGTTTCGAAGGGGGCAGGGGGAGAAGGGAGGCAAGCGAAGGCGAGGGTGGTGCAGAAAGGAGGAGAGCTCCGGGCTTGCTGCCGCCGCCGCGGCCTCCTCCTCCGTCGAACACCAAAATTTGGAGATTTCCCAAAGGGGAAGAACATCAGGTAACCGCTGCTACTGTCTCTGGGAAAGAACATCAGGCAGCGCTGAGGGGACCAGCCTGGTGATGAAGGGCGAGAGGGCCGCCAGGAGGGCCTTGGGGCACTCCTCGTGGGGGAGATGACCGCACCCGGAGATCGCCACCAGCCTCTGTAACAGGATAGGCGTAGCCGTGAGCCGAGATCAGAGGGTGGGTCGATGTGTGGAGAGGGCGGCGCTTACGGAATTCTCGAACCCAGAGGCCACGGCTTGGGCCGACTTGAGCGTGACGAGCGCGTCCTCGGCGCCGGCTACCATCAGGACCGGCAGGTCCTGGACAGACTTCAGCAGTGCCGCCGCGTTCTGGGGCGAAAGAACGGTGGAGAAGGACAGTCTCCCTATCTCGTGGAGCGCTTCATCCCAGCCCTCCACACATAGCGGGGCCTGCATGCATTTATATGCATGTATAAATAAATGGGGATGTATGAAAGGTCGCTAAGGGCGGCTCGGCTCTGTACCTTGTAGAGGCTCAAGACCTCTGTGGTGAGCTTGGAGACGTCGTACCACGCTCGACGGTTGATGACCTGGGTGATTTCTGTGCGCAAGAGGGGCCGCACCATGTGCTTCTTTCCCAGAGAAGTATGCAAGAGGATGCGGGCGAATGCAGGGACCACCTCTCTGGATAAGCTGACACTGAGCAGCACCACCCCCTTGACTTTGACCTGAGAAAAGCTGCCAGTGTAAGAAGAGAGCAGATGGAGGAGGTGGCCCCGAGATTCCCTCAGAGACATTGATGCAGACTGTCGGCGAAAATAAAGTCATCTGAGGAGCCAACATGATGATGATGGCGTACCAACTTTACTCCGTTCTGATTATATTCACAGGCATCTATGACCAAAACCTATCTGAAAAATCTGTATCAAACTGACACTTGCGAAGGTGTTTCAGAAAAAACCTCTCGAAATTAACCTTGGAACACGTCACATGATGCCTTATAACTGCGAAAGAAGCACTTGTTATGCCCGCGTGAAAGTGAGGGTATCAAGCATATTTAGAGGGATAAGTTCATTGATCTTAAGAAGACTGGTTTTTTATTTATTAAACACCCAGAGAGATCAAGTGTATTCCAATATTAAACATTTTCAGTGATATTCATCCGCAGAGATTGTTCTGTTCATAACTTTCTTAACTAGGAACGTTGTTTACAAATGTACAAACCAATGAAAGTATGTAAATTTATTCATTTTTTGAATAAAGATCCCAGAATAATGGTCAAGGCTGCAGAGCCAGGCTATCAAAGTGTTATAGTGAGCTGGGTAAGTGTCTATTAGCACTGGTCAACTAGGCACCCAAACCCTTAACCCATTCACTCAACACGAAGAAATATGCCTCATTGTGTCTGGTAGAATAATTGACTGTGAGTCGAAGTCACTTACGTTGAATGTCCCAGATATACGCAATTTTTCTGCAGCTTTTAGAACTAGTATCCCACCGTCATCGTGACCAACAAGAACCACCGAGGAGAAGCCCAACGCAGTGCAGAAAGACAGAAGAAGATCGACCTGTTGTAACCACATAGAAAATTCGATCTCCTAACTAGGCCTTTAACTAAGCATAAATGGAATAAAATGGAACTGTGTTGCATGTTATGACCAAAAAAAAAAAAAAAGAAAAACCTTCAATTGAACTGTTTTGGGACAATGATTTGAAAAACACAATAAAATTCAATGAAATTTTAAGATCTACATCAAAATGTCACATTTCAATACATCACATCAAAGCATTCAACAGTGTTGTTCGAATCTATTGTACTGTCTGCATTTCAATTAAAGATTGAGCAACATTCAGCACTATTTCAGAGCCAAATGTAGTATGAAATGGTATGATATCTTAGGATCTTTATACATCAAACGGTCACTATGACAAACTAAGATGAATAAGAAATTATGTCCTACTCGTATGAATCGTAATAGCCAAATTAGTACTGTTAAAAAATATAAAATAAAGTGCAGCCTATTAGCTTTAATACGATATGATGCCTAAATTTGATAGTAAGGAGAGAAAGAAATTTGGATGAAAATGCCCACTTTAATCCTGATTATGAATGAATCACCAAGGATATTTTGGAGGTAACTATCATTGGAATAATAATTCTTCTATATCAGATTTATCTATTACGATTCTGATTAGGAAGAGAGGCACAACTTTAAACGTTTGGACAAGAGTGCTATATTTCAGTATGTGACAGGTGTAAGATTATTTCCATATATCCAGACTTCTTGTTCAAGCAGAAACGTTGTTGAACTTTTTTGTACAAACGACCATAAAGTGTCAAATATAACGTTTTCTTTTGTGTTCTCTGCATTAGAACTAGGAAAAGAGATAGCCCAAAGAATAGAAGAATATTGTTACACAGGGCGGAGGAGTCACCTGGGATTCCATTTTATACGGGTTGGGTAATTGCTTCTCCTCCCAGTCCTTTCTGCGGGGTCGAGAAGTTAATCCCCAGCCAGGACGATCAAAAGCCACTACAGTGCAACCAATCTGCCGAGCAAGAGCACCCATCACATGTCTCCATGAGAACACACCACCTCCAAATCCATGAACCAACACAACACCAAACTTCCCACCTTGCTCAGTGTCTGTTTCTAAACTTGGAGAATTAGGCAAACACGTCTCAGAATTGTGGTTATCCAAGCTTGGAGAAGGAACTTCATCAGAAAAAAAATTGGGAGAGGTAGCTAAGCCAGACAATAGAGGTGCATAAAGGGAAGAATGGTGGAATTGGTTGCTAAAACTCCTAGAAATATGATGCTGATTTTTTGATGGAATATTGATGGGCCTATCAACTTTAAGTTTTCCAGATGAAGCACGTCGGGGGCTACAGTTGGGGCTACATTCTGAAAACGGGGAAGAAGATAATGTATGAGACATTGGAGATTCGATGCTGCTGATCTTGTAATGCAGCGTGAGGCCTTGACATATAAGGAACAAACTATCAGCGTCCGCAAGTAAACTGATCGAGATATTAGTTTCCTCCCAAACCACGCTTCTTTTTGTTTCACCATCAATCCTGGAGACTTTACCAGAGGAAGGAGTGGGAGATCGAGGAACCTTGCCATACCCTGAGAAAACATTCTTGCAGACCAAAATCTGTAGCAGATAAAGGAAGGAAGAGATGTAAAAACTTCCAAGTTTTCTCAGTTTCAAAAATTCTGAGGTATACGATTCGGTGAAACTCACAGCTTCTGGATCGATCCTGTGGAGTAACAATTTTCTTCGTGCCCGGCAGCTAGTGCGGTAGGCAACCATGACATGACCAAGAGCAAAAACTATGGAGAAAATAAACATAACTGGCAAACACCACGCTTTATTCGTATACGACGTCTGCCGCACCAATGGAGATGTATCTTGTCGTTCTACTTCGAGAAGAGGAGAAAAGACACAAGCCTTCACTGACAAGATAATTATGGATGCAATAGAGCAGACTGTTGCTATTCCGAGATAAGGACCATGAGAAAGCCCAGGACCATCACAAAATGAATAAACACCTGCAATCAAATATGACGCCAAGAAACGAAGGATTTTCATCACTTTGTTCATGAACTAGAGTATACTACATTTTAAGATCAACACCTGAAGTAAAGTTAAAAATATTACTTTAAAATATACATTTACTCCTTTTCTCTGTGGTAGGAACGTCAGAAATAAAAGAAATAGTTCATAATTCAATCCTAAATCACTCCCATATAGAAAACAATGATTCTAAATGAACTAGCGAAGAATAACTCTCTAACAGCACAAGAGTTGCAGTTATATTCAACCCCCTGGTTAAAGTAATTAGCTGAGATACAAACATCCGAAAGAAAGTGAAATCACCGATGAATGGAAAAATATAATCGGGAAAAGAAGACAGCACGAACTTGTAGAAGAGAAATATACAAGGACATGTCACGGAAGCAGGATGTTTTCGAAGTCCGTAAGGAATTCACATTTGAACCCCAAAGACGTCATACTTGAAAGAACGGGTCCCCCTTTTGTCGAAGTAAAAACAAGGATAACAGTTCTCAAGTCGGATACTATTATTCTCCTTTCAAAACATTTTCCGTCGCTCTGAAAAAAAATAAGCTGTTATATTCTCGTTCGGATTAAAATATCTGCAAATGAATATAAGCAGAGTAATTGTAGTCGCGAATAAATCATTGGTATGAAAAGAGAAATAAAACTTGAATTTTACTCCATTTTTTTTACTGCAGAAATTGAAAATTTACGGTCATATGTCTTTTGTTTCAGGCGATCCCCACGATGCTTAAAATGGAAACTGTTTCTCCGAAAAAAAATCTTTACGCACGTCTGCAGCGCAAGTGTTACCGAAGGTTCCGTAGTCGTTGCAGAAGAAAAAGGAACAACGGAGAAAGAAATCTTTTATATAGATTGATCAAAAAAACGGGGAAAGATTCCTCACATGTTATAACAAGAGATCTGATGACGGAGATGAGAGATATATCCATGAGCGAGCTCCTGAACGAGTATTTGTTCAACAGCCCCCTAAGGCCGTGGCAGCCCGCGCAGGCAAACTTCAAGGCCAATACCAGCGATCCCACTGTGTCCCCCACCGCAACGAGCACCGGCGCGGACAGCACCAGCAACGATGCCACTAGAGTGATCATGAAGAAGATAATGCGAAACGCACGCCACAACCTCTCCAGATTCCCTTTCCCTGCCGCCATTTTCGTTAAGGAGGACTCGCAACCCCCTTATCCCCCGGCGATCAACGCCGGGGACTCCGTTCTGCTCACGGTATTTCCTCCCGTTAATCAGGAAGATAATCTATTAGATGTCAGCAACCGCATAGGCGGCGGAGGAACTGGCAAAGCAGAAGGCAAGCCCCGCGCCCCCGGTTCGTTCGTCGAAGTGTCCGATTGTTGCGTCGACGTTGTCGTCCTCTCCATGGCCGTGCGAATTCCCCTAGACTAGGCGCTGGATCCAACCAGCGGCGCCTCCTGTCATGCCCGCTCCCCGGCGACTACCTGCTCCTGCAAGGTTAGGGCTTGCAGAAAGGAGCGAGGGATCGGAATGAAACGAACGCCAGAGAGGGAATCGAGGAGCAACAATTAGCAGCCGAAAGACCTCAAAGATAGAGAGGTAGAGAGAGAGAGAGAGAGAGCGAGGGTTGGGGGGAGGGCGGTATGGCCGATGAAGGATCGTTTTATTCTGCAAGAAAGGTCGTAAATTCTGACTTCTCCCCGCCGATTTCTCGTCATATCGCGGGGGTTAGCGAGAGGCGAATGCCGTTAACATCAATTTATCGCCGCCCTGACATAATTACAACTGTTAGCGACCTGTCGCCGTATATAATTTACTTAATTACTCCTAATACACTCCAACGGTCGAATCTTTGTGCGCGGCGCGGTCCCCTGCGCCGATTCGCTTGCAGACCTGGGGTCCAGATATCTGATCCAATCTCAGCCGTCCGATCCCACGGGGCTCAGAAGCCGCCTCACCCTCCCTGTCCTTTTCGAGGTGGTAGGCCATCTCGGTCTGCGATTAACGTGAGGCGACAGAGATCCGCGTAGGAGGGGCGGGCCCCACTATGCAGGTCTGTATCGATGCGGACGGACCTCCCCGCGTACGTACGTACCTAGGTGGAGTCGAGTCCCTCCACTGTGAAAACGCGAAAGGAAAAGACGAGGTACCGGCTCGAGCGGCTGCTAGTTGCTGGACACGCACCCCGTGTGTTCCGGGAGGCGACCTCCACGTGTGTGGAACTATCCTGGCGCGCTTACCTCTTCCCCGGAATTCAAATCCGCGGTTTTACCTCGCCAACTTCATCACTGGGAAGGGGCCCACAGGTGAGAGACCATACCGTCAGAAACGAGCGGATCTTTTTGTTGCAGGGATATGGGAGATAATGACGTGGCAGTCCCTCAATGGAGCTGCTGAGAGAGTGTCTTAACCTGCCAACGAGACCTATGTCGACGAGGCGCACCGAATCTGAGCCCGTCAGGAGTGGGCCCACAAACCTATGTTAGAGTCGGCGAGAGAGAGAGATCACGTGGGACGTGTCGAGGAGTGCAAGGGGCAGCTGCTGCAGAGACATACGGACACGGGGATAGAAAACGTCACCGCGAGATGACTCGGGGCCGCCGTGATTGGCCAGCCCGAGTCACATCGAGTGACCCGGCATCTGTCGACTCGCTGCTGCTCCGTCTGGTCTGGTTCTTTCAACAGGGCCCCAAGTCTTCATTCTCCCCCAGAAGGCTCCTACTCAGCCGCCACGCTGTATATTGTTTTTCCTCGATATGTGGGGAGATGATTGGAGGGAGACTAATGAGAAAGCGGCGGCGCCGATCGGCACACGGAGTCTACGCGGAGGCCGCGGGGGGAAAGTTTTCTCCTTTTGGCTGCCCCGCCGTCGTCCCCGCCGCGGGTCTTCGGCAAGTTGTCACGGCGGTTCACTCTCCAGTGGGAATATCAAATCACCTTCGAACCCCGTCGCGGTCGTCTTTCGTAAAGCGGGCGTAATCCGCTCCCTTATCCGGCGAGAAATGCGTGCCGCAGACAAGGAGAGGGGTGGAGAGGGGAGGCGGGGGGAAAGAAATGGGATTATATCTTTTCTTCTTTCTCGACGATCTTTGAGAGAGAAGTAGTGCGGAGACGATGAATTGAGACTATGATATTTATTATCTGATATCACTTCACGACCCGGAAAACGACGGCCGCCAGCGCGGACAAGGAGATGCAGAAAGCACGGTACTCGTCGTCTCTCTCCCCCTGCAATGATGCGTAAATTATTAGGCCCGGACGATGAAGATCGACCCCCCCGCCAAAGAAACTGCAGCTTTGTTCCTCGACGAACGAGAATATCTGAATCTTTCTCTCTCTCTCTGCCGCGTCATGGCGAGAGGCTTCCTCCGACAGTGAAGCGTTCGATGGGCCGCCCACTGGGCCCGGGGGCGACGGGGAGACCGACGACGGAATTCGCCGTCAGACTCGGGAAAATCTCGAAGGGAATCCCCTCCACTGGTGGCGCCCAGTTCCGCCGCTGTTCGTCGGAGAAGACGACACCCCCATCGGTCTACTTGCCGATCTTATCTGACCGCTGTTGCAGAATCTGTCGCGGAGATTTCAGCCCAGCGGCGCCCCATGTGCCTGGTGCTCCCTGCCCCTCCAACAGAGAGAGCCTCCTCCGCACCCACCCATCAGTTCCTCTTCTCTGCCCTTCTCTCCCTACCATTCTCTACCTTCTACGTCGGAGATTTCCTCAAGAATCAGCACATCAAGGAGGAAAAAAAAATCTGAAAACTTTATTATTATTATTTAAATCATCTTTTATGTTGGGTTAAATACTTTAACCCTAACAATGAAATTACAAAATTGTCATTAATAAAAGAAATTGGGATAAACCCATTATGACTTCAACACTCCCCCACAAGTCGCAGCATGGAGATCTTACATGCTCTGCTTGAAATGAATATCAAATAGTCAGGAACGGCGAAGGTGAAGATATCTACTAGTTGGTCCTCGAGTAGAGATATGTAGAGTAGAAATCTCGCCGACTAAGACATCATCTGTAATAAAGTGACAATCTACCTAAATATGTTTTATTACACTCATGATATGCCGAATTACTAGCAATGAAGATGATAACCTCATTGTCGTGATACATGGGCACTGGTAGCAAAGTAGAATAACTAAAATCATGGAGAGTTGAGAGAACCCATAAAAAATTACAAGCAGTATGAGCCATGGCTCTATATTCTGGCTCACCACTTGATCGAAAAACAACAGTGATGCGGGATGACGCGCTTGGTCGGGCTTAATGAGCCTGACTAGGGTCATTTGACATAGGACAATCTACTGATGGACTTGGTGGGTCTGACTGTGGTAAGAGTTGGGCTTGATGATTATTTAATGGGCTGTGAGAAGGGAGTAATCCTAGGAATTATAAGCTTATTGGGGCATTGAACTTGAGTGGCTGGGCTGGTGGTCTGGTGGGCTGGGTTGGTGGTCCTGGTGGCTAGGTCGCTGGTTTTAGGTAGCCTGAGTCGGGTGGTCCAGATGGCTGACGGCGGCTGCAGCGACCGAGCGGTGGCGGCAGAGGCATCGTCAGTGAAGGCTGGAGGAGGAGGAAGCGACGCTGGCAGGAGCCACCACAGGGATGGACATTGAGGACTCGGCCTCGGCGGAGTGGCGGTGGAGGCGGTGCCGTCTGGCGACTCAGAGGAGGCAGCGACGACGCAGGTGGCGACGTCCGGCAATTGAGAAGGCGCAGGTGACGATGCCTCTGTCACCACTGCTCACTTGTCGCCGCCAGCCATCCGGACCACACGACCTAGCCCACTGATCCACCTGATCCACCGGCCTAGTCACCAAAACCACCGACCCAGCCTACTAGACCACCAGCCCAGCCACTCCGGTTCACCAGCCCAATAAGCTTATAATTTCTAGGATCACTCCCTTCTCACAGCCCATTAAATAAACATCAAGCCCAACTCTTACCACAAAGTCAGGCCCACTAAGACCGTCAGTACGTTGTCCTGCGTCAAATGACCCTAGTCAGGCCTATTAAGCCCAACCTAGCAGGTTGTCCCGCATCAGTTACATTCTACAACCTCATTTTGTTGAGAAGTTTTAAGACAAGTAGTTTGATGCAATACACCCTATAGAAGAAAAGAATGTTGATACCTTATTATTAATAAACTCAAATATATTATCGCTTCTTAAGACATTAATAGTAAATAAATATTTCTCTACAGAAAAAATGAATAATATGCATATTGTCGAATTTTCTTTTATTATATAAACCCAAGTTACTCTATAACACTAATCAATAAAAACTAAGAAATATCTAAAACCTCATAAGCTCTGAATCCTACAAGGACCCTATGGAGCAGAATGTACTAAGTCAAAAAGAATTTATTCTCTTTTATTATCTATGAAAGGAAAAGAAGATCTATAAGATTTTCCAAGTTGACAGGTTTCATATTGAAAAGTTTCAAGAATAGATAGAATCAAGAATTGTCAACGAAGTATCGTCATGTTAGGATGGCCAACTAGTGATGTAGCTTGAGTGATGAGGTGTGGGTGACAACAAAAGATGTTGAAGGCTGGGATGATAGGCTCAATACATTTTTAGCTAATCAAAGAGACAATAGTGGAGAGTACATACTAAGATTTCTTCATAGAAGTATCATGCTCATGTTGTCAAAGTCAATCATACTCCTCTCTAGAGATAGTGACTTCTATTGATTCTTCTATATTGGTAGATATATGATTAGCTAGTGGTGCTGACTATCGATTAGGATATCCATATTTAACCCAACATCAATCTATAATGTGATTCATTATCTGATAATGTTCACATAATAAAGTTCCTCATCCATGGCCTCGATCAATATTTGTAGATTAACATATTTTCCCTTTGCTCGTGGGTTCTCATCTACCTCATCTTCTAGTTGTCATCATGGCAAACAACTTTAATTGAGAGGTAGAGCTTGGTAGCTCAAGTCTAGCTAGATGTGCATATATCTAGGTTTGAGTAAGAATTTATTCAGGAGTCATCATCTAATCTTTATACTTTGGCTTGAGAGTAATAAAAAATTGTAGAGATTGAATAGGTTCCATGTGCTTAGACATTTGCATAATACTCAACGTAATTGGATGATGTGTTATACTTAGCCCATAAAGCTGTAAGTGTTCCATAATAATCTCAAAAAATCATTGTCCCCTTTTTGAAAGTTTGAATATCTTAGAGTTCTTGGTAAAGATGAGATATATTTATTTGTGATAGAGAAGTTCATTATTGCTTTCCATATCTCTTTGACATACTCGTATGAAGAAATTTACATGTTAGTATATTTCATACTATTTAACATGCATGCATGTAATTATTCAATTATAGTCAGCTTCCTAATCATTAGCCTTAACATCTTGCACATCACTAGGAAGGATATATTTTTTCTTATGTGCTCCTACAAACCATTCAAAGTCAGTGTCTAATTTAATACTAATTCCATGTGAGAAGAAGTGCTTGCGGTACATTTATACTCCACATAGTTGTTTGATAGATCTTCTTTGTGCTCCATTGATATATGGTTTGTAAGGATAAAAGTGTCAAAAGCTCTTAGTTAAATGATCAGATCGTTGACTTTTTTATATTGACTTTGTAATGTTGACCAGTAACCATTTGATGTTGACTATGTGGTGGTTGACTGTTGACTACTTATTGATGGGGGGGGGGGGGCAATCTAATATATCCTCACTCATGCCCATATATGGTTGAGACACTAGGTTAAAATAAAATTGGATGTACTGATTCAATAAACCACCAAAGGCTCTAAGGCCATCATAACCAAGATGACAAATTACAGCAAGAAGTTGATGATTTTGGAAAACTCACATATCCAAATGAAGATATATGAGATAAAAATACTACTTATGATCTGAATGAGAGACTAGTAACCAAATCTGATGAGATTTACTAGAAAGAATCACTGCGAGAGATGATGTCCCAAAATTTCTAAAAAATAATTAATCCAACAAGATTTATACTAGATGAAAGATATAACTCCAGATCCTGTAAATAGATCAAATTCTGATACTATATGACTGAAAAATCATCACCTGAAATGATTCTTTTGGTCAAATATTGCAGAAAAATGAAGAATCCAGCATAACTCATGATCTTCAACGAAATCTTTTGAACAATATGATAATCTCCTCCACTCTTAATGATTCTTGATGAATATATTGATTTTTGGAGATTCCAAATCTTCTTGATGTGATACCATGTGAAATTTCCTCAAAGAATCAACAGATTGAGAGATATTGAGGAGAGAAGCTTGAGAGGAGAGACAATCTAAAAACTCCATTATTCCTAAAAAATCATCTTTTACGTCGGGTTAAATACTTTAACCCTAATAGATAAATTACAAAAAAGTACATTACCAAAAGAAAATGGGCCAAGCCGATTATGACTTTAACACTATCAGCCACAGGGACTACTGGGAGTGGCCGGTACAATTAGGATGATCCATCCACACGGGCCCATTTAGAATGAAGCTCGAGGCGTTAAATACCCGGGTCCATCGGACGGTTGGGATTAAAAAGATGGGTGAGGAGTAGTCAAAAATTGACGATGGATGGAAAGAAAGATGGGTGGGGGAACGGCGGGCCACGTCGGTGTGTAAGTGGGCGGGCCGATTGGATAGCTGTCCTACCGGCTGCGGGCCCAACCCAATACTATTGGCCCACTAACTCTCCCAGCCACTCTCTGCGCGCTGCCTGGCCACAGACCGCTCATCCTGACCGCCTTTTCTCGCGCCTTCCACGGTGGAAGAGAACCTACTTGGCTCCGACGTGGGGGTGAGAGGTCTGACTTGGCGCGCCACGTTCCCGGCTGCCCGCCGGGGCACGCCCCTGGCAGCGCAACCGCACGCGCCACACGTGGCGGCCCTGCGCCGCAACGGGGCTTCCACATTGGCCCTCCGCTTCATAAACACCGCCGCCGTCTCTCCCTTCGTTTCTCACCCCCGGCGGCTGCACTGCGCGCGGAGAGGAATCTACGGAGATGGTTCCAACTGCGAAGGCGAAGATCTTCTGGTGCGACGACCATGTCGGCGGCGAGAAGCGCTCACACTATCGTACGCCCGCGCGGTCGTCGAGGAGGGAAGGGGACGACGACGACGACGACGACTACGACTGCGCGCCGGCTGCGTAGGCAGAGGGCGGCCCCCGTGACGGCGGCGGCGGCGAGGCTTGTGCTTCTCGCTCTCGGAGTGTTGTAGTACTAGTAGTGGTAGTAGCCATCCGCCTCCTGGGGGTTGGGGACTAACACGAGACACGAGTTCCGAATTTTATTCGAGGCCATTGGTTGACCTTCAGTTTTTTCTTACTAAATTATCTTGGAATTTATAAAACTACGTCGTTAATCGCACGTGGGCATGCTTTTCCACGCACTTATCAGGACGGAAAAGGCGTCGAAACTCGGACTGTGTGATGACGAAACCCTGGTCAAATGGTCAGTGTTGGAGAGGGCTGGATTGCTGACTTGATCAACGCGCCTATCTGTCAAGGTGGGATCATCACCGGTGACGTCTCTGTCGCCGTGGCGTGGGTGGGAGGGTGATCTTCCCTGCCCCCCACCCCTCTCTCTCTCGCTTTTCATCTCCAATTGAGCGGGGGAAGAGTTTTCTTCCTGGGCTCAGTTCGCCGTGTTCTCCCTTTCAAATCGGAGCGGTCAACGTTGGAGAATAATTTTTTGTTCTGCGTGGTGGGTAAATGGGCTAAGGCGGGCCTTCAAAGTGAGAATGAAGGTTACGGTAAATATTAAACCAATTAGTAGAGGCGGATGGATTAATGACGTCATTATTCACGCCGTACTAGGAAGGCAGGTCCAACCGCACGCCGTTGACGGGAACGGATGGATAACGAGTTTCGGACCCAGCAATGTGCTCACAAGGAGTAAACGCCATCCATTCAGACATCGCGGTAGACCAGACCAAAAAAAGACAATGCCGAGGATCACCGTCAGATCCTTCTGGTACACCCAATCAAGAGCAGTAGTCGTCTTCCACCTACCCACTTCGGCTAAGCTCCGCCGCTGCCGCCGTGCCTCTCCGTCCGCTCGTCAATCCAGGCGCGCATGTCGGCCAGGACGCGGCTGCTGTTCTCCTCGGGCTCCCCCTGGATCAGCGAATGGTACATGCCCTCGTAGAGCCTCACCGACTTGTCGATGCTGCTCGCCCGCTCGTACAGGAGGGACGAGCTCGCCGGAGACGTCACGCCGTCGTCGGTCCCGTGGACGGTCAGGAACGGCAACTCGACGTCGGCGAAGCGGCTCTGGATGTACTCGCATACCCGCGCCAGTTCCCTCATGGTCCCCACGCGCGGCTTGCCCGTGTACCGCCGGGGATTGGAGGCGATGATCTTGAGCTTTTCCCGATCCTTGATGGCCTTCCCCACCATCTTGTTGTCTGGCATCGCCGCCCAGGTGTCCGCCGTACCGAAGAGGAGCCCGTAGAGAAACAGCCGCCACCGGGAGGGCTTCATGTCCTCCGGCATGACGAAGAGAGGAGCCGAGAAGATGAGGCCCGTCCAGGGGCAGCCGCCGGGGAGATCCTTGGACTGGAAGTACATGAGCATGGTGGCGGCGCCGCCCATGGACTCTCCGAAGAGGAAGGCCGGAAGATCCTCGAAGGGCTTGCTGCGTCGAGTGTGGAGGAAGAAGGACAGCGAGGCGGCGGCCACGCCCTCCATATCGCCGAGGTAGCAGCGGATCCCGTCCGATCGGCCATGGCCGAGCAGGTCGGCGCAGAAGACGGTGTAGCCCCAGCGGGCGTAGGAGATGGCGATCTTCTGGAACAGCCAGCCGCTGTCGGAGCCGTAGCCGTGGGTCATGTACACAGAGGCCTTGACTGGGAGCAGCTTCCCATCGGCCCCGACGGGCTCGAAGGACTGGGTGAAGAGCCGGTGGCCCTGCGGAGTGGTGAAGTAGGACTGCCGATTGCGCACGCCCTGGGACGCGTAGTACTCGTCCTCCGGCATGTCGCCCCAGAAATTCTTTGCGACCGTCGGCGGCGCCGCGGGGGCGTCGGCGGCGGGCTGGCTCTCGACGGACGGCATCTTGGCGGCGGATCAAAACACGATCGACGAGGGGGAGGCGGCGGCGGAGGGTGAGAGTCGGGCCGGGGGGAGGGGGGGGGCGTTTAAAAGAGAGGCCAGGATGCATCCCTTCCTTACATCCGCGGTTGGTGAGGATCATTATCGTAAATCACCCTGCCCACCAACCCCGCCCCGGGTTGTTGATTCTGGAGCAACAAACCATGTTAAACGGAGCTTCACAACCTACTCCAAGTTGTAAGCTGTGGGCCCCACATCCACCGCACCGCCGCTCTCGCTACAAGGCCCGCTCTCTCTCTCTCCCCTCGCTTCCATCTGTCGTCGGAGTAGGTGGAGTTGGCGGCGACTCTCAACTGGAGGCCCCACATGACCCGAACGACCGCCACAGCCTACTGGCCCCATTAGAAGAATCCTCTCTCACTCTCTCTCTCTCTCTCCACCCCCCACCCCCGCTTTCCACCTCTTGTCTGTGGCATGGTAGGTGGGCGACTCTGTCAAGTGGGCCCACACATCAACCTCCACGACCACCGCAGCCTACGACCGCCGCCGCAGTTTATTCTAAATGAAGAAAATAACAATTGAAGCCCATAAACCATAGCAGGATTATATGAAGATTAAAGAAAATAATGAGGAATTTCGTGAAGATCAGTAATTTTTCCGCAACATCTATTGTTGACCTTCAACTAACTAATTTGTTGACCATTGACTGATGACACGACGAAAGTTTTGAACATTGACTAACTGACCAGGTCGATTGGTGGAGCGGCTCGAACCAGGCGAGGCGAGCTGGAGCGGACCAGGCGGCCCCGAGTGGCTCGGGGCGTTGACACGGTCTGGCGTGGACCAGGTGGTCCTGAATGATTCAGACCGCTGACACGGTCTGATGCGGATCCGGTGGTTCAGAGTGGCCGAACACGCGACGCTGGGTCGTCCGGGCCAGACGGATCCGGTTTAACGAACCAGCGGGTTTTAACCATAACTGCCAGGACGAAAAAGGCCCTCGTCCAGAAAAAGGGAAAGGAGACGACGGCGGCGGAGAGAGGGAAGGTGGCGGCGGAGGTGGCACTGAGGGCAGAGGCGGGGATGGAGGAGACGGCGGTGGCAGACGGCGACGATCTTCAACGGTTGCAGCGGGCGACATCGACGGAGAGAGGCGAGATGTGGCTACGGCTAAGGCGGTGATGGCGAGTGGTAAGCCGGTACCGAAGAGAGGGAAGTCTGCAGAGGTGGGAGACAACGAGAGGCAAACCGGCGACTGAAAAGGGGAAAAGATGTTCCAGAGGGGGAGAAGAAGCTTCAGATCGGGAGAGGTTGGAGAAGTGGAAGAAGAGGGCGAGAAGAAGCTCCAGACCGGGAGCGACGGGGTCCTCCGACCAACCCAAGCCGGGGCGACAGTGAAATTTAAGGAAAACGGACTTAGTAGAAGATGAACTCGCCCGTTTCAGGCGTTTGTGGCGGCGACATGAGAGGCGGAAGGTTTGAGTCATCGGCGAGATCCACGTCCTCCACGTCGCTCGTCTCCAGCTCTCCGTCTTGACCGGCTTCACGTTCTTTAGTCGATGGTGAGTTGGATCATGCTGCATCAATGCCTCTGCCGAAGCTCTCTGCAGTGCTCTGGGGCGGCGGCTGTTGGATAAAGCATCTGCCGTCGGGGAGAGGCAGCCCCTGCTTAATCCGTCCCATGCGCCGCGCGTTTAACACCTGCTTCGAGACGACTGGAAGCCGGATCGACTGGTACTGCTCCAAAGCGGAGGTCAAGTTCTCCGGTCCCCAGGTCTCCAGGCAGCAGCCGAGTGCTCCGGCGTCCGAGATCGACATGTTCGTGCTCCTCAAGCCGTGGGGGGACGTGGGGTGAGCTGCGTCCCCCACCAGCACCACGTTGCCCCAGCACAGCCGAGGTAAGGGATCGCTGTCGTATATCACGTTGATGAATGGCTCCTTGGTCTCCTTCATGATCTTTGCCAGTTCAGGGAGCCAGATTACCTCCGCATCGTTGTGCATTTTCTCTACTATGTCGTCCGAAATCTTCATGGTCACCGAATTCCCCTGCCAAGAGAGTTCACCTCGGATGACCTTACAGGTCGCGAGAAATTCTCGGCCAGAAGAGGGAGTTAAATTATCATATCGTCGAGAACATCAGAGTCGAGGTGCTAATCTCTCCGCTATAATTGATAAGAATGATCAATAGAACCCTACGGGTATTATCGACGGAAGCGGATTTCTACTGTGATGCCATCTATGAAGAAAAAGTTCTGAAATTTGTTTTTTTTAATGTATTAAATGGCATATTTACCTTTAGTTTCGGTTCGGGCTGGTTGTTGTACCAAATCCAATTGATCTTCTTGTTCTTGAGCTCGTAAAGCACGCAGTGAGTTTTGTTGGCCAGATCGAAGTACAGGCAATGCCCAAGTTCTTGATAAGCCCGGCGAAGTCCAGTGATCGTCTCGGAGTCTTCTTTCCCTGAAAAGTCTAGGACTCCTCTCCATGCAGTGTACCCCGAGTACCTGCATTATGAAGCAAAATCATTCAGCCGAAGCTAGCAGAAATCTTTGAAACAGGGATCAAAGTGGCGGATCTTTCAGCCCCTTATCGCCGTGGAGGAAAAATCGGGCTATTTGGGGGAGCTGGAGTTGGTAAAACAGTACTCGTGATAGAATTTAATCGACTGCACTGCTAAACTTGTTGAAGAGATGAGATAGAACCAGAGTCCATCATTCTGATCGAACAAGTATTACTTTAAGATCAGGATTTCGATATCACGGGACCCATTATTTTCCTACACATAGAATCAAAGATTATTAAGAGGACACGAGGACTCTTTGATTCCAAACCAGAGCGGAGGAAAGTCTATGAGTCTGGAATGAATCAACGGAAAATCTGGTTGAGGAGTAATTATATCTATAATTAGTCGAAAAGTCAATGGGTCTAGAGTAGGACACAGAATTGTTCGTGGTGGAAAAATGAGGGGGTGACAAGGCGAACTGCAGGTCCTATTGCCACAGAAAATCACAGCTCTACCGGGGAGATTTTTTTCAGCTTTCTGAGAGCTCCATTTTCCCTGGGATTTTCGAATCCTGAGCCAGGATTTATGAGAACAAAGAAGAATGACCCGTCGGTGCCCAACCTGAGTTTAAAATCAGGCATGAATTGCCGGCGAACAGATGACAGACAACCGTCCGCAGCCACTAGAAGATTCGCAGATATTTCCACAATCTCGCCTGTGCTCAGAACTCGGGCATCAATCCTGACAGTGGATGCATCTTCTGAAGAATGGCAGCGGAGGAACAGATGGCCCCAGAGGACGATACCAGGAGGGAGAGCTCCGTGAAGCAGAGAATAGAGATCGGCCCAGTGGGCGGCTCTGAATCCAAAGTCGTCGTCTCTAGCCAGCGTCCAGCTGATCTTCTTCTCACTGTCTATCGCTCGGTTCTGGGGATTCGCCGATTCAGTAAGACAAGCTGAGGAGGAAGCAAAGCCGTAGTTCGAAAAGGCTATGGAGGGTTTTGAGTGTCACCATGTCGATGGAGAGTGGCAACGTCCCATCGTCTACGAGCTCCGGCGAAATCCACCGGCAGAGGAGCTCCTGGGCCTCCCGGTCGAGGCCTAAACCCGCCCCATTTGGGATGCCCGACGGTGGGCTTCCGGTTTTCTCGACCACCGTGACCTCCCAGCCTGCGGAAAGCAAGGCGTGGGCGCAGGACAGGCCTGCTATGCTGCCGCCGACCACAACCACCACCTTCGGACGACCAGCTTGAGTGGGGAGATGGGTAGTAGCTACCCGCTTCAGGGCCATCTCTCTCTCTCTCTCTCTCTACACCTATGGATAGCTATCTGTATCTCTCACTTCGACCACCTGAAAAGGTGGATGTCTTTAAGCGTTGACGTGGGCGATCACTGTCCTTTGATCGAAGCAAAGGGAGGAGCGGAACGACCGGATCGATGCATCCCAACGGTTTTTTCGCAATTACCTTCACCTGCAACTCATCAAGACGCGATGAGCTCCTCATGGTTTAAGTATCTGGGGGGATCGGACTTCAGGGTGTTCTCAGATCAATTAATGGGAAAACGGAGTTGTGGATCATATGAATATGGGCTGGTTGGGCTCGAGTTGAATGGCCGAAAATCCTCCTCGGTCGGACTTGGATTGTTCTTTGGCTGGAGTTCAAAAAAGAAGTTTGACCAAGTGGGCTGAATCGGGTCAACGTTCTGGGCTAACCCATTCGTGGATCGAGCCCAGGTAGGGGTCCTTTGAGAGGAACTTGAATGGAGGTATCGGCTTCTCGGTCGTATTCTCCCCCGTTCTTCTGTGCCTCGGCCGTCCCTCGTTCTTCCTGTTACCCTCCACAGGCGGCAGCCAGTTCCTGTCTCGGCTATTTGCGCGTTTCAGGCTTCGGTCGAGTTGTGGGTTCGCGCGGCGGCGGAAGTCTCCCACCGACCGGTGACCTTCCACTCCTAGGACGCTGCATCACCTATTCGCCCCGTCAACAGCGCCGTCACAGTGGCGACATGGCCGCGGATGCACGGCCGGCTAAGGGATGGGGTGGACCTCCGGGTACTGTTTCTCTCGAGATTAATCTCCTTTCCTTTCCTCTGGATTATTCATCATTTTGATTCTGATGGGGCTCATTCTCTACCTCCCGTCTGTGCTTCCCCCAATCACCACAGGTCCTGGGCATTCCAAACTGGGGCTCGGTGGGCAAACAACCAAGTGCTTCCTGCTTTGGCCTGTCAGATGACGAGTGATTTTATGCTAATGTGGTATGCATGCTATTGATGAAGGTGCAGTTTTAAATTGCCCCTACAGGCTCATCTTCTGAGGTCATGAGAAGATTCATCGGGAAGCTTTACCCTCTTCAACGCCAGTGTTTTACAGAATGGTCGCTACATGGATCATCTCTGTACTTATTACCGCGGGCATTATTCTGTCAGACGAGTGCCGGACTGGTCGACCTTGATCCATCAATCGTAGCAGACGTCAATGATATATGCAGGGTATTGAGTGATTTTCGCGGTCCCCACCATGATATAGAGTCTGCTCTCCGTGCTTTCTCCGGAAAGATTTCAGCTGATGTGGTGGAGCAGGTTCTGAAGAGGTGTAGAAACCTTGGCGTTTCTGCGCACAGGTTTTTCCTCTGGGCGGGTAGACTTCAAGGCTTCAGTCACACAAGAACAAGCTACCATATCCTGGTAGATGTCTTGGGGAGTTGCAAGGAGTTCCCTTTGATCTGGGACTTGCTCTGGGAGATGAGAGATGGGAGCCAGGAAATCAGACCGGAGATTTTTCGGATGATCTTCAGGTCCTACTGCAGGGCAGGTTTACCCGAAGATGCTATGTATGCATTCAAGAAAATGAAAGAATTTGGTATCAAGCCAGATACTGACGACTTCCACCAGCTGCTAACCAATCTCTGTCAGAACAGTTTCATGAAGGAAGCACAGGAAGCCTTTGATAATTGGAAATCAGACTTCGAGATCAACCCAAAAACGTACAGCATTTTGATGAAAGGGTGGGGTGATTTGGGAAATTCCGATGAAGCTCGGAATCTTTTTGATGAAATGCTGAAAAAATCAACTCCAGATGTTATAGCTTATAATACTTTGATGGGATGTCTTTGTCGGTCAGGGAGGGCCAATGAAGCTTATGAGTTATTTAAGGAGATGAAGCATCGCGGCTTCCAGCCTGATGCTGCGAGCTATTCAGTGTTTATTCGTTCCGCTTGTGATTCCAATGACATTCATTCAGCTTTTAAAGTCCTGGAGAGGATGAGAAGGTATGATTTGCTGCCAAATGTTTTCACTTACAACTGCATTCTTAAGTTGCTGTGTAAAAGTGATAAAGCAGCAGAGGCTTACCACCTTTTGGATGAGATGATGGAGAGGGGGAGTAGACCCGATGTCTGGAGCTACAACACGATTCTAGCTGTTCATTGCAGGCTCCACGAGGTCAATAGGGCCCTTGGGCTCCTCTCTAGGATGGATAAGGACTCATGCCTTCCGGATAAGCATACATACAATATGTTGCTGAAGATGCTGATTCATGTGGGAAGGATCGACCGAGCGATGGAAGTTTGGGATGGAATGGAAGGCCGGGGGTTTTACCCATCTGTTGCAACGTATGCAGTCATGATTCATGGGCTCTGCAGAAAGAGGGACGGTATTGAAGACGCCTGTAGGTACTTTGAGATGATGGTTGATGAAGGGCTTCCACCCTATCTCAGCACGTGTGAACTTTTAAGGAACTCTCTCCTTTACTTAGGTTTGCGAGACAGAGTCCATATACTGGCAACTAAGATGAGACAAAGCACATCATGTGCTATTCAAGATCTCTCGGATGTCATCACAAACAAGAAGAGTATACATTTGGACAAGAAGAATGATCTCTCCGGAGAAGTTGGGCTGCCTTTTCGAGCGAGTGATTAGTTTGATGCTCCTTTTGCAGGATATTGTTTTGATCATGTCTGTGATCGTTCTGGAACTGCTCTTGGCAGACTTTGACCGGCATTTATTGGCTGGATAACGCTATTTCTGCAACGGCGGCGAAACATCTGGGAACTTTGAAAACTGCAGTTCAAAGAAGGTCATCGTCAAGGATAGTTCCATTCAGATAAATCCAAATGAACTAGTCTATCGTCAAGCATGTCATTAATAAAAGGAAGATGCAGGTTCATCAGCATCCTCCCTTTCATGGTCATGTGGGTTCACATTCTTGGTGATAAACAGATATCGATGGATCTATTTATTGAAAATGAATGACCAAATTTTCAAAATTTTCGGCAATTTTATGTCATGATCAAGGTATACACGAAATCAATGTGTGTGCGCACAGATAATGTTAGAGGATATGCTTTCAACGAGATTGCACCTCATTGTGATGATTGACATATGAGAGGATGAATCTCATTTCTATTGAGAAAGTAAGATGCATGTTCAAACTGAAGAAAATATTCAGACCTTTCAGGGTGAAGCAACGTGCTTGTTCTAAAGGAACAGTCGTCCAAGGGCAGCATAAATTTACTCGCATTTTTTGTCAATCATGGAAACGACTAGCTTCAGAACATTTCATGGGACCCTTCAGAGATACTGTCGGAAATAGATGTCAGATCTGAAAAAGTACAGCAATTATTTCAACATATGAAGGGGACGGAAAATCTCTTGCATGTTTCTTCTTTAGCATTGCCATCAAAGTTATGGAAAGAACAGAAACTATGAATTATACGGATGAGATTCTTGATATGGGTGGCACTGAGAATCAGTTAGAGTGGAGCGTTCCTCTGGCAGAATAGGCATTGGCATTGGCTCGAGGCTCTGGAGCCTTTAACTACGGGACCTAGTGGTGACTATCGTCCTGCATCAATCTATCTCTCACTGATAGACGCCGAAAGGGCATTTGGTCTAAGCGAATGCGAGAATAAATCGTTTATTTTTAGAAAATGACTGGTGAATCTTCCCAAAGTCTCGAAACCTTTGAGGAGCAAAGTGGTGAAGTTGTGGAAGAATGGAGAGCAGCTATCTTTCATCAGCTTTCGACAGAAACAGGACCATGATTTTGTTGACATATTCTCACTATCGGATTAGATACCTTTCCTTTGAACGGCATTGAGGTTATTGTTAGTTTAGGCCTTGAGCTTGAGCAGCTGGGTGTGAAGACTCTTCAGTCTTTTTGATAACTTCAAGGGATAGATAGAACTCGGAATAGTTGAAGCAGAAAGGAGAAAGAACCCTTGGTTTGTAGGTCAAAAGGAAAGTCGTGTATACAGGTTGAAAACAAGAAGGCATGCGATGTAACTAACCAGATACCCGCCTGCTTTATGGTGGGTCATGTGCAACAAAGGAGGATCACCACTGATCTGTGCTGATCCTGGGTAATTTTCTGACCGAAAACAGGCACGGAATGCTGTTTATTGGGCATCGTACTATCATGATTCCAGAGGTCGAAGCATGAGTTCCCTTAGGAGGGCCTTGGCTGTGAAAGATTCAAGGTGTCTTGATGCTCTGCAACCGAGTTGCCGAGTGGTTACGGGTGCTTGAGCTCCCTATCAGCTGAAATCTTCGATTCTGGTCGTAGCCTGGTGCTCTCTTGCTATTGACTTTCTTTGTCTTCGGGTGATCTTGATTTTTGGTCTGCTTTTTAATTTTCTGCCGTGACTACACGGTTACTTTCGCAACCGTTTTGACGTTAAATGCCCTGTTAAGATCATGCATGTGTATTTGTCCGTCATCAACAAGTACACCGTGATTGTGTTCGGTTTCCCGGCGGTGCTCACCGGAATCCAGTACGCGACCTCCGCCGGTGCCGTCTGGGTGCTCGGGGGGCAGGGATTCCTGACCCACAACGCCTTCTCCATAGAGACCGCCAAGAAGTTCCTCCCGCGGCCGTCGTCTTCTACCTCGCCTATCTTCATCCACACCCAGCTTCTCCTCGTCATCGACGCCGATGCCGCCTTCCGGAAGCAGCCATTTCCGTCGAAGCTCCTCTTCACGTCTCTGGTCATCATCCTTGGCGGCCTCGTCGTCTACGTGGCGACCGGCTCCATTTTTTTCGTCACGGCCTACGCGTGGGCGACTGCGTACCTCCTCGTCGTCACCACCGGGATGGTGCACATCAAGCATATAGTCATCAACGCTTCGTCCTCTACGACAACCTCCTCGCCCTGATGATCGCCCCCCTTTTCTGCTTCGTCACCAGTGAGTATGGGGGCGTGTTCGACCCGGCGGCGGTGTGGGCGGTGTTCATGTCGCGCGCATTCGCCCTGTCGATCCGATCAGCTTCTTCGGTTCGGGACGAGGAAGGCGATCTCGGCGACGGTGATCACTTTGACCGGCGTGGTGAACAAGCTCCTCACGGTGGCGGTCAACGTGGTCATCTGGAGCAAGCAGGCGGCCCGCTAAGGCTGGCCTGCCTGCCGGCCACCATCGCCGGAGGCGTTCTGTATCAGCAGTCCGTGACCAGGGGCCACGGCAGAAACAAGGCGGCCGAGCTGGTGAATGGCGGCGACGTCGAGGAAGGACGCGAGCCCGTTAAAGGCGCCGCCCTCGTCGTCCCCCGATCCAAAGGATACGGTGGAGAGAGATTCTGACTTCTCCATACAAGGTGAGATTTTGATGCTATTATCACTTTTGTGGGCAAGTCGAAGCTAATATTGCCTGTCTTGACCCACGCAGCTGATCTCATTATTCTATGTCAGCAAATCTGTAGCGTTATAAATCGCTCATTACTCTCCGCGGTTCGTTGAGCTTGTGGGAGCCTTGCGGTTCACGGTCTTCTTTCCTGGCCTAGACTAATGGACCGACGGGGAAAACGTTGATCCTTCTCTCTCCATCTCTCTCTCTCTCTCTCCCCCAAAAAAAAAAGAAAGTAGGGGATCGCCGCCGGGGTGCTCATTGGCAATGCCGGCCTTGGAGCGGGCAAGAGAGGGGAGCAGTCGTCCACGGCGCCGCCGGCGAGTCTCTCACAGAACTGTTCCATCTCAGCCTAATTTGTGGGCAACATGCATAGACAAGCTTTCTAGTCATTCCCAGCGAGCGTTGCGGGTCCGATACGCTCAATCAATGGCTGATTGAACCCGCCGACATGAGAAATAACGCTCAATCTCATTGACTATTCAAGAGTCCCTATTTTCGGTGGATTCTTGGATCAGATTCAAGGTTTAGTTTTCTTCGTGGCTTCCAATACGTAATCCACTCGTCAACCAAGGCTGGGCTTGCAGCGATGATCTCCTCCACCGTGTTACTGCTCACTCGTCTTGCGGATTTCATGTCGGGGAGGCGCTGACTCCCTTGCTTGGTGGATACGTCCTGACAACTTCGTTGGAAGGCATGTAAGCCGGCGACCTGCAGAGCATCTTCAGCAAGAATGCCAAATGCAGGTTACTAGATCTTTGCAGAAAAATAGCTCGTATCCTCCCGTCAGGCAAAGAGGCGATGGCGGGCGCCTCCCTGGAACCCGCTGTTTCTACGTCCCCAGGGGTAATGGCAAAACGGCGGCCATCGGCGTCCTCTGAAACCCCCCTGGAGAAGTCCGGCGGAACTCCTCTGATACAGCAGCAGTTCACGGTCTTGGCATTTGGGTCTCTTACGAACCCGGCAAGGTACTGCGGAAGAGAGAGTCCTGGTGACGACTCTTGTCTCACCGATAGCTGCGGCCTAGATTCTTGTATTTCCCTCTTGGCGGCAGCGGCGGAGGTTCACTCGTAGAACTGCTCGAATCACCAGCAGCAACGAAGAAACCCGATGCGAGGCGAGGAATGGTCAAATCGGGAAGAAAGAGGGAGGCAGGAGATTATGGGTCCATTGATACTTAAAAGAATGATTTCACAGGATTTATTTCAAATATCGGGTTAGATTCCGTCTTTGCTCACTTCAATTCCATACGTAGGGGACGACTAACGAGTTTAATTGCGGGTGGAGCTCCATTCGGGGGGGGTGGGGACCTCCGCTTCATCCTCCAACATGAGCAGCACCTTCTTCATGGAAGGCCTGAGAGAAGGTTCATCCAGGATGCACCACAGTGCCACGGCCACCAGCCTCTCTAGCTCCTTCATGTCCACCAACCCCTCTTCGCCGTCGGGCACCAGCTGGCTTACCTGATTGTATCTGTAGCAGTCGTATGCCAGGTCAGTCAGTATCGGCTCATCGGCGGCGGTATCCTTTGCGGGAACGTTCCTCCTGCAGCAGAGGATCTCCAGCAAGAGGACGCCGTAGCTGTACACGTCCACCTTGGATGTGATCGACGTGCTCTTGAACCACTCCGGCGCCACGTATCCTTTCGTCCCCCTGATCGCCGTCTGGGTGCGCGTCTGGTTGGCGTAGAGCGGCTTCGCCAACCCGAAGTCGGCGATCTTCGGCCTGAGGTCGCCGTCGAGGAGCACGTTCTGGGGCTTGATGTCGCAGTGGATGATCTGGGCTCTGCACTCGTCGTGGAGGTACACTAGTCCCCTCGCCACGCCGAAGGCGATGTGGATCCTCTGCTCCCATGGAGGTCTCTCTCCGCCGGCGGCGGCGAAGAGGTAGTCCGCCAAGGATCCGTTGCTCATTAGCTCGTAGATCAACAGCCGGTGGGATCCCTCGTCGCAGAAGCCGAGCAGCCGGACGAGGTTCCGGTGGTGGATCTGGCCAATAGCGTTGACCTCCGCCTGGAACTCGTTCTCGCCTTCTTCGGACAACCCCTTCAGCATCTTGACAGCTATGTGGGTCCTCTCCCCGCTGAATTCCAGGGTCCCCTTGTAGACGACACCGAAGCTTCCCTTGCCCAGTTCCTTTTGAAAGTGTCCCGTGGCTCTCTCCAGCTCTCTGAAGGAGAAGGAGCGGACATGGTTATACGCTCCCCGACATCTCGCGTCTGGCTCCCTCTTCCCCTGCCACTGCAGCAGCTTCTTCAACCCTCGTGGCGAGCACAAGCTAAGAACTATGAGCGCAATCAGTACTGAAAGGTTGATGAATCCTGATAACCCTAACAACACCCACATAACAAGCCTGGATGAGGAAGAGGAAGAGGAGGAGGAGGGGGACGACCCTCTGTCGGCTGTTGGGTATCGGGCGGAGAGGACAAGTTAACCCTGGGCACTTAGATCAGGGCCTTCTGTCCCTTCGTTGCGTCCACCTGGCCGTTTGACAAAGGCATCCTCTTCTTCCAACAACTTCCGTTCCTGTAGATTGCGACAGCACAGAAGCAATCTTCCAGGCAAGACCTCCGGCACTTGACTTCGTCCACCGGCGACAGCTGCTCGTAGTCGGACATAGGCCAATCCGCGTCGGCGATCTGCTCCATGTCGAACATATCGCTGCCTTCCGCCGGCGAGCCGTCGTCGTTGCAACCGCGTCCCACGTAATCAGTTCTGCACCCTTTGCTTCCATCGGCCGGGTCAATGGGAGAGTAGCCGGGGGGGCATATGCAGATTGGGTAGCTGTTGTTAAGCGTGCAGTAGCTGTTGAACCCGCAGGGGCCACTCCCAATTTTCACATAAACATCCTGACAGAAGTTATCTGGGAAGAAGCCGGCGACTGACCACGTCCCCGCCGGCGTGGTCAGAGTGCCGGAGTATCTCTTCGGGTACACGTACAGCCGGAGGACACCGTCGGGGTCGAGCGTCGCCCTCTGGTAGTAGTTCTCCAGCGTGTAGATGCCCGCAGAGACGACTTCCCTGATCCCCTCGTCCGTCTTCACGACGAGCCTCCCGCTGGTCTGATTGAAGACGATCTGCCGGCCCATCTTTACGTTACAGTAGGGATCATAGGGAAACTTGGTGGGTAGGTTGATGGTGTTAAGGCACATCTCGCCGGTCGTCTGCAAGCGGAGCTGGAACCTCCCGGCGGAGTAGTCCGATGGCAGCCTGCGGCTGGAGAGCAAGCCGCCCCTGTTAATCTCCTGCGTTGGCAAGATGGTATCCACGGGGTAGGCGAAGCTCTGCCATCCGATGACAGAGGTGTTGCTGCAGAGCACGAAGTTGCCGGTGTCAAGCATGGCGGCGTAAGCCACGTTGACCTGGCCCGCATCGCCCGAGTCCCATACCAGTTGGCCAGCATGGTTGTAGAGAACCAGTCGGCCGTCTGTCTTGATCTCGGCTCTGGACCCCCCTCGCACCGGTTGGCCTCCGTTGGCGTACCACACCAGGGTCTTCTCCATGTATCTTGTCGAACCAGACGCCGAGGAGGAAGGTCTCGTTAGCGGGCTGGATGGGGTAGAATCCGAAGGCAAAGTCCCCCGAGGGCGATGTCCAGACGGACCCGCCGGACTCCATGGTCGACCCCAAGCTTATGTTGCGGGCGCCTCCCTGCTGCGCCACCGCCGACGGTGCCGCCATCAGCAACAGCAGAAGAAGGCAGTGAACAGGAAGGGAGCCAAAGAAGAGTGAGGAAGCACCACCAGCCATGGCGACGAGTAAGGACCGACTTCCAGAAACGCAGGAAGAGGACCTCTATTTAAAAGCCTTCTAGGATCTTTTCTTTCGACAGACAACTCAGCGAGCCGTGGTCTTCACGGCTTGAAGTCAACGGTGAGAAAGGCAAGTCGTATCTGTGCCGAGCATTCAGAAAACGACTTGAAATGAATGCTCTTAATGGGACGACAATTGACCTCGTCATCGGTCTCCGCTCAAACGAATGGCGCAGAGAGAACTACCCCTCGCCATGGCGCCGACAGGAGCATCTCCTCCAAGTCCTACTGGCTGCTCCTTCCATTCTCGCCAACCGGCCCGAATCACCAGAAGCCCACGGAGGAGCAGGAGCCGTCTCTGAAATGGTGGAACCGGTTTCTGTCCCTCACGATCTCGTCCCTGCCGTAGATCCTGGAGACGAGCTTGGCGACGAATGACAGTCGCAACAAACGCGAAGGTTCTTCTTAACGTGGATGAGCCCGAAGGCGATCCATCTTCTCGCTGTGGTGGTGCGGGGCGTTCTCCTCCTCCACGTCTAACAGCGCCTGTGACCCGTTGGGGACGTACCCGGCGGCGTTCAAGCGATGCACCGTGTCCTCTGCCGTGGCGTGTATCTATGCTGTATGAGGGTGGGAACCGTCGCCCATCGAGAACTCATGAACCACGCCGTTGACCTCCACCATGCTGCACCCCGGCGGCTTCCTGATGCTCCTCTCCGTCATGAGCTCCCTCGTCCTCTCCAGCTCCTCCCACTTCCCCAGTGATCCGTACATATTGGAGAGAAGAACATAAGCTCTGGCGTCGTCCGGGTAGATTTTTAAGATCCTCCGGGCCGTCCTCTCAGCCATCTTTACGTTGCCATGGATCCTGCAAGAACCCAAGAGGCTCCCCAGGACGAAGTAGTCCGGCTCCATTGGCATGGTGTTCACCAGCTCCTCCGCTCGGTCGACGCGGCCGGCGCGGCCGTACAAGTCCACCATGCAGCCGTAATGCTCCACGCTGGGCTGGATGCTGTAGACGCTCGACATGGATCGGAAATATGATGAGGCTTCGTCCAAGAGCCCGCCGTGGCTACAGGCTGTGAGGACGCCGATGAAGGTGACGGCGTCGGGCCTGATCCCCTGGCTCTGCATCTCCGTGAAGAGCTCGAGAGCTTCCTCTCCACGGCCACACATAGCCAGGCCTCCGATCACAGCCGTCCAGGTCATGACGTCTCTGCAAGGGAGCTCTCGGAATACCTGCAAAGCGATCTCCGCGCAGCCGCATTTGGCGTACATGTCGACCAGAGCAGTGCCCAGAACGACGTCGATCTGTACCTTCTCCCGGCGTATGCAGGCGTGCAGCCATTTCCCGAGCTCAAGAGCGCCCAGATGGGAGCAAGCGAGGAGCAAGCTGGCGAGAGTCACCTCGTCCGCAGGGATCCCACTGAGCTGCATCTCTCGGAACAGCAGCAGGGCTTCCTCGTAACTGCTGTGCTCGATATGCCCGTTGATTATCACATTCCAGGAGTACTGGTTCCGGTTGGGCATAGCATCGAACAGCTGTCTAGCGAGGGGGAGGCACCCGCACTTGCAGTACATGTCCAGGAGGGCGGTGGCAAGAACCAGGTCCACCTTCAAATTCTTCGCTGAAATGTGTTCATGGACGCGTCTTCCGGATTCCAAATCTCTAGCCCTCGAACAGGCCGAGAGGACGTTCAGTAGTGTCACCCTGTTGGGCTCCAAATCCATCCGACGGTAAAGCTCCAGGGCCTCCACCGGCCGATTCCATTTCGTGTAAGCTCCGATCATGGTCGCCCAGGAGACGGTGTTCCTCCCAACCATCCTGTCGAAGGCCCGGATTGCCGAGCTCAAGCTCCCACAATCCGAGTACATGTTTATTAACGTGTTCTGGACGTAAGAATCATAGCCGAAACCGAGCTTCACGACGTGGCAATGGAGCTGCTCTCCTTCCCCAAGATCCCTGCAGCACTTGAACAGAGAGGGGAAGGTGTAATTGTCCGGGAAGAGACCGGAGTCGATCATCTCCGCGTAGAAGAGGAGCGCCTCCTGGGGCAGATTCTTGTTTGTGTACGCCCTGACGATGGAATTGCAGGCGAATGAGGTGGGGTTGGGGACCATGGAAAGCATGAGACGCGCGTGTAGCAGGGACCCGAAGCCCTGGAGCGCGCAGACGGACACCAGCCTGTCTACCGCCGGAGGGTCGAAAGCGAGACCTGCCCTGATCATCTGGGCCTGGATTTGTTTGATCTCGGTCATGCTAGAACACCTCTCCAGCAGTTGCAGACATGGGTGAGCGTGAATTGGGTTACCCTTTCCGCCACCGGCGGTGGCGAGAGTCGTCGGATGCCCCAGGGTACGACGGGTCGCGCCGGTGGGGGGAGAGAAAGAAATCCGGGGGGGGAGGGAAAGGGGCGGCGCTGCCATGCCCTGCTCCGCCGGGGGGCAATCCCGCTGCAGCTTTCGGTCTGGAGTTCCTCTCCCCTTCGCTCTTGGATCAGATAGAAGGACATGTGTACAATTTTACAATATAAGATATGGAACAAAATTATCTCCATGAGAGAGAACTTTTGCCGACAGTTATCTTTAGTGATATAACCTTATTCGATTGTTGCTAGAAGGTGAGATAATGAGCCCGAATTGGGTCCACTATTCCCCAGTCGGTCCACTTATAATGGAATCGAGCCCAATGAGACAACCTATTTAATGAGAATGGATATTAAACCGGCCCAATATTGTTTTTCTCTATGAGTTGGACCCATTTAGGCCAATACGTGATTGGCCATATCCATATTTGCTCCGGTAAGAGGGCCCAGAACGAGCACGTCGCACCGCCGCCGCCGCCTCGGCAGCAGCAGCTGCAGGAGAAGTACCGGCTAACCATGCTCTCTGTCTCGGCCTGGATATGGCGGCCTCTGCTCTCGTAAATCCTTCGAGGCCGCTCCACGACCTCGCCCCGGAATCTCATCTCCCTCCGAATGTTCTCCGGAGGCCGCCGCCCGGATGCCTCAGAATCTCGTCCTCCTCCGCCTCCGCCTCCGCCTCGGGGAAGATCCCCCACCGTCGTAGCAGCTCGTCGAGGAAGCCTTCGGCGGCGGCGGCGAACGCCGATTCCTTGCCCATCTCAGCGGCGCCTTCGAACCCGAGCATAGGGATATGCCGACTCTGCCTCCACGGGGACCTGGAGCAGGCCCTCCTCGTCCTGGAGTCTGCGGAGCCGCTGCAGCTGGAGGAGGACGCCTACCTCTCCCTCCTCCGGCTCTGCGAGTGGGAGCGGGCGGCAGATAATGGCTACCGTGTTTACTCTCACCTGAGCAAGGCAGGTCTGCGTCTCAGCGTTCGACTTGGGAATGCCCTCCTTGGTATGTTCGTGAGGTTCGGCGACCTTCTGGAGGCGTGGATTGTCTTCGGGAAGATGACGGATAGGGATATCTTCTCCTGGAATGTTATGGTGGGGGGCTATGCCAAGTCGGGCTTCTTCGAGGAGGCCTTGGATATGTACCACCGGATGCTGTGGGCGGGCATCCGCCCCGATGTCTACACCTTCCCCTGCGTTCTCAGGACCTGCGCCGCTGCCACCGACATCGCGAGGGGCAAGGAAGTCCACGTCCACGTTGTTCGGTTTGGTTTCGAGTCGGACATCGACGTGCTGAATGCTCTGATCACCATGTACGCGAAGTGCGGGGATGTCGCCGCTGCCCGCAAGGTGTTCGACACAATGCCGAACAAGGATGTAATTTCCTGGAACGCCATGATGGCGGGATACTTCGAGAATGGCGAGTGCTTCCGAGGGCTTGAATTGTTCTTAGCTATGCGGGAGCTCTCTGTCGCGCCGGATTTGATGACGACCACCAGCCTGATATCCGCTTCCGACGTTCTGGGCGACTGCGAACTGGGGAAACAGATCCATGGTTATGTGATCAAGACGGAGATGGTGGTCGAAACATCAGTGTCCAATTCGTTGATTCAAATGTATTTTGGCCTCGGGAGCCAGGGTGAAGCAGAGACGATCTTCTTGCACACGGGTTCCAGAGATTTGGTAACGTGGACGACGATGATATCGGGCTATGAGAAGAATGGTCTCCCCGATCAAGCTCTGCAAATGTTCGAGAAGCTGAAGTCGACGGACGTGGCCATGGACGAGGTAACAATAGCCAGTGCTCTCTCCGCCTGCGCTTCTCTTGGTCGTCTAGAGACCGGCCTCGAGCTGCATGAGCTCGCAAGAGCCAACGAGCTCCTGCCCTACACCACCGTCGGGAACTCGCTCATTGCCATGTACTCCAAAGCCGGGCGCCTGGAGAAAGCCGTGGAGGTCTTCAGAAGCATGCTCGACAGGGACGTGATATCATGGAGCTCCCTGATCTCGGGCTTTCGGAGCAACCGCCGGAGCTTTGAGGCGTTGAAGTTCTTCAGGCAGATGCAGACGTACACGAAGCCCAACGTCGTCACCTTCGTCGTCGCCCTCGCAGCCTGCTCTGAGATCGGCGCGCTGATGTGCGGGAAGGAGATCCACGCGCAGGTGCTGAGGAACGGGTTGTGGTTCCAGGGGTTCCTGCCGAACGCCCTTCTGGACTTCTACGTGAAATGCGGGCGGACGGAGTACGCCCAGATGCAGTTCAACGCTCACGAAGGGAAGGATGTTGCCTCCTGGAACATAATGCTGAATGGCTACGCGAGGCGGGGATATGGCGACTTCGCCGTCGCTCTCTTCCACCGGATGGAAGAGCAAGGAGTTCTCCCCGACGAAGTGACCTTTATCTCCCTCCTGCTGGCCTGCAGCCGTTCGGGCGTGGTGAGCCGAGGTCAGATGTTCTTCAACCTGATGAGCCAGAAGTATGGCATCACTCCAAATGTGAAGCACTACGCCTGCATGGTGGATCTGCTGGGACGCGCGGGGCGTCTTCCGGAGGCTCACCGACTCATACAGGAGATGCCCATCGAGCCCGACGCCGCCGTCTGGGGAGCTCTGCTGAACGGGTGCCGAATCCACAAGGAGGTAGAGCTTGGGGAGGTCGCAGCCAGGCACATCTTCGAGATGGATTCGAAGAGCGTGGGATACTATGTGCTTCTCTGCAACTTGTACGCCGACGGCGGCCGGTGGAACGATGTGGCGAGGGTGAGGAGCGTGATGAGGGAGAGGGGGCTGGTGGTGGATCCGGGCTGCAGCTGGGTGGAAGTCAAAGGGACGGTCCACGCGTTCCTCAGCGCCGACCGGTCGCATCCGCAGATAAAGCAGATCAATGCGGTCTTAGATGGATTCTACGAGAGGATGGAGGCGATGGGGTTGAGCCCGCCCGATGACAGTTTCCAAGACGACGTTGAAGCTTCCAAAGCAGATATCTTCTGCGGTCACAGTGAGAGGCTCGCCGTCGTCTTCGGGCTCATCAGCACCACGCCAGGCACCCCCATCTGGGTCACGAAGAACTTGTACATGTGCGGAAGCTGCCACGCCACCATTAAATCCATCTCGAAAATGGTCCGGCGGGAGATCATCGTCAGAGACACGGAGCAGTTTCATCATTTCAGAGAAGGCAGATGCTCCTGCGGAGACGAGGGGTACTGGGTGAGAACTCGATAATGAAGATGCCTCCGCTTTGGCGTTGACCTCGCCTCCCTTCTTCGCCGGCGCCGTGACGAACCATTGGGACGTTCATATGTAGTATATAATCCCGCCGCAGACGGGAAATCCTGCAGATTTCACTGCCATTAGGACGCTCAACGTGTCCGCAAAATGCTTCAGATTAGAGTCTCATGTGTTCTGTGGGAGCCCGGGGGCTTTGTTATATACACTTCGAGGAGAGCTTGCATCCATTGACTGATTCTCTCCGCAGATCCAGAGGCTGACAGCTGCTTGTTCATTGCCCCAGACGTTGACTCACCATGTATCAGCCGAGCTTTGGGTGCTTGTATGCTGGCCTTGATTTGAGTTTATCGTCCAATCTTGTGCTCGGCGACGAGGATACCAGCGCCGTCTCGGTTACCCGCCGCCGTTGACGATCGCAACCGAACGTCTATCATCACGTGCTATCATCGTCTCCGCGATCACTTCGGCACCACTTGGGTCAACCGTTAAGCTCCGTTCGCGGCAGGCAAGCGGAGGATAGCGTTTCGTATGATCGTCGTTGATTTACAAAGTTAGACATTATAGTCAAATCCACCACAAAAAAGTGTAAAAAACTTTTAACTCAACGGTACGATAGGTGGGCTCCCTTGGGTCAACGCAATTCGGGACGCTTTGTCAAAAATGCAAGGCTGAGAACCGGTGGTTAGGGAGGGGGCCTCGTGGTGTTGGCAGGGGGCTATGTCAAAGTCAACCCAAAAAAACTCATCCGCCAAACTTTCTCGTGGCCCAGCGTCATCTCGATGCATAACGGGCATCGAGAAGATGACGCTGTTGAAGCTCGAGAAGAGTCCACCGGATGGAGGCCGCGGTTCGCACGGAGGCGCACGATTCGAAGGTGTTCCTCGTGGAGCCTCCTCTCGCCGGCAGCTTCCCCGCGGACGAGCATGTTAGGGGAGAGAGGAGCAAGGAGATGGCCGGAGGAGTGGACAGAAATGCCCCCTCCCACAGATTCCCCGCCAACAGTCGCCATATCCTATTCCGCGAGGTGAGGCGCTCTGCGTCACGTAACATCGAGGTCACGTCTGAAGACGAGCGGGGAGGTCGGAGAAACTCAGGTTGACGAGACCCGCCAGAACAGTGCCGGCGACCGTCGAGCCAGAGGAGGCTGGTGCGAAGGAAATCGAGAATTCATGAAGAGAGAGAGAGAGAGAGAGGCCATCATTCAACGCAGTACGGAGTAAATAAATACTCGAGGAAGAAAACTGGAGCTCCGGAAGTGGAGGGGAGGAGAGCGGGGGAGTATATCCATGCCGGGGGGACCACCCCTTCTGGCGTGTATAAAGGACGTCGGTGGGAGCCTCCCCTCAACGCCACCGCTTCCCTCCTGAGCCCTACACTGTGTCTCCTCCCTTCTCCTTCCTGCGCCGCCGAGTTCTCTGGTCCCGGGATCAGACCATCCCGCCGGCAGGAACCCCATCGATTAATTTGCACGGCCCGCTGCAGGTTCAGTAGACTTCACGTGGCGCCGCCGTAAGCGTGGTGGCGCGTCGGGCCCGAAGACTACTGGCGTCGCAGACGGCGGCACCACCCGTGGGGACGGCACCAATTAATTCCCTCGCCCAGAAGGACCACCGCATTCGCCGCCGCGCGCGGCCGGCTTTCCATATCGAGGGCCGCGTACGCACGCACTCGCCTCCCCCGGCCCTCATTAAACAAAGCCCCGTCCTTAGAGATCTCTACCAGCTCCGACTGGGGCCGCACGCTTTACCACATTTATAATCTCCCTCACCCCATCATCTCCTTCCCTCTCTCTCTCTTTCTATGTGCGGGCAGACAACAATTAACTCATCAGGTGGGGGAGGAAGAGGGTATTTATCGAAGATCCTCAGGACGCCTTCTGGGCTCTCGGCGAGTTGACAACCAGTGCCCTGACCACCCAATTAAATTTACTGCTCTGCTGGACCTCCGTCGCCGTGACCGGGAAGACCAACTCGACCCGAGCGATGTCCCCCCATCGCCGGCGTCGGGGGAGAAGACGGCCGCGGCCGCATCGGGATGCCGACAAGCATGTGGAGGTGATGGTTCGCCCCCTCCGTCCTCATCATTGAAAAAACCAGTTCCCTCTCCCTCGCGCCATAAAGAAATCCGAAGACGCACCTTTCTTCTGTGCGGTGGCTCTGCGCCCCTCCTCTCCTCCACCAGAGCCCGCAGGTTTTATTTAAGACCGAGAAGCGCTGCTCGAGATGATAACGTTGTTTACAGCGGGACGCAGAGCGCCCCCGTTTTAAAATTCCGTCACGAATCCGTTGCGGCCCGGTTTTCATGGAGGGATAGACAGACCCCCGGCATCCGTCTTCGTCCTCTCCGGGTGGGGGGGCGGGGGGTTGACGATTCAGAAGAGATCAGGGGGAGCAACCCACGTACTCCTCTGAAACATTATTTATCCGGCAACTCGCCCGTAATATGCTGCCGGTTCTTTCTTTCTACCTCGTTCAACGGTCTTCCCAGCTCCTCCGGACATTCTTGGTGAAGGGAGATGTGAAGCTCCGAATCTCTCCGACCACATTCTTGGTCGCAGAGGACTACGAGTCGGCCCTGCGCCTCGCCGCGATCGCGGGATAGCCTTCGGAGATAAGTAAGCGGGTCTAGTTTCAGAGTCCTAATCCGAGCTCGATGGGGGGGGGGGGGAGTAATCACCTCGCGCAGGGTTCCTTCCGACCTAAGGTCGTTCGGTGGCGGGCGTCGTCGCGGGGAAAACGATGGGCCCCAGTCGAAGTTAGAAAAGTCAACGTCTTCTCTGCGATGGATGGCGGAGCGGTCTCCCGAACGGACATCTCAAGAGATGAGAAGCCATTGAGGCTGTCGGATCAATGACAAATCTTTGAACAACTACTGCCTCGCGCTTGCCCCCACGTATCAGGGTCAACCCCCTTCACCGTTAGTTCTGTGGGAGGGTCAAAGCCCCGTTAGAGCCTGCAGTTCGATCGTTGGGGATCGGACGGCCGAAGGAGTGGAGGGGGGGGGGGGGGGCGATTGCTTCGTTCGGGGGGGGACCGGCGAGGAGGAAGACGCTTGTGACGTCACGATCAGGCCGTCTGATCGCGTGGGCCCGATCAGATTCCTCTCAGATCAGAAGTAGGGAGGGGAGTCACGGTGGCGGGCCCTCGGTCGTGGTCGTCTGGCTCAGCGATGGACGGCTCTGATTGCACCCAAACCACCCACCCTCCTCCTCCAGGGGGGCCACGTCAAGACCACATCCACGTCGACCCCTTTCCACGCCTCCTCCTGCATTATTGTTGGCTGATGTTATCAAAGCGGTGAGCCTAGCTAAGATCCCCAACCCAGAAGAAGATACCGTCACCGCCCCCGAAGAGGGAAGGGGGGGGGAGTGGGGGAGTGGGGGGGCTTTGCTCAGTTAAAAGGATACAATAAAGATAACCTGGAGAGGGGCATAGGTGCAAATATCCTCCTGAAATTCTCACGGGTCTTACGTGTCCGTGATCTGTGTAGTTGTCAGAGTGGCCGTACCACGTGTACACGTCACAGCTCCGATGCTGCCGTCATTTCCTCCCCTCTCTCTCTCTTTCCGCCATTTTTTCTCGGTCTTCTTGATATCGTCTTTCTCAGACCGCGGTAGCACGAGAGAGACGAGGGAGGGGAGGGGGGAGAGGGAGAGGAGGGAAGAAGGGGACTGATCGCCCTGCTATCGGCACTGCTGAGTCTCGTCGGCTTTCACCTCGATGGGGCCGTACGGGATGAGTGCGGCGGCCGGCGAGGGGTGGATGGGAGGCGACTTTGGGAGCGCAGCTTGCCCGGCCCCGGACATCGACGGGCTTCTGGCGGAGGCGGGGTACCGTGTTCGGTCCTCCGATCTCCGTCAGGTGGCGCGGCGCCTGGAGAGGCTCGAGTCGGCCATGGTCGGGGCGGCTGGCCCCGCCTGCTTGGGATCGGCGGCGGCGGCGGCGGCGGCGCAGGTCATCGATCAGCAGCAGCAGCAGCAGCAGCCGATGTTTTTCGCTCCCGACGCGGTCCACTACAACCCCTCCGACCTCGCTGCATGGGTGGATTCCATGCTCTCCGAGATCTCCCCGTCCCAACCGAGCTCGAAGGCGGATCCCTGCCAGAAAGTGGAGGACGATCTCGACGATTCGCCGCCGGTGCAGGTGTACCTGGAGCAGGCTGCGCCGCCGTCCGTGGTGGCTCCCCCGCCGTTGATGGAGGAGGAGGACTCGGGCATCCGGCTGGTTCACATCTTGATGACGTGCGCGGAGGCCGTGCAAAGAGGGGACTCGGGGATGGCTGGCGCGCTGATCGAGGAAATGCGGCCGGCGCTGGCGCGGGTGGGAACCAGGTTCGGCATCGGGAAAGTGGCCGGCTACTTCATCGACGCCCTCAGCCGGCGGCTCTACTCGCCGCCGCACGCGCTCAGCGCCACCGCCCGGGAGAACGAGGCCCTCCACCACCGCTTCTATGAGGCCTGCCCCTACCTCAAGTTCGCCCACTTCACCGCCAACCAGGCCATCCTGGAGGCCTTCGACGGGCACGATCGGGTCCACGTCGTCGACTTCAACCTCATGCAGGGCCTCCAGTGGCCGGCGTTGATCCAGGCCCTTGCCCTCCGCCCCGGCGGTCCCCCAGCGCTCCGCCTGACCGGCATCGGCCCTCCCTCTCCCGACGGCCGGGACACTCTCCGGGACGTGGGCTTCCGCTTGGCGGAGCTGGCCAAGTCCGTCGCCGTCCCGTTCGCCTTCCGCGGGGTGGCGGCGAACCGCCTGGACGACGTCCAGCCGTGGATGCTACGGGTGTCTCCGCTCGAGGCCGTCGCGGTGAACTCGGTGATGCAGCTCCACCGACTATTGGAGGACCCCGAAGAGGAGGTAGCAGCCATGGCCGGCGGCGCCGCCTCCCCCATCGAGTCTGTGCTCGGATGGATCCGGGGGCTGAGACCCAAGATTGTCGCGCTAGTGGAGCACGAGGCGAGCCACAACAAGTCCGCCTTCCTGGACCGCTTCACCGAGGCGCTCTTCTACTACTCCACCATGTTCGACTCGCTGGAAGGTGGGAGCCGGCAGGCGATGGGGATGATTCCCTCTTCGGGGGAGAGGGCGGCGGCGGAGGCGTATTTGCAGCGGGAGATTTGCAATATCGTCTGCTGCGAGGGGCCGACGAGGGTCGAGCGGCACGAGCCCCTCGGCACCTGGCGGCGGCGGATGACCAGAGCGGGCTTCAGGCCGGCGCACCTCGGTTCCAACGCCTTTAAGCAGGCGAGCATGCTGCTCTCTCTCTTCTCCGAGGAAGGCTACTGCGTCGACGAGGTCGACGGCAGCCTCACCCTCGGGTGGCACAGCCGTCCCCTCATCTCCGCCTCCGCGTGGGCGGTCAACGCCGACGCCGACGCCGACGTCCCCCTCCCCGGCGGAGCGGGCGACCCCCACCTGGCGGCGGCGCCGCCACCGGGCCTCCCGGTCGCACCCCTGGGGCAGACCAGGAACAACGGCCACGGCAATTATGATCTACTCGCCAACGACGCCGAGAGCGGCGTCTGCGACGGCGGCGACAGTGACCACAATAAGGGCCACCACCCGGACGGAAACGTTAACAGCAGCAGTACTGCTTGGAGCGGCGGCAGCAGCAACGCCGCCACCTGCTCCGCCGGCAGCAGCAGTAACCACCGTTCCCACCTGAGAATTGCATGACGGAAGAAGAAGACCTGTAATTAACGAAGGTCACCCCCCTCCCTCCCTCCCCATTCCGTCCCCTCGTCACCGCCGCCGTTCCTCAATGGTGGGTTGTCACCCCCTTCAAAACGGGCATCCCTGGGTTCCCAATTCGGGTTCTACCAATAACAACGATCCGATTCCTCCGAAGGGACCTTGTCTACAATCTCTCCGCCTTTGGGGGGGGGGGTTCTTGAAAAATTGGATCCTCGATAGACCTTCTCTCGTTTTGCGTGCCAGCTCCCTCGGCGCATCCACTGTATCAAGCCGAGATCTCGTTGATGATGCCCCCCCCGACCCCTCCCCTCAGTAGATTCTTGGAGCTCTCTCTCTTCTCACAGAGGTACAGAGGCATATCCATTGCCGATAGATGATCGGAGAACGTCGGGCCGCCGAGATCGGCGGAGAGTGAATCCGACGGGCGGCGCCGTCGATTGGGGGTGGGGGGCGGGGGGGGCGGCTGGTGAACCCCCACATGGGGGCGGGGACATCGGAGGAAGAAGACCGGGGTGGGGGAGGGAATATTTAGTGCTCTCGCCCCCCCTTTCGGGAACAGAGAGCGCTCCGCCCGGACCTTCATCTTTCACGTGCGCGATCCCCCGCCGCCCGCCTGGTCGGCCCCTCCCGCGAGAGCCTTCGCGCTTTCCAGCTGGTCGCCTGTGGGGGACTGCTGTAGGCCCGCAGCGATGGCGCCCTCTCTCGGTTCCTCCGAGCTGGACAATCATCTCATCTCCCCGGGGTCATAAAGACAACCGACCCTAACTCGAGGGTTTCTGGGTGATGCTGTTGCATCTGGCGAAAACCCTAGACCCCGCCGCGCGGGGTTGGAGTGTGGACAAGGACTAACGGCGGCCGGCGAGTGAGCTTCTCGGAAAGCGGGGAAATGGGGGAAGAACAGGTCGACCAGCTGAGGTCTACAGTGAGAGTTGATAGGCCACTGGGCCGGGGGTTACTGTTTGCTCGTCCTGGACATTTTTGTCTTCTGGGCCCCAAAAACAAGGTCGTAAATAAAAAGAGTACTGAACCACAATCAACAATGCCCGCCCACCTACATAATCGCACATTTATTATTCACGGTTTATACGGTGTAAAAATAATTTTCAATTTCGTACGATGCTGAAATTCTCGAGTCGTCTAACAAAAAACCAGTGGGAGATGACTGGAGTAGGCCCATCTAATTCGATTGCAGTATGCACGCTCAAAGCTCAGAATCCCATCCGGCGGCGCCGGAAGGGGAGAGAGGGGGTGCTGATTTGGAGGAGAGAAAAATAAGCAAGCAACAGGAGGAACATGCCAAACTGAAATCTATGGTTCATAGTCTTTAGGCAGCTTATTACAGATTCAATTCTCGGCTTTTCATCGGCTGGGCGATCCGGGCAGAAACCGAGGATGGTTTCCGCCGATGTCCCACAGACCGAAGCAGTCTGAAAATGCAGGGCAGATAAGAAGAGAGCCGAAGGAGAAAGTATGATATCAAGTTGACGAGAAAATCGTCAGACGGAAATAAAGTCAATGCAAGGATGAGCGTGGAATCGTCAGAAGAGCATGTGGCATACCGGACAGAATAAGGGCCCCGCCTGCCGTATGACCCACCACCACCCGTCGGGGACCAGGAAAGACAGTTCACCTGGGAACGACCAAGGGGGCCTCAGCTTCATGGCCGGAGTCTGATTTGAAGAAGCCGCGGCCGCCGCCGAAGCTGGAGAAGCTCGTTCGCCTCAGTTTCAGCAAGAGATAGAGAAGGATCCCGCAGACGAAGCCAAGAGCCGCGCTGGACCCGGTCAGGGAGACCGCAGCGCAAACCAGCATTACGAATGACGACTCCTTGCTCCACATGTCCCTGGAAGCCATGGCCAGCTCGACGCCGGAGAACAGCAGGAGCACGCCCAGGAGCCCGATGGGGAACAGCCCCAGAATCCTCACGAAGGAGCTGCCGAGCGTCAAGCCCAGCGCCATCTTCGCCACGCCAAGGAAAAGCACGGACGCGCCGCTCCGCCCGCCGAACCTGTACTGCCCCGCCAGCCCGCCGGCGCCGTGGCAGACGGGCATGGCGCCGAACCAGCAGCCGACCAGGTTCATGACGCCGACACTCGCCGAGACTGCCGTCGCCGACACGTCTCTATCGGGGAAGATATCGGAGGACAGCTTGCAGACGGCGATGACGGAGTTCAGCACCGACAGTGGTATCTGGGGGATCGCAGCCCGGAGGAACCCGATCTTCCAGTCCTCCCGTGTGATTCTCACCAGGTGGATTCCGGAAGGGCCGAACTTGAGGTCTCTGATGATGGAAGGGTCCCTGACGAAGCAGAGAGCGGATCCGAACAGGAACACCAGGAGGGCGGCCGGAATTCTGGCTAGAAAGCTGGATCCGCGGCGGGGGGTGCCTCGCCCACTGCAGCCCACGGGCAGAGAGCCGTCCTCATGATCGGCATCGTCGCCGGAGCCGGTGACCAGGATTATCAACAGAAGAGCCGAGAAGGCGAGCACGAGGCCATCCAGGCCGAGCCATGGGCGCGGCTCCCCCGACTTTCCGGTGGTGAAATTCTGCTCGTAACGGATGTATTTGATCGCCGAGAAGGCGAATTGGAGGCCCTGCGAGAGCTGGACGCCCCTGACGACGGGGAGGGGGATGAAGCGGTAGAAGAAGGACATGAGGCCGGTGACGCCGAGGACGAAGAGGATGGAGGCCGTGGAGATGCCGGCGGCCATGATCTGGGGGACGGTGAGACGGGTGGCGGACTCGGAGATGGCGACGGCGGCTATCGACTTCATGGGCTGGACGGGCATGGGAACGCCGAAGAGAAGGCCGGTGACGATGTTGTAGATGGCGGTGAAGATGAGGGTGGTGCCGAGGTCGATATGGTTGACCAGGGAGAGGGCGAGGACGATGGGGATGTACGTTCCGAGGTCGCCGACGGATCCGCCGAGTTCGGACCAGATGGTGGTCTTGAGGCGGAAGCTGGACGCATAGTAGGAGAATGGGCGGCATCTGAAGACAAAGCGGCCGCGGCCCAGCAGAGACGTGCCGGCGTCGGCGGTGGAAGCTCGCGCTGGGGATGAGAGCTGCCCTTCCATGGTTTGCTGCTGCAGGCCGTGCAAGGAAAGGGGGAGAGAAAGGCAGGCAAAACCTTTATCTGTCCGATTATCGGGTCTTCAGAACCTACCCCAGGTCTGCGGTCCAGGAAGGAGAGAGATGTTACATGGAGTTTGAGGCGGCCCCGGATGACTTCATGCCGAGGGGAATTAGATATTGGACCTACGAAAAATATCTAAAGTGAAGACCTTAAATTAATAGGCCATCGTTTTCGATCTTTGCTCATAAGTAAGCTGTACGCTCTGTTCATGATTAAATAAAACAATAATATAACCGTTACGGCTCACTATCAACATGTTCCTTCGCTATCTACGGATTCACCTTTTCCTTCTTTTCATAAGCAATATTTCAGAGATGCATGATGTGCCAGACGTTAGTCAACCATGTATTGGAGTGGTGGGACTCATTGTCTCTATTTTCAAATGTCAAATTCAAATAAAGGGGGTTTCTCTTCACATCTTATGATGGACGGAGATGATTGCATCTCTAGATCAACGTGGAGTTCAGGATTTCATCAAAGTTCCGAGAGTACGAGGTCGGCAAGAGATTGCTATCATCAAAGCAGGGAACAAAAAAGACTAGAGGGAAATCTTAATGGATGAAGGTGGGTGGGTCACAGGTGTATTTTGTTCTTTAGTTCGACTAGTTGAACTTTGGACTGAGGTAAAACTGCGGATCTCGGAAGAACCTCAATACTCTTTCTGCTTTGTCAGCCGATAGATCTGTGTTTTCCAATAGGAACGCCTTTGAAGCCTTGGATATGGATTCAATAGAACCAATGGTCTGAATGAGCTGCGCATAGTCAACAGTGTGAATGGAATGCATGTCTGTTAGGAATGGAACATAACCTCAGTAAAAAAAAAGAAGAAGAGGATTTTGCATGGCTTAAAGTAGTCGAAGATGGATTTAAATAGTCTGCGACTAAGCTAAACAATCTGCGACCAGTGTTCTGAAGATGGATTTAAATATTCAGAAGGAAGGTCAAACAGACCATAGCATCAGATGAAATAAAAAATATAGAAAAGTTCATCTCTAGGCGAAGAAAGAAAACTTACCGCATTTGCGTCGTGATTATTTATTCCGGGTATAGATGTGACTACTCTGAGAAACATGTCGATTCCTTGTACCTGCCTGGCACGCTTTTAAAACAAAGGACTTCATCGATCATATCTCAAAGAATAAAAAAAGCACGGCTAATCATAGAAAATTAACTAACCTCAATCTTTAACTTGTTTATGGCACCTTCCCGTTTACACACTAGAGATGAACACTGAAAACATGTCACAACAGAGGCGGGATTCCTTCGTGTCTACCAAATAGAATAAGTCTGGCTTTACCCCCATGCGCGTGTGCAATCTTCAAAATCTTCTCAAATCCCATCTCTGGATCTCGGACAGACACAAATGTTGGGCTGCCAAGCTCCACAGCATACCTGACTATAACTAGTGTGCGTCACGGCATTCTCCACAAGAGTACAAGTCAGTTTGAAATTACTTTTTTTACCACATACTTAAAATATGATCTATAGAACGAGTCATTTTGCTCCCTGGTGGGGACCGAAACGATGACATAAAAATGTCCGAATTGCTTCTTCAGTTTTCCAACCCTGAAACACGTGGAATTACTAATAGGTTTTAAAAAGAATCACACTAATGAATTGGCGGCGGCAGTCGGATACCTGCTAAAGACGGAAGAAACGTCGTTGGGGTCCCAGCTAGTTACAAAGACAAACGCAACCGATAATCCTCCGTTGTTGAAGATGAAGTCCTATAATAAAGCGTTGTAGAATGCATTGAAAGATGAATGAGTTAAAGGGATAAAGGGGATAAGTAAAGCGATAACATGAGAGAAGGCGACTCTACACGGAGGAATCGATAACATTGAAAGATAATGTGGTCCAATAAATTATTGCAGGATGCAGTATCAGATCAAATTTTATATGATCGTCAATACAGCCAAAAAGACCCGATGAAATGCATAAAAATGCAGGAAGAGGTAAGACTCCCATATCATTTCATCACAAAAACAAATGTAGAGCATTACAGGGGCAATTGGGAGGAAGTTAAGCCGATACGAGTTTTCACTGAGGAAAGACGAAATGAAATGGATGAAGGATGGGGGCTGTTCATCTTTCCATGCGGTATTCATCATGCAGACTCCATTACCTGCGTAAAGGAGTGTCAAATTCTGAAGTGCGAAATACAGATGCCCATAACACAGAAAATAAGCAACCACATTTATTTACCCTCCAATTCATTAGTACAGAAAATAAGCAACCACATATTACTCTGGAAGAAATCAAACCATCGGAACCAAGTGAATTTGATGATTTACTTGTCAACATCTGTAACGAGCCTTGCTCCATTTATGAACATTCTGGAGCATCCCTCCGGATTTTCAAAGTTCGTTAAAATTATCCTGTAGCTCGCAATTCTCTTTTTCTGCAGGCCTACGGTTATGCGCAAATGTTTCCTCTATTCCTTTCCCAGCAGTGACCCCCGATAGAAAACAATCGAGGGGATTTAGAGCCCCGCACGTTTTCACCCATCTGATTCAAAACACAAAAGGCTGGCATCCGCGCCTTGGTTAGCCTCGATCCTCCCACATCGACAGAATATCTTTGACGTCAAATCAATACATACATATGTTCACTACTTACCTCGGCGCCAAATCTCCCTTTCAACAGGAACGAGGAAAACCGCCAAATCGGAGAGATAACAGAGGATCCATTACAGAGGAGGGGGAGCGGGAGGAGCAAACAGTCATTACCTCTCACGGAGGTCGCCGAAGTCGCCATCTGCCGCCGTCCGGACGAGGAAGAAGAGGCGACGCAGAGAGAGAGAGAGAGAGTGGTCAATCCCCCAGAATGGGGTACCGTATTTATAGCCACCGTTTCATCTCTCGGTACCGTTTTGCGCGGGAGATCCGCTCCTTCACTGTTTTTAGTCGTCGCGGGTCTCAAGAACCCACAGTGCTGACGGTTATTACCCTGGCCCCACTTCTCGTCGACACAACCCTCTATCCAATTTGACGGGAATTGAGATTATTGCGCTCTCGAAGAAATGGACTTTTTTTCCCTTTTTATTTTAAGTGGGAGTTTTTGGAGCTAATCAATAGTATTTTGTATTACCATAAATTACTATTTTGAGTAATAAATATGGCCCTTGTTAGTTACGTTTAAGTAATCTCGGAAAACCACAGCGCAGTAATTTTTTTGCGTCGAGAAATATGAGCTGCGGTAGCTGACAGGACAAGAGAGAAAGTCAACTGAGAGGCAGTAATTTCCCACTCATCTCGTAGCTTTCGGGAAAACTAGATTCGTCTGCAAGATTTCACCAGGCATCTTTATAATCTCAAATTTCCTCAAATCCCCGGATTATATTTTTCATGTCTGCACCGGAATACCGTTTTCTCGAGCCCATTCCAAATTCGATGAAGTATTTCTAAGTCAACTCCGACCAATATTGGAGCTCTCCCATGTTTATGAACGGCAGCTGAACGAAGCTTGCGACTTCACTTTTGGAGTTATAGTTGGTCTTGTCTAGTGTTTTCTCAGGTTCACGGAGAAAGGAGGAAATGACAAGAGATCGGATTATATGGCAATGAAACAGTACGGAAGGAGAGGGCTCGTGAAGTCAAACTGTTTGCTCTGAGCAAGGTCCTGCAGGGGTCTGACTTTATCGCTCTGATGGATTTTTGTACATTTCTTGCAACCAACAGTTTCTTACTTTTTTCCGCCACCAACAATGTTAATAGCTAAAACCGTTTTCCATGAGCACCTCAGATCTCTAGACATTTCCGTTGACTTTTCCCGAAATAATTCTCCATTTTTAGGTAAGGGTGTTGAGGAGAGGAGACCTGTTTGCAGACTAAAAAGACTGTCAAAGAAGCTCTCCACTCTACAATGTACACTGGTTTTCATGCAACGGCCATGTACAAACCCCACTCCCCCTCCGTCAACAGTAGAACAGCACCGCCCCTTCAACCTCTCCAATGGCTGGAGCGGCCTCACACAGGGGGGCTCCCTGGCCTGCCCCTTCCCGGCGAAAGATGGCAGCCGCCAAAGCCAGATGGGGTGTAGTTTAGATCACCCTCTTCGCCGCTACCAGCGTCAATCAACAGTAGAACATGACCCTCTTCACCTTCTCCTTCAACGCCGGCAGCGGCTTCACGCAGGACCCGCTCGCCGACCTGGTGGTCCGGGCAGCCGCGGGGTCATCCTCCGGCGCCGCCGAATCCATGTAGAACCGGGCGCGGAAGGCAGCCAGATGGGCGTAGTACGCAGGCGGGACTAGCATGGGAAGGAAGAATCCTCGTCAACACACGCATAGGGAAGATGAGAGTTTTCAAGGGACAGAGGAAGAAGCTTACCGACTGACACAGACCGGGTACACCGAGCGTATCTGCAAGGTTGCCATCAAGATCATGAGCGTTGACTATATATTACCGTAATCGGAGAGAGAGAGAGAGAGAGAGAGAGAGAGAGAGAGAGAGAGAGAATCCTTTACGTGTAGCACAGGTTGTTAGTCAACGTCTGCATCTCATCCGCGGTGAAGTTGCTCTCGTCCCACAGAACATGGTAGTGTGCCGGCCGGCTGGTTCCCTGTGATAATTGGAATCAATCCCCCCCCATCTTGGTAGTTTTATATTCTGGGTCAACTACGTGGAATTTCCCAGGTTGCAGAAACAAAACCTGGATTCCAGCGTGACTGCAAAGGTAGAAGTCAAACTCGGAAGGATGACAGATCTTGGAGTCAACGACCGTGCCTGCGAAAACCCGACGACGACCGATATAGTCTGAGAAGACTCGTTGATCAGGTGCAGGCCAACAAAAATGAGAAAAAATCTACCAGGTAGGATGTTTCCGCTCCTGTCGGTGTTGCTCCGGTCTTTGTGGTTGTTCGCAAACAGTCTCGTGTGGTGTCGCTTCTGAACCACCACAAAGGTCACCGGAGGCTGATAATTTGGCTCCAGTGACGCACAAGCCTGCGAAAGCAGAGACTCTTAGAGGGCTGGGTCTCAGGATGAACACCTTCAATGAAAGACTAACCTTCCGAATGGCATCCAACTCATACAGCAACACTTGATAGAACTGCCCTTCGCTCACGCCATCCCTACAATGGTCGGTCAACCCAGATGATCCCGAGAGAAAGAGACAGAAGAATGGGCCGAAGAGGGTGCAGATGATCAGGAGTATAAGTCAACACCTGTAAAAGATGATCCTCAGCGGCTTCTGCCCGGTTGCATTTCTGAAAGAGATCAGAAGCTCCCTGCAGATTCAGAAATTTAACAAATGTATGACTAAACATGTATTAATTCACAACTGATTCAACCAAACTCCCTAGTTCGTCAGCTTGGCTCATCCAGGGGAGAGCAATCCACAAACCTAATCATTCCTCCGGCCACAGTACCCCGCTGGGGGTCCTGCCAGGTCTTGTACAGATCTTGGATGAGCTCCTCTCGATGAGCCTGGGCACATACTAATCCGGCATACTTCGTCACCTCGGGCCAATCTTGAGAGGCAACGACCTGTTTTCAGCCCGTGCTCGTCAGAGTCAACAACTCAGAACAGATCATTGAAACGAATGAAGAATGACTTCAACTGGTGATTAATTACGGCTGCAATCGACGGACTCGAATCCTCTCCAGTTTCTGGATGCGTCACATCTGCTCCAAATATTATAGTCGGAATGTCACTGACTAAGGGAATCCTCCAACTTAGAGCGTCCACGAGAACAGTGTTCCTCCCTCCCAGCTGACAAAGAGTTGACCAAAAACGTTAAAAGAGTAAAACAGTCGTAAGAATCAAATAGAAAAAAATGGTTACTTTCGAGAAAAAAATACCTTGACATTGATCTTCAGCGCGACATTTGCTAAGTATTGCTTGCTGATCCTAAACACGTGCTTTGTCAGGCAGCATTGGGATATCAGTCCCAGATCCGTCTCACAAATCCTCTTGAGATCGCCTGGTTAAAAGATCCCATTTAATGCGCTCACCCGCTCCGTACTACTGCAAATTAGATGGGGCTAGACGTACCATACAGAGGGCCATTATTGTCAGGGAGGATGGCCAACAGTAGCTCCAGGTCTTTCCCTTTGAGCTTGTTCATCGATACGTTGTATACGTGCTTTAGGGCCTTCTCCACTTGATCTGGTCTGGCTGAGTAGATGGGCATCACGGGCTCTCGGTTGAATTCCTACAGTGAGAAGAGAGGTAGGGCCCAAACAGAGATGATTCTCAGGCTGATGGCGCATTAAATTCATTAAAACACTAATGAGATGAGCTGGGGTTATCACCATCCCCGAGACTTGGCACATCTGGGCAAGCTCCTGGCAGAAGGTCCGGGCGGTGCTTTCCTGCACGCTCCGGGAGAAGTTGATGCAGGCCCAGTGATTGACGGTGCTCCCGTTGATCATTTTCTGTATCAGAAGTCAACGCCACTCACGGTTAATCACACAATTATCAGCAGGGAAGGCCTGACCATAGACCACAGATTCTCAAGAGAACCGACCTTATTCATCATATTCCATTGACCCACTTGGGGCAGGCATTCCTTCTCCTTCCCAGCATCATTATATTTCAGCTTCGTGATTTGAAAATGTTTCCGGGTTAGAAAAATCAACCGAGAGATGAAAACCAGACGAAACCTGTCCCAGTCGTAAATGTGAGTAGTGAATTACCCACGGCGCAGGGAGCACTCGAGCTTCAACTGAGGCAAGCCTATCACTGATATTAATCCCGAACTCCTTGGCATAAGGGTCGTCGTGATACCCATTCTGTGACATGGTCTGCATGAAAGACAAGAGGGTAGAAGGTTTTGGGGCTGTAGCATGATAGCCAACATACTGGATGAATCACAGATGAAACTAGCTCGAATATCGGCGACGATTCCGACAAAAACATAATTAAAAGGTGCGGGCAACCTCAGCGAGGGAGATCATGAAATGATCGTAGGAAGGAAGTTGAGGACCTGAAGGATGTCAGCTTCTTGCTCTCTTGGCCGCTGGCAAGTAACTTTCAGCAAGGAAGTGATCTGCTTTTCATTTAACCTCTTGGTGTATCTTTGCCCTTCCACAATCTTGCACGCCTGACATTACGAAAACCTAAACCTTTTCACCACAAGACAATCTGGAGCAGGATCTGGAGAGAAACATGCTCAATACCGACCTCCATTGGCAAATAATTGGCCTTCTTCTGATTGCCCACCTGAAGGCAGGGCAGATGCGAGTGTTGAATGGCGAAGCCGTACATCTCTTGGAAGTACTCGACCACGGACTTCATGTTCATCTGGTCGTCGACGGGAAAACTGTTGAATAAAATATCAGAATAAACAATCTGATATAGACCCGATTATCGAATGGCAATTTCCAGTCTAGATGAATTTCGGCAGTAAAGGATGTAATGAGATCGAGGAGTAGGGTAACCTAGAGAGCTCTCACATTAGTTCCCGTGTGGGTAGCGAAGTTATCCCATAGACTCTGTATTTCCTTCGGACATTACCTCTGTGAGTGACTTCAACCTTCACACCTCTCAGGGCTTTCTTGATCTGAATCCGAAAAGGGAAATATGATACCATAAGTCGGTCAGCGGCAATAAACACTCGTCCAAAGCAATGTCATGCACGCTTCACTGAGATCTTCCTCAGAAGAATCCCAAAGGATTCAGCTACCTTAATACGGTCAGCGTCTGACAATGGCCTTGACAAAGTATCTTTGCCAAGGATTTGAGCGGCAAACTCGATCACCGGAAGCGGTTCAATAAACGCAGTGCAGGACATGTCTGGATAGTACGTTTAAGGTCAATGAATCTTCCCCCGAAGATCAAGAACGGGAAGGCTGAAAATAGTTTAGACGACTCATTTCTCCACGAGAGGAAAGGAAGCGGATGGGTACCAATATTAAGCGACAGGCCCATCTGGGTCGGCCTTATGCTCTGGTAGAAGCCGCGCCATGACTGCAGCCCTTCGCCCAGTCGTTGTGGTCTTCTGATGTCGGGCGAGTAGAAGGACCTCCCTATCGAAACGTATCTGAAAGCACAAGGATTTTCTTGGATCACTTCATTTACGATGGAGAAACCATGATGAGATAGATCATGCAATGATCTCGTGCAAGCAGTCGTACCTCTGAGTGGATAACTCCCTCAAGACGATATCAAGAACCTGCAGGGCTTCCTGGGGAGCATCAGGCTGCTTCCCCGCCAAGAACTGGCGCAGGTGGTCAAGGTCTGCCCGAGCCACGTGCTTGATAGCCACCGTGTACACAATCTCTCTTCAGACACAAGAGGTCATTAGGATAGATGTCTCCAAAACCCTGCAATTCCGGAGCTCGGTCGCCTACGATAAGCAGTGCATTGTAGTATACCTCATGACGCCGGTCCCATGCTCGTCGTCGGCGATCTTCACGGTGAACTCCTTGAACGAGAACGGGAGATGGCCAGCGGTGTAGAGGCTCTTCCGTCCGTCGTAAGCGGGAAGCCTCATGCCCAAACCCGTCTCCCGGTGGAGCTTCACCAGCTCCGAGATGATCGCCCGGTTCAACCTCCGGGACTTCACCTCGGGCGTAATGGTGACCTGGAGGAAGAGGACAAGAGTGAGCATAGCTAACGAGACAAGCATTTCGTCCGTCCCGCCGCAGATTAGAAGGGTCCATACATCGTAATGATTCAAGTCCTTGGCAGTCAACTGAGTGAGAAAATGGTTGGCCTTGACGATACACCTGGTTCCCGCCTGCCCGAATCCCGGCCGCCGAGCGAAAGCCACAGCTTTATTGGAGGTCAAGGGGCCTGAGCTGAGGCCCACTTCCAAGGGAGGCGGCGCCCCCTTGGAGCCCACCGGCGCGGGTACTCTTCCCCTACCGCTTCCCCTTTTCCTCCGGGAACCTTTCTTCAGGACTGTATGCAACTGGGTTTGCTGAAACTCGGGTTCCTGGATATTCATGGAGCCCTGCAGAGGCTTCTTCGGGGCGGCGTAGACCGTCTCCTTCGGCGCTCTCACCTGCTCGCGAGGCATGTCGACAGGGAAGGAGGGACCAAGGCAGGGCTTATCAGTCGTCTCTCTCACTGCGAGCATCATGGGGTTGGTGGTGCCGACGCTAATGCCGCGATCACAGCTCGGCTATGCATTTAACCCTGCGCAAGAAGACCGAAATAGCAGGAGAAGCTTTAAGCCGCGATATCAAATCAATAACCATTGAGAGATATCATAGCCGACGAGGACGAGCAGGGCTGAGTCCCACACTGGTTTCTCTCGCTGAAAAATCAATTAGAAGACGAGAACTGCCGCCTATGGACAGCATCAATCATCCCGAGTAGAGGCCTTGAAAACGAAGCCGAGGAACCCAGAACGATTAAATCGGAATAAGACACAGAATAAATACCTATAGAGAGAAGGAGGATGCCATGAGCATCGTGCATGTCGAACTCCATAGATGGGTTGATGTGGAGGTAATTTGAGAGAGAGAGAGAGCGAGAGCGAAAGAGAGAGAGGGGACAACTGGGCACGACGGAGAGGGTAGAGGCGAGGATGTTCTGGGGGAGGAAGAAGGGGATACGCAGCGGGTAACGGCTGGTGCTGGTGCTACAAACAAACAGAATACCATGATGGCTCTCCACTCGTTCCTATCCCCGACGTAGCGCGGTTCAAAACCCAGCAGTAGAAGAGAAGGCCAATGCGGTAGAGGCTTTTTCAACGGTCAGATAGGCGGACCCCACAAACGAGCCGGACCAGGCCCGCCTTGGACCCCTCGCAGTCACTGGACTTGGCCACATCCACTTTTGACTGTCGTCGGAAAAGAGAGAGATCCATGAAATCGGCGGCGCCGGCGATTCTTCCCCAGCGGGAGCTTCCGCACCACACCTGGGGAGTCTGTCGTTTTCCTCGTTCCAAGATCCACTTGGAGTCAATCGACAAAGAAGAGAAACAAAGGTCAAACCCATAAGGTCAACTCTCAAGTGCACCGGTACCTGAAACTCCCCATCCTCAAAGCAGGTTTAGTCAAACGGACGACGGCGTAGAAATAATACAGGCCTCACTGAACTAATCGGGCCTTCCCCACCGGCGGCCGGCAAAGATCGTCAGCGAAGGTGAGGACGAGGCTTTCAACGCCGATCAGCTATCCGCTGCAACAGCGGAGTGGAGAAATGGCGTCACCGTCAGAGGTAGAGTGCGGCGTGGGCATGTTATAGGATCAAAGGTGGGCCGGGTCTACAGAGGGACAACTCTACGGCAGCTACTCCCCGACGAGCAGTGCAATTAATGAGCAGTCATAGGACAGCTCCTCCGTGGGCTCTCTCTCTCTCTAACTCTCTCTCTAGCCCGACTCCGTCGACAGAGATTAAAGGTACCCAGAAAAAGACTTTCGGCGGTATCTGCCCTGGATCACGGCGGAGACACCCCCGGAAGTAACAAAGATATCGGATCGTCTAGGAAAAGAAACACGACTAGAAGCGACCTTGAAACCAGATTGGTAGGTCAGGATTGCAGGAACGTTCGATCAGAGAAAGATGGGATATTCATAACATGAATGTGGCTGAGGAAACGATACGGATATATATATATATCTAGAGAGAGAGAGAGAGAAGAAGAAGGCCGGAAACCGGCGGCAGGCATCGGAAATGCCTGGTAATGGCTCCATCGGCGTCTTCTAGCTCCTCCCACCTGATCTATGTTCCTAGCTGGCCCTCCGAAATTCGGACATGCGACATTAACGACCTAGGTTTGTCGGAGGAAGAATGACCGACTAGGGCTCTTCATGTGTGCTGAGTAGAGGATGAGTCGAGAGGTCGGGTACCATACCGGGGGTAGCTATCGACAGCAGCAGCAATCATGAGATTACCGTGCTCGATGACAAGGGAAGAGAGAGAGAGAGAGAGAGAGAGAGAGGAATGGTGGTGATGGAAACAGAGTCGGTGAGTCGGTGAGTGGGGGAGGCTCTGGAGCAAACCTTTTGCTTCACAGCTTCGCTGCAGGTGGCTCCATGATTCATGATCGCCTGCCACTATGCTGAAAAAGCCGGTTTTCACTCACTTGAAATGCAGGGAAGAGGAGAGAAAAAGAGCGTAGCCTGCCCCAGTCATTAATGTAGTATCCACAGCCATGAAATGTAAGATTTTCCATGTTCTTCGCTCCTCTCCTGTCTCTGCCTTCGCACCTTTCGCCCTCTGATGCAGATGGGCAGTCGGAGGAACGTGGATATGTAGAGAATGATAGAGAAAGAGATAGATGGGTATGCTCTATCCTGTCGAGCACAGGTGAGCTTACGGACTGGGAATTTAGAACTATACGGGAAGACGTGGGCTCTGATGCGCAGAGTTGAGAATAGATGGTGGAGCTGAGGCATGTCGAAGAAATAGGAAGAGAACGACAAAAGTGAGGGAGAAGACGACGCATCCGGAGAAGACAACAAGAGGAAGATGAGGAAACATAACCCAAATCTCCCGGAGCAACTCGCAAGCAGACCCACACTTAAGCACACCAGAACGCCGAGGGAGGACAAAGACGCAAAGACAGCGACGACTCAGGGAAGGTGACGAACCTTCTTTCTCTGCTGCAATGCCGGCGGCGAGACCTCCGATCTGTCGTTGCGGTCTCTTTGTTTCGTTGCGCCCCCACGTCTCTTCCAAGAGGAAGACGACCACCAGCTGGGTCCAAGGTACTGAACTATCTCCCCCACCCCTCTCTCTGCACTGCATGTAGAGAGAGATGCAGTTGCAGTTTCCCTTTCGCGAGCGTGCTGTTAGAAAACAGCCAACATGCCCGTTCCCATCCCTCCACCACGGCACTTTTCTTCTATAATATATATTACCCTGCCGGCAGCCCCCGCTCTGCGGCACGTATGGCAATCCTGCTAGCAGAAGGCGGCGAGGAATAAGAAGAATATAGGGTTTGTGGCGGAAGCAACGCTTTCAGAGCTCCTCGCGGCTCCCCATTCCGCTCGCCGCCATCTTTATCCTTGCGAGAGGAGCTCCCGAGGTCGCGTTAGCTGGCGTGGGATTCGAGAGGGAGGTCAGATAAAGATGAGGTGAGGCAGCAGGGGGAATGTCTGAGAAAACGAGGACGGAGGGAGGGCGATGGTGGAGGTGCCGGCGCTGGTTTTCGGTCTTTTTAAATGACGGAGACGTGGGCACGAGACGGCAGAGGCGTGGGAGGGCCCGCTAACCGATGCCGGGGGGACGCCTCGGCGGCGCCACCGTCCTCCCCGACCATTCCGACGTCTAGGGTTCCGTTCCTTGGCCCGTGACTCGGTGAGTCGAATGGAGGAATCGGCAGGCGAGGTGCGAGCTGTCCTGGGGCGACAGGACGTCTACCAGCTTGCTAGCTCGACCAACCCTGACGCTATTAATGGGGACCCGTCGACCTCCTTCCCCATTTCAGGCAATCGCGGTTCCCTCACCGCCCTAATTTCGCTACTGCTGCTGCCGAAAACCAGCCATTTCATGAGCCGTCCGACATTGACCTTAGTAGGTCCTTACTGGGGCCGGTTGGATTATTCTCCAGTGAACCTTTCCAGGACGGCAAGTTTTCCATCTGAGGAAAAGGCCATCTTCTTCCCATCTCCCTCTCCGTGTGTCTGGATTAGGTTTTCTGGAGTCTGCTGGCGATGATGGGGGTGACGCTTCTCCTCCCTTTGCAGGCGTGGCCGCCGGAGTGGATGGCTCTGATCTTCGTCGTCCCCGCAGGCCTTCAACAGTTCCCCCACCCCTTTCTTAAAAGGCCCACCACAGACTGCAAATTATTTAAGGCCTTCCCCCTCGACCCTGCTCCCCCCGGAGCTGTTCCTTCTCGCGCTGCAAATGCTTTCTGTCCACAAATTGGCCCACAACGTCAATTAATTTCCTCCGGCGGACCCCCCCCCTCCCCTCCTTTACCTTTCCACCGCACGCCGAAGCTTTCCGGCTGGTTATCAGAGAAGATGGATCATCGACTCGCCTGAGTCTTCCCCACCCGTTCCATGCTGCACTAGCGAAGGTCTGTGGATTCCATGGATCTTTCTCTCTCCCTGTCTCTCGCTCTTCATTCGTGGTTAGCCTAGAAGCTTTCCGTCGATTACCCTAGGGCTGCGTTACGTTAGTAGATTCTGGCGATTGCAGGGGGAGGACGACCTGCCGGGTGCTAGTGGGGAAGGCACTGGCGTTGACGACGGATTTCTGCTCTGCGGCCGAGCAGGAGATGGCTTCGGGCAGCCCGCCGGCTTCAATGCCTCGGTGGCGCCGCCGGTGCCGTTCCCCCCTCCCCATGCGCGCGGCAACTACAGCCGTCCTCACCTCCGCCTACAGTTCGCCCCGTCGTCCTCCTCCCGTGGGACAAGTCGCCGTCTGTACGTAAGATGCCATGATGGCGATGAATCTGATGATGATCTCGAGCTATGGCGGATGGCCCAGACGAATATTTTCCACTTTTAGCCCTCCCCATATCCTCAGCCATGAAAGGACCTCCCCCACCCTTCCTCCTAGCTGGCGGCCTCTTCTCGGATAAGGAAGTTTCAACTGCGCATGCCCCGGAAGAGCAGCACTTTCACGTGGCCTACGGCAGGCAGGCTAATCTAAACTCGGGCTCGCGCAGGGCGGCTCTGCATGCCGTCTGCTCCATGGCCAGCACGTGTAGCGGCACCGGAAGAGAGAGCTGCCCGCTCTGCGGACAGCACAGTCCCTCTGTAAAGAACTAGAAAGAAGAGGATGGACCCCCCGCCACTACCACCGTGAGAGAGGCTGTCGGGGACAAAAGGCACTTTCTCTCTCCCTTCCTTCCTCCCGCCCGCAAACTCTCTCACTCTCTCACTCTCTCTCTCTCTCTCTCTAACATTCCCTCAGGAGGAGTGAGAGTGAGAGTGGCGTCCCCTGCTTTCCCTTTGACCATCCATGCGCGTGACGGGGCTGGGGTCCACAGAGCCACGCGTCGCGTGTTGAGGCATCCCTAAGTGGGTCCCAAAACCCCTTGGCGGATCGACTAGTCCAATTTCAAAGGTTGGGCCTCCTCGAGCCCAGAGCCAGTACGTAAAATGGGCGGGCCCATTTAAAATACCGTCTATTTGGGCAACGGACAATCTGGGCTCTCTAACAGCGGGAAGCCGAGTTATGCCGAGCCTTACCTCGGCCCAATTGTCGTAAACGTTGGGCTGGGGCCCAGCCGCTGCCAGACCGGATTTGTCTAATATGAGCTTTATTTTAGGCCGATAAGATTATGGGCGTAAGAAGCCTACTACCGCTGCGGCTTTTCATTAGAGCTCCCCGGGAAACCCCCTCCCCCACACCCTATGAGCGTCTGGGTCGCTTCCTCCGAAAGGCGCACTGCAGAAGCGAAGCTGGAGCAGCGAGGGGAGGAAGGTCGGAGGAGGCGGGGAGAGGGGATGACGATCGACGACGAGAAGTCGGTTTACGTCGGCGGCCTTCCGTATGACGCCACAGAGGAGACCGTCCGCCGGGCCTTCGATCTGTACGGGGCCGTCCGGGACGTTAGGGTACGTCCCCTAGCTCCTCCTCCCCCACTTTATTGCTTCTTCTCTGGTTCGTCGCGCGTTTTTATCCTTATTTTACTTTTTGTAATTGTGAACGGGCTTTGCCGGTGTGTGCGCTGCGTTTCTTCTTGTTTTGATGATCTGCTTCCGGCTTATCTGGTGAGGGTTTTGGACGCTCATAGGAGTTTTACGCCTGGTATCTGCTCTTGGATTCGTCAATAAAGCTGCTAATATATGGTAAGAAACCATTATGAATAAAATTACACATTCCCTCGTATCCTATGATGGCAAATAGTACTCTTTCACTGGCATTACCCGAAACTCCGGTTTGGAGTTCCGGTTAGTATGGCGGCATTCTACCCGTAGAGAACTTCATCAATGATCTGAGAAGCTAGAAACTAATTTCTTGGGGGGAGCATAGAACACCCACCCTTTACCTTGATGAGCATCTGTTGGACCATTTGACTGCATCTGCAATTTTTTTTCGTTCATTACTGTCAGATTAATATTTGTGTCTTCGTACAGTGTCCCCTGCATCACTAGTAAAAATATATTTGGTTCTTTCCTATTATGTGATGTGCGCATGTTTTATTCTTCGAATTACTCTTCTGGGTACTGATTATTTTTTGAATGCTTCTCCAACCGCAGATAATCAATGATCGGCAGGTTGGAGGAAAATGCTATGGTTTTGTCACCTTCACAAACCCTCGGTCTGCGATAGATGCTATCAATGATATGAATGGCAGGGTATTACCATTGGCGTTCTTATTCTTATTCCAATTTTTGAGTTAGCTCTTGACAGTGCCTTCTGACTTCGAGAATGCGAATAATTTTATTTTCCTCTCATAATTAAAAAATATAATTTCATAATTGTTCATGCCAAAGTCGTAAAACATGTAGAGTCGACTTTTATAAGCATATGTTCTGTCTACTTCCCACTTGTACAGTTTGTGTGGTTCATGCAAATTCTTTTCGTCTTATTTTACTTTATTTTAGGCTGTTGATATTTCCTACCTTTCTTCTATAGACAATTGGTGGTCGAGTGGTACGAGTAAATGAGGTACGGACAAGAGGGAGAAGGCCAAACTTCAACCGTGAGAATTACCATCGGTATGATGAGAGGGATGCTGACTGGGATAGGGGAAGAGATAGAGAAAGGGATCGGAGTCATGACCGAGACCGATATCGAGACAAAGACATTGACCGATCTCGGGATCATGATCAGGAACGGGAAAGAGAGTATGAACATGTCTACGAACCTGATAGAACTAGAGATCACATCCTTGACCGTGATAGAGAACAAGAGGACCGTGAAATAGACCATTCTCAAGAACGTGAACAAGATTGGGAGAGGAATGAAGATGTAGACTGGGACAATGACAGAGAAATGGATAGAACTGGAGAATATGAAAGAAGCAAAGAGAAGGATAAAGGGAAACAATCAAGGAATCGGTTTGGGTAAGCTATCCGTCTTGAGTATCTATTGGCCTTTATTCTACTTTATCTTACCATCGATCTATTTGGAATGTACTATCATGTCAATGCTGTAATGAATATGTGATGGTGTCCACATAAAAAAAGAGACCATCACGTAAATCCAAACAATGCTTGTCTATATGGCCTTGCATCGACGAACTTCCAATATAGAAACTCTAATGTGCTATTTTTCTTCAAAGAGTCATTTTATCATCATGGATACAAATGTGTCCCCAAGATATCCTGACATTTTCAGTTCTTGGTAATGCTGAACAATACCAAATTATGCATTCATCACGCTGGTGACAAATGGAGTGAACATGTCTGTAATTAGCATGAATACAATGCGAAAATTGAATGCAGAGAAGGCATTGGGGTTGACAGACAACATATATGGACCTCAAACTTGTTTACTTATTCCGAGGCATTTACAGAAGATTTTGGCTCAGCTGTTTTTTTAACTAAATTTCAAGTAGACATTGAAAGTAGGCATTTGAATAATATGCAAACGAATGTTCTTGTAACAACATGGTTGAGTAAGTTTTCTCGAGAGCAGTAAGTTTCCTTTCCGAATAAATAGTTTATCTTAGCTTAGAAAAAAGAGAACATACCTTATGTTCTTTTGGAGAGGAGTTTCGGAGGAATAACTTCATAACTTTTCATAGAAATTCAAAGATGATGACCCTTGTAGAATCTACTACAATATGAGTTGTTTGCTCAATGAAAAATTTCTGGGGCAATAGTTTATGTATGAAGGATAATTCTATGATTTATAAATATTTTGTATCTATTGGGAAATATTTGCATTTAATGGCTTTAATTTGTTCTATTCTGAAATGTTTGAGGTTGGTCTCCTTTTGAAATTAATAGATGTCAGGTTCAAAGTCTCTTCTTGTCAATGTGGAGTATCTTTTTAACGTAATGCGTTGTGAAAATATTTATGTATTATGCTCTTAATTGAGCCCTTCTTATTAGCTGACTTCTGTGATAATAATTTTGGGCCAAGCTTGATGCGGATTAAAATAATGGTGCGAAATATAGGAGATTTATATGGATGGGGATAAAGATGATTTCCGTGTTTTATAGAGCCTAAGTATTGGATTAATGGTGGAATGAAGAACATATTTCCCTCTATGGTCAATTGAGGAAAAAGGGCTGTAATTGGTCATCTAAAATTCTCGTTTCCACGATTGGCAACATACTATTGGAAAGGACATTTTACGAAGGCCTTAGCTGATAGGCTATGCAAAATTCGCTCTCATGTTTTGAAGAGTGTTTTTCTGAGTACTAAAATTTGCGCTGTAAATTTTCCCAGAGTTGTCCTAGAGTTGCGGTGTTCTCATTAGTGTGACAGTACATTGTGAAGTGGTCTTTATATTCCATAATTCGTGAGAAATTATTTAGTGACATTGCACACAATGTTGTTGCTAAAATAAAATCAAGTTTTGGACTTTAAGGAAAAAGCTTGGGTTGATATCTGTCCCAAACTTCTTGCCTCAAGCACATAACGTGATATGTGGTAATGTTCCATAATGAATTGGCAATTTATGATTAACGTGATTCATAAGTAACCATGAACTTTGTGGCCTCTAAAAAAATGATTTTGGAAGAGAAAAATGTTGATGCCACTTATTGTAGAAATAAGGATAAGAAAACTTTTGTACTCAGCAATGGTCATGAAGTTGATCTCGACTCACTGTGTTAAAAAACCCATGGGTTATATTTGTGTTATAGCATTGAAAGGGTTCAAATTGGCCTTAAGTGCAATTTGAGTTTACTCAGATCTTTGGTAAGCAAGAGAGAAAGAAAAAAAGATTCTTTAAGCTCATCCAATACACGTTTTTGCCTGAATTAGGCTACTTTAATGATTAGTATCTTGAGTTCTTTTGGCTTCCTGAACGTATTTAAAAATTTGAATGCATTAAACCGCATTCCTTGTTGCTTTGTTCAATATTATTTTCTAATTTGGGTCTTGTAATCCACATTTTTAATCCATTTAAATTGAAGTTGGATGTGGGAAGTCTTTACTGCCGCACTTAAATAATCATGATGAGCTTGTTGCTATGCTTTTCTAAGGAATTCCAATGATCGTCAAATCAGAGAGCTATCGTCAAATTCCAATGCTGAATATCTTGACCAGGTAATAAAAATAATGCTTGATTATTGAGTTTTTTTAAGTAAGTCCGTTTAATATTAGCTTTGTCTCGTGCTTCGTCTTTCTTCCTTTTAATGTCAGGTGAAGGAGCAATTGGATGTGTGCATTCTTAGACGGGAAGAACTTCAAAAACTGGTAGGCCTACGTACTTATGTTTCTTGAATAATATTTTATGCCACGAGTTCCAATTCTTTATATCCGTGACCTTAATGTGTTTGCTGGTGAACGTTAAGATATGTTTGTAAAACGGCTAAGTTGCTCTGTAATTGTCATGTTTGGTTTGGATACACACTGTTTCTCTGCTTTCAGATCTTCCAACCCTATCATCACGCATCAGTTTAAACATTTGCTACATCATTTCCCTGAAGGACTTTATTCAGTCAAAATCATAGATGTCAGAGTCACGTTATGCGAACAAGGAAAGATATTTTAGTGGTGTTCTTGAAGTTTCATTCGTTCAAGGAAACATGTGGCATGCTTTACATGTGCCTATGCGAGAGGAAAAGTTTTTGGAAATTGTTCCTAAATACGTGGTAGAGGTTCACTTAGTAAACTATAATTTTACTCCTAGGCAGCTATCCTTTCCTTTCCAATATATATAAATAAATTGTTCACGTTGATTTTTGGTGGAGATGCCCCTTTTGGCAGCATTGCTTGTTTCCCCCATATGTTCAACAGTTTATTGAGGTTATTTTACTTCCTGCTCAAGAATTTGAGCCTCGTATCGAACTCTGTGTTAGTTGTGGCGACCAATAAAAAATGATGAAACTATGGACTGCTGTACTCACAAGGTTAAAAACTATACTAATGCATGTGGCAGTGGCTGGTGATGGCGGTTGAGGCGTATTTTTTGCCCCCTAGAGGCGAATAAACTCTATCTTGTTGGCATTTCTGTCTTCCCAGTTTGCTTGAACTCATTTTTCTTACATAACCATTTTAGGGTCATTACCTCAGGTTGCCTGAACATAAGTTTCATGGCTAATGAGGCAAGCACCCTTGGTAGCCAAGATGTGTAAGATTACTCCTTTTGTAAGAGAGATTTATCATTTTTTCAACTGAAAACAATGTCTATTACTTTTTTGGATGGGGTTGTGAAGTAGCTGATTTCTACTGTATTTTTCTGCATTGGAGACTAGCGCCATGATAAATACAAAAATAGCAAATTGCGTAAGCCAGCATTAGATTTTGTTCAATTTGAACAAAGGAACTACAGGAGTTGTCTACCTAGAACAAGTGTTTTTCATCCATTTTCTTTCCTTGCTGCTTTGCGCTTCATGTCTTTTTGTGGACGTTCTTTTGGCTGTGCTTCACTTGTAACCTGAACTTTTCCTTATTGTCGCATAATGTGTGAAATAGTCATAGAAGAGAAAACTAGCCATAATGCGAGGATAATCTGCATTTATGTATATCAGACTGGAAATTAGCAGCATGCTCTGTTGTTGAATATGCAGCTGGGAGAGAGGAATCTTGATATGGTTTCATGAAACGAAAACTGACCTTGGACTGTGAGAGGTTGAGTCGGTTGAAAGTTAGAGTATTTGCTGTTCAAAATAGAAGATGGGGAAAATCAACCAAATGAGTACCCCCTCTTGTAAGAGGGAGTGCAGATCATTATTTCAGTATTCTGGTATATTTCTCTCAATTTTTTCTCTTTTGCGCCGGTGATATGTTATTAAGACAAGGGTTATCTCGCATTGTCATTCTGTATAAATTTGGACGTAAGTATGGCTGACAGGGGGCGGGAACTAATCAATCTGATCATCTATGTGGAGTGTTTGTCGCTTGTGCCATTGGTCTAGGGTAGTAATCGTTTGTTCTTGAATACGTTTCCACTGGTGTTTATATTTTTTCCGAAACTTTGTTTCTATTTATTTTCTGAATTTCATTTACAGTGCAAGGAATAAGATAATTATTGTGATTATTGCTTCCATCAGATATCTCATATGGAAGAAAAGGTGGAGGACAAAGGCCAACTTGTAATAGATTTGCAGAAAAAGTCTCAGGTCATCTCGTCTTCCCTCACTTTCGTTCGGCCTTTGCACTAATATTCAGTCGAAGTGTGCCATTTTCTGGTTGACTTGCGTGCTGATTTAGCTAGCCTTGGTCAGAAACTAGAGGATGCTCTGGCCGTTGCAAGAAAGCTCTCTTCTCAACGACAATCACAATTGTTCAAGGTAAAGTACGCGCGATCAACACACTCCTCTGAAAAACCCAGGGACACTCCGCGGTCTCATCACCGTGCGTGACATGCAGCTGCAGAAGTGCTTCCTGCAAGTCCAAGACTACTCCGAGAAGCTCAAAAGCTGCGAACTGGAGCTACAGGTTGGCTGCCTATTTTCCTTCCATCGTATAAAATAGTAAAGTCAACTCCTTTGGTGGCCTAGCTTTTTGGCCACTGATCAGTACCATCCTAAGCCTCATCCAATCAGTCTAGTCACAATATCTTGTTTATGATGTAATTCTCCAAAGTCGTGGCCATCCATTTTCTAGATAGGGCATAATCTAGGTTCTATATGATAAAATGGCGGCATGATCTCTGGCTCACACCCCTCAGTCTTCTTCCTGCAGTCCGTTGTAGATTCAGTGTCGGCTGAGCTTGACATGGGAGAAGAACCAGGAGCGAGGGACGGTTCTGTGTATGGAAATGGCATGTCGTGAGCGGCCCGGGCCGCAGCCGGCAGTAATTTGGTTTGACCACTGTCTAATATGAACGCGGCTTTGGATTGATGAACGCTGACCGCACTCTTTGCTGTAGATTCTACCTTCTTCTAGGCCTTTCATTTATCGATTTCCTGCGTTTTTGCCCCGGCCTTTCCCCTCATTTCTTCGAAGTTTTGTACTCTCTCTCTCTCTCTCTTCCTACAAGGCTAAGGCCTCATTGGGTCTAGTAGCCCATTTAAAGCTACGGGGATCAGGTCATGCGGACGTGCAAGTCAACTGTTCAAGCTTCGTGGTCAAGTTTCTCGGGGGCGGCTGAAGTCAAAATCCGATACCTCACTGGCGTTCGCAAGGGGCAGTCCTCAGCCGCTGCATTGTCTTGCTCCGGGTCCCCCCCACCGCCGCCGTCTTCGCCAGGGACCACAATTACCGAAGGAACTTATTCATACCACGCGGAATGTTTTGGCAGCCCCGGTACCCGTCTTCTACATGAAGAATTACCGTGGACAAATACCGTCCATCTTTGTCCTCGTCGAGATAGAGAGAGAGAGAGAGAGAGAGAGAGACTTAGAATCTGCTTACCTTCCTGCCCACTTCAAAAAAGCGGGTAGCAGCGGAGGGAGGACGGAGGAGAGCCCCACATCTCCTTTGAGTTTCTTATGGTTCTTCCATTTATGCAAAGAAGAGTTCTGTCTGTGTGTTAATTTCCTCCCCGTCCAACGTCCATGGCATATTCCTTACTTGGGGCCTTGCAAAACCACCGCCTCCCTCCACCCGGACGCACTCACAGACAGATGTAGATACATTTGAAGGACCAAGAGTGGCCTGGCTTCACAGTGGTTCAGCTAAAGGTTGTTCTTGGTCTGTAGCTCACCGCCTGAGCCAGGCTCATTCTCCATTCAGGATCTGGTGGAGTTGAACCCCAACTTCATGAATTAAGACTACGAGCAATCAATTCATTTTCATTTAAATTGTTTTTCTGCTGATAGCAGAAAGAACGATTGCTTTTATGAAAGTAACACGTTTCATACATTATGATCTGAAAGGTCGATTTCCACGTAGAGTAGGAGCATGTTTCATACATTCCATGCATATAATATGCTCACAGCGAATGAATGGGGTAAAATTTTCCGAGTGAGCTCACTGTGAGACGAGCATGAGGCGAAACGAGGGGGATCTTCTTCCTCCGTTGCCAGTTTTATCCTTCCAGTGGACTATCTTCTTCAACCACTCTCCATCTCCGCTCATTTTCTTCTCAGGAAGTTGCCATATATCCCTACGCTTTACTTTATCCACGCGCTTTTCCTTTCTCGCTTCCCCCGTCCTTTGTACTTCTCCAAGTCGCGCTTCAAAAGAGGGACTTTCAGAGATCGGGCTGAGCAGCTCCACAAGCTCGAGGATTTCCTGGCCCGTCTTGAAGAAGAGCGGCTCAAGATCGAGGCCTTCAAGCGCGAGCTGCCACTCTGCTTGCTCCTTCTTGACGAGGGTAACCCACCATGCACCGTCGTCGTTGAGATATTCGCACTCTATCCCGATGATTGCAGAGGTCATCTGTGATGTTCTTTCTATATTTTCCTTGGTTTCCCCCGCTTCCATCGGGGCCACAGCCATGGACTGTCGAATATTTCCGTTAAGTGGGCTGCACATACTATTGTTGTGCATGTTGGTTATTGCAACGGCCGTTTTTGAGACGTTATGGAATAGGGTATGTAGGAAGATCGTGTAGAAAATCGGTCGACAATTTCAATCCTTTGATGGAAAGGGATTGAAACCGTCGAGCCTCTTTTCGAAGCTATAAATCCAAGGGTTTGGTCCCTGCTTCATCATCGTTGGAATCCTCAAGGTCCCCATCTGCTAGAGGAGTAATTCCCCAGTGATTGAAGCAGAAGACCATCCCCCGTGATTGAAGCAGAAGACCATCTGTCTGAAGCGTACCGTCGGAATCCCCGGTGTCATAGATTCCAACGATACGCTTCCGCAACTTCATTTCTATCAATTGGTATCAGAGCTCATGGTCGTTGATGATTTTTTTTTCCGTTTCATCGTGCTTTTCGACGCTTAAATTTGCTGCATTTTTTTTTGTCGTTTTCGGCGTCCTTACGTCACCGGAAATGGCTGCGCAATGGCGCGGGGAGGCCTGACGGCGTCGCCAGACGCCACGCAACTCGCGACGCGGACTTGCGGCCTCTGCAGGCCATGCGCCATCGCGGCATCGCATGAGGGTGTTGCGGCGCCTGTCGACGATTCCGGTGATTGCCAGATTGCGCTCGGGTATCGCCGCGCAGTGCCTCCCGGCGTCTGTTGGACCCCAGTCCTGAGCGCTCACTGGCGCGGCCCACTGGGTTCACCCAGTGATATGGGCTCAGGCTTGGCAGCGGCCAACTAGGATGCTCGGCCTGTGTGCGAGCTGGCCCCTTTTTTGGCGCGGTCCACTAGGGCCGCCGGGCCAGGCGCAGTCCACTAGGCCTGCCGCGAGGCACGGCCCACAAGGCCGCCCTGCCAAGTCCGGCCCAACATGGGTTTTCAAAGGCATTTTTGCCCATTTTAATATTCTCTCATTACTATTTTGACAATTTAATTTATTAATTCACTTTATTGCCAATTCATTTAATATTTTTTCTTGGATTTTTTTGAGCAATTCTCAACATTTCAATTCAATTAAATTATTCCATGATAGCACATTATTTTATTTGAATTAAGATAAATATGACATTATATTGGTTCATATGTTATAAAATCATATGCTTTAAATTCATGAGAACATTTATTGGCCCAAAGGACAAGAAATATTTGGCCGAATTTAATATATGCATGGCAATTCAAACATATGTATTTGTCAAATATTTTGTTTTAAATGGACTTTAATAATCAATATGTTGATATATCAACCTCTATTGTTAAACGTGTCCATTTAAAAATACCATAATGACTATGTGATATTTTTTATGCGAACATTTTGTTGACCCAAAGGAAAGAAACTGTAGCCAAATAATAATCACATCAATACTAGTAAACTTTACAATTTATATATTTAGATGAAAAGAAACAGTAAGTTGGCCCAAATGAAGACTTATTATTTGTCATCCTTTATTATTTAACTATTTTGACCTACATGCCAAGATGATCACTTACAAATTAATATATCATCCAAAGAGGAGTATTAATGTTGTATTGGATCTCTTGAGATGGAAAAGAAAATATCATTATCTGAATTTTTGTTTTAAAATTTTACTTATGTGAGTTATTTATTCTTTACATAGGCTCGAACAATGTTTTAAATATCTACACAAATTTGAATTTCATTATAATACTAAGTGATACAAACTTTAAAAAATAGAAAGAATTTATATCACTATATTTGGGTGCTTCAGATCTTGACTATGCTATGCGGAATGATCAACTTGAGGCCATTAAGGATTCTCCTTCCATCGAGGAAAAAAATGCATATGAGAATGGAAAGAGATCAAACTGCATGTGTTTAACAGTCATCAAGTGTACAATTACTGATACCCTAAGGGATATTTTAACTGAATAGGCAATTGACGCTAAAATTTTCCTCCAAGAAAATGAGAAGAGGTATCATAAAGAGGATAAAGTTGATACTAGTACTCTCACGTATTACCTTACTAACATGAGTATAAAAGAAAATGACATATAAGAGAGTACATAATAAAAATATCTCACATTCATTCCAAATTAAAAATATTAAACTTAGAACTTCTAGAATAATCTATTGTTAACATGACTTTGAACTCTCTTCTTACACAATTCAATCAGTTTAAGGTAAGCTATAACTATCAAAAAGACCCTTGGTCTCTTAATGAGCTCATTTCTCATTGTATACAAGAGGAGGAAAAGTTAAAATCAAAACAATGTGAAAGTATTCATCTCACCCTATCTTCATTGGAAAAGGTAGAGGGTAAAGAAAAACACAAAGATAAACAAATTGTTAGTAGTCTACTTAAAAAGAAGCAACAAAAGGAAATACGTTGTTTCTTTTGTAAGAAGGTTGGACACTTGGAGAAAGATTGTGGTAAACATCTTAAATGGTTCAAGAAGAAAAGTACATTTCTCTCTTTTGTTTATTCAGAAATTAATCTAGCTTTTGTACCAAGATACACATAGTGAGTAGATTTCGGTGTTACTACTCATGTGAGTGTATCTATGTAGGACTATCTCAGTTATCACAAGTTGAATGAAGATGAACGATTTATCTATTAAGGTGACGGCAATGCGAGGAAGGTCGAGGCTGTTGGTATCTTTAAAGTTACAATGAAAGTTGGCTATCATTTGTATTTGAATAAGACATTTGTTATACCATCCTTTGGGCATAACTTGATTTCTGTTTTTATTTTGGAAAAATTTAGTTATCATTCTTCATTTAGAGATGGAAAGTTCAGTCTTTTTCAAAAGCACTAGAAGTCTTGATGTTTATGATAACTTGTATTTGGTTGACACTAAAGTCTCTTCAGAACAATTCTTCCAAATAAGTTATATTGGTATAAACAAAAGTTAACAAATGAGAATTCATCATCTTTATGACACAAAAGGTTAGGTCACATTTCTCAAAAGAGAATTGAAAGGCTAATGTTAGAAAGAATTCTTGATTCTCTTGATTTTAAAGACTTTGACACATGTGTCAAATGTATTAAGGGAAAATGAACGAATATAAAGAAAATATATTTCAATATAGTTTCACAAGTCTTGGCATTGATTCATATGAATATTTACAGACCATTTCCTATGACATCTTTGAATAGGCAGTAATATTTTATCACTTTCATTTATGATTATTCTCGATACGAATACTTGTATCTTATTCATGAGAAATCTCAAGCCTTAGATGTGTTTAAAAATTATAAGGCCAAAGTTGAAAATCAACTCAACATAAAGATTAAGGCCATAAGATTCAACCGTGGTGGTGAATACTATGATAGAAATGATAGGTCATGTGAACAACGTCAATGACTTTCCGCTAAGTTTCTTGAAGACTACGTGATTGTCTCTCAATACACCATGTCAAAATCTCTTAACATGAATGATGTTGTAGAGAGACGAAATTGAACACTTAAAGACATGATAAAAAGTATGATCAGTCAAATTTATTTACCTGAATCTCTTTGGGGTGAAGCACTAAAAACATCAATTTATTTACTCAATAGAGTACTAACAAAAATAATATTGAAAACCCCTTATGAGCTTTAGATAGGTAGATAATCTAGTTTAAGGTATTTATAGGTTTGAGGTTGTTCTGTAGAGGCAAGACCTTATAAGCCTAATGAAAGAAAACTTGACTTTAGGATATTGAGTTGTCACTTTGTTGGTTACTTCGAATGATCTAAGGGATATACATTTTATAATACTACTAGGATGATGAGTTTGTGAGAGAAATTACAGTTAAAGATATTACCTTTGAGGAGTATTGTTTATCAATGCCTCTTATTATTTTTAAAAATATTCAAGATAAAGTTCAACCACTTGATATTGTTGAAACAATAATTCATGAACAATGTAATACTTAAGAATTTTCTATTCTGAAAGTTCAAACTTAGCAACCTCAAGAATCAATATAATTAAGAAGATCTACTAGAGAGAGAAGTGTAATTTTAGATGACTACTTTATTTATCTTTAAGAATGTGAAGTAGGCTTGGGCATTGAAACAGATGATCCAATCAACTTCCGTCAAGCCAAGGAAAACTCTGATTTTCAAAAGTAAGTCGTAATTATGAATGAATAAATTAAATCTATGAAGGATAATGATGTTTGGGATCTCGTCTCATTACCTAAAAATATGAAACCCATTGATTGTAAATGGATGATTAAAACTAAAAAGAATTCAAAAGGTAACAAGGAGAGATATAAAGTTTTTTTTGTCACTAAAAGGTTTACTCAAACAAACGGCATTGATTATAAAAAGACTTTTACTTTAGTTTCAACATAAGACTCTTTTTGAATAATAATAACATTCATTGCGCATTACGATCTTGAGCTTCATCAAATAAATGTGAAGACAGCTTTTCTCCATAGAGACATTAAGAAAATCATATATATGATGCAACTTGAAAAATTTAAGTCTAAAGACTCAAAATAATTGATTTACAAATTAAAGAAATCCATATGTGAACTCAAGCAAATTTTTCATTAGTGGTATCACAAATTTCATCAAGTTATCATTTCATATGGCTTTGAAATGAATAAAGTTGATGATTGTGTATACCATAAGTTCAGTGGGAGTAAGTACATATTCTTGATTTTGTATATGGATGACATCTTACATGCATGTAATGATTTGGTCCAATTAAGTGAAACCAAATCATTCTTGTCAAAGAACTTTGAGATGAATGATCTTGTGAGGCCTCATTTGTTTTAGTATATAAATACATCGAGATCATGCTCAAAACATCCTAAAATTGTCACAACAAGCTTACATTGAGAAAATTCTCAAAAGGCTTGACATGTAAAATTGTAAATTAGGAAACACCCATGTGGCTAGAGAAGACAAATTTTGTCTTAGTCAATGCTTTAAAAGTGATCATGAAGCAAAAGAAATGTATAACTATACATCGGCTATAGGATGTATGATGTATGTCCAAGTTTGTACACGTCGAGATATAGTGTATATTATTGAGATATTAGGTAGATATTTGAACAATCTAGGAATAGATAGTAGTAAAGAGAATCATGCATTATTTGCAAAGAACTAAAGATCACATGTTCACATATAGGAAGTCAGATCAAATGGAGATCATTGGTTATACTGATTCTGACTTTGTTAGATGCCAAGATTCAAGAAGATCCACATCAAGTTATATATTTTTACTAGCTGGTGAAACTATTTCATGGAGGAGCGTGAAGCAATCACTTCTAACCTTCTCTACAATGACTGTAGAATATATTGTAATGTACAAGACATCTAATCAAACATTATGGTTGAAGAACTTTGTCACTGGGCTTCAAATCGTGAGTGGTATTAAGAAATATCTCAAGATATATTGTGACAATAAATTAGTTGTACTATTCTTCAATAATAATAAGAGCTTGACAAAGTTTAAGCATATAGATATCATGTACTTAGTTGTCAAAGAAAAGATTCAAAATAGAAAAATACTCACATAACATATTGGTACAAACTCAATAATTACAGATTCGCTTACCAAAGACTTGTTGCCTAAAATCTTTTTAGACCATGTCACTCACATAAGTGTTCTTCCTTGGGAAGAGTTGTGATTTGAGTGGAAGTTTGTATTTAGTATTCTTCGTTTGTGAACTTGTAAAATATTTTTACAGAAATAAAGTTTAATCTTGTTTTTAATCTATTTTAAATGTTGATCTCTATAAAGGATGACTTGTTGGAGATGTTCAAATTACATCTTATTTGAATTTTTCGTGTTACACATCCATACTTAGTCTATGTCATTCATCGTGAGAACATAAGTGATTAGTGTGGCTTAGTTGCATGAAATCATAAAGAAAACTGTTATAGTCTTATGTTTGAGTGTTGATGAATGGTCACTGATGTATTTTGCCTTATGTGACAATAACTAGGTTCTGAACTCATAAAGATTAAAATGTACAAATGACTTAATAGTTATGATATGTAGCCCAAGTAGGAGATTGTTGGAGATTATTGCAACGGTCGTTTTTGAGTCATTATGGAATAAGGTACGGAGGAAGATTGTGTAGAAATTGGTCGACGGTTTCAATCCTTTGATGGAAGGGATTGAAACCGTCGAGCCTCTTTTCGAGGCTATAAAATCCAAGGGTTTGGTCCCTGCTTCATCATCGTTGGAATCCTAAGGTCCCCATCTGCCAAAGGAGTAATTCCCCGATGATTGGGAAGCAGAAGACCATCCTGTGTCATAGATTCTGGTGGTATGCCTCTGCAACTTCATTTCTAACATGGACGCCTATGGACAACAACTGGAGAAGTACCACACGAGCCGTGAGATCGGGTCGGCGCTGGAGGAGTTCATACCCATCGAGCACGCCAGGCACGAGAATCTGGCGACCGCGAAGAACGTGTCGTTGGAGAAGACGAGCTGGATGACGTCCGCATAGCTGTGGAGCGGAGATGATGACTATGGCGGCAACCGGAACTTGCTGCCCAGCAACCAGCGGTGAAAAGGCGGCCCATTTCTTCCTTCTATCAAAGAACCAGGCAACAAGGGGAGAGACGTTCTACCAGATATCACCATAGCTTCAGCAGAAAAAACTCTGCACATGGAGGAGAGTTCGGAGGTCGTGCCGAGGAGAGATTACTGCGGCAAAGACGGTGTATATTTCGCTAGGGAAGAGAGAGGGAAAGGCATTGAGTCAACGGCGAACCCAATATACAAGGGTGGGTACGGGCAGAGGAAGATCAGAAGGTGCTGGTCGCCGGACCTGCACAGGCGGTTCATCAATGCCCTACAGATTCTGGGTGGGTCTCGAGGTAAATTAACAACAAATTATAGAGTAAGCCAAACAAGAATGGGACTGATAGGTACCCCTATCTGCCGGATTATCATTGGGACGATAATAGTCGGATGGACGATAGCCTGTGGTCATATGTAAAAAAAGAACCCAAAGAGAGGGGGAACGAGAGGGAGAGAATGAAAGGCAGGAAGACTAGTCAACTGAAGGAAAAGGACAAGAAAGGGCCACTGATCCGTAGAGGGGATCAGGCTCTAGGGACCCTTTGAGCGGGTGAGACTCTACCATTTTCTTTCCTCCTTTTGATGTATTCCTCTGATCCTTACATAGACCCCGCTTGGTTACTTAGTCTTCTGCCTCCCTCGTCTTCTGTGGTGCTGTTTCTACTTTCAAGTCCCTGTGTTGTCATTCGGGTTGATGTTCAAGATCGCCATCGACTCGGGAGTGGTGTTGATGATGACGTTTCTGCTTTTGAGTCCTTGCGTTATCTTTCGTGTTGACATTCAAGATCGTCGTCGACTCGGGAGTGGTGTTGATGAGAGTATCTCATCAATACTCCCCCCTAAAAGCTTCACCTTGTCCACAAGGGGAAACTTTGGAAAAGCGTGGAGGATGCTTTTGCTGATTCCCAGGTTGACTCCGTTGTAGGAAGGTCACGCCATTTTACCAGTACCTTGGGTCTTTGGGGTGTGTGACGTGTCGCAGTGACCTTCTTTGGATTGACCTTCCACTGGTTCCCGTTGTTGAGTAAGAGAGGTTGCGGCTGTATGTGCTAGTCGCCCTTAGCTAGTTTGAGCCGTGAGATATGAAAGACGGGATGTATGTGAGACTCTGGGGGTAGCTTGAGGCGGTAGGGCACAACACTAATACGGTTCAGTATACAGAAGGGTCCGAAATTCCATACCGTTAACTTCTCAAAGGGTCACCATGCGAGTGACTTGAGGTGGTATGGGCGGAGGCAGAGGAAGACCCAATCGCTCGGGCCGAAGTCCATGTTGCGGCGCTTCCTATCAGCCTATTGCTTCATTTTGAGGTGAGCCTTCTGGAGATGTTCCTTTGGTTGGTGGAGACACGCGTCTCGCTCACGAAACAACTGATCCACTCCCTCTGTGGATGCTGAAGCTTCTTCATAGCGGATGAGGGTCGGGGGTCTCGGCTATACATGGCTTGGAATGGTGTGGTCCTCGTGGAGGAGTTGAAGGTGGTGTTGTACCACAACTCCGCCCACATAACCATTTGGTCCACTACCGTGGGTGATCTCCTGCGACGCATCGTAGGTAGGTTTTGAGACCACGATTGACTACTTCCGTTTGGCCGTCAGTCTGCGGATGGTGAGTGCTGGTGCGGTGTAGCATGGTACCCTGAATCTGAAAAAGCTCCTGACAAAAGCATCTGAGGAAGATCTAGTCGTGATCTGATAAAAGTGTATTCGGTATTCGTAGAGCTTGACCATGTCTCAGACAAAGATCTGGGCAACATCTGCACCAGTGAAGGGATGCTTCAAGACGGAGAAGTGGGGGTACTTACTCTGGTGGTCGACCACTACTATGATGGTGTTGAATCCACTAGCGAGTGGTGAGCCTTCGATGAAGTCCATCGAGAGCTCCTCCCAGATCTTTTCCGGAATGGGAAGGGGCTGGAGTAAGCCAGCAGGACATAGATTTTCTGCCTTGCTATGTTGACGTATACAGCATTAACCCACGTATGCCTTGACGCAGGCTTTGACGCCTGGCCAGTAGGCATTTTGCAAGACCTGTTTGTAGGTCTGAAGGAATCCCGAGTGGTCTCCAGTCATTGAGTCGTGAAACTCGTAGATGGGTTTGGGATCAGAGAAGATACGTGAGCTAGTACTAGATGGCCATTTTGGAGCAAGACGCCTCGTTGTAGCTTGTATTTGGGCCATTTGGTAGTGTATGCTTGGAGGTCAATGATGATGGAGCTAGTCCAATCGTCGTGCTCATATTCTCGTTGGATCTGGTCAAAGTCGAGTGCCATCATTGTGGAGACTAATGCAAAGAGCTCTGGGTCATTGGGGCGCCGAGACAGTGCATCTGCGGCCTTGTTGATTGACCCCGCCTTATAAGAGATCTGAAAATCAAAGCCCGTGAATTTATTAAGACATCATTGGTATTTCGTTGTTACCTGCCTTTGGTCTTGTAAGAACTTAAGTGCGCGTTCATCGGTGTAGATCATGAATTGCCGCACCAAAAGATAATTCTGCCATTTAAGGACCGCGAGTACGATGGCCATCAGCTCGCGCTCGTAGACAAATCGGAGACGCTTTGAAATGGTCAGTCCCTTGTTGTAGAAAGCCACTAGCCGCCTCTATTGCATCAATACGGCCCCAAGGCCATGGCCGGAAGCATCTACCTCGACTTCGAAAGGTAAAGAGAAGTCCAGGAGGGCGAGAACTGGGGCGGAGATCAGTTACTCCTTGAGTTGTTGGAATGCGGCCTCTGCGTCGGAGCTCCAATGAAACGCGTCGCATTTCAGCTGCTGCGTCAACGGCCATGTCAGGTTCCCATATCCTATGATGAATCGGTGGTAATAGCCGGTGAGACCCAAGAATCCCCAAAGTTCTCTAAGGGTCATTGGAGATGGCCAGCTGGTGACTACTGTGATCTTCTCTACATCCATAGTCACCCCGTCAGTGGAGATGATGTGCCCTAAAGACATGATGCGTTCTTCGCCGAAGATGCATTTCTTGAGGTTGACCTACAGGTCATTAGCAGCGAGTTTTGCAAAGACTAACCGCAAGTGATGACAGTGCTCCTCCTCTGTCGTGCTATACACCAATATGTCGTCGAAGAAGACTAAAACAAAGCGTTGAAGGAAGAGTTTGAAGACTTGATTCATGAGTTATTGGAACGTTGTCGGAGCGTTCTTCAGGCCGAAGGGCATGACGATGAACTCATAGTGTCCCTCGTGCGTGCAGAATGCCGTCTTGGGAATGTATTCCAGCCGCATTCGGATTTGGTGGTATCTCGAGCGGAGATCTAGTTTGGAGAAGAGGTGTGCACTACGCACTATGCACACTGAATAAGGTGACAATTTTCAACCGATTTATGATTCCCATTGTCGACGAGCTTCTATAGCAAGGTTGTAGAAGATGTCGTTGCCGGCCACCCTTTCTTCCGATCTAGTGGTAACCCGGAATGGGGTTACGATGATTGGACCGGTCTTTAAGGGCAAGAAAATTATGAGACTCACCAGTGTCAACAAAGATGGAGACTGGCTGCTGCCAGATGGTCCCTTGCATCTTGAATGTACCAACTGAAACTTCCTCATCTATCGCATTGATATCTACATCCATGGTGGACAGTCCTGCCTGCAGTAGTGGCCATTCTAGGGATGTTTGGGTTTCCCCCTTTTCTGGTTCATTGTGGACCAACAGGACCTTCGGCGCAGAGCGGCAGTGGTGGCCCGGGGCATAAGGTTCATTACAGGTGAAACACAACCCGTTTGCGCGTCCTGTCTCGTATTCGGCTGTAGTCAAACGGATCTTCCGTTTGCCCACAGTGAATGGAGGGTTCAGGCTTGCCTCTTGAGTGACCGGTTCGGTTGATGCTCTTCGGCGAAGTGAAAAAGGATCTACGACCTCCTTAGTTGGCCCAAATGTTCGGGAGCGCGGCACCTCGGCAGTTCGGAAATTCTCAGAAATTTTGTTTTTCGCCTTCTGAGCGAGGGTCATCAGGGCATCAAGTCTGACAGGCCCAACGAAACTGACCTCCTGTTGCAGCTCGCTCTTTAACCCGTTGAAGAAGGCATCCTCCAATAGTGGCTCGCTGATCGTTAGGCAGATCGTCGACCACTGATGCCATGAGTTCGAAATGGTCCCAGTATTCTAAAACTGAGCTCTCTTGAGTAATTTTGAGGAGCCGTTGCCGTAGGGATCTAGAGTTGTTGGGGCTGAAACGCCCGAGGAGGCGATTTTTGAAGTCGTCCCAATCCCAGAATGGGGCTCGACGATAGGTGAGGTGGAACCAATGTAAGGCTGGTCCGTCAAGGTGGACCCCTATCGTGCAGAGCTTGGCCGCGGGGGAAACCTGGTAGATGGAGAAGATGAGTTCAGCCTGAAAAACCCATCCCTTCGCATCCTGGCCGCTGAATAAGGGCAGTTCTTGTCGACGCTCGCCATGCCATGGTTCAGTGGTCTCTCTGGGGCGGAAAAGAGCTGCGGGGGCTGTAGGCCAGTCGCCCGGCTCGATGTCGTCACTGTCGACTCGGGAGTGGTGTTGATGAGAGTATCTCATCAGAGACCCATCGGCAGCTAATACTCTTCTACTTCGTCCACCCAATTTGTGGAAACAGTGGCTACTCCTAAGCAAATTAGGGAAATGATGAAGGTTGATGGGCTGACGAATGATGAAGTCGAGAGCCATCTTCAGGTACCAACACGAACAAGCTCGATCGGATGTCTTATGTTCTCAATTATTTTGTAAAATATAGTACTCTACTAATAACCTGCAAACATAGATAATAGTAGAAACCGAGGTTTATTAATAATCTCCTCGTGATTGAACGTAAGGTTCCATTGATGCTTTACGTAGATTTGGTCTGCTTCCTCTGAATTGATACCGCCAGAAGTACCGGCTACACGCGAGACGCCCGGAGAGCGAAGAGTACAACTGGCGTATCACGGAGAGCTCCACCTGGATGAGTGTGAATGAGAAGGCACTGTTTCCCGTGAGGGAGGACGCGGAGCTCAGCAATCATAGTAATAACGTCGCTCTCATGTTCTAGACGGGAATTGGATTTTCCCATGTTATTACATAACTAATACTAGATTTTAGTTATAGACACGCTGCTGGACGTCACACGTTGTGGCTCTAATAAGACCACCCAACAAAGTGACACCCTTCATTAAGGGGTAGGCTGAGTCGACGCTAAGGTTTCGTGATGATTTTTGGTAAACTCATCGGATAACATGAAAATGATGTTCTATTAGGGACTTAAATCCAACACCCCGTCACCCCCCCCAAAAAAACCCTTCCTTCGGGCATTCAACAGGTGCAGCTCTACGAGCCGTCTTGGCTGGATGGTCCCAATAGGGAGAGGAAGGGCGAGGAAATCCCCCCGGTGAATTCTGTACACGCCCGACCTTCCAACCTCCCTCCCCACCTTGGCTTATTTCTGGGCAAACTCTGAACGAAACCTAGCTAGATACAGACATTCATTCCTTCCTTCCTCCCTCCCACCGTCTCTTCTTCTTCCTTTGAAACATGGGCTCCTCGTCGTCTTTGTACAAAAGGGAGGGGCGGCGGCGGGGCGATCGAAGAAAACGCGGAGCCAATCCGTCAATCTCTGGTGGTCGATACATACGCCGGGGACCTGTTCGACGTATTTCCCCAACCACCACGGCAGCAGAGGAACACCTCTAGGCGTGCCGGTGGGTGGAGCTGCCGCCGGAGGACAGGCCCGCGGGCTCCCCCACCTCGGTTTTGCAGAGGGGGCACAGAGCGTTTATCTTGAGCCACTTGTCCACGCACGCCATGTGGAAGAAGTGCCCGCACGTGAGCTCCCGCAGCTCGTCCTCGTTTGCGTACTTGGCTAGGCAGATGCAGCACACCTGCAAGACAACCGTCAAGGATGAGATCAATCTGATGCAGAGTGTAGATCATAAAAGGAGGGATGTCAAACCACGACAAAGGATCAGCCATAGAAGAAATCTGGATTCCAAGACACTGAAGTATCTCTAGGAGGCCCTATTGTCTCTCAATCACTAGCCTCTCAACTCAAATGGCAGCCATCCTGTTTCCTTGGAAATCTCCACAATTTCCATTCTGTGTGTGTGTGTGTGTGTGTGTGTGTGTGTGAGAGAGAGAGAGAGAGAGAGAGAGAGAGAGTTCCTCTCAACTTATCATCTAACATCCTAGGATACTTATGCTTCAGACGTTGCCCATGGGCATGTGAGGATCAGCTTCTCTTTTTCCCCAACTCACAGAGCGAAATTATAATTCAATTGGCCCAGGGCGTCCGAATAAATCAAATTTTAACCTCCAGAGTGGCGTTCTTCACCAAAGTTTGCGATCTCTCATCGCTAATAACGTAAATTATGCCCCAAAAAGCCAGCATCCTATCCATTCCTCTGAGATAGTGGAGAGCACAAGCATCGTCTTTCTTTCTCGCAGCATCAAGAAAAAGGGCATAGGGAAATAAATTACTAAAAATAGACAGAAAAAATTGAAACAAACTTACAGCATCTTCGGCAGAGATCGTACGCTCTTTATCAGTACCCACAGCTACTATCCCACCCTCAGAGTTGGTTTCACTGTCATCCCTGCTCCTATCAGCTTTTGACTTGAATTTGTAAGTCGGTAGGGTATTGAGTAACTCTGGCGTAGCCCCCCTATTCTGGACCATATCCTCTCTCAAGCCCAAAATGGAGATGATACATGGTAAGCAGCAGCAGATTGTTGCACAAAGAATAAAGGGCATCGCATAACCGATGCAGCTGAAGGTGAGGAACACTATACACAATCTGACAGCCAAGAGAAGAAAAATTAAGATGGGTGGATCTGAGAAAGCCATGAAAAATTGCGAACCATATTATACCTGTACAAGTTGGGAGAATCCGAGGCTGATGAGTGCCCACCAAAGATCCATACATTGCCAACTACAAACCATACTGCAAAGAAGCAGTCCAAGGCCATCTTGAAATGGTCGACTAACGCAATGAACCTGTCGAGTACATAATTACCTCTCATAAGAAACGTTCTCACTTGATCCAGTAAACAGTCCTAAATGTCGACCCCTCATAAAATAAAAAAGACACTCAGACGAATGACTAATTCGCTTGCAGCACATGTGTAAAGGAGTAATGTTCAATACTTGGTGAAAAAATTCTGATCTGTACATTCTTTCATCAGTCTGGTAATTGGCATAAATACGCTTCCACTGAAGACTGCTTATTGAAATGAACTTATACATCCATTAAACAGGAAAGGACAGATGCTGCTAGAAGCATAAATTCTATCTCAACATACAAGAATAAATGGTCGGTGAAAAATATAATTCTAATGCAAATCTGACCAGTCTATGTCAGTCGACCCGATGGAAGACTAGAAGAAAGGTTTCCAAGTTATAAAATTCGACAAAGAAGTCAACTGACGTTTGATTACTCTTAGATCCTGGTCAATTCTAGCATACTACATAATTTTTGCATTGGATGCCACTATGACAACTTGAATCAATCGAGTATGTCATTCAGGTGCTCAAGAAAGACAAATATCTCAATACTGGGTGATAGTTTCAGAGTATATAATAATAATACTGTAAATCATTAAAAATTCAATCTTCACCCTTCTAAAAGCAATTTTGGCAGCAACATTTAAATGGCAGAGAGAACCTGATTGAATCCAATCAAGAATATTATGACTGATAAACTCATTGCGATAGGAGGAACCAGACTCCGAGTATACACAAAAAAGGTTGAACCTCCTTTAGATTTTTTTTATAAAAAAAGTCTTCTAAAAGGTTGAAAAGCTAATAACGACAACATCTTTTATATTCTCAATCTTTCAGGTCTAAAAATCTCTTTATTGGCATCTAAAACCAAAAATGAACTATTTGTTATCAACATTAGCACGTAGAAACTGCAGCTACGAAATCCAAATAGAGAATTAACTCAAGTTATTTTAAACATGGCTTCAAGTAAATCATTATAGGATGACGTCATACTTATTTGCATTTGAAACCTATAAGAGTTTAAAAGCAGAAACATCAAAATGCTATTTGAGAGCAATATCAGTTTGAAACACAAAAAACATCAAATGAAATATTTTCCAGAAAACATCGAAATTTTCTCACAATGAAAACTTTTCTGATAGCACAATCTTATGACCAAGGAGAACCATAATGGCCGAATGCTTTAGTTTTAGCAAAATGAAATTTTCCCTTTAAATTACTTTACATCTTTTGGCATCTCAAGGACATAATGGCCCAAACAAGATAGGGGCAAGAAAATATCTACTCGTATCATCCATGATTATTCAGCTGTTCCAGTCCTCATGTTTGATGTTCCATTCTGCGTATCCTAAGTAATGATTGGAAGTTTACGTTCTGCTGTGTATAACATTGTACATAAATTTCTAGAAGTACAAGCAATTAGATGCCTAAAACCACTTTAAAAAAGGTTACGGATTTGAACCAAAATGAAAGACGAGGTCTGCGATCTTAATATTTTCGTGTTCTTTTCAAAACTGTTTGGAAAACAATCATCAACAAAAAAAAAATGACATTACGAGTTTGACTGACAATTTGAACGTTAAGTAGGGATGCAAGTATTTTATAAGTCATTATTTTTTTCTAAAAAAAATGCAATACAGATGAATTTACAAAAGATCTTTTATCAAAACAACAAACGAAGTTCAACGTTGATAAGGCCTAGAATGGATCATATTAATTACCACATTACATAGTGTCTGCTCAACTTCAATGGGTATGTTAAAACCCATATTTTTTTACTAAATTCTAAATGTTAGCACTACTTTGAAAATGGTATTTTTTTCCAGTTACCAATTAGATGGTAGCACTTGAAGGGCATATAATATAGCGCTTTTGCTTTGCAGATGTGGTAATAAGCAAGCAGATTGACCAAAGGCACATCCAAATTTTTGCAGCAAGTTGTGGGTGTAGCAAAAATGATGGCATGGAAGATATCAAGGAAATGTAGATAATGACGAAACAGTACTCAGCTAAGGGAAAATGCAAAAGAATCTTAATTTCTATAATAACTTTAAAAATGTTTGACTGTACAAAGTTTAACCAAACCAGGATTTTTTATGTGACTTATTAAGCTCCATTTGTCCAGGATAGTTGAATCATACTCAAGAATTCTACAGCCGTTATATCATTTCTGCGATTTTGACAGTTTTGACAGAAGATCACAACAGATAAAAATAAAGGTTGCGTGCTTTCATCTTGGATGAAGAATCAGTGGAAATCCTTGTATTTATCTTAGAAATCAAAATTTCACCTTTCAGCATGTAAGAAGAGAAATCATCAGTAGTACAACATAACTTCCCTTTCATCTCTTCTAGGTAATATCAAGTCAATTTTCAAACATCGAATCAGATTGGAACAAATGCATAACACGAATTACTCATAAAACAGTAAAATAAAACACAAGATTGCTTTGCTTCAAAGTCAATGAAACCTAATTTGATCGACCATATAACTGCACCAATAAAATACCTAGGATTTGCAGTAATGGAATTTTGTCCATTGCTTGAATTTCCACCTGCACTCCGTGCTTCAGCTTCTGGGATTTGAATGACTGAAACAGCAGCATATGGAGCCTGTTCACTGGGGTTGTTCTGAGAGGAATCTTGACGTGTATGCGTCACATCTTGGTCGGTTCCCTGACTGTTACGGTGCATGTAGCGCCAGTACAGATGGGGAAGGGTGGCAACGCAGCCAACTGTATAGCCTATAACCCACTCAAACAACGGAGCCTTTGGATGCTCATTTGTTGACAATGACAAAACAATAACAGCTGCAATTATTTGGCTCATATTGACCACAAGTTCCACAGAAATCCACAAGCCAGAATTCAATGGACTTCTGTGACGCCGGCCATAACTATCACCTCTCCGATTAAAAGCAGCATTTCTAGGGTTAGACACAGTGGATGATGATGATGAAGAAGAAGATTGAAAACCAGGAATGCGAGTGTTCGTTGAAAGTCTATCTTCATGATTTAATCCATCTGAGTCGCTGGGATCATCTTCATGAGAGATTGAAGAGGAAGGAAAACTGCCACTGGTGATATCAATAGCATGTTCACGTACACCACGGTTTGCTTGATCCTCCATTAGCAAAGGATGTCTATCTGTTGAGGCTTCACTTTGTTGCTCCACTAAGGGAACAGCCATCAAAATCCACCAGCAACAATAGCATGGAAAGAAGCATAGACGAACAGTTGATTAACACCTTGCCAAAGCCTTCCTTCTGTTCCCAAAAAAGAAAAGAAGGCCGATCTTTACTTAGAATGAAGTGCTCACGTATTCCTCAAATCTTAAAAAGTGCATTCACATCCAAACCATGATGTCAACAAATTTTGTTCACAGTAACCGCTTAAAGACTGAGAAACTTCCAAAATTCAGACAGAAGAGGAGAAATACAGTCTTCCATGTCCAAAGGAAAAAACGCATGTTAGCAACATAATAAACTGAAATGAAACGAAATAGTTTCTAAGAAAAACTGTGGCTTATATTGTCACGGTTACTTGTAGGTGAATGTTGACTCCGGAATTCAATAAGCCCGTTTTCGAGAGGATATTGTAGCATCTTAACTTCATCCAGCTAATAGTGACGATGATATTGCGGGGTGGGTTCAATATCACATAGCATATGTGTATGCATTTCAGAGACTTCTGATAGCATCAAACGTGACAGGTGTCCTACCGAATCTAAGCCTAAACTAATAAACTAATAGGAAATCTAGTTCTAAAGCTAAGTCTCCCAAATAAACTAATTACGAAATTAGCGAATATTTTCATCTACACCCAGTTTTATACCATCATCCAAAAGGCCATTATTCACACGGTAAAATTTAAAGCGAGGCAAGTAAGACAACTAAATAAAAACAAATTTGTATTTTCTTTTCTGGCGAGAAACGTATCATAGGACACAGATGACACAATATATCTATCTCAACTGAAATAAAAATTCAAATTAGCAGAATATTAGGGAGCAACCCGAGATGAACTTTTTTTTCTTCTTCCTGAAAGAAATTTAATTAATTAAAATGGTTATTTTTTTCTTCATAATTAAGATTAAGTTCAATGAACGCACTACAAAAGAGCCATCAAAGAATCCAGATATCGGTTTGCTTAATTCTAAAAAACAAAATTGCATTCTTCCATCTAGTGAGCATTTATAAATTGCAAAGTGTACGAAAAAAGCATATCTCATAATACGTTTCCGCCAAAAGTTGATAGCCAAAAAATATTTTCAGCGTCATATGCAGAAGAAAATTGCAGGTTGCATATCTAGAAAGCATGGACCAATATTCGGCTAAAAATGACGCAAAACTGTGGAATTAAGGAATATGGAAACGCCAAAAATAAAGAAACACTTCACTATCTTTCTCCAACGTGCTTTGATCTCAAAGAAAAAAAAGACGAAAAAGGGGGCTGAACAGAAAATTAGACAGCAAAAATACATGGCAAGATTCGAGACCAAATTCACAGCTCCAAGTAAACACTGCCATCCCAGCTAATGGAATCCCGCAGAAAAAGCGTAAGGATCCTAGATCAAGAATAGAGATTCCACGGCAAGAGTCAAAAAACGCTAAGCAGAAACCTGCAGCGGACGCCCAACGGTGTAAACTTCGAACCCTAGCACCCGTAGAGACGAAAAAAGTCATCGAAACAACGCACAGATGGCGGATGAGGGAACCCTAGGGTCAAAGGTGGGATGCGCTGCCTTCGATGACTTCGAACACGACAAGTAAGAGGACGAAACAGATGAAAAACTCTCACCAGATTTCCCGAACAATTCCAGTTAGCGGAAGACAAGCGGCATCCGACGGGGCGCACAGCTCCAACGATCGTTTCGCCTACCAATTTCCCGATTTCCTCTTGTCAGCTTTCTCCTCCCCCCTTCCCTTCCCACAGCCATCTCCACATCGAAAGATAGCGAGAGAGAGAGGGAGAGAGAGAGAGAGAGAGAGAATTTTTTTTTAATTCCGAAGATATTACGGCACTTACCTTTCAACTTGACGAGTTCACCCAGTGAGTCAATCGCGCGACTCGCTCGCCGAGAGCACGTAAGGTCGAACGAAAAAGTCCACCGAAATCTCTTTCGATCACGATTGTGATGGGCTTAATAACGAGGTACCGCGCTTCCTAGCCGTCTGATTGCAAGGTCTCAAACCTCACCCTGGACCCACCAGCCGGATTGGTTCGTGATCTTGATCGGATGGCTCGTGATCTCCGAATCGTTTTTTCCGCGAAAATATAGAAACACGACTACGGGGACACCACAGGGGTGGGCCACCCATCCAAACTACCCTAAACACCCTCAGCAGACAGTAAGGCATTCCGGATTATCGACGTCTCTCTTTGAGCGTAATTCTGTCCTTTCCCTTTCGCCCGTATGTGCATTGATAGTCTCCTGGCGACTTCCAACAAACTGTCGTAGGTCCGAAATATGCCTAGGAAGGGAAGTTGGCTCCGCCACGTGGAAATTTCTCCTGGCAAGGAATTTATTAAAAAAAATGAGGGAATACTCGACTCCGATGGGACCTCGTGGAACGCGAGGGGCAGAAGGAACGCATGTGGTCAGCCCATTAATCGCGGGGAGCCTACGATAAACCCATTTGGAGGATATTGAGACTACTATGTAGTCGGCCCACGAAGGCCCATATAGCTTGCGGATCATATGATGGAGGAGAAAAACCAGCCTCGTTATGTGCGCAAGTGCGACGTGACCCCCAAATCAGATCAGGGCCCAAATGACGTGGCATCCTTGGCGTAGTGGACTGACCTGCTATTTGCAGTCAGGGCAAAACGGCTGCCCACCACAACCCACCAAATTAGAAAGAAGAACCGTGATCGGCCGGGGCGGTTGACGTGGCAGTTGCGGTCAAACAAAGCAGCCTAGTCGGACTGAAGCTGATGGGGACTTGGACAGGTGTCGTGTCCACAAAAATCGAAGTGTTGTAGGGCACTTGGCCCCTTCCCATCCCCATTCAGGTTTACAGAAAACCGAATTTCAAAAGTTGATTACCTACTCGGAATGAGAGAATAAAAAAATAAGCTTCTGGTGATGTTCAACGGAAAGATAACGGTGGACGGCAGTCAAATCCGTCGACTGGTGGCGGGGAAAAGGGTATTATCGGCATTAAAGTCTGGAAATCGGGCCGCTGGGGCGGGTGGCCGGCCAGGCTTTAAACATCCGAGGTGACAGCGGTGTGAGGGACACACCTTGCCATCTTTCCAAAAATAAGCTGATAGCCTCTTTGTTCTCCGGCCTCCATCGTAGCTTCTAGGGTTTCTTCCGCCTCGTGGATCGCGGGGCAGGGAGGAGGGGAATACGAGGGAGGAATTCCTGCCTATTTAGAGTGCTGTGGAACTGAGTTGGTGGGTAGGTCTCGTCGCCCTTCACTGGAGGTATGTGAGCACGTTATGTCTGTTCTTTTCCTGGTATTCGTTCTCAGTGTTACGTCTGTTCTGGCATTCTTCTTTCAGATCACAATGCCCCGTTCCCATATGATTTGGCACCCGGGAGTCCGAATGATTTTTATGATTTCGATTGATTTTATTTAGATCCGAATCGAATCATTTTGTCTGAAAAACTATCAGGATTGCAGCCAATTTTACGGTTTTCTAGGCCGCGAGTGTCTAAAATTCTCGTCCTTGCTTGGGGGTTCTTCTCCCTTCGGATTTAGATCTAACTTTTTTGTCATTTTTACTATCCCTCTTTTGTGGTATTCGTCGGGACGCGTTGTCATTCGTTTTTTGGTTACGATTTTTTTCAAGGCTTAGTCTTTCTTTGCGCGCGAATTGTCTGTAATGTTGGTGGCTGGAAATCTATATTTTGTCTCGTTTATTTTTTTAATTTGTTGCTCAGCATGGAACTTCTAATCTCATGTATTTTATCTGTTTGATTGTGTCCTGATGGGTGACATATATTTTGTATCTTTTGTTTCAAAGATCCACATATTATTGTGTAACGCTGGCTGAAGACTTTGCCGTCTCTTCACAGACGCGGCATCTGATATCCGAAACGGTCGTCTAGTTGGAGCTCTCTGTTTTCACATCATGGCTGCTGCTGCCGCCGCCGCTGCCTTCTTCCCAACCCCTTCTTCCTCTTCTTCTGCTTCAGCCAAAGGTTCGACGCCCCTTGGTGGCGGAGGGCCTGATAAGTTGGATACCCGGGGTATCAAGTCCAAGTCCATGTCTTCCTCTGGTGCCATGCAAGTCAAGGCAAACGCTCAAGCTGCTCCCAAGATAAATGGAACCCGAGCTGGCCTGAAGACCGATGTCTCGAAGACAGAGGATGATGTGCTATCATCTACCCCTCGGACATTCTACAACCAGTTGCCAGATTGGAGTGTGCTCCTTGCTGCCATCACAACCATATTTCTGGCTGCAGAGAAACAATGGACGCTCCTAGATTGGAAGCCTAAGCGGCCTGACATGCTTGTGGATGCATTTGATTTTGGGAGGATTGTTCAGGACAGCTTGGTTTTCAGGCAGAACTTCTCTATAAGGTCTTATGAAATTGGGGCTGATCGAACAGCTTCTATTGAAACATTGATGAATCACCTACAGGTTCGTGATGTTGTGTGTTACTTATTGCTAATAACTTGATGTGTTATGTCTATCATCTTACGGGTTCTTGAATTTTCAGGAGACAGCGTTAAACCATGTCAAGACTGCAGGTCTCCTGGGTGACGGTTTTGGCTCTACACCAGAAATGAGTAGAAGGAATCTCATATGGGTTGTAACAAAGATGCAGGTTCTTGTGGAACGCTACCCTTCCTGGTTAGTTGCTTGTATCCAGACGGATATGGTCAAAATATGCAATCTATCCCTGATTTTCCTTTTTCTATGGAGAATATGTGCATAGAGCGATAGAATATATGTTTCTGGGAAGAATTAGTTTCAGAATTCATGCAAGGTGAAATGGTTGACGGTTTATATTTAGCTGGATTTCTAAACATATTATCTTGGCTTACTTTCATCTGCGTAAAAAACACTCTTCTTTTATAGATGTTTCCGTTATGCATGTTTTCAAGAGAAATGATGAGTTGTGATGCAGTATGCGGACCATGTCCAACGCGTTGATTTTTGTAATTGCTACGAGCTTTGGTTTCGTCCTGTCTAAACCTTCTCATTTGTTTGCATGTTCTGCTTTGAGGAAGAAGAGATGTGATTCTTTTGCCTGAACTTTATGGGCTCTTATTTTATTCATTATTAGGTTTTTACAGGATTAAATCAATTTAATGAATTGTATGTACGTATGTTGTCTTCATTTGCTTTTTTTCGAAAAGTTAGCTTGAATTAAACAAACCACCTTCGTTTCTCGTGTCAATTTGTGGCATTGGAGATGATTCATCTAGCTCATTGGTTCTAATTTTCCAGGGGGGATGTCGTTGAGGTAGATACGTGGGTCAGTGCGTCTGGAAAGAATGGCATGCGTCGTGATTGGCATGTGCATGACAGTCAGACAGGACAAACCATTACTAGAGCAACCAGGTCAGAACTTTTTTGATGGCACGGATTCCACCTAGTGTTGGAACGCTGCAATTTATATCAGACTTTTTTGCATTTATCATAAAAAAAAATCTCTCGGTGATGTTTATATATTGTGATTTGGAAGGATTGATTTATATTCTAATCGTTATGCAGTGTGTGGGTGATGATGAATAAACACACAAGAAGATTATCTAAAATCCCAGAGGAAGCAAGGGCAGAAATAGAGCCTCATTTCATTGAGCGTAGTGCTATTCTGGATGAAGACAGTAGAAAGCTCCCAAAGCTTGAAGACGAAACAGCAGATTTTGTTCGTGAGGGTTTAAAGGTATGTCTCAGGCAGGCTGGCGCCGGCTTTACTGAGTTTGCTCCCATTTAATCTGTGGTTATCTTTTGAATGAACACACCTGTTTTTCTGTCAGAAAATAATATCATCTCCTTGTTTACCGAATATACAGCCTCGCTGGGGCGATTTGGATGTCAACCAGCATGTGAATAACGTGAAATATATCGGTTGGGTTCTTGAGGTACCCCCCCTCTAACTTATAAATTTACCTCCATTTTTTCGATAGTATCTTCCATAATGCAGACATATTTCTAAGTTTATATCACAATTACTGACTGCCATTTAACTTGTCTGCGCACGAATCAGACAACTACTGACTTTTTTGCGTTGGGTTTTCCAATTTACTCTTCAGAACCCAAACCCGTTGACCCAAAAATTAACCCATCCATGATGCATTGAAAGTTCGAAAAGGTAAAAACCCACATCAAAATTCAGAGCAGGTCCCAAAACTCTGAACCTGCCTCGGTGCTGGAAACCCTCTACTCGAAGGGTGGTCAGCGTTCTAATCTATGGTTTTTGCAGTGCCCAGCTCACGATTTTTAGCCTTCCAAATTACTGAGGCTTCGACGTGGTGATTTTTTTGGTGTGTCTATCCTCTGCACCCTGGTAGGTGGTCATCTATGACCATGCACCAGCTTCATCCAGTTCATCATTCTCTTTGGCTGCTGCGGTGATTTAGCTTTGGTCAACCATCGATTCCTGCAGCAAGAAAGAATGTGTTTCTCATTACGACAACCTTGTGTCTTCAATCTCCATTTGCATGTTATCACGAAATCAACCAGACCTGTGTTCAGGGTAGCCGGAAATCCTGGCTGGCACATGAGAAAGTCTTAGGAAAGATAAACCTGTCGACTCAGGCAAATGTCAACGCTGCTGATTCCGAAAAGCTGACAGAGAAGCGGCCACCACCCCCACCTAATCTCAGTGCCTCGTTATATTAAAATTTTCCTTGAATAGTAGTAGATGAATGCATCAAAGAAGCAAGCAAATGCCTTGTTGGCCCCAATTTCTGCGGCTTTCCGGCGTTCTTATCCACGCCTTCGCCATATCCACACGATCGGGCGAAGTGCTGTCCAACTGTCTGAGTCTGTGACAATTGCCTCGATTGATGGGGGACGCGGGTTGCTTAGTTGTCTGCCAGATAACAATGTTTCGTCGTCATTCTCCATTTTCTTCATCTCTGCGAGGTGTCTCCATTTGCAGAGCGTCCCGATGCCGATCCTGGAGGACCACGAGCTCTGCGAATTGACTCTGGAGTACCGGCGCGAGTGCGGGAGGGACAGCGTGCTTCAGTCCCTCACTGGCGTCAACGCCCGCTGCGCCGCGGCGGCGCCGCCGGAGACCGGCGTCGAGTGCCACCACCTCCTCCGCCTCGCCGACGGCGCGGAGATCGTGCGCGGCAGAACCGCGTGGAGGCCCAAACCTCCCCGCTCCCCCGGCGAGATCGCCGCCTGACGCGAGGACGACGAAGAAGAAGCTCCCCCAACTCTCCGCCTTCGCCGGCGACTGAGCGGCGGGATTGGGTGGACCTCCTCACCGTGCTTTGCCTGCTGTGTGTCTTTCGAACGGGCTGTGATGCTGTGCATAGAGACGAGTCACTGCCCCACGGCTCAGGTAATATTATTTTATTCCATTCCCCTCCGCCCCTCTCTCTCTCTCTCTCTCTCTTTCTCTGTGCCTATCTATTATAATTCATGGGATCTTTTTAAGATGTACGATCACGGTGACGAGTTCAGTTTTTCTCCACGTGCCGCCGCCAGGATGGGCCGACAGGTGTCTTAAAGGCCCATCACTCCCATGGGCCCACTTCCTTCCGCGTGGAGCCTTCCCAACCAGGCAGCCGACCTATTTCAGTCCCCCCGGTCAGCCCAGCTCGCCGGCGTCGGCCGGAAATTAATTTGATGTACCCCCTCGAAATTCTAGCGAAAAGTAATTCCCATAAAAAATGTTCAATTAAATACATGTATATATATATTAAAATAGCATATTAAAGTATGTGATTTCGGGTCTATCAACGTCCGGGCCACTTGTGGAAGCCACCGTTGGGCTTGAGAAATCGGGCCGAATCTACCGGGCCGATGTTGACTGGAGCGATAGGTCCGTACGTTTCCCGCTCCTCGAGTTCCGTGCTACCGCCGGTCTGTCCGCTATTTAGGCTTTGGCTAGAATACCCCTGATAACCTTTTCAGCAGATAATTACAAAAATACCACTGTCCCCATGGGAGTCAGCAAAGAGGTGGCGGTGCGGTCACCGCTGAGAAGGAAGGGGGGTGGCGGTAGCGGGCGGCTACCGACACCTTCGTTGGGAATCTTTTATGAAGAAAGCGAAACAGGGAACCGGTCGCCGACCGCTGAATAAAGCGGCCTTTTTGACACGTGGACGTTAGCCCGATGTCCGGTAATTTGTAGATCGGACGGCCGAAATAGATCGATTTGCGGTCCACGCTGAGACGACATGTGGGGCAATACGTGGTCAGACAGGTACCGTCACCCTCTTCGTCATTTACCGGCACGGACGAATCGCGACCGCCGGAAATAATACGCTGTCTGGCGCGAAATAGTCCTCACCCGTCCCTCCCCCCTACTTAAAACAGAGAGAGAGAGAGAGAGAGAGAAGGGAGAGAGGAATGGGGAGGCGAGAATCCTAGAGCTGATCGGTGGATGTGGAAGAGGGGGAGGGGAGCGATGACGGCTGAGGCAGCGAAGAGTTCGGCGGAGAGTGGAGGCTCGGGGCTGGATTTTGAGGAAACGGAGTTGAAGCTGGCGCCGCCGGGGTGGAGCTCGAGGGGCGGCGGAACGTCAGCGGAGGGCGAGAGGAAACGTGGCTTCTCGGAGGCTGTAGAGCCAGATTTCGGTGGTTCTTCCAGCGACACCTGGACTGCGCACGGCATCGAGCTGTCGGCGAGGTCGGAGGAGTCTAAGCCCTCCAGCGCCGCGAAGCCTGCAGCCAAGTGAGTACCGAGGCCGACTATTGCCTCTCTGCTTTGACATCCCTTGCCGTAGATCCAATCTGTCTTCTGAACTTTTGGTGTAGTCGTCACCATTGCCGTCTGCCATCGATCCGATCTCTCTGCTACATGAGTCTAACATATTCGGTGTAGTCTAACATTTATGTGATAATTTAGGGCGCAAGTGGTCGGATGGCCACCGGTGAGGTCGTTCCAGAAGAAGGCGCTGAAGAGCTGCTCGTACGTGAAGGTGGCTGTCGACGGCGCTCCTTACTTGAGGAAGGTCGATCTGGAGATCTACAGTGGCTACCAGGACCTGCTGGCCGCACTAGAGGAGATGTTCTCCTGCTTCACCACCCGTGAGTGCCTCTCACCTTGCTGGCGTGTCCAGCCGAAACCATATCTGGTTTGCCGATCTCTCTCACAGCCTGAATTTGTCTTTTATCGTCTCTCGCAGGTAACTACCCGACGGAGAGGAGACTGGTGGACACTGTGAACGGCATGGAGTACGTCCCGACCTACGAAGACAAGGACGGCGACTGGATGCTCGTCGGCGATGTTCCCTGGAAGTAAGGCCTCCTCTTCAGATTCTCCCTCTAAAGTATAGCCTGTCATCCGTGCGCCTAACTATGCTGCGACAGAAGGTCTTGCTGGGGTCGACCATCCTTGAATTATTGCCATCACCTCACGGGGAGCTAATCATCAGGGTCCATCTTCCGATCCTCTGGCTCTGCTTCCAGCCTACCGTGGTAGAAACGCGGGGAAAGGGGGCAAATCGACGGAGAGGCGATGTTGCGTTGTCGCATCTCGGCTGACGAGGGATTAAACCCTAGGGCCCCAGTCAGATTGAACACGGTCTAGAACAGGGCACCGGTTTACTGCCTGCTGATCTCATCTTATTTTGCCCCCAGGATGTTCGTTGAGACCTGCCGGCGTCTCCGCTTGAAGAAGAGCTCCGAGGCCGTGAATCTAGGTAAGGAGCTGTTCGATCCACCCAACCCCCCCCCCCGGGCCCTGCAGAAGCCATCTGTCGGAGCTCATCCTCATGTTCTCATCTCACTTACTGGGTTCGTTCATGCAGCAGTGCCGAGGACGACGAACCAGAGACCCGCCGGCGGAAGGTGAGGCGGAGATCTCCACCGACCCCGTCGGAGCTCATCCAACAAAAAGAAAAAAATTGTACATACAGGGGTTGCGTCCATCTTCCTTTCCTGTTTCTCCGAAGGTTGCCATGGAAATAAGGAGAGCGCTAACTCTTTATAACCACAGCAGATGTGATGTCTTCCGCCCTGTCAAAAGTCAAACACCGATTCCGTCAGAAGAGCCCGTTGACCGGCTACACGTTCCCGACCCGCGAAATAAGATACTCCGCAGCACGGAGGTTAGGAATGAGTGGGCCCACATGGACCCTCCTAATTGGGCCTGGACTGCTCCAGGCCGGCCAATTATTTATCTGGGCCGGGTAGCCCGGATTCGTCTAACCTTTGATTTTTTTATTAGATGGATACCTCCCGCCTAATGGGCTTCTCTTTTTCTACGTAATCGATAATTAATATAAAATCATTTTTAAAATACAAATATTCGACGTCATTAAAGTAATCGCGATGAGGTGGATAGACGGCCGGCAGGGTTAGTGGGTGCTGGCACCGGACTGATGTGAGGGTCTGGCTTTTTCTCAAAGCATCCCTGGACTCCTCGGTTATTGTGCTTTTGGGCTGGGCCTGAATAGTTCGCCAGAGGCCCAGTTACTGTGACTGACCGTCCCTTTTCCGGTGAGAAATCCTCTCCGCGGGGTCATCTGGACCACCTTACCCCGACCGTCTTCCCCAAGCCCCGGCCGCAGAGAGAGAGAGAGGAGAAGATCTGGGAATGGCATCGTCTTACTTTCTTCTTCTCCATTGAGCAGCGAAGGGAGCTCCCATCATCGGCGTTTGCTTCGGAAGGAGGCTTTCCCCATCCGTGGACCTCCTGGAGATCTCGCATGGCGACCTGGAGACGGTTGGGGTTGGGAGAAGTCGGTGCCGGAATGGAGCCCCTGGCGGACATTCAGGAGGACATGGCGCGCTGTTCGCAACCGACGCTCCAGCTCGGGAGCTCTGGTTCCTCTTCGTCTTGATGTTTTGCGGTAACATCCGTAGGTCTTTGTTGGTTGATCCTCGGGGAGCACTTTTTCTGGAGATCCGGCGATTCCTGGGGCTCGTCCAAGCGGAATGTGGTTACCCTGACCTGGATCTGAGTAGGGTGCAGTTTCCTCTCGTTCGATCTTGAGATCCCAAAGGTTGTAGCCTGGAGAAGCTCTCTCACGGGGGGAATGTTCTTCCGTGAGGAGCTCATCTGAGGAGGGATACCTAAGTTTCGTCCCCTCACCTTCTTTCTCCCGCGATTCTTACAGCGATCCACCCTCTCCCCTGTCATTATGCCCTTCAAATAGCCGAAATGTACTGTAGATTGTGATTTCCCTCGAGTATCTAGGGTTTCCGACACGGAAAGCTGCCCTGTTCCATCCTTCACCCTCTGTTTGGGAGGGCGAAGGATTTCGGTTCGTTCTACCCCATCCCTTGTTTGCCTGCCTCCCATCTCCGTGGGGTCGAGTCTGGAGGGTCCGGGGTCGTCTTCTCCCAATTTCTCTTCTGGTCACGGCATGCTTTGAATTTCAATTCACTCTTCTCCTAATCCACCCACATCGCCCCACCATGTTGAAGCAACTCCTGAGCAAATTCCCCAGAAAGTCTTCCAGATCAGATGGCAGTTCTGAGACCCTGTCCAGCACAGGTTGCGACGATGGGGCTTCATCCGGCAACTCGATCCAGAGAGCGAGCAGCATGAACAGCGGCTCCAACAAGTCGGCCGCGGTGGTGAAGAGGATGTCCTCCGCCGTCTTTCCGGCGAGCGTTGTGGCCGGGATAGAGCCTCTTCTGTCCTTCAGAGAAGTCTCCGGCCAAGAGAAACAGAGCCTCTTCATAAGCAAGATGAACCTGTGCTGTGTGGTCTTCGATTTCAATGATCAGGTCAAGAACAGCGTCGAGAAGGACCTGAAGGCCCAGGCCTTGCTGGAGCTTGTAGAGCATGTTTCAACTGCGGCGACCAAATTCTCAGAGCAAGCCATTGCTGCAAGCTGTAAAATGTTCGCCGCCAACCTGTTCCGCGTCTTCCCTCCAAACTACCGATCCGGTTCCTCAGCTAGTGAGAACGACGAGGACGAGCCAAAGTTTGATCCAGCCTGGTCTCACTTGCAGATCGTCTACGAACTTCTGCTCAAATTCATCGCTTCACCTTCTCTTGATGCGAAGATGGCGAAGAAGCATGTGGATCACTGGTTCATCCTGCAATTGCTTGACCTCTTCGATTCGGAGGACCCAAGAGAGAGAGACTGCTTGAAGACGATCCTGCATCGAATCTACGGCAAGTTCATGGTTCATCGGCCCTTCATTCGGAAGTCAGTGGGGAACATATTCTACCGGTTCACATTCGAGACTGAGAGGCATAACGGGATTTCAGAGCTGCTGGAGGTCCTGGGGAGCGTCATCAGCGGCTTCGCCCTGCCACTGAAGGAGGAACACAAGATTTTCCTCTCCAGAGCCCTGATCCCCCTCCACAAATCAAAGTCCGTGGGCATCTACCTCCAACCGTTGACTTTCTGCATCACCCAGTTCATCGAGAAGGATCCGAGGCTCGCTAGCGTGGTGATTATGGGGCTGTTGAAGTACTGGCCGATCACCAATAGTCAGAAGGAGGTGATGTTCCTCGGGGAGCTTGAGGAAGTGTTGGAAACCACCACCATGGCAGAGTTCCAGAAGGTGATGGTCCCTCTGTTCACCCGCATCGGCTGCTGCCTCAACAGCTCTCACTTTCAGGTACCTGATCCCCCTCCCCCACCCTGCGAACTCCATATTTTCCTTCTCATTGCAGTCGTCCTGCTCATGAGAAACCTTGTTTTCTAAGCCCATATTATATATATAGATAAATTATCAGGATTTAGCCTCAATGCTCAGAGATCTTCTTAAGTGGGAAGATTGAGTCGGCTGAAGGCATCTTATCGTCCTTAATCTCCGGAATTGCCATGATCTTCTCATGCCTTTTTTTGTCTTTATCTTTATTCTCTTTTGTTCTTTGGCCTCTGCTGGTGATTCTCGAGAACCGCGGGATCAGAGAGTTTTGTGGTGTTTACAAGTTCCACCGGGATCTGGTGGTTGAATTTGGGCGCCGTCTTGCTCCTCATCGTCTTCTCTCTTTTACATTCCCTTTTTGTGGTGTTTACAAGTTCCCCTGCGTCATTATGGTCAACGCCCTCCTTTCACAGGTTGCGGAGCGAGCTCTGTTCCTGTGGAACAACGACCACATAGCCAGCTTGGTGGCGCAGAACCGCCAGGCGATCTTGCCCGTCGTCCTCCCCGCGCTGGAGAGGAACGCCAGCAGCCACTGGAACCAGACGGTGCTGAATGCCACGCTGAACGTGAGGAAGATGTTCTCCGAGATGGACGAGGAGCTGTTCCTGGCGTGCCGCCGCAAGCACGAGGAAGAGGAAGCGCAGCGGGCGGAGGCGGAGGAGAGGCGGCGGACGAACTGGGCGCGCATTGAGGAGGCCGCCGCCGCCGCCGCCGCCTTCCAGCCAGCGGCCGGCTACACCGCCGTGCTCGTGAATCCCCCGGCGGCGCCGCCGATCTTCACCTAGTCCCCACCGCCGACCACTGGGGAAATTCGGGTCGCCTTATGTAATGTAATCCCTTTGAAAATGTTGTAGCTTCTGTTAAGTTTTATTTACCACCTCCCCCATCCCCCGCTCTGGTTTCATGGAGCCCGCCGGAGAAGATGCCCTCGTTTCTCCTACTCCTAGAAGTGACTTCTCGTCTTTAACTCCGGGCAGCAGCTGCCTTCCTCTATTAATGTCCCACAGCCAGAAGACGTGACCACCAACGCTCGAAGCCCCAACTATTTCCGCCAGCCCTATCAGTCACAAGGACGACAACCCCTCCCTTTTAAAGCTGTCCCTTTCTCTCTCTCTATACAGCTAGACTCTCTCTCCCTCTCTCTCTCTCTGTATCTCTCTCTCTCTCTCTCTCTCTCTCTGCGACTGAAGAGCGTAGCGGGGAAGGTGAGATGGAGGCGCCGGGGAACCAGGAGATCTCCTACTACGAGAAGGTGAAGGGGAGGAACGAGAAGAAGGGCTTCTTCTACGCCTGGTAAATCGTCGCGCTCCTAAAGATCTCCACCCCATAAGCTCTGGAATTTTTCGTCCGCAAAGCAAACCGACTGACCTGGTCGGCTGCCTCCCCTCCCGTAGCCTCTTCGCCCTCTGCTGCTGCTGCTGTTGCCACGAGACCTGCGAGTGCTGCGTTGACTCCGTCTGCTGCTGCTGCCCCTGAATCTCCGCATGCCGAGGCGTCGATCCCCCCTCTCATCCCCCATTCTCTTCTCTCTCTCTCTCTCTCTAAACTCTGTGAACACAATGATGCATCAAGGTAGCAGAATCTTTCGATGGATTCCACGTTTACAGGAATGCTCGGGTAGAAGAGGAGCTGGGAAGGGGTACATTCAGCTCCCGGCGATGGGGTTCCTCCCGTCGTCGACCTCGACGACGAGAAGGCGATCTCTGTCCATCCCCCTGGGGCCCTCGGAGTAGAGAACCGGCAGGTAGGCGTTGTAGGCCGGCAGGTACCGCGACACAAAATCCATCACCTGCAAAGGGTTTATTATTATTATTATTTTTTGTTCTTATGGGATCTCAACCCAGAAAAAAACGAAAAAAAAAAAGATTCCTGCTACCATCTTCTTCCCAGATTAGCTCGTTAGAGCTCGGACGAGGGAGGAGGTCAGTTAGAAAGATGAAAGAGCGTAAGTAGTACCTCTTCGTCGGACATACCGGGCTTCCCGTCTGCCCTCATGGCGACTTCTGCCTGAGATGATGACGAGAGAGAAACGCGGGCTTCAGCCGAAAAAGTCAACCTAGCAGGCGTCATGTCGTAACACAGAAACTGACCTCTAATCGCCACTGGTAGACGCAATTTGGGTCCCTGATCTTGATGATGATCCACGAGTCAACGAACTTGTCCCACGAGTCAAAATAAGCTTCCAGGTTTTTGTTGACCACTTCAAGCTGCAAGTGCAGATGATTCATGGGATATATAAATGATCATGAGAGGCGACTGTTACTTCAAAAAGGATGGATCTTCTAGCGACTGACCTGCGGATCGACCGCCCTCACCACCTCATTCGGAAGGGGTTTGAACCCAAGCATCCACCCTTCAAATAGAATGACCTGGTTGACCGAAGAATTGAAACAACAGCTGACTAAAGTCAACGACCGCCTGTTAATTTCACCCCTCAAAATCCCACCCACTTACATCTAGAGGCCCCTCGACCTCCGGCCATGCCGAAGAGTCAGCCCTGTCCCCCCTCCCACCATACGCCGACTGCCATGAACAGATGGGATGAGATGGTAAAAATCTTCACAAGAAATTTATTTATTTATTATGGTATATTAGCGGAACCGCGGATCCCACAGCGGCTTACCTTGTCATAACGAGGAAGTTTGAACTTCTCACCTGAAAATTTTCACTTCGCAGTCAGCACTTTCAAGCAATAATCGAAGTTAAAATCAGTGAATAGGCATGCTTCTCCACCAGAATATCAACGCGAATAACCAGAGAAAATGGACTTTCTTCTACTGCAGGAACAACATACAAAATTCCACACTCAACTGATAAAAGCATTCGCACCCCGATCACATTATCATCCAGAAATAAAAGAAATATCTTGGGGAGGGAGGGAGAGAGAGAGAGAGAACCTTCTTTGGTCAGTCTGCTTAAAGCTGTGAGGGTGTCGACTGAGAATTGCAGGTCGTGACTTCCGGCATTTCCACGGAACTGAAATCGATGATGATGCGAAAAAGTCAAAGCACTAGAAGCAATTATGACATGGCGCCATGATCTCTGATAATGAATGGAGTATGAGACAATCTCAATACCTCTAAGAGAGCATTTCCAGGGTTCTTGCGCCTGAGATCAGCCTAGGGAAGAAAATCCAGACAAAAAGAAAAGAAAACACACCACGAATCAAGAAATGAAAAACACCAAGGAAAATCTTACTCTTCAAGGAAAATACCCCGCCCACTACCTGTCCCTCCGCGGTCAGATAGAAATCGTCAATCGATAGCGTCGCAGATTTTCTGGTGATAAAGTTTAGACAATATCAGTTATTTTCCATGAACAACAAGCGTATCCATTCATCACACCAAGAGATGAAAAGCCTTCCAGTTTCAATTAGTCGCAAAAATTTATGAACTGACTTGCCAGTGCGCCGGAAAAGGTAGTCAAGGGCGAATACAAGAGTGGTCTTCCCGCTGCCCTGAGGAGCACTGACGCCGATCTGCCATGTAGAAGACAAATCTAAAGGTGGGTCACTGTCTGATTCCTTCCCACTTCGCTCACAACATGAAGAACAGTATAGCATAGTGAGTATGACGAGGCATCGAATTGTATGAAGAACACATTCAGGGAAGAAATTTTCATTTTATTAGACTTGATCGGGAAGAAATTTTTCAGATAGACTCAAGCAATTTAGGGCAGAAGGATTGCGAAATGAAGAAAACACAGAGGGATCAATGAGCAAGGTGTTCCAGGATCTCTGTACCACCAAAGGAGGGATCTCCTCGCCGTCTTTGAACGTGGACCTGTGACGCTCGATCTGATCCTCGCACCAGAGGAACACAGGGATGTAGTAGTGGTAAAGTCTGGCTTTCTGAGGTATGCTCAATCGAAGCTCATCCAACCTGAACAGCCTGCAGAGATTCAATCCGCACTCTAACCACTCATCGATTCTCTCTCCAACCTTCTCCGGAGTGTAGCCCAGTTTGTTCATCAACGGACCGGCGCATATGAATTCGAAGAGATCAGATACCGAGGAGATCAATGCAGGAGTCGAAGGGAACGCAGAGTGCAGCTTCGGCGGGCCCCGACCGCTGCTCGCGGTTGAGCTACCTTGCGGCCAAGAAGCCCTACTGGTGCAAGGAAGCAAGGCTGGGGAGGAGCAAAGAGAACGACGCTGCGTCAGATCAGGGGACCACCATTGCATTCAAAACGCTCAGAAAGAGAACCGAGCTCACTGGTTCAAACAACCGGCATCGACAAGATCACGAAAATCGTGCAAAAATAAGAGAAATATAGATCAGAGACTGTTCTCGAGTCATCTGCAACACGCCAATTCGCCTCTCCACCGAACAAGACGATAGCCAACTCAGAATTTCGTAGCTCATCCGAAAGCAAAAGACGCCGGAGGCGACGGGATGAACCACTCCTCCGAGCGGGCGGCGGCACACGGCTGGCTCTCGCCAGGAGCACTCCGGACCTTCCTCCAGCGGCCACCGCCGCCGCCGCCGCCGCCGCCGCTGCCAGACCTCGCAGGCGATTGCTTACAACTCAAACACAAATCCCTAGATGAAGCCAGAGGCTCCTCATCTCACCTGCGCTCGCCGGAGCAACTCCGACGGACGGATGAGAAGAGAGGGGCTTCACATTCACAGGGGCGCGGAGGCGGCCGCCGGCGGGAGAAGGGGAAACCGCCGCGACCCATGTCTGCTGCGACACCGACGCCGCGCTCGGAACCCTCATCCGGCCCCTCCCTGAGTGCTGAGAACGACGTGCGAATGGTTCAAACGGGGCGGAGGTGGAGACGGAGGAAGGCCACCGCCATATACGATCGCCGGCGCCACCGAGATCACTCGTTCGGGGTGACGCTCATTTTGCGGATCCCCCCCTCATCCCCAGAACAATAACACGGGCACCCCCGACGACTGAGTCGACTCGGAACTGCCGGCGCCAGAAGCATTTCAAGAATAATTGAAAAAAGCGGGGGCCGGGGGGCGAAAATGTACAGCAAGCGGACGGCCGGACGAACAACACGGCGCAGCAAGAATAATAGATTAAAAGGTCAACATGTCGGTTGACCCCGGCTCCAAAAGTCAGCGATCATAGAAACGCCGCCAGGCGCAGTCTCCGGGGGGACACGGTAGCTACGGACTTGAACTGCCGGCACGACAAAAGGAAGGAGATTGCTCATTCTAAGTAGCCATTCCATTCCATTCCAGCGAAGAAGAAGAGGAAGACGAAGACGAAGAAGGTTTACCTTGAGTTGACTGTACTTTTGGCGGATGGCGTGGAGAGGGGAGCTATTGGCATTCGTCTGGAGCTCCTGCATCTCGAGCGCCACCGCCTCCAAGTCCGAGAATCTGTACCGGGTGTAGTGCTCCAAGGTGGGGTTCTGTTCCACAGAAGAGGAAAAGCATCTTCCCACTGAGAATCTGATCTAATCAATAATCTAATCTAGAGAGAGAAAGAGAGGGGAAAAAGAGAGAGACCCAGGGAGGGGTTGACTCGTCGAGGGTCCATCTGGCGAGGAAGACGGCGGCGGCGGCGATCAGCGAGGGGAGGAACCTGAGGAAGCTGTACTCGACCAAGGTGAGCTCCGCCAGGTAGTTGGCCAGGAACTCCAGGGCGAGACTCGGAGCCTGCGCGGGGGGGGATTGGGAGGAATGGAATCTCTGCTCATCATCGTTGACCCACAAGGATGGAAGCTCGTGGGTCAAGATTAACCATCACGAACTTGACGAAATAAAATTAAATAAAAAAAAATAAAAAAAAACCTCGTATGATGCCTGCGCCGCCCGTAGGAACCTCCTGCGCGGCGAAAGATTTCATCTCGTCAGAGCCACGATAATTCTCGAGACGAAACTCGGAGATGAATCGGCGTACCTTAAAAACGTCTTCACGGTCGGCACAGAGAGCCGAAAGTTCAAGTGGTTCAGAACTCGGCTCTCCATCTTGAGAACCTGGCGAAATCAGCCAAAAAATATCACAACCTTTCCAAAGTTCAGTAAATAATTTGACTATGATATATAATGCGATTATAAAATCATTAACATTAAAAAAAATCAAGAAAATAACGGCCGGCGTACGTCTCCCCTGCTGTAGGTATTGTCCGTGATGAAGCAGAACTCTTCTACGCGGGGAGCACAGATCTCTTCATACTTTCTGCCGAATAAACAAAATGGCATTAATGAATTAAAAAGAAAAAACCCAGTGAAATTGTCGATATTGTGTCTCTAATCTCCAGATAAGACGAAGGTGAAAGCATCCACATAGATTTTTAATCGTGATGAGAGAAAATCAGCTTCGTGGAAAATCTTACGAGGCAATCAACATGCAGGTTATGCCAAGTAGCTGAAGCTTTTGTCTTTCAATGCAATTGTCGGAGAGAAACCGGTCGATAATGTAAACCGTAAGGTAAAGTGTATCCGGAACGAGTTTATATTCCTCTGAAACCTGAAAATAAGAGGGCTGTTAACCAAACGTAGTAATGCCATGCACGTAAAAAAAATACATTCAAGCATTGTTCATATCCCTTTTCGATGCATGAATGCAGGCGATCGAAATGAGAGGATGCAACTAGCAGGAACCCTGTGGATCAGCGCTGTTCGTCGCAAATGGGTTCATAGAACATCGCTAGATTACTTGCTATTTAGGCAGAAGAACAGAGATACATGCAGCAAACCCTGAAATCATGAGCCTTTTCTTTTTGTAGTCATGAACAAAAAGAAAATCCGTGTCGATTTGACAGGTTGCGATGATTTGGTTTAGAAATATGAAATGAGATTTGAACATCTATCTACCTTCTGGTTACAATCTACGTTGGTCCTATGCAATCTACACAAGAAAAACTTGGGGAGAAGTCTGTGATCTTTGAAAAATGCAATATAAGATGACAAACTCTCAGTGAACATAATGTGAGTATGCTTAATAAACCTCAACTAGCCAATCAATCAGAATCCCTCGCATGCTTTGAGTGATATCTCGCTGTCGTGTTTCCATGAAATTACACAGTGGTCTCCTAATAAGCTGCATACAGAAAAAGAATAATTAGAGGCCAGATAATTTTAAAGAGAGGGAGAAGTAACTCATATCAGCAGTGACCGTTTCAATAACCCAAAGTTATTTGCAGAAATAAGTTGGATCAAATATGTCCAGAGGCACATTGGCCAGAATGTGATATAGATTCCGAAAATGTTCTCGGACTGTCTGTATAATACATTCAGCAGTTTCAGATGACAATGAATGGGTTGAACAACATATAGTTTTAGGTGACAAGTTCATGCATCAACTCCAGAGAAACCACGGAATGAGGAACGTCAAACATAAGAAAGTAAAGAAAATTTGTTGTGTTTCCAGGGGGAAAATTGTCGTAATCTTCTTTCAGGAAAAACTACGAGCACAAAAATACAGAAAAGCAGCTGCAATTTACACAATGAATAAACAAACCTCTGCCGCACGTAGATTCGTATATACGTCAGCTGCATAAAGGCTGCACATTTGAGGATTCTTGTGGTCACAGTCAAGATCTATCAGTTTCCCTTTGGCTGAACAATGCGAACCTTCACAAGGCCTGTCTTCAACTGGATCATCAAGAAAACAGAAAAATTAAATGTATGGGTATGCTTCTTCATTTAAAAGCTAAGGGAAGGGAAGAAATGGCATCTATGAGTACTAAATTTTCCCCCAGCATCATCAACTATTATGTTTCAATCTTATAGCAAGTCATTTCCACAGCCTCTTGAGGAGATCCCAGAGATAAGCAGGTGAATCCATTCAAATAACAAGACGTGTCACACTGATATGTATAATTTAAAACAGGGGAAGGGAAGACGAATGCTGACCATTTTGTGGAGAGAGGACTTCAGAGAATTCTTGTAAACACTGCCTCTCAACCAAAGCTGTCCCACAAGTGCTCTCTTTATCTTGAGCATTAGCCATGCGTTGTTCCCCTGGGCAATCATCCTCCAGTGCTGAAGCTGCTTCTTTTGCTGCAGACACTCCAACATCCCGAACAGCTTGTATCTCGAGGACCTTTTCGTCCTCCGTCGTGACTGCCTTTAATTTAGAACCTTTCCTAACACCGCCCAGTCTGGCACTGGAACGATCAACCTGAGGTTTTTGGGATTTCGTGCTCTGACAAGGACAATCAAGGAGAACATCCACTATTTGAACATAGACACACGGAACTGATTTGAATTGTAGAAAGAAGCATCAACACAACATATAGATACGAAACTGACCCGATGTTTTTATGTTTTTTTATGAATATTTTGGGCACGTTTATTTAAGTTATAAAATTGAACATGATCAGTTTAAAAATCATTTTCATAATGGACGATTACTTTCATACTTGCTTCTACTTACCTCAGCTTTCTCTGTATGAAGACCATTGTTATACAAACTCGCACCACAAAAGTTGGTGACATCCGTAAGAGCCGCCTTCTTTCTGATCTGATTGGCTGCAGGACATGGAACCGGGTGGCTCTCATCCGGTGTTGTTCTCTTTAAGTTCCCGGATGTAGCTTGCTTATTTACATGTTTCGCAATGGATGGTTTCGGTGGCAATGCAGAACTTGCAGCTTGGCATGCAGCAGCTCTAGACCTCGTAACCCGAGAAGGAAACACTCCACATCCACTTACTTTGTTCTCCTTCCTCATAGCAATAATTGTTCTGAGGAAATAAATTTCACAACTGCTAGTTAGACTTCATCAAAGCCTGCACGGACATGAGCGCTCTATTTGTAACCAGAAATAAGAGGGGTACGACATTCAAGGATATAAGATTTCCAAGGCAAAAGAAAATTTGATATATGTGATCATGAGGGCGTTCTGATCAATTAGTGTTCCAAGTTAAGATCGATGTCAGATTATTTTCGCCGATGAAACAGGTGCAATATAATTGAAAATAAGAAGACAAACATACACATTTATCTCGTGATGGAAGATAAATAATGGTCTAAATATAATACTGTACCGAAGTTTCTCTTTTGTGTTGGCCAAATGTGCTAGGGTGGATATAAAGGGAGAAATGCTGCTACTGGGCACCTTCATCTCATTCCCAGTGGTCTAACACCCGTTAATGCATTCACATCATCAACAAATTAGAGAAATGCTTAATGCTCACAGCATAAAGGAAAAATACACAGCATTTCCACTGATATTCAATTTTAGGACGACTGTCAGAAACTTTAACTCAAAATCTTGACATCCGTTCCTGAATTTCCTATTACTCGTTCCAGATGCATAGGATCTAAATGATATCAATGACATTTCATTGCCATTCTTGAGAAGTCAGTTGTAATATACTCTGTGTCCTCGCTATACAATTCTTCTGAAGGAAAAATCTGATACCATGACTATCTATTTTCGTCTGGTGAAAAGCAAACTCTATAGGAGGGGAAGGAATGATGTGAATTATTTTTCTACTGCATGTTTCAATGTGCAGCCAAGTTGTATTAGCATGGCTCAATATGAAAGTGTGCAATATTTTTCTATTGGAGAATAATGCACGACAGCGATGCAAATGATGATACTTAAGAGCGTCCTTACATGGCAAACCGTGAAATATACCTAAACACACAAAAAAATTGGGCGGGTAATTACGTTCCTCCACCTCCAGCATTGTTTCAAACCTATTGATTCATCGAATTTCCTTCCTAGGAGATATCACACAGAAAAATAAAGCATGAAAACTAGATCAAGAATGAATTCTCTGTTTCTTTGAAGACCTGCACTCATAATACTTCAAATTCCAATGATCTATGATTCATCAAAATTCAATTCCAGAACTCAAGTACATCCTCTGTAACCCTTACTTCATCAACATCGCTACAAGATGCTCACCGAAACTTGTTTGATAAATTCATGAAGATTAAGAATTTTCAGTTCATTTGATGGTCTGTCTTGAAAAGGCTTTCAAATTCCAGTGGTATATGGTCATAATGGCATCGTCTATTGGCACGTGAGTTACCCAGAATCAGAGTATCACCCATGTTCTGCATACCATTTCACAAGGGATCGCATATTGTATTACTATTTGACCGATGAGATTTATTATGGTTCAAAAATAAAAAACCAAAAACGCCGTAGATGGCGAATATTATCAAATGAAGCTAGATCTACGTAATATTCTTTTTCTTTTACCGGGTAACAGCGCCTTCGATGGCACTAAGGATTATGTTGAGCCCTGGATGGAAACGAACACGAACACTAAACGACATTGACAACATTTGGAGCAAGAACTTACATTTATAAATGTCATTGTGACCAACAAATGGATGGGCTCGGAAGAACAAATAAAAGAAACGTCCACGGATACAAGAAAAGCACAGATCACAGCCAAGCTCCAATCTCTCGAGGATCAAACAACAATGAACACGTCTGCAACGAATAATTTATGAGCTCATAGACATGGTTTCTGAGAGGGGGGGTGTGGGAATGAAAATAATCCATTGATCCCTTCGCGCTTCCTCAAGTAAGGAATCCCCAGAAAACAGATCGCACAAGGCAAACCCGAGAAATTAAAGCCAAAAGCAGCCCAAGGATAACGGACGCCCGTAGACAGATCAACATAAAAATGCGATTAACAAAAGACTTTAGCCGACCATCGGAGCTAAAAAAAGTTCGATAATGCCAAGATTTCTTCAAGATCCAGAAGCCCGGCAGGGTAGAAGCAGTGCTACCCAACTCTAGCTGGGATTTAGAGCTAGTACGAAGCGGGGAAAACGGATTCGATAACAATCACTGACCTCCGCCGCCGGCCTCGAGCTCCGGGATCTTTCCGGCGGCCGGAAACCTTCGGGGATATCCCCCCCGATAGGCATGCGCGGGCACCAGGAACGGGAGGTGCAGAGACAAACACAGAAAGAGAGAAAGAGAGAGAGTCCGAGGTGTCCGGCGGAGCTAGGCACAGGGAGTGACCGTCCACAAAGTTAGAATTGGAGACCGGACAATCTGCGCTATAACGGAGAGGTTTAAAAAGAATGACCAGAAATCTACAGGGAGAGAGAGAGAGCAGACAAGTTGAGACTCCGAGAGCGGGACGATCGACAGTTCAAAACTCGGACCCCAGAAATTTTTATTATAATAATAATACCATTCATTTCGGGAATATTGAAGAAAAGGCCCCGTCGTGCCCGAGGCTCTGGCTGAAGCGCTCGCCCTCAGTCTTAATGACGTCATTAAAAAAGAACCAATTCCGCGCCATTTGTCCATCCATTAAAATAATAATATTTCTGACGCTCCAGCGCACCAGCTCACTGACACCCCTGCGACTGGTAAGTGGATTTTGCTCCTTGAAGCCCGAGGTGCATCGATCAGACGGCCAGCATCAGAGGAAGCTTCCCCGAAGACCGTCGTCATCTGATCTATTAATTCTCAGACCCCCCCCCTCTTTGACTGGTTGACCGACGATTCAGGTCCAAAATATAACCCGTTACTTATGTCCGCTAACCCGCGGAACAGGGTGGATTCCATCGTGGTGGGCGATGATTGGCAGCCGTCCTTTCTCGTCATTTTTGAATTTGAAATCACACAGATTTTGACTACAGTCACCGAGCGGTCCCCGGTAGGAAAATCCTTGCGGTGACTTCACCGCACCAATCTCGCGAATTCCTGTAGCACTTCAACTCCCGCGTGCTTGTCCCCGTGAGCTTCACTGTTCAAGAGCACTGGGCGGCGCCACGTGCCGCCGCAGGACCCGCTCAGGTCATTAACTGTCTGAACGTATCCACCATTTTTCCCCCATTAAAAAAATAAATATATATATAGAGAGTGATGGAGAGAGGGAGATGTAATATTGGGCCGGGGAGATTATGACCCATTAACTGTATTTCTATCTGGGGAAAGTTGTGTAGAATGGGGGTCGTCGATATGCCCTTTTGGCGGCGAGTTCCAGGGGCGGTTCTCCGTGGTGCCCCTCTTCATTTTTATTCATCGCCCCGCCGGCGGCATCTTCGTCTCGATTCAGTCCCTCGGCCTTTGCTCTCAGCCCCTCTCTCTCTCTCAATCCTTGGAAGAAGCGGGAGGAATCGGAAAGGACTCGCCCTAACGGTAGTGCCCCTCGACTATTCTCTCCCTCTCTCTCTCTCTCTCTCCTCTGCCTGGTTCTTGCTAGAAACCCTGGAAAGAAAACCCTAGCGGCGAGGAGGCGACAAGAACCAGGGGGTGGCGGTGATGTATCGCCTTCTTGTGACCACCGAACAGATCCCCGATGGTCGATTGTAGTCGGCCACGCCACTCGTGATGAGTGGCGTGGGCTCCGGGTGGGGATTTTCCCAGCCTCCGGGTGGAGTTTTGTTTCGTGCGAATACAAGCTGTGTCTAGGGAGAGTAAGAGATTCGTGGCAAAGTGTCGATCAAGAAGACCGACCGTAGGATTTCTTAATCTCCACTGGTTGAAATCCTCTGCTCGACAGGAACGCTCCACATCTGGATCTGATCTTTGTATCCTGTGTTTTAAAGTAGCAGGTGGATCGGAAGAGGAATTTACCAGGATAAATCCCCTAATTTGGCTCGAATTTTTGCGATAAAATCCGGCCAGGAGATTGTGAGAAACTTAAAGTGTTTGTGGAGATTCTTATTTGTCGAAGAGGTTGAAGCCTTATTATGTAACCAAATCTACCCACACCTGCGAAGCTTGTACTGAAATCAATGGTGCTTCCCATCAAATCAGTGATTAGGTGATTGAGCAAACAATTGTTAATGGTCCAAGTTCAGTACGAGTGGCTCAGGTCTCCGTGTAAGATGGGTTTTGCTTAGCAGAACCCCATCACCCAGCTATGAATCTTCAGCTGCCTACTGTCATGAATGAAGGCGTTTTCAGGAAGCTCTTTTTTTATTTTTCCTTGTTGGTGCGAAAATTTTGCTGCAAGATCTTGCGTTTACTTTGGTGTCTACTTGACTTCTTCGAAATCTCACCGCAATAACGCCCTTTCGGAAGTCAGAAAGTAAATTTTATTTCACTCTATTTGTTCAAGGGTTCATAGTGCGCATGCAGATGTCTTGTACCAGCTATGGCGTTGACTGAGAGCCGCGATTAGTCTTCAGCATACATGTTAGCCCCAACTCACTGTCCCTCATATGCCCACAAATTTTTTTCGATCAAACGTCTGTTGCTGGACTATTTTTCTCACACGATTGACTGAAAGTTTCTGTAACCCCTAGACATCACGAATGCTGGAAATTGATTTATGTCGTCTCTCTTTTGGCTGGTAGACGCTGACCTTCTCCTCCCCCTTCAGTGCGCTCCGGGCATTCGTCCTGCACCATGACGGGGGCTAAAATCCTGGCCATCTGCCAGTCCGGCGGAGAATTCATCACAAAGGGGGATGGCGCCCTCTCCTACGTCGGCGGGGAAGCTCATGCAGTGGAGATTGACCGCGAAATGGCCCTCCGTGATCTGCTCCTGGAGTTCTGCAACATGTTCAACTGGGAGTCCGACCCCAATGCCGTCACTGTCAAGTATTTCCTTCCGGGCAACAGGCGCACCCTCATCACCGTCTCCAACGACAAAGACCTGCAGCGGATGGTGGATTTCAACGTGGGCTCGGTCACAACAGACGTCTACGTCTCGAGGAAGGCCGAGAGCAGGTGCTCAATCATCCAAAACCCTAATTCTCCGTGCGGAGGGAAGGAAAGAAGGATTCATTCCCCTGGACATGGGTTCATAAATTGTCGTAACTTCCTTTCAGGGCAATCGTCCCCAACACTGCCTTCGCCGATTTGCTTGATCTAGCAGCCTCAGACGGCACTCCCCCGGGCAGGGAATTGAAGAGGCAGAAGATCTCCGACGCCTGGGATAATATGATCACCGGCGTTGGGCAGGTGTTCGACGACGTCAAGGACTTCCGCGATGCTCTGCACAAGTACGCCATTTCCAAGGGCTTCACGTACAAGTTCGTCAAGAGCGACGGCATCCGCGCGACGGCCGAGTGCACGGCGGCGAACTGTACGTGGCGGATTCACGCTTCAAAGTCGTCGGCGAAGCAGAAGTTCGTCGTCAGGAAGCTGAACGACACCCACACCTGCGATGGGGAGATCGGCAAGCGAGGACGGCGGCTGGCCAACCAGCGGTGGGTGACCGGCGTCATCAAGGAGAAGATGCGGGATTCTCCGGATTACTCGCCGAGGGAGATCGTGAACGATTTCCGGAGAGATTACGGGATCAACATGAATTACTACCAGGCATGGCGGGTGAGGTCCTTTGCGAAGAAGGAGCTGAACAACTCGGACAGGGAGGAATCGGGGCATCTGCTCTGGTTCTGCCAGAGAATCATGGAGACCAACCGGGGGAGCATGGCGACGCTGGAGATGGCGGAGGACTCCACATTTCAGCACCTCTTCGTCTGCTTCCACGCTTCGCTGCATGGCTTCGAGCACGGTTGCAGGCCGCTCCTCTTTCTGGACGGCGTCTCCCTCAAAGTCAGCCGGCAGTGGAAGCTCCTGGTGGCGACTGCGTTCGACGGGGAGAACGACATCTTCCCCGTCGCCTTCGCCGTCGTGGAGGACGAGAGCGTTGACAACTGGCGGTGGTTCCTCGGGCAGCTGAAATCCGTGTTTGCCATGTCCAGCGCGGCGTTGACTTTTGTGTCGAACGGGCAGTTCGGCTTGGACAAGGCGGTGTCAGAAGTGTTTGAAGACAGCACCCACGGGCGTTGCCTCTCCCATCTCATCGAGGACTTCAAGGCGGAGCTGGAGGAATCCATGGCGGAGGAAGCGAGGACCGAGATGGCGGAGCATCTCAGAGCGGCGGCGTACGCCTACAGAGAAGCGGAGTTCCGATCCGCCGTCGAGAACATCAGGAAGATCTCCGGCGACGCCGCTGATTGGGTCCTCGACAGCAAGCCGGAGCTTTGGTCGAACGCCTTCTTCAAGGGACTGCGCTACGACACTATGTCCTCCAACGCCGCCGAGGCCTTCAACACCTGGATCACCAAGGCCGCGAGGAAGGAGCCGACGGTGGTGCAGATCGTCGACCTGGTGAGGTGCAAGCTCATGGACACCATATACACGCGCAGGGAGTCGGCGAACTCCTGGACCGAGATCCTCACCCCGTCGATGAACCAGAAGCTGCAGCAGGAGTCCGTCGGCGCCGCCGCCCTCGAGGTGATCTGCTCCGCCGGCAGCGTCTTTGAGGTGAACAACGCCGGCGGCGGAGGAGGGGAGACGCACACGGTGAACCTGGTCTCGTGGGAGTGCTCGTGCAGGAAATGGCAGGTCACCGGTCTGCCGTGCGTGCACGCTTTGGTGGTGATCGAGCGCACCGGTGGCTGCGTTTACGACTACTGCTCCAAGTTCTTCAAGACGGAGTGCCACCGGCTGATCTATTCTCTATCGATCAACCCCATCCCGGATGTGTACAGGAACTCCGCGGCCCTCGGCCTGGTTCCCTTCTCCCCTCGCAGCGGGAGGCTTCCTGGCCGGCCGAAGGTGAAGCCCGCCGAGTTGCAGAAGATAAACAAGCGGCTCATCCGGTGCAGCAGGTGCCAGGAGTTCGGCCACAACCGGGTCACTTGCAAGGCCCCCGTGTAGGTTCTTCCATGGCGGTAGTCCTATATTTAAGGCTCTGAAACAGACCTCGTCCTCCTCCTTCCTCTTCTTCTTCTTGCTTTTGGTCTTGTAAGGTTGACGGAAATGCGATGTAGTAAAGGTGTTTGGGCAGGAGGGCTTTTGGGGAAAATGCCCAGAGGCGCGAACGTTATGTATTTAAACGCGTTTTTTGCAGATAAATCCCCGGATAATAAGACATTCGTAATTTTGGGAGGGAGGGGGCTATCAGTTGGGCCGATCAGAGGGGGCCTGTCTGCGTGATGATGATGTGACTGGAGTTTCCCGTGGTCCAGGGGTTTTGCCGGGATCTGAAGGATTTAACGGTCGCGATGTTTCCACGTGGACGGTTTCATTTTGGTCCGGGCTGAGCTCGGATGATGAGGTGTATGGGCTTGAAGTGGACGGCCCATTGAGAACAATTGGGAGTCGCCTGTGTCAGGCTTCCCCATCTCTCCCAACCCTCCGTCTCTCTCTCTCTCTCTCTCTCTCTCTCTCTCTCTCTCTCTCTCTCGTGTCCCTCCCTCTCCCTCTCTCTCTATCTCTGTCTCTCTCCTCTCTCTGTCTCTGTCCCTCTCTCTCTCTCTATCTGGCAGCTCCACCGCTGCCAGTCCCGCTGCTGCTGCGGCCAGGGGCGGATGAGGAGGAGACCGGCACCGGGGAGGGAGAGCGGAGGTTTTTCAGGTTGAGAAGGTTCTCCTCGTTTCTTCTCTGTTCAGATTAAGGTTCCGGTGATTCGGTTTTTTCTAGGGATTCATCCCCGGGGGAGAAAATCACCCAGTCCTTTCAAATTGTTTTTCCATGAGATTTTCATCCTGTCTAATTCAAGGATTCTTCGGTTCCGGTTCCTCTTTGTCGGAGGCGGGAGTTGCCATCGTCAGCGCGGAGTGTATGCCGCCCGCTCGCTGAATTCCTCCATGACCGATGGTCTTCATGACGGATGGCCCGTCCTCAGTCACTGATCATACATGAGCTGTAACACCAAGCGTTAGGTTCATTCGCTCCTGCTCAGTCTGATATCCTCGTTGCATTTTATTTTCTGTCTGTTGTTCGGGATGTTTGGAAATCCCCGCTAGACTCCCGTCGGTCTAGATGCTGACTGTACCAGAAAAAAGTCTCTTTTGAACCCATCAGCGTGCTATCTTTTACTGTGCAATCTATTACATATCCTTGCTCTCTACCCATGCCTGTAATTGTCTATTATCCCGCCGAAAGTATGCCATCTAGGTTACCAATTCGAGCGGCCAGGTTCTTTTTCTAATCTTTCATAGGGAATAACCTGAAAGTGGGGCTGGCCCAAAATAGTTTAACCTGAAACTTCCATGGTTTTTGGATTGTTTGAATATGGTGATATCCACTCTCCTGGACGTGTCGATTTTTTTCACTTCTCCGAAAAGGGGAGGAGTGTGGACATGGGAAGTGGTATTTTATTTTTTGGAGGAAAAAATTGTTTACATTATAGGTGATGTAATTATTTTCAGGTATTTTTCTCTATATTTCCCTTTTTGAATCATTTTGACTGAATGAGATGATTCACCTCGAAAACCATTTCCATTTTTCGCTCCAAACGAATAGTTTTTTTTTCTAACAGTTACTGCATCATATACATCAGTTATGTCGGCCATCATGTGTCGCAGAGAATCGTCAAGGATGATCAGCCTCATTCTAATTGAGAATTGAATTGATGTTCGTTCAGCTCGTATTTTCCTTTTTATCATTCAGCTTAATAGTTTGGTCCGATTTGAGAACCAGGCTGCCCCCCCTCTGGTGGCATAAAATATGCCCCTCTCTGTATGCTTCTTTTGGCAGATTGTTTGAATAAAAGACTTGCTCTACATGTACTCTACCCAGTGATGATGCTTATGTGCGTGTACACAAAGTATTAGAGGAGATCACCTTTCCCCTTTCGTAATACGATCATATGATTATCATGTACTTTCGCCCCCATGTCTGTCTTTCAAGTGCGCCATTATCTAGTCTTGTACATGGATTCCTAGACTGCTTTGTCATGGCAGAGTATATTCATGCCTTTTGCTCATTTGCATTGTTTTCTTGCTGTGTTCCCTGGCGTTTTGAGTTCCTCTCTGTTCATGTTATCTCTTTTCCATTCCTTTCCCCAGTCAAAACCGTAACATTCTCATCCAATCTGAGTCTATATTCTATTTCTTATTCCTTGTTATCTTGTGAAATACATGCAATAAATGAATCTTATACCACACTCTTATGTAACCCTTATTTTTTCATGCTTTTGTCAATTGTGTTCCCCTCTCCCTTTCCCTTCCTTTGCAAGGTGTTTGGATTTTTAACTTTTGACCATAATATCAGGTTATCTATCTCAAGAATAGAACTTACGTTTACGTTTTTGTCAGAGGTTTTCAGAAATACTGCAGGCTACTTAGCTGATATGATTCCCAACACCTGTGATCATTTTGACAGTATTCTGTCGTTTGATGAGATTTCATGCTTGTACTTTGTTGTGATCCTTTTTTCGTACAGATATAACATTGAAGAAGGACAAAAAAACTAGAATGTTTGGAAATCAATAAAGGCTAACTATCTGGAAAATATGATTTTTCGTTTCTAAGTTTGATGACTTTATGTTTGATCGATGAATTCAATGAGCCTGTTTGGATAAGTCATTGTAATTTGTTATATGCTTGAAAGATCCCGTCATGGATATCCCAGAAACATAAATTCTGCTTATTAACTAATGCATAGATTATTTATTTCTTACATTTCACGGAAGGTAGAACAATATTGGATCCTCAGTTTCATAATTGCCTTTTTCTATTTTTTTGATGAATTATTTTGTACTCGATTTATGTGACTGGCTTTTAATTTTATTTTTTTGGCAAAGCAAACCTTTATCTTGTCACATGTTAAATATTTCTTTAAGTAGCATATTTGAGTTGAAGAGTTGTGTGCCTTTTAGTCAGTTTCTGGTATCATATTTATCATATAAAGCTGCTTATTGATGAGTTGACTGTGGACATTCAAGAAAACGGTCTTCAACATATCCTACTTTCATGATCTAACGTTTGTCTATGCCACTAAGGAAATATTAAAGTATAACCTAGGACTATGTAACAATGCTTTATAATATAATTGTTTACAGTAAATTTAACCTAAGAAAACATATTTTTGAGAAAGTAATGAAATATGAGCGTCATACTTACTTTGTTTATCTCTAAAAAACCTAAAGTATTTTCATACGTGACTGCCATTTTTTGGGTTATTGCAAACTAAAATTCTGTAAAATGGTAATTGTTCTTGCTATACTATGAGAAGAGGCATTTTGCCCATATGAGAGTATCTGTAATGAGAATGTGTAGGTGGTAGGTGTAACAACAATTTTCATGGTAATTAGAGTCATATAGAAAAAAATTGGTAACAGTTTAGAATGAGAAGGTTATCTCACATTAATAATCATATTGGAGGGTTTGAAAAAAAATGGAATGAGATCCCCAATGAGTCCATTTAATTAACAGTCGATGCACGCACAACCCGTCGTAGTGTAGATATATCTGGGGATCACATATTGACAAAATTTCTGAATAACAGATACGAATCCTGGGAGTGTTACTATTTAATGAATAGTCTAGAAACTGAATTATGAAAAATATGAAATCAAATGTTTTACCTTTGCTCACAGTAACATGCCGGAAAGTAAGAAACTAGGTGTAGTTATCTGTTTGATGGATACCAAAATCTGTCATCTTAAGAAGATATTTGTTTCATTTGATCTTCAAATGACTCTAATGACATCAGCTGCTGGTAACCCTTAGGTGGTGAATATGGTGCCAGGTTTACTGGTGTGGTATCTGGGGACGACGATGGTGATTGTCAGTGATTCATGTTGCAATGGGTTCAACGGCAGCCTTCAGTGGTGACCGTTGGTTGTGGTCAATGAGTTTGGGACGATAACCACGGTTTGTGTCCAGTGGTGGTAGACGATGGACAGCGTTTGAAGGTAGTATTGTTGATAAGGGAGGTACTGGCTGTTGCAATTACTCTTTGCTGGCAGTTGAGGTGTAATCATGGTGGGATTGGTGACAATAGGTATAATTGAGGATTTATAGTGCAAGGTGATCATGCTGCTGATGGCAGGACAAGGCAATGAGTGGCAGTTATTGACGGGTTGTGGAGAAAGAGCAACGTGGAAATAAAAGGGAGATGGCAATGAAAGAAGTTGAGGTGTCTCTGTCGTGAACATTTGCATTCTCATCTGTATGACTTTTTTGGCGGTGATGAATTAAGAATAGCTTATTTTTTAACCTATGTTCATCAATGATTCTTAACTATCTGATAACCATTTTTTTTATAATGTGAGAAGTCCATTAGAGGTTATTTGACACGAGGTCAGACCTCTTCTCATACATATTTATGGAATTCAAGAGATTTTTCTCTATTCAAACTTCATATATGACTCTCATAAATCACCTAAATCATTAAATAAAAATTCTACAGGTTGCATCATTTTTTTGTGGGTTTAATGGGGTTGGAATGCACGTGTTTTGTCCTCTCCTCCTTTAGACCTCGAACTTTTATCTTGATCCTGCGTCATTGTCATTCTCTTGGATGTGTCTTGTTCAATTCGTTTCTTCTGCTCCCACTTTCTATCCGCTCTTTATGTTCATTGTCTTATTTTTCCTGCTCTTTCTCTTTTTGTTATCACTTGTCAATCTCTCTCTCTCTCTCTCACTGCTTACTTTTATCCTCGCCCCCCTCTTTCTGTCTCCTTGTCTGAAATGCTATCTTTTTTAATTGCTCTTGATCTCTTCCCCTGATAACCAGCACACTCACACGCACAGAAAACGCCGACACCCACTCATCCACGCATTTCCCCAGCTTAAGAGACTTTCTTTCACCTTCTTTTTCTCTCTGCTGCAGTTTTCGATCGTCAAGCTAGTTCTATTCCCCACCATTCCCTCCTCCCCAACCCCTCTTTATCCTCTCATTCTCTCACTCACACCTGCCCACCCATAAATGTGTGCAAGAGACAAGTGGAAGACGAGTTGTAACGGGTCAGCAGATCGGCCACCCTCTCCCCCGTCTCATTTTCTCTTCTACAGTGCTGACCATGGACGGGACCTTCTTTCTCCGTTATTTCCTCCTCACCTTCAAGAGCCTGAGAGAGCAGTGTTTCTAAGGATATCAATTCCTCACATTTCAAAGGATCTAATTTTTTTGTCAATCTCGAAGAAAAAAATGATGCATATATGTACCAAATGCAAGTTTTTTTTAGATAATTTTCTGTCTTTTGCCATTCAAAGTATTGATGCCTTTCAAGTGGCCCACTCTTATACTTTAGGATGCCGACTAGTTAGTGAATGGAGTTTCGTTTACAACACCCAGCGTAAGAAACTACTGATATTGTTTAGGATCTAACATGAAGAAACTCTTGACATGTTTAATTTTTAATTATTAATATCAAACCTTAGTGTAGCGGCTACTATGTCTATCAGGGGGATCATGATGTTTAACTGCCGTGCAGAGAGGTTATTCAGCGTTGTACCCTTGAATTTCCTCCCAGAATACTCTGTCCATGAATTTAGAATCCAGAAATTTACTAAAATTCTTGTGTTGGAAAAATTGAGCTTATTGTTGACTGTGATAAATTTGGTGGATGATGTAGGCACAGAGAGCAGACATGGAACATGGAAGAATTGTTGCCATTTGCCAGTACGGTGGTGAATTTACCTCAAACAGTGATGGATCTTTGGCTTACACAGGGGGAGATGCTCACATTATTGATATTGACCATACCATGCCTTTTAATACTTTTAAGTCGGAAATTGCTGGTTTGTTTGGCATTGACGTTACTGCAATATCCATCAAGTACTTCCTGCCGAACAATAGAAGGACACTTATCACCGTATCAAGTGATAAGGATTTGAAGCGCATGATTAATTTTCATGCGAATTCTGAGACGACAGATGTCTACATCTTAAATAAGGCTAGCAAAAGGTATGTGCTGTTCCTAGTTATGTATGTAAACGTTCTGCAGATCGACTGGCCCAATATCAAATGGTACATGCTCTCAGGGAAATTGGAGGCACTGTTGATGACTCTGACGCCACTGCTTCTGCTGATAGGAGTTTTGGGCAGTATAAACTTGTTGCTGGGAGAAATGGTAACAGGTAAGTAGTTCACTCATCTGATTTGGTCGTGCAGCTGGTAAATTATCCGAAGCTGTAAAGAAAATGTGCCGACTGTAGGGCAGCTGTAGCCCGGAACGATGTAGCGGACGGTGGGCTTGGAATTGCTACTGGCGTCCCTTCAGAGAATGGAAGAAAACGGCGGCTGGCTGCTGTTGACCGGGTTAACTACGGGTACATTTTTCGACACTCTCATCGCTTATTTTACATGAAATATTGCGCCATTGCTTGTAGCTTTTTCTCAAGTGGGTGGTTCAGAATTGCCTAAAGAAGAAAAAAAAACTGGTTGTGACTGCGCTGCACTCACTAAGATCAATTGTTCCATGTCTAGGATCTCTCTACGCTTGGCTTGATTGAATTGCATACCTGCTCATCCTTCTTTTTTACACCTAATGGGGTCATTTTGTTTCTAAATGCTTAGTTATCTACTGTTTTTACACCCTGGGAACTGAGAATTTACCAAACTCTATGTTCTGTGAGCATGGGCGTGGGATACACCATGAGATTGAATTCGAAGTATGAACTGCCGAATGAGATCTTATATCTAATATCTAAGTATCATAAGCTAAATTATCATAGGTTGCGGCAAATCCATGAGCGGCTCTTTTCTGAATATGCCTTCTACTTTGCATCAGAGGCTCCATCCCCATGATTTTATTGCGCAATACCTGCAGGTCTGCTGCCGCTGACTCTGCCGTCGCTATGATGCCGACTCCAGCTCCTATTGCCATAAGACCGCACGCGCTAATGGGCAACGACTGCGATTACAACAGGTATCCTCTGAGTGATTGTGTTGACTGCATTTCTTTCTCCCGATCTGGGATCTCAAGAGCATTTCTCCTGCAGGGAAATTGGGAGCATGATCTCCGACCTGGGCGTGCCGGTCGCCGACAACATCGTTCAGTGTGCCACCGGCCCCTATGACGATGTCATATATGTCGGGCAAGAATTCGATAACGTCAAGGTCTTCCGCGATGAGCTGTGCAAGTATGCGTTTCTGAAAGGCTTCAAGTACAGGTTCATTAAGAACGAGCACACCCGCTTGACGGCGAAATGCGCCGACGACAGCTGCCCATGGCGGATACACGCTTCTCAGTCGTCCCGCAAGAAGACTTTTGTGATAAAGAAGATGAACCCCTCCCATACCTGCAGGCTCGGGTACAGCAAAGACAGAAGGGCGACGACGCAGTGGCTGGCAAGCATCATTAAGGACAAGCTGCGCGAGTCGCCACATCTGAGGCCCAAGGATATCGTAGCAGATCTCTTCCGGGATTATGGGATCAGCTTAAACTATCACCAAGCATGGCGTGGGAAGGAGATTGCCCAGAAAGAACTGTTCACCTTGCACGAGGAGGCATGCAATCAGTTGCCCTGGTACTGTGAGAGGATAATAGAGACCAACCCTGGAAGCATCGCTATGCTGGCGGCGTCCGCCGATTCCAAGTTCCGCCGGGTGTTCGTCTCCTTCTACGCCTCCCTCAATGGGTTTGAGCGCGGCTGCCGCCCTCTTATTTTCCTGGACAAGGTGCCCCTGAAGACGAATCTGCAGTGGAAGCTCCTGGCCGCCGCCGCAGTGGATGCAGACGACGGGATCTTCCCGGTGGCGTTTGCGGCGGTGGAGGCGGAGACCTACGACAGCTGGTTCTGGTTCCTGGTGCAGCTCAAGTATGCGGTGCCCGCGTCTCGACCCATAACCTTCGTGAGTTACAGGCAGAAGGGCTTGGAGGAGGTCGTGTTGCAGGTATTCGAGGGCAGCTTCCACAGCTACTGCCTGAATCAGCTCATGGAGGACTTTCAGGCCGAGCTGAAGAAGGGGATGTGGTCGGACAAGACGAGGGACGCCATGACCGACGACTTCAAGAACGCCGCCTACGCCTGCAGCGTGGAGGACTTCAACGCCCACGTGGAGAGCATAAGGGGCGTCTCGAAGGAGGTCGCGGACTGGGTCATCGAGAGCAAGCCGGAGCACTGGTCAAACGCGCTGTTTAAGGGTCAACGATACGACCACTACTCCCCTCAGATCGTGAAGTCGTTCAGCCTGTGGATCCCTGTCAAGCACGAGTCCTCGGTGGTGTTGATCATCGACGCGATCAGGGACAAGCTGATGGAGGTGATGCAAGCGCGCAGGGAGGCCTCCAGTTCCTGGGAGGAGACGTTGACTCCGACCATGGAGGAGAAGCTGAAGAAGGAGATCCCCAAGGCCGCCCACTACGTGGTCTGCTCCTCGGACACCCTCTTCGAGGTCCGCTGGAACACGGTCAACGTCGTCAACATCGGGACCTGGGAGTGCACCTGCCGCCGATGGCAATTGACCGGCCTGCCCTGCACCCATGCCATGACCGTCTTTGACCGCCTGGGCAAGAACATGTACGACTACTGCTCGAGGTACTTCACCGCCGATATGTACCGGTTGACCTACGCAGAGCAGATCCACTCCATACCCGACGTGGAGAAGATGAACAGCATCTTCACGAGCTCCTACCCTCCCCGCACCAGCCGGCCGCCGGACCGCCCGAGGAGGAAGCGGGTCAACCCCAACAAGACGACCATCAGGGCGCTAAGGTGCAGCAGGTGCAAGGCCGTCGGCCACAACAAGGCCACCTGCGAGGCATTCTTGTAGCTACGTGGCCCTTCTCGGGGGTGCGAGAATTCTCTTCCTTGGTGGGTTTCTTTTTGGCGGATGGATGCCGCCGGGCGGGTCTTTGACGGCCCCAACTCTGCTTGTTTCCCCGGAGACTTGCGAGGCTTTCAATGCAAAATCCTTTCCCTTTCGCCTCCCCGCCGCTGGCGTCCTGACCTTTCTCGAGCTTGCAGCTTTAATGCCCCACCATCTTCAACTATGCCCAGTTGGTCATCGAGAGGAACTGTGACGTTTGGACTCCCTCCCTGCCCACTTGCCCTCCCGGCCTCTCTGCATGATTCTCCTTCTTCGGACAGCATGCAGCATGCAGAGTTTGCCCTTCGTTTTCCCCGGTGCTGTTTGATAGGTTGAAACCACCCCACTGGAATCGGTGATTGACTTTTTCTATTAAGTATGGTCCTGTTGAGACATCTCCGGTGTGGATCCGAATCGGTGGCCCAAGCTGTGGACGACGTAACAGGTTGACCCACCCGTGTCAAGCCGAACATGTCGGCTTTGACTCGCAATCGTATGGGGAAAACACGTACTGTTTTGAGTAATAATTCGGGAATGAGCCTCCGAATCGCAGGCCCACTCGGGCAGAAGGGACCAGCGACTTTCAAACGATTTTCCACCAGCAAGTGGCGTCCAAGAAACGGCCTTGGGGAGTGCGACCTGACTGGCAGATCTGTCCGCTTCGAACCCATTTGTTTCACTCCACGATTTCATCGGGGAGGCTCAGTGGGTCGGCGGGTCCCTTCCTCTTCCGTCCGTCCAGACGATGTTCTATCTTTCTTTAATTGGCGAGGATAGCGGCCTCACAAGGCTGGCGGAGCACGTGTAGTCGTCTCCGAGAGTAGCAGTTGTCGACGGCGGACCACGCCCCCGCCGCCTTTCACTCCCTCCTCCCCCCGCCCTCTTCTCTTCCGCTTGCTTCCCGTTGCCATCGCCGTCAGTGCCGCCGTCCGGAAGAAGGAGAGGAAGGGAAGGGAAGGGATGGGCACCCAAGCCAAGCTCTCGAGAAGGGCTCTGGAGACTGATAAACCCGTCATGGTCCAGGTGAGCTTCAGGGGGGGGATCGAGGGGTTGGCAAGAACCAGGGTTTTGCCCTCTCTCTCTACGATGAGGGACGAACTCCCATGACCGGCTTTCTCCTCCTTCGCTGCAGATTCAGGAGCTCCTCCGTGGACGCAAGGACGCGATCTCCCTGGCGCAGGTTCGTCAAATCCTCTACCACCGGCTCGTCCGATCTGCCCGAATTCGTATGAGAGATAGATTACCAAGAGGGACTGTCACCTCCTGATGCAGGGCGTCGTCTACTGGCAGCCTCCGGAGGCGGCTCTGGAGAAGGTCAAGCAAGTGGTATGGGATCCCTTGGTCAGCCGCTACGGCGCCGACGAGGGGCTCCCTGAGCTCAGGAAGGAGTTGCTCAAGAAGGTATGACGCTTCCTTCTGCTCGTGTGCAGGGTGGGCTTCCGGGTTACCCAGTCAAACCTCTCTTTATTCCTGCGTGATATCGTTCAAGATGATGGGATAATTCAAAATATATATATTTACGAGTTTGGGATTTATTTATTTTTTAATTGCTTGCAGCTAAGTCTGGAGAACAAACTGAACAAATCATCCGTTATGGTCACAGCTGGGGCGAATCAGGTGTGCACTGACCAGATACCTCTCCATGTTTTTGATAGTAACTCAAGAAGATCTGACTGGAAGCATGGAAAATTCTTTTTTTTTTTCTTTAATTTTTTCGGAGCCCATGCAGAAACTTTGATTAATCATCATCTACCAACTTTATTTCATGTAGCCTTGATCTGATTGGTATGAAATTTTTGCTTGTCGTCCAAGAAATAGCTCCTGGTCAGTGGCGCAGATCTAACCCAAGCAAGATAATCAATCCAATCTGAATTGGAATACACCCATTTTTTACCATGTAAATTTCATTTTTTTAAAAAATCCCTCGGATCAATCCATGCATTTCATAGTCAACCCAGCATAAGAAGCAAAGATTATCATCTTGATACCTAAAATGCACGTCCATCGTTTTCTAGCACAGAAATATGCATCGGATGGGCAGCAGCAAGGGCCAAAACATTCTTGCTATTTTATCATATAATATTTCCCAACATGATCGATCATGTGCTAATCTACCCCAAGCAAATAATCAATCCAATTTGATTGGAATACACCAATTATTTACGGTATGCACTTCACTTAAAAAAATAATGATCCCTCCGATCAAACCATGTATTGAATTCTGAACTTACATAGTCAACCCAGCACAGGAAGAAGCGAAGATCCTCATCTTGACACCTAAAATGCATGTCCTCCCTTGTTTTCTAGCACAGAAATAGGCATCGGATGGGCAGCGGCAAGGGCCAAGACATTCTTGATATGTTATCATATAATCTTTCCAGCAGAATCGATCCTGAGTTAACCCGCTTCCTTGTGGTTCTCAGGCTTTTGTGAATCTTGTGCTCACCCTGTGCGACGCGGGGGATTCGGTGGTTATGTTTGCACCATACTACTTCAATGCCTACATGTCCTTTCAGATGACGGGCGTCACAGACATTATTGTAGGGCCTGGTGATCCCCAGACGCTCCAACCTGATGTAGGTATGACGCATCCGAGGTTTCCCTTGTTGGGAATGCCTTCCCTGGGGCATTGAGCTTCCCTTTTCTCCTTCTTTGCATGGTTTCCTGCAAATTTATCAAATGGAAGAAAAATCTCATATGAGCGATCATTGGTAAATAATGGATATGCCCAATCTTCGTTTTGATATTAGCTTGTTTTGTTAAATAATGTTCAATTATTTGGCCTTGTTTATTCACGAAACCTTCTCTTAAAAAAAAAAATTAAAAAAAAAAACTGAATTCGCTTTCTGATGAAAATATTTGCAGATTGGTTAGAGAAGACTCTCTCGGAGAAAAATGGTAAGCCAGTCCCTAAGCTTGTTACCGTTGTCAACCCAGGAAATCCTTCTGGGATCTTCATCCCGCAGCCTATCATTCAGGTGCCCTTTCCTGCCCTCTGCTAACCCCCTCAGTCAACGGGTGCCCATTGGCTCATTCTTCCTAACTATCACCTTTTCATTTCATTATCTTACCTAGAGAATTTCAGATATTTGCAAAAGCGCTGGCGTTTGGCTTGTCGTGGACAATACCTATGAGTGAGTACATGATTTTCCCATTAGTTTCAAGTGAAAAAAGACGTCATTTCTGCATATCCTCTGCATATATGGGAAGATCGCCGTTGAAGCGGATCAGATGGGTTTGCTGATCATCCACATATTATTTTCTATACCAAAATTCTTGTTTTGGGTTTCGGCGAAAAAAAGTGATCGTGATCGACGTCATCCAATGCTTCTAAGTCAGCACCTGGGTTTTCCATTTGTTCCAAGTCAAAAAATACGGATGTTACTCTGTACTCGCATTCTTGTTTTTGGTTGGTTTCTGCTAAGAAAAAGTATATTTGAATCTAAATCAATCAAGCACCTATGAGTGAGTATATAATTTCCCCATCTGTTGCAAGTACCTATGAGTGAGCATTTAAAAATATATGCTGCGTGTAGATCAGATGCCCTTGTCGATCATGCAAATATTATCTAATGCTTGCATTCCTGTTTTGGGTTTTCTAGCATAAAAAGGGTATTTGAAATACATAAAAAAACCCATGAGTGTGAGTGCATAACATTCCTATTCGTTTCAAGTGAAAAAGACGCCATTTACGCAGATATTCTGCACACATGAGTGGATCATGGTTGAAACGGATCAGATAGGGTTGTTGATCTTACAGATACTGTTTAGTCCTCGCATTCTTTTCTCGGTTTTCAACACAAAAAAAAAAAGAAAAGTGTTTGAAATCATTCGAGTTTCAATGCGTTGACTGCGTAATTTTCTCAATTTTTCCAAGTTAAAAAAGCACGCCATTTCGACAGATATTCCGGGCACACGAGAGAAGATCACAGCCTCGAAACGAGACACATGGGCTCGTTGATCCTGCAAATATTGTCTATACTTCTCATTCTTGTTCCGAGGATTATCAGAAGAAAGGGTTTGCAGTCTGACCTTTTTGGGGTGTATTTTGTTCATCTCTGTGAGGAACCTCACTCTGTCGTCGTAATGCTGAGTCGTTCCCGGATTAGAATCTGCTCTCCCGCCTGAATAGTTCGTCAGATGAGCCTCATCCGTCCCAATTCGCCGCCGCAGGTACTTCATGTACGACGGGTTGAAGCACTACTGCATAGAGGACAGCCACATTGTCAACGTCTTCTCCTTCTCCAAAGTCTACGGAATGATGGGCTGGCGCGTAGGATACGTAGGTTTCCATTGATCTTTACCATTTCGGTGCTCGATTCACAAACTTGGCAGATACCTGTAGGTCTCCGTCTTGCAGATCGCGTATCCCTCGGAAGTGGAGGGATTGGGGGAGCAGCTCCTCAAGGTCCAGGACAACATACCGATCTGCGCTTCCCTGATAGGGCAACATCTGGCGCTGTACTCCCTTGAAGCCGGCCCCGGATGGATCAAGGAGAGGGTGGAGACGCTGGCGAAGAACAGGGAGATCCTCAGAGAGGCACTCTCGCCGCTGGGGGATGGCGCGGTGAAGGGCGGGGAAGGAGCCATCTACCTGTGGGCGAGGCTGCCGGAGAGATTCTCCGACGACTTCGAGGTCGTCCGATGGCTACTGAACCGGCACGGCGTGGTCGTCATCCCCGGGAGCTCCAGCGGCGGCCACGGCCACATCCGGATCTCCTTCGGCGGGCTGAAGGAGGACGACTGCCTCGCTGCCGCGCAGCGGCTCAAGCGGGGGCTGGAAGAGCTGACCAGCAAGGGGATGGTGCAGTGACCATGACGAAGACGACGACGAGGATGGCTCCACCTTTCGCCGGGGGCAGATTCCACCAGATGAGCGAGCTCCTCTGACGAAGGTGGAGAAGTTCGACCGGCTTCTTCTTCTTCTTCTTCTTCGCTCTTTGATTGCAATCCTTGCAGAAGACTGCAAGATTGATTGGTTCATCAAACCTTCCTGGCCTCACCGACCCATCTGCAGGAAAAATGGTTTTATTCTTTTGGATAGTGAGGAAACTATTACCAGGGTTTTTTTTCTCAGGTGGAATTTATTTTAATTATTGATAATAATGGAATCATCCTGACTCATGCCCAGATGGGGAAATGGTTCTATGCACCTGTCCTTTCTCAGTTCGAATCTATACTTTATTTTGTAATTTTGATCTTATTTTTAAAAACTAATCGAATCAGCCTGACTCATGCCCCAGCTACTTTCCACAACCTGGGCCCAGATTTTTAACTTGGGCCAGCCCAACAAAGACCACCCCCGGCCCAGACAGATTCTCGGAACCCCTTGGAAGATTAGTCCCACATCGGAAAAATGCAAGTATCAGTCTGTTTTTCCTCTGAATAATAACAACTCGTATTCCTTTTTCAACACTAGAACAACGTCGGAAGCATCGTGGATCGAGCGACCGAGCTTCAACAAATTCCCAAGATCCACAATCTTCGAGCGTCATTTCTTCCGCTGGGGAATGCGCTGAACGACCACCTGAGACGAGCAGAGATAGCAGGGAATCGCCGATCGATCAGAAGCCAGGATTAAAGAACTGTGTGGCTGAAGGCTTAGTTCTACAGGAATGGCGATAAATTAATTCATCGTACCTTGCCAGAGTTCTCCTTGTTCCCGACTATAGTCTGGCATGCGAGCCTCCAGGATTCGGGTTTCTGCGATGTTGTTCCAGTTCAGAGATGATGGCATTTCGAAATGCGGACAGGGGAAACGAGGGCGGTCGAGCCTACCTTCTTCAGATATCGTCCCTCGGTGTTGGTTGGTTCGTTCAGGAGTTCCTTCCCCTCGATGATCTGCGAGACAGGATGACGGTGCAGAAAAAGTTCAATCAAATCAGAGAACACTGAAAAAAACCTCGATTAATTTCGCATAGGGCTGTCACTGGCTTCGTCGGAGTTGCATGGGAGTACGGAAGACGGGAGGGGGGGGGGGAGATTGGAGAGGGACGAAGAGAATGTGACAACGTGGGGGATAGCTGAAGGTAATCAAATCGTCTTTCAAGACCGAACCTCCACAATGCAAGTTCCGCAGCTTCCCCCGCCTCCGCAGTTCATCACTTTCCCCTGCAGAGTAGAGAGAGATGAAGAGTCGACCGGTTCTTGCACGACGTTTATCCCGTCGGATTTGTTTCTAACTTACGTAGGTGGCGTACAGTTCGATCTTGTTGTCGAGCATGATGTTACGGAGAAGTTTCTCGCCGCTGTCGGCCGTCGCGCTCTGCCTCTGGTACGATCCATCGGCCTCTGGCTTTGGCTGTTAAAGAGTAAAGCAAGAAGAGAGAAACAGGATAAGAGAAAGGGGAGGGGAATATTCGGCGAGAGTACAACAGACAGCTTATTACCGAGATGAATTCGAGCTCGATCTGAGGCTTCCCCTCTTCGGACAGTGAAGGATTCAACGATTCCACGGCTGAACGCGAAGAATCCGAAGGGAGAGTGAGAGAAATATAGCCTTTTCCTTTCCTGAACGATAAGGGACGGATTGTCGGAGGAAAGCTGCAGATCGGTCGAGCGCTAGCAGCAGAAGACGAGAAAACAGCATTCACCGAGTTCTTCTTTCGCACTTGCAGAGGAACCGAGACAACGCTCGTGTTCGCCATTCTCCTCTCTCTCTCTCTCTCTCTCTTCCTTGCAGAGCTCCCCAGCCGCCACGCGGTCGCACTCTTCGCCACACGCAGTTCCCGCGGGCACGGTCGAGTAGAAAGGGAGAAGAAGGCACTAGAAGCCCGAAAAAGATGTGGAATCTTTCGCATCATATGGTCATCCTCTGAACTTCTCGGCACCGTCCGATCGATTTCCAACAGCTACCATGAGGCGACTCATAGTCCATCCGGTGAACTCTAGGAGTCCATTAAACCAGAGGTCCGATCATTTTGCCATATAATTACTCTCTAGTATTTCTCGTCCGTACCGTCGTCAACGGACGTAGGTCATCCCGGCCCAGTTAGCTCTTACGGGCTTGGACCAGAAAAAAACTGTGGGATGGCCCATCAGGCCCAATATGAATTGGGCTCTCTCTCTCTCTCTCTCTCTCTCTCTCTCTCTCTCTCTCTCTCGACCTGGTAGGTCGCCTTGACCTACCAAACGACCGCACATATGGGGCATTAAATCATTTCAAAAAAAATGGTATAGAATGCACCAAGATATCATATTCTATGAGATAACCTAACATGTTGACCCGTAGTTTACTCACCGCAATATATATAGTTGACCGTCAAAGTCAGCAACTGTTGTTCCTGACTTATCAGAACGTGATCTCCGATGACAAAAATGTCACAGTCCCACCACGATCTAAATGTAGTCCGCTTAGACGACCCACTCAATCGCAATACTCGTCCAAATGTAGCCGCTTAGACGTTGAGCTAATGCGTTGACCAAGGGTTTAGATTGAATACACGTTGGCTTCGTCGAAGTCGCCGACTGTCAGTATTTACATCCAAACACGAATTTCCCGCTACATGGCGTACAGATTAACATCACACTTCAATACCATCTCTCTCATTCACTCTCATCTCGATCGTTCCCGCCGGCCTACCAGATTAAGACGCAATCCGCAGTAATTACGGTCTAATAGGAGATAGATAGTCGACCATAGAGGTCAACGACTATTCCTGTTTCATTTGAATACCTTACTCTCTCCCCAACTATGTCCCTTGACCTATGAAGCAAGCACAGGAATCACATTAAACCATTAAAACATAAATGCCAGTTGACCACAAATCTGAGGCGAGCTAACACGTTGACGGAGAATTTACTCATCGAACGATAGTTGACCTCGGAAGTCGGTGACCATTACAGAGTTACTCGGGCATGGATTCCCGATAACGGGTCAATGGGCGAATTCCCCTCGCGTCTCCTCGTCTTTAATAAAAAGTGGAACCATCCTCTCCATGTCTTCATATCCCGCGGTGTTACCTTCTAGAAACGGAGATAAGAGACCGATACAGAGAAGAGGACGTGACGTGACGAGATGGGAAGAGAGAGAGAGAGAGAGATGACGTGATATTCGCCGGCTTCTGCATCCAGATGGGCGTGGACAGCAGGCCATCACGGGACCTCTACGCGGTCTCCCCTTCTCTTCCCAACGTTTAATGCCGCCGTCCTCCGCTGGCTCGCCGGAAGAGGCGCAGCCGCGGCCGAGGAAAAAAAAAAGGGTTAGCCCCGGGGGCGGCGGCGCCGCCGTGAATGCCGGCACGGGAAAGCGCCGTCCATTTACTGGCAGATGTGTGAACGCCGTCCTCCGTCCATCTCTCCTTCTCCTTCTTCCCTCCTCCCCCAGCCAGAAGGCATCGGCGTTATTGAAGTCGAGGAGGGAGAATGAATGATGAGCCGATTATGAGCTGGAATCCAAGAGGGAATCTAGCAGTTCATCGGAAAAGAGAGGTCAATAATTCTACTCACCACCAGAGAGCCAGCAGGTGGTCGTTGGGAGTTGTTTTACGTCAGACACCCTCTTATTTCCACCACTAGAAAAAAAACTCTCTATTTGATAAAATTCGGTCTTCGTGAACCGGTTTCGTGGGGCCCGTCCGAGTCGGCCAACATCACACGTCACCATCACCCGGATAATTGCCATTAAACCAGTTTATTGAACCCCACCGACGAAGACGACAGGCCGAAGAGCTTCGGACAGCTGGGGGCATTGTGAACCGGGGGGAAGGGTCCACCAGCTGCAGCCCAGACGTGGTCCGGCCTGGTGGATCAACGTGGGTCTGGATCTCACACGAGGCCCGCGCCACGTGCGAGCCCCACGACCTGAAACCGGGGGACCGGTCGCTGTTGGTCTGGGCTTTAGATTGGACCCCGCTCGGACCTCATTTATGGCGGGAATCGGACCGGCCTACCAGCCCGGACATCTATTTACTTGGCGGTCATGCTCTTGGCGACGACGGGGTCGTTCACGTGTGACCCCCCCCTTTCTCCCCCCGTCCTTAGAATCCCTACGAGTCGGATTAATTCCGTACGTTGCGCGGAATTCAAAGAATAGCTACCTGCTCTGTCGCGTTCTCATCGTCGATCGGAGAAGTGGCGGACAGGATCACGCGGCTCAGGGTAGCCGTGCGAGACAGTGTACACTCCCGCCTCTTCCCTGCAACCGTTTCCTCCGCCTTCCTCCTTTAAACCTCAGATCACTGAACGGTCCCAAACTCTGGAGCTCACTGTTTCTGCCTCTCTCTCTCTTCTTTTTCTGCGTCCGTCTGTCCCTCTCTCTCTCTCTCTCTCTCTCTATCTCTCTCTCCCTGTATCGGTGGTCTCTCTCTCTAGTTCAATCTTCCGCAAGATGCTTAAGAGAGTGTTCCTCTCTCATCATCTTTGCCTGTGGGGAGCAGGAGGGAAGAGGAGGTGGAGAGAGGTAGAGAGGGAAAGGGGTAAGACATGGGCATTAAATGCACTGCTCAACAACCCCACATTTGCCTTCGAATTCGTCGGCCTTAATCACTCAGCCATCGTCTTTCCGGCCCCAATGCTGCTGGTGCCGCCGATGCTTCCTCTGGCGCCATTTAAGGGCCCTACCTCCTCTCCCTATATTCGTCTCACTCCCCTGCTCTTCCACACAGTGCGCGGGCTCGGGAGTCCTGGTTTTAGGGTTTGTGGATCCAGATGTGGGCGCCGTACGGGAACGGCGAGGGTGCGTTCTCGAGGTCGAACTCATTCCGGGAATTAGATGGCGATGAGGAGGAGGAGCTGCGGTGGGCGGCACTGGAGCGGCTTCCGACGTACAACCGCGTGCGGAGGGGGTTGCTTCGCAGTTCTGCGGGTGGCTTCTCCGAGATTGACATATCAAGCCTTGCGTGTTCTGATCGGACGGCTGTCATTGATCGGCTGCTGGCGAAAAATGGCGATGCTGAGGACCTCTTTGAGCGGATTCGGCGGAGAATTGATGCGTAAGTACTCTTTCTCTGAGAAGGTGGCGATGCTTTCCCACATCATTGTTCTCTGCTTCACCGTAATTGTAATCTGTTGCTGCGCCTGCAGTCAGCGAGTTCATTTCACGTTCTTTAATTTTTTTGTGTGAACGAAAAGGACTCATTTACGAGAGCTGCTGTCCGTCTGGCTTGTTCAAATGGCTGCGATTCTCAATGCTCTAAATTTCTCTGTTCCAGATTCCTCTAAGCAATCCGTTTCATCCTATCCATTTTTCCAACTGAATTTCATTTGAATTTTCAGAAGTTCAATTTTTTTTCATGCAAACAAGTTTCCCCTTCCCCTGGATCTTCCGTTCTCTGTCTTTGCGGGCTACTTTGCTCATTTTGGGTATTCTTTGCTTCCTATTTGGTTTTGAAATCTTCTTCCAATTTTATAATTAAATAACTTTTACTATGACTTATCAGAATATATTTTTTAAAAGCATTGTTGTATTTTCTTTTCTCCACTTATTCTCTTACATTTTTTTGCCGCTTTACCATCAGTTTCCAGTTTCTTCTTCGTTTTTGAATCTTTCTTATAGAAAAGTATGATTTCTTTCTGTTTTATTCAATTTAAAATACAAAATCCTGGTTTTCATAATTCTATATATCTCTTTTTTTTCCATCAAGAAGGAGAGACTGTTGCAGTCGCTTGATTTTGTAAGGAGTCTTATACGACGTGTTTTTACCGTTTAATGTTTTGTTCATATTTTATTTGTATTAGTTCTGCTTTCCTCTCACTATATGTTATCTTCTGATTAATCTAATTCTTACCCGAATTTTCCATTATTTTAGCTCAATACTTTATAGTATTGTTCAGAATATTTTATCTGAGGAAATGGAGATTGTTATTTTATTCAGAGCAGGCAGATGTTCCTGATATTATTTCTAGAACGTTGCTATATCTTCTTCTTTTCTTTTTTTTTCTATGAAGGTTTTCCGTTTCATATTTCTTTATCTTCGAATAGGGTGGGGGGAGGGGGGGTTTGGTTGAAATGAGTCTGGAGAATATTCTTGATCAGAGGAAATATGGTTTGTGGTATTAACCTATCATTTTGAGTGCCTATAAATTCCATTATAGACTCGGGTAATGAGATTATTCTTCTTCTTTGCATGGCAGCGTTGGTCTTGACCTTCCTTTGATTGAGGTTCGATTCCAGCAGCTGAAAGTAGATGCATATATTCACGTTGGAAGCCGTGCTTTGCCTACAATTCCCAACTTTCTTATTAACATGGCAGAGGTAAGCTGGTTACTTTTGCTGCATAAGCGTTCATGTAGAGAACTTTGCCTTCAACTCATACTAGACATTCGTAGAAAAATAGACTCACAGTAAGCCTTTCTGTCGCTATATTTGGTCTGATTGAATTAAATATGGATAGAATTGTCCAGGGCTAGTCTGGTTGATAGATCCTTGTTATCTGATCTCATGGAACGTTGATATTTTGGGAGTGATAGAGTTTATGATCTAATACTATAACCCAGTTTGTCAGGTCTTATTTCCAGTCAATAGTCCCAAAGTTTTTTGTTCTAAGGTTTTCTAATTCGTCTCTCTTTATTGTCAAGGCTCTTTTAAGGCAGCTGAAAATTTTCTCAGGAGGAAGGAAGAAATTGCCTATACTGGATAATATTAGTGGGATAATTCGCCCTGCAAGGTTAAATATTTCTGTACAAAATACCCTCTCCTACCGCCAACTGATTATTCTATTGTCCTATGGGTCTCTGATCGACTGGTCATTTGACAGAATGACCCTGCTTTTGGGACCTCCAAGTTCCGGGAAGACAACTTTGTTATTGGCACTTGCTGGACGGCTTGGATCTGATTTACAGGTATTGATATTTTTCAATGCTCTGACAGATTTATGTTTCTAGATGATTCTAATTTTAACAGTCATCATTTTGTGTTAAATGATATGCCTGTCTACCCAGCATTATGCATCGAAATGTAAAATTCTCTTGTTAAAATATTAGAAGGTTGGCGTTAAATCTTAACAGAGGTGAACTCAAAGAACAAGTCTATCCTTACATGAGGAACACGACAAATCTAGTTTTCAGGAATCCAAATATTTTATCAAACGAAGCGCTCCAATTTTTCTCTTCAACCATTTTATGTGGATACAACTAATTATCTGTCAAAAATAGTCTAAACTTTAATTTCAAATAATCTAAATTTTCTGTTCATCTCAAAGGTTAATGAAACACTTTTACTTTTGAATCTCCATACCAGTTATCTCTCTGAAAAATATGTTACGAAACCTCCAACATATGTAGTGGACTTATTGCAATTCATTGCCCTGACTTTTACCCGATCAGGTTCTGCATCTGTCAACGTTTTACATTAACTTCAAAGATAGGATGTTGCTTTCCTCAGCAAAATCCCATCAGACACAGCTTAAAATACTATGCCTCTCCCGTAACACTTCTCCTGTAACACTCTCATTACCTGTTCCGTAACAAAACCGAATAGGGTGTCATTGGATTGCCTCATCCGGACACTTGAACACCAAAGAAAGCAGAGTGTGCCCATATTTGATGATCCTCAGCTTGTATCCCTGCTTCATTTCTCCTTCCAGGAGAGTTTTTCTCTGAGGATTTCAGTAGAAATAACTCGTTTTGAGCCAAATGTTTGAAAGATTTGACAATACCATACCATAATCAAAAGGTAAGTAAGAAAGGAGAAGTCGTCTAGCTTAGTTTAATCCGTATAACTTGAATCTTCCTGTGCTGATATATTTATTATATCTGATAACTTCATTTATCAACTGATAAAAATTGAGACTTTGTCTGGTTTTTTGAAATCCAAATGTTTTGGAACGTGTAACCCTCATCAAAATATGTCCATCTTTCACTGTCCACTTATCAAACTGCATTGAATTGCAGATGTCGGGGAGCATCGCTTACAATGGGCATAAATTGAGTGAGTTTATTCCCCAAACGACAGCCGCTTATGTTAGTCAGCAGGACTCGCATACAGGAGAGTTGACAGTCAGGGAAACTCTTGAATTTGCAGCACGCTGCCAAGGAGTTGGATTTAAATATGGTAATGCCTGAATTAATAATTTGCATGTTGTTTTACTCATGTCTTAGTGAAACAATCTACCTCCTGTAGATATGCTGTTGGAACTTGCTAGGAGAGAGAAAAACGCTGGAATAAAGCCTGACGAAGATATTGATTTATTTATGAAGGTATTAATTCTTCCATTCAAGGTGCTTTGCTTTCTGATAATTCTGCCAGATATTCAGATTATTCTAATTCCTTTTTGTTCGCAGGGATTAGCCTTGGGTGGCCCAGAAACAAGCCTCGTTGTTGAGTTTATTATCAAGGTAGTAATTTTACCTCTCTATGGTATCCATTTCTCTGAAATATTTGTCGTTTCATTTTAAGAGGCTTCGTTTTTTTTTTTTAACAACTGGCGTGCTTTAATTAACTTCAGCCATTTTCTCTGGTTTCTATCTTTCATTCATATGTACCAGTTTCAAACTGAAAGCAGTGGAATTGGAACAGTTGTGGCCATTTCTGATCTAGTTTATGGGATGCAGTCCAAACTGACCAGTTCTCAAGGCCGTGCATAGAGATGCTTGAAAATGACTACGTTAAACTATGGTTTCTCTGTATGCTTTACTTTAAATAAAAGGCATCATGATACAAATTATATTTTCCTTTGGAGGTTGCTTTAAAAAAAAAGGAAAAAATAAACGACTGATGTGGGATCAATAGGAGCAGATAGTTCTGTGATTAGGACCAGCTCTGCGAGGCCGTAGATTAGGTTTCTAACTTAATAAGAGCGCTTATCCGTTTATTTTATCGAAAAAACTACTTATTGTGCATTTTTTACATTGGTGGTCATGCTTTCCGTAGTTTTCTAAACTTCTACACCTTTTCATGCCAAAGATTTTAGGGTTGGACATCTGTGCCGACACACCAGTGGGGGATGATATGATCAAAGGGATCTCAGGGGGACAGAAGAAACGCCTCAGTACAGGTTAATAAGAGGGTTGATTTATTTATTCACATTTTTAAAATTTGTTCTTTCTTCCTTAGACAGTGTCTGTTGGAGTTTTAAACGATCAATCCGTGCGGTTTCAGGTGAACTATTAGTTGGGCCTGCCAGAGTATTATTCATGGATGAGATATCGACAGGTCTCGACAGTACAACAGCATACGAGATCATCAAGTATCTTAGGCATTCAACTCACTCCCTTGGCGGGACGACAGTCATATCCCTGTTGCAACCAGCTCCTGAAACTTATGAACTATTTGATGACATAATCCTTATCTGTGAAGGGCAGATAATATACCAGGGCCCTCGTGAAGCTGCCCAGGATTTCTTTGTAGCAATGGGCTTCAGATGCCCTGAGCGCAAGAATATAGCAGATTTCCTTCAAGAAGTAAGTACAATGAGTCAAATTTTATGATTCGGTGATTACTTCCGAAGCATTAAAGCATCTGCGTTGGCATGTTGGTGTCAGACAAACATGTAAACATGTTGACCCTAGGTTCTAGGATTTATGTGCTATGGTAACACCATTGAATTTCCTAATACTATTAAGACCTGGAAGTGCTTTGCTATTTTTTTTTCCCCATAAATCAACAATCTTCCTAAAAGCTTATGCATTATTTTTTTGATTTTACTGGGTGATAAGTATGAGAATATATATTTAAATCCCTTCTATTCCTTCGTCTTATATTTACAGGTGTTCATTGCATCCTGTGTATTTGTGTTCACACTTGATACCGCATCTATGTACTGAAGATCATAGCTCCTCACTACTTTATGCTTTCATTTTCTACTTATTTTTTTAGGTCACATCGAAGAAAGACCAGCAACAATACTGGTATTCTTCTGATTGCCCATATCAGTATGTATCTGTGACAAAATTTGCTGAGGCTTTCCGGCATTACTGGGTTGGCAAGAATTTGTCCCACGATTTAGGTGTTCCGTTCAACAGAGAGAGCAACCTCCCTTCAGCCTTGTCAACTTCTACATATGGAAAAAAGAGATTTGAACTTCTCAAAGTCAACTTCTCCTGGCAGTTGCTATTAATGAAGAGAAATTCATTCATTTATATCTTTAAATTCATTCAAGTAAGTTTCTCAGTTTATTGTTGTACCTCCCTTTGTGCTTTTGATGTTTCAATTATATTTATTGATAAATTTAAATAGTTCTCAAAGGACATTCTAAAGAATAATGGATTAAACGTTCAATATATTTTCAAACTAGTATTGAAAAGGGGTCAGTATGAAAATATTCTTAGTTGAATTCTGCATTCGAATTTTTTCTGAACGATTATTTTTATTGATGATATTTAGGTGTTAATTAATTATCGTTTCATGTTTGATGAGTATCTCTGTTGTATTTGTTACTGACATTACCGAATATCTAGCTTTAGTATTATTTAACATCTAACGTAATGCTAACATAGATGAAAAAAAGGGATATCTTGGAGTAGGAAAGTTAGTGCTAGAATGTATTCATGGTGTCTGAATCTGTCATATGTTGGCTATGATTTTCTGAAATTACGGCCTTCGATATTAGAAAAAACTCTGGAAACTAATGAGGTGCTATCTTGCAGCTCCTACTTTCTGCTCTCATAACAATGACAGTTTTTTTCCGGACAACAATGGAGCATGACACGATAGATGATGGAATTGTTTATCTTGGCGCGCTGTATTTCGCCATGATAATGATTATGTTCAACGGATTCACAGAGGTTGCATTACTGATACAAAAGCTTCCAGTGATCTACAAGCACAGGGACTTGCACTTCTATCCATCCTGGATATATGCCCTTCCGTCATGGTTGCTGACTATTCCTACATCTTTTCTAGAGTCTGCCCTTTGGGTTGTAGTCACATATTATGTGGTTGGTTATGATCCCCATATTACGAGGTAATTCCTTGTTTTATGCCTCGATGACGCCTGCATGAATTTTTCTGGGCAGTTCAAGTTCAGAACCTTATTCCTACGTGCTGCACATATTTTTTTCTACAGGTTCCTCGGTCAGTTCGCGATAATTTTCTTTTTACACCAGATGTCTTTATCTCTCTTCCGTATTATGGCATCTTTAGGTCGAAATATGATTGTAGCAAATACGTTTGGATCTTTTGCATTGCTGATCGTCATGATTCTTGGAGGATTTATTCTTTCCAGAGGTAAAACTGAGATTCTTTTTTATTAGTTGATATACAACATGCACGGGATGCATCCTACTGATACCATTTTTAATGTTCACAGAGAGCATCCCCGATTGGTGGATTTGGGGTTACTGGATTTCTCCTCTTATGTATGCTCAGAATGCAGCCTCAGTCAATGAATTTTTCGGGCATTCATGGGACAAGGTAATGATATTTTGCCAGTTACATCAGTCATTCTAATATGGTTGAGCATAATTACTTCCCCTACAGTTAGGGAAGTAAAGGGCCGATGTGTCCGCCTGAATTTCTTCTGTTGTCATCATATTTTCAAAGAGAATCGTATAACGACAATTGATTTATTCTCCTTACATAAGTTTTGGAGCCATATGTAGTAGCTATATGTAGCTAGCATGTCTGGTCATTTTTATGGAGGTCTTTTTGATTGGATAGAAAGATAAGCAACAAACAAGACTCGATAGCTGAGCCAAACTTTGGTTTTGATTTTTCCTTCTATATGATATGGATGGCAGGGCACATGATACACTGACAGAGATATAAGAAACCTGATAACTTTAATGGCAGTGAAGTGTGCACTAACATATACGACTTTGTCATTATCAAACACTGGCATGTAATTCTCAAGTCAGTATTTTTATGAAGGCTAATTGAAAAATCCCATCTCATTATGTTTCTATTATTTTTTTAAATTTATATTAATATAGAGAATACTTTTATGCAGCTTCTTTAAGAAAATGAAATAGCTGGTTTGAAGACTAGTTTTCACATTTAGAATGTGGAATCTATTCATTCTTGTCCTTCGTCCGGTGAATTAAAACTTAGTTTCTTTCTTTCCTCGTTGTTTGAAATACACAGTCAGCATGCATGTACATGTTTATGATCGCATGTGTAGCTCAAGCGAAGTTCAAACTAATGGTTTGTGTTGTTGCAGATGATTCCGGGTTATAATATAAGATTAGGTGATGCTGTTCTGAAAGTCTTTGGTTTGTTTCCAGACAGATACTGGTTTTGGATTGGTTTAGGTGCCTTGTTTGGGTACATTGTGCTATTCAACATTCTCTTCACTATCTTCTTGACATGTCTCAACCGTAAGTTCTGTTTTGTAAAACTGTCATATCATATTCAACTTAAAAGAAATACTTGGAAAGGATTCTTATATTTCCTTATTTTATATATTTCTTGCAGCCTTGGGAAAACAACAGGCAGTCGTGTCCAAATCAGAGCTCAGAGATAGGAAAGATAAGAGAAGAAATGGGCAAGCTCTTGTTGAGCTTGGATCCTGCATCCGTTCAGGTAAACTAACAAAAAAGTAGCAATGTTACTCTCATTCGAAGATATCACTTGAGTACTTCATGAATATGAAGTCCCCTCTCTCAACATGTTGTCCTCAAATTTTTAAAGTTTCATGAAATTTCGTTGCATTCAACTTGTGTCTTTGCCCAGTGATATCAAAGTAGGAGCTTACTGGTTCAACAATTTGGCCTCGAGTTGTCCATTAATTTCTGAACGTTTCTCTGCTACAATTGACAGAGGGAGAGAATGAAAAACAGCGAGGGATGGTTCTTCCTTTTCAACCTCTAACCATGTGCTTCAGCAATATGAATTACTATGTCGATGTACCAGTGGTATGCATGTCACTCCATTGATTCTATGCTGTTCATTCAGAGTTTTCTTTTCCCACATATATATATATATATATACTTTTTTTTAAATTTCTAACAGGAGCTCAAGAAGCAAGGCATTCTAGAAGATCGACTACAGCTGTTGGTTAATGTGACTGGTGCATTTAGGCCGGGAATTCTTACTGCTCTTGTTGGGGTCAGTGGTGCTGGTAAAACTACTCTCATGGATGTTTTATCTGGTAGAAAGACAGGTGGGATCATAGAAGGAAATATTACCATCTCTGGTTATCCTAAAAACCAAGCAACATTTGCTAGGATCTCTGGTTATTGTGAACAAAACGATGTTCATTCTCCATGTGTGACCATTCTTGAGTCACTTCTGTACTCAGCGTGGCTGCGGTTGCCATCACATGTTGATGCGGTTACTCAAAGGGTAAGAACAATAAAATAAAATATAATCATCATTTTAGCGTAATTTTCGTTTTTATATATTTTTTAAATAATCATTTCGTGGACGTATCCGCAGGCTTTTGTCGAGGAGGTGATGGAACTTGTGGAACTCACTACACTAAGTGGTGCCCTAGTTGGTCTACCAGGGGTTAATGGGTTGTCCACCGAGCAACGCAAAAGATTGACGATTGCTGTGGAGCTTGTTGCCAATCCCTCTATTGTCTTCATGGATGAGCCGACATCAGGATTGGATGCCAGGGCTGCTGCCATTGTGATGAGAACTGTGAGGAATATTGTGAACACTGGTCGAACAATAGTGTGCACCATCCATCAGCCAAGCATTGACATTTTTGAGTCTTTTGATGAGGTCTCTCTCTCTCTCTCTCTCTCTCTCTCTCTCTCTCTCAATGTTTATATATATATATACTTGTAGCATTTTTTCCACTGTATTACTATCTTATCCAAAATTGTGTCCTGTGCTTTATGGCATCATCTGGGTTTTTGCCAGAACCTAGTGGTCATTGCAGAGGAGTTCCTCTGATAGTTAGAATTTCTTTTCATTTTGCACGATCTAACTCATGCTTCTTTGTTTGCATTTTTTGATGCATTTTTTTGTTTGCCATTCATGTAAACGACATGGCAGGGATTATTGACCGAAATAATGACAACCTCTGTGCATGCATTTTTGTTCAATGTTGTCCTAAGTAGTTGTGAATTCCCGTCTTACAGCTTCTGTTTATGAAACGTGGAGGAGAGCTTATTTATGCCGGGCCTCTGGGTCACAACTCCTGCGAGCTTATAGAGTTTTTTGAGGTCAGTGGGTCCTCGATCTCTGACCAATCCAAGCTATCTTTGAACTTGATTCTATTTATTGCTTCTCTTGAGATCATTAGCTTCACCACATACTGTAATGTCTGATTCAATGTGCCATGTTTTGGTCTGCTAGGCTATTGAGGGAGTGCCTAAAATCAAATACGGATGCAACCCAGCTGCATGGATGCTCGAAGTAACCACTCCTGTGATGGAGAATCAATTACGCGTGGACTTTGCGGAACATTACAGAAGATCAAATCTATTCAGGTAAGCATATTCGTTGACTGCATCTTCTGTGATTTTTGTTACCCGTCTATTCCCTGAGCAAAATCCATGTGGGTTCAGGCGAAACAAGGAGCTAGTTGAGAGTCTGAGCAAGCCGGCGATTAATGCAAAGGAGTTGACTTTTCCCACCAAGTATTCTCTCTCCTTTTTTTCTCAGTTCCACGCTTGCCTCTGGAAGCAGAACCTATCATATTGGCGGAACCCTCAGTATACCGCCGTTCGCTTCTTCTACACCGTTGTCATTTCCTTGATGTTCGGAACAATATGTTGGAGATTCGGTGCTAGAAGGTAAAGTCAATCTTCCATATTCTCTCTCTCTCTCGACCCTTGGTCTCACATGATTCTATCTATGGCCGCGATGCTCCACAGGAACACCCAGCAGGACGTCTTCAACGCCATGGGATCCATGTACGCGGCCGTCCTGTTCCTCGGCATCACCAACGCCACTGCCGTCCAGCCCGTGATCTCCGTGGAGAGGTTCGTTTCGTATCGAGAGAGAGCGGCGGGGATGTACTCAGCCCTCCCTCTGGCATTCTCCCAGGTCCGATCTGCCGCCATCTCACAACCCCCCCGGTCGCGCGACTCTCTGCTTGACCGCGGCTTTCTTCTGTGCTCCTCAGGTTGCGATCGAGTTCCCGTACGTGTTCGTGCAGACGCTGATCTACGGCACCATCTTCTACTCTCTGGCGGCGTTCGAATGGTCCCCGGGCAAGTTCTTCCTTTACCTATTCTTCCTGTACGGCACCATCATGTACTTCACCTTCTTCGGGATGATGACGACCGCCATCACCCCGAACCACAACGTGGCGCCGATCATCGCCTCCCCGATCTACACCATGTGGAATCTCTTCAGCGGGTTCATGATCACCCGCTCGGTAAGATCTCTGCTGCCCGCGTCCCCCCGCGATGCGCGAAGAGCACGGACGGACGGACCCATGAAACTTTTGCTGTTTGTCGTTCTGCCGGTTGCAGAGGCTGCCGAGCTGGTGGAGATGGTACTTCTGGGCGAACCCGGTCTCTTGGAGTCTCTACGGGCTGTTGACTTCGCAGCTCGGGGACAGCGACCGGCTCATCACGCTCGCCGACGGCTTCCGCGTGGTCCCCATCAAGGTCTTCCTCAAGGACCACTTCGGCTTCCACCACGACTTTCTCGGCGTCGTCGCCTTCATGGTTGTCTTCTTCGGCGCCCTCTTCGCCGTCATTTACGCCCTCGCCATCAGATACCTCAAGTTCCAGAAGAGGTAACGCCTAGAGAGAGAGAGAGAGAGCTTGGTAATGAGTGATGGAGGTCGGATCTAATAATCTCGGTGGAGCAAGGGTTGTATAAAAGGCTTCATCATCTCTCTCTTATTTGGGCTTCTATTGCGGAGGGCCAGTGGGCCAGCTTGAGGATGGACACATAGGCCCATTTAGGCCCGTTTTATCTTACCATGTGCCTCTCTCCCTCTCTCTACTGTTCCTCTGATCGGTGACCCAATTGGACCCGACAAGGATTAATTGACGATCCGGGTTTGGGTTTCTGAAACTCGGGGCTCAGGGGGTACTTATTTATTATAATAATAAAAGTATAATTTATATAAATATTTCTATACAAATCGATAATTATAAAATATCATAAAAATTAAAAAAATATGATATATTAATTTATATAATTTATAATATTTTATTTTAATTAATCAAATTAAAAATTAGATAAAGATTTTAGATAAAGGGGTTTCAGTAGAGTCGGAAAGAGTCTTCCTTTTCCTCCTTTCTAGCGAAGGTGGCGCCTCTGGTAGGTCTCCGGCGGTTCGTCGTCGCCACGGCGCGGCGGCGCTCGAGCGGCGGCGGTCTCCTCGTCCGCCGCTCCTCCACCGCCATCTCTCACTCGTGGCTCTACTCCCCCGGTAAGCCCCTGCTGCCATGGCCACCGCTGAGTCAGGCGGCGGCGCCGCCCTCCAGTCACCGCCGGTCTCCACAGCTGGATTCCGCCGCCACGACGACGCCGGCGGCGGCGGAGGAAGCTCGGTCCGGGTTGGAGAAGGACGCCGCCGTCGTCTCCCGCGTCCTCACGGGACCCTTCACGGAGCCCTCCGAGCTTGAAGCCGCCCTCGATGGCACCGGCCTCGAGCCCTCCTCGCCGCTGCTGGAGACCGTTCTTCGAACCTCCGAGCTCTCCGCCACCGCCGTCTTCTCCCTCCTCCTGTGGGCTCGATCCCGCCCCGATTTCTGGCCGAGCCCTCCCCTCCTCGCCTCCATCATCGACCTCCTCGGCAAGTCCCGGTCCTTCGCCACCGCCTGGTCCCTCCTCCTCGCCCACTCCTCTGGCGACTCCACCGGCGAGCCCTTCGCCGCCCTCCTCCGCCGTTACGCCCGCGCCGGCATGCCGCAGGCGGCGATTCGCACCTTCGAGTACGCGCGAGACTCCGGCGGCGGCGGCGCTGCCGACCTGTTCGAGCTCCTAATGGACGCGCTCTGCAAAGAGGACCATCCTCGGGCAGCGGAGGAGTATATGAACCGGCGGAGGGCGGCGGAGCCCGGCTGGTCCCCCGCCGTCCGCGTCTACAACATCCTCCTCCACGGGTGGCTCCGCCGCCGCCGGCTCCGCCGCGCCCAGACGCTCTGGGACCAGCTCCGCCACCAGGGCGACCCCACGGTCGTCTCCTACGGGACGATGATCGAGGGTCTGTGCCGCCTTCGGCGGGTTGACCAGGCGATCTCCCTCTTGGAGGAGATGAGACCGGCAGGGATCCCTCCCAACGAGATCACCTGCAACCCCATCGTGGACGCCCTCGCCGAGGCCGGAAGGTTCAGAGAAGCCCTCGCGGCCGTCGAAAGGTTCCCTTTCTACGGCATCTCCCCGAACATCTCCACCTACAACTCGCTCGTCAAGGGCTTCTGCAAGAACGGGGACCTGGTCGGAGCCAGCAGGATCTTGAAGACCATGATAGGCAGAGGGGTCCTCCCCACTCCCACCACCTACAACTATTTCTTCAGGTTCTTCGCCGGCTCCGGCAAGGTGGAGGAGGCCATGAACCTTTACAGCAAGATTATCCAGTCCGGGTACTCGCCGGATCGCCTCACCTACCAGCTCCTGATCAAGATGCTCTGCGAGGGCAAGAGGCTGGCGCTGGCGGGGCAGGTGATCGGGGAGATGAAAGCGAGGGGCATTGACTCCGATCTGGCGACGAGCTCCATGCTGGTGCACTTGCTCTGCAGGACGCGCCAGTTCGACGAGGCCTGTGAGGAATTCGAGCGCATGATCGGGAAGGGCATTGTGCCGCAGTACCTCACGTATCGGATGCTGGTGAAGGAGCTGAGGCGGCTGGGGAGGACGGACATGGCGGCGAAGCTCTCTGGTCTCATGAGCTCGGCGCCCCACTCGACGAAGCTGCCGAACACGTACAGGGAGGACCGGGAGCAGGCGGCGGAGATGAAGAAGACGATCCTGAGGAAAGCTCAAGCCATGTCCGATGCTCTGAAAGCCTCCGACGACAAACGTGGCCAGGCCGATCTAGTAGGCGCCTCGGAGAACGCCGTGGAGGCTGCGAAATCCTTGATTTCAGACATCAAGAGAAGGGTTTTCACCCTTTGACTTCCGCAAGAATCTCTCCCTGATCCTTGGAGTTACTGCAGATGGCTTTTACAGATCGAAGCCAGACAGGCTGAAGCGATGCGATTGGTCGGAGTTGACTCGGGGCCGTCCTGTCCACACTTCAGGCGGCGGCGGCAGTTGGGCGGCGGGTTCTTCATGGCCTGCCTTACTAGCTATCTCACCGGTCTTTGTCGCCCTGCCCTTCCCCGAGCTCTCAGGTCAACGTTAATGGCGGGATGGCCGCCGTCTTAAGTCCCTCCATCGGCCAAAGATGGAGCAAATTGAAAGCATTGAATACCTCTCTCTGTCTCTCTCTCTTTCCCGGAGGATCTCCAGGATTCGCCGGCGGTGGTGAAGAGGGAATTAATGGTCCAGCCCACAAACGGCTGGAACCACGCCTCCCCAAGCGCGGCGGCGCTCGCCCGACGGCCGCCACCTCCGCCGTCCTCATCAGGTCGCCGTCACCCCGCCGGCGAAGGCACGTCATCTCCGGTGGCTCCATCGTAAAAATCCACCACCTGCAGGGGTGGAGGATGACGACAAACGTGGCATTCATCGTTGACCAAATCGTCAGAGCGATGCGGGGGGATGAAGACTAATCTCATTTTTTTTATTTTTTTCTTAGGGGGATTATTCGTCATTTAATTTCGGATGCGACGACTGAAATCTGAGGATACAGTTGAGGAAGAAATCTATCCACGTCAGATGGGCCCCGTCGATGAAGGAGAAAGCCCAATTATAGGCATGGGTTCTAGAGATGTGAGCTCAACTGGGGTTGACTTTTTTTATTAGCCGGCCCAAGTTTTGTGGAGAGAGAGAGAAAAAAGAGTATTGTAGCTTATTATTTTATTCCATGATATATAATTTTACAACTTTACCCTCAGACGGAAATTTTTCTCTCTCTCTCTCTCTCTCTCTCTCTCTCTCTGTGGGGCTGTGAATATAAAACTGGGACGTAGAGACGAGCATTCTGTGCAGTCGGAAATCGTCTGGTCTGCTTTTATCTTTCTCGGAGGTCGAGGAGTAGGAGAGGAGCAAACGTCATCCCGAGGAGTTGGTCTGGAGAGTGAGAAAGAAGGGTACGGCATGCTCGTGAAAGAGTGAGGAGGGAGGGGGAGGCGGAGGAGAATGGCCGTCGTGTCAATGGGGGGAACCGGCGACGAGAACGGCGGAAACCTAGTCTTCCACGACTTCCTGGGGATAAGCCATGGGGAGGCGCCTCCGGCCGTCCGGAGCAAGGGCGGAGTCGGCGACGGGAGTAGAGGCTTCAAGGTGCTGGGGATCGCCGATGCCCGTGCTTCTATGTCGGCGTCCGTTGGGGCCTCCTCTGGCGAGCGAGGGCTCGTCTCCCGGACCTCCGATCTAGGTCCAGGTTGGGGCTGGTTTCTCTCCTTCGGTTTGCTTTTTCTTTCCGAATTACCTCTTCGTCCCCCTCCCTCCCCTAATGAGCTCGAATTTCTGGAAGAATTGACCAATTTCGGTTTCTGATTATGCCGATGTGTTTTCTATTTTCGATTTATGCCTTTTTGACCTCTGCTGAGTCAATGAAGTTTTATCAAGCCTGGTACTGCTTTCGGCAATGTTATAGTTTACTGCTCTATCTTTGACCGCATAGTTTCCACCTTCCTACTCCGATCAATTTTTGTCCATTCTTCTCATGTTACTGTTATTCTCGAAAATTTACTAGTGCATCTGTTATTGTTGGTGTCTCCATCCTCTCTTGAACAAGGCTTTTGGCCCTTGTTTTGAGTAAAATTATCCTTCTATGTGGGATTTAAAAACTTAGTTATTTTACTATTCTCTTTCAGTACGTGTTCATATTATTGTTTGCACAGACTGAACGGGCTTCTGCACATTTGTGTATTCGGAATATGTGAACAATATTCTGTTCCCGATGGGTTCCATCTCGTTTAGCTTCTTTGATGTTGTTGAGTTTCAGTTGGCTGCAGCTTTTAGGCGAAGGATAGCCGTGTTGTATATTATTTTCTAGCTCAATATTACTGAAGGCAGATTCTTCCAACATTTCTAGCGACTATTTTGGATTCCACCAGGCCTAACATTCTCTCATTCATTCGCACGTCCTCTCTTTCTGATTTTGATCAGTTTCTGTGGGGCATCTCGTTCTTATGTTTTAATGATAATAATTTTTCTATACTTCCAACTTTTGTCGTTCACGTGGATGGATCTAATATTTCTTTCAAAATCATGATGGATATTATTGCTGTTGTCAGAGCAGCTTACAAACTAGTAATTTGTTGCCGTTGATCCTGATACCACGATTCTCAGATTTTTACACTTTGTTATACTGTCCCCCTTTTCATTTCTTTGTCAATTTGGTGATACCTTTTCACATCTGCTTTTAGTGTGATCGAGAGAGTCTTCATGTATGAACTTTGTTTTTTTCCCTGGGATTTAGGCAGAATGTTCGAATGTTGTTGAATCCTCTGCGGGTTATGATTCTTCCTAATCTTTGTAACATCTCCTAAACAGTCGTTTAGGAGAATGTTCCAATGTTGTTCGGATGTTCCTTTGTCCTTCATATTTTCGGTAGCCATGTTTTCTTCCTTATCTTCCGTGTATGTATTCATTTTGTGGTATTTTCGATTACGATGCACTATCTCGTGCTAGACTTACCGAAATCCAACATCTCCTAAACAGTCGTGGACCTATGAATTGTCTTGTCCATGGCCAGGTTAATGATGGCCATTGTACCCTATAACCCTTTCTTGTGTATATCGTTAGTCTTATTTATCATTTTAAACAAATCCGTTTTCAAGAGAATATTATTGTGGCTTTACAACTGTGATACCACTTTCACTATGATACGGAGCGCCAAATAGATTTTCACATGAGTTCCCTGCAGTCTGGCCATTTTGGCAGGACTGTGTAGTCTTCTGTTCGCATCGTGAAGAGTTTCCTGGTCACACAAAATCATTACGATGTTTTCTGTTTCTCATGTAGCCAGCTCTACCTTTTCAGCTCTACAGCAGGCGGATACCATTTGATGAAGCTCATCTGTTTGTCTTTCATTTCATTAGAAAAGGCGTTGTGATCAATTTGAACTTCCTAATTTTATAATAGGCATGATTCTTCAGGGTCAGAGGTAAATAATCATTTTTCGGGAAGAAAAAGGGCCAATTCAGATTCAGCCTTTATGGGTTTTCCTAGAGAAAGAATGGCTCCTATGGCTTCAGGTTCCCCTGAAAGCTCAAGCAGGTTGAAGGTATGGATAACTTGTCGTATCCTCGTTGGTTTGGACTCTATTTCTGCTCTCTTTTGGTCTATTTCTTGCTCATCCTGGTAATAGTACCTTGCTGAACAGGTTCTCCCAAAGGAAGACCCGAAGGAAAAGCAAAGAAGATCAAGTGATGATGCTGTCTTTGGCACCCAACCTTCACCTCGGCTGACCTCTACATCTCTCATAATACATCAACCTCTTGCTGGTAGAGCTGATCCAGTTGGGTCGAAATGGGAGCAATCCATGCCTTTAAACTCTGGTGCAATGATGCACTACACTTCATCTTTTGGACAAAATATGATGCAGAGGGATAAACTTTCGTCGTGCACATACAAAGACTCCAATACCAGTGTCCCTCTAATTTCACCGGCTGCGGCAGACGAAGGCTCCAGAACAGGGACTAAAAATGGTAGAGTCTTGAATGCCATTAATTCTGGTGGTGTTTCTGGTGAGAGAAAATCTGTGGGGGCATTGCATTGCATCGATAAAGCAATGGCCAGTCCTCGAATCACTGAGTCTGATCCTTCTAACACATTGAGGTGAGTTCGCTATAGTTTATTTCGGAAATTGATATTAGTTTAAAAGGCTGCTGTGAAATACAAAGCTTGATCGAATTCATGGCGTGACATATTCGTTTTTATATTTTCAGCCGCAGCACCTTAGCCACTGCTAATCGGCAAATGACCATATTTTATGCTGGACAAGCACATGTTTTTGATGATGTTCCCCCAAATAAGGTCAGTTTATACTCTTTTTTTTCGCATCATTTTCGTGGTCAGGCTATTGGTTAAATTCTATCAGGCGAATGTCTGAATAGACTTTATATTCAGCTTCCCATTCATAGTATGATCTATGATTTATCATTCATGGACGTTGATAAGATCCTTCCATTTAGCAGCACCTTAGGATGGCATAGCCTTAACGTTAATGGCGAGGTTCAAACGAGGAAAGGCTTACGGTGGATACCTAGGCACCCAGAGACGAGGAAGGGCGTAGCAAGCGACGAAATGCTTCGGGGAGTTGAAAATAAGCATAGATCCGGAGATTCCCGAATAGGTTAACCTTTCGAACTGCTGTTGAATCCATGGGCAGGCAAGAGACAACCTGGCGAACTGAAACATCTTAGTAGCCAGAGGAAAAGAAAGCAAAAGCGATTCCCGTAGTAGCGGCGAGCGAAATGGGAGCAGCCTAAACCGTTTCACCTTGTGGCACAATTGTTGATATTGACTTCAGTGTTCAGATTATCATCTTCTCCTTGTATTGTTGCCCCGATAATATTGAGCTCATATATCTTCTTGGTATCCTGACAATGACTTGGACTACCTTGTTTGTGTTAAGTTCTGAGAAATAGAATCACTTTTAGAAAATGCCACTCAATGGAATTAGCAGTCCACCGTGGGTAGCTAACCAGAACCAACTATAGTCTTTGTTCTCAGTTGCATTTCTGAGAGGTATTAAGGTGAATATAATGGTTTTGCTTAGTATGTAGTTGTAGTTCTGCAAAAAAACAGGTTGAACTGACTCGCAATGTCATTCTTTCCTGACCATTGGCACGGTCTCACAATGCTGCATTAGTGGCCAAAGCAGTACCTCAAGGCCAGAAGTTCAGGCACAGGTTTCTTTGTACAATCTTAACTTCATATGAAGGTGTATACTAGTTCGTCGTCATTTTAAAACAGTGAGACGAATGAAAACCTTTAGTTTTCAGTTTGGCATCAAGGTTTGAGATATTAATCAGTCTTGGGTTACGATTCCCTATGGCAATAGCGCCATAGATATTATAAGCCCTTAGTTTTTCTGAAATTGTTATCCTTCTGTCTCTCTCAAAGCTGAGTCGTTTTTCTTGTCATGAGAAAGTGCCGAGCAATAGCGCAACAAAAGAGTCCGGTCTGGATCTGCGAGACTTTGTGAAAAGGTGGCTTGTGCTGGGTTTGCTGCTACATGAGGGCAGAACAACCGCTACTTTCTTTTGTACTGGACTTCTAGTTACACACTGCTCCAGCAGACCTTGTCCGCCCAAGTGTCACGCCAGGCCAGATGGAGCCCTTTTTGGTTGTTCATTCTGATCATATTTTTCAGGGCCAATCCCAGAAAAAATTGCCTGCAGTATGATACTTGGTCGAATGTCAGATATCTGTTGTTGGTTTGAACCCAGATTTTCAATTATTCGGCTGTCCTAATCTCCCTTAACGTCAGTAAAACGGTTTCTGAACCTTTTTCCTCCCCTATCTCGACCTGCATGTTTCAACGTTTTCTGGGTCATTTGGAGTTGTATTGTTGATCAATCTCCCCCTTGGTCTGTTCTCCTTTCCATACCCACAGCACCGTAGCTCATGCCTTTTAGCTTTGACGTCAGTCCCAAGCATGGTTTTCCAGCTGCTTGTATGAACGCGCAGATGATAGAGAGTGAGGAGGTAGGGACTGAAGAAAATATTGGGAACGAACGAAGAAGGTAAAGGAAAAGAGGAACAGATGCAAACCATCAGGCACCCATATTCTTTCTGAACAGAGAAGAAAAGAGAGGGGATCGGTCGAATGAGAAGCAGAGAGGTTGGAGAGAGACAGTTTGAGGGGGGCTGACCAAATCCAAGCTGGACCACCCATTCCCGATCGTGTGAGCAGATGCTGGAGGTGGATAAGAAGTCAATCCTCTCTGCCCACAATCCCCTTTGCGCCTTCACATGAAACGAAACCGAAGAGTTAGGAATCTAAATTTTGCCATGTGCATGAATGTGTCCTGGATTATATGCCACAGTGGCGCTCGCAAGTTCCAGCAGTTGGACGTTTCAGGATACGGTTTTAGCATCTGCCTCCTCTGGGATCTTGGTTGACTTACGGTCCAGCCTCGACAGCTTCAGCGGGAAACCACCAAAACTGATGAGTGAGGTGGCCAAATGCTCTCTCTAGGATCATATTGTAATCTGAAGACCACCTTTACTGTGTCTGTTCAAAAATCATGAACCTAATAATCACTGCTCTTATGATTTTTTTAATTTTTTTGGCTTATTGTGGCATGTTAAGAATCTGTTTTCCTGTAATGCCATATCGTGCATGTTGACCTGGGTGAGCTTCCATTATTTGACGAGACTGTCTTCAACCTCAGGCAGACGTAATTATGACCTTGGCTGGGTCCGATGGAGGATCCTGGTCAACTTCTTTCTCCCCTAAATCGACAGTCCGCCCACCTGCAAGCGGGCCCAAACAACCACCAGTGGTGGAGGAGACAGTCATCAGCAACTCGTCATTTCCTCAGGATCTCAGCAGACGGCTCTCTCTCCAAGGGATCTCCAGTCCCCGGCTTGGTCAGGCTCTGCGATTCCCTGCATCAGGTGATTCTTCCTGCTCCACCCCTACATCAGGTGATTCTTATATATATAAAATAAGATGGGTAACTTTTTATTTACCAAGTTTCCTGTCTGTGGATTTTTCAATGGGCGTTGATTACAGGTGATAGAGCTGCGAGAGAGATGAGGCCGACGAACACAGTGGAAGCCGATGCCAAGGCGAGGAGAAATGCGCCCTAGGAGAGAGTTCTCTTCGGCCCGTGTGGGATCCTTGAGCTCCAGAGGTTCTTCCCTGATCTTCCCTGTTCTCTCATCCAGTCGGGTCGGTGCACTTCTCCTTTCATCCCTTGGACTTCCATTCCCCTGATTACTTCCCGAATCAGATCCTCGGAAGCATTGATCAGCTCCTGATTGTGGGCATGAATCTGTTGTGTATAGGAGGAGCCCGTATTTGGAAACCCTAGAATCTGAGTTGATACGAATGGTAGAATGGTCTTGGTCAGCTCCGCCATGCCCCACTGGGAGGGTGATCTCGTCTGAGATCTGAGTCGGCGGCGCCTACCGTTCACCATCATCCACTGCTCCGGTGGGGGCGGGGGCGGGGGAGGTGAAGTCTGGCCTGGCCGGCCACGTTGGTTGCGAGGGTGGTGGGCGACAAGAACCTGCAGCCGAGATCGCCTTGACCAAGTGTCTCTTCGTGAAGGCGTGGCCCCTTCCTCCAGTGGAGTATAAAAGGCCGGGGATTCCCCTTCCATTCATATAATTGAGCCCGAAGAAGAAGAAGGTTGCAGAAAACTAGGGTTTGGTCAGGGTGCACTGACGTGTCGCGTGGCTGGGAGAGCTCCGATTACGCCCTTGTTTTTGTAGAGCTCCGTGCGCCGTCGTTCTCTCTCTAACATCACCATCATCGTCTCCCTCTCTCTCTCTCTCCCTCTCGATCAGCTTCCTGTGTGTGCCTTCACGCCACGATATAGGCTCCGCCTGCGCCTACCGCACTGGCGGTGGTGACAAAGTTTCTTGACTAATAGGTTATTAATGGCGGGGTGGGGGCGGCGGCGGCCCCTGAGAGGACTGCTTCCCGGTGTTCTTATTCCTCGGAAGGCCCCTGGAGGACGTGAAGGTTTCACTCAGAGAGGGGACGGCATGTGGGACGGAGCGACAGGAAAGCGATATGGCCAGCAAGAGAGAGAGAGAGAGAGAGAGAGAGAGAGAGAGAGGAGCCTCGTGATGCTAATATTCCTCCCGGACCGCGCCGGCCAAAAGCCGACTGGCAAACCGATGATGCTTCCGCTGCCTAAAGCTGGGGGCTTTGCACGGCGGTTATCATGAGAACCAGGGCCGCGTTCCTGGTCTTTCCCCGCCATGGAGAGGTCCTCGCTCTGGCTGGCGCCATGCACTGTGCGTCCCAGGAAGACCCGGTTCGCCCTCTGGAGGATGCGGACAAAGAAGGGATCCAGCAAGCTAATTTTTTTTAAAATCCAGATTATTCTAAAGCCGAACGTGGATCGAAAGACGACAATTCGATAATTGTTCGGAACGAAGGGGGTGATGGGCCAAGGAGCAGTGCAGTTCATATCTGAAGGGTAAGCTGAAGAACGTCAGGGAGAGAGGGGGAGACGAGTAGAAGGGGAGGGGAGGACGGAGATCCCGGTTTGAGTTCGGGCAGTAGAGGACAAGCCGAGTGCACACGGAAGCTATCCCTCGCAGGTTCGAAGAAGACAAGGGCGGGTTCTATTCCGCACGCGTTGGCGATGTAACCCGTCGAGGCGTAGCCCCCCTTTTGGCTGCTTTTCACCCAAGAGGAGAACTCCTGCTGCTCCGCTATGGACCGCCTGGAGTCGCTGTTCCCCTGGATATTAGGGTTTGGAGCAGGGTATAGTAATAGGGTGGAGGGCCACTGAGCTGGTGGAAGAGGAGAGGGATAAGGGAGCCCGTTATCCACAGGTTCATGATTTGGAACTTTTTGGACTCGGCGACAAGATGGGCACATGGCCTCATCTCTCTCTCTCTCTCTCTCTTCCTGACTCTCGCTTCTCGTGGGAGATGAGAGACGCCACGGCGGCCCTGGTCCGTTGAAATTTTATTTTGTTTCACACACTGTCCATCTCCCTCCCTCTCTAGCTATCCATCGCTCACAAAAGACCCTCTCCACCTCCCCTCCATATATGCACACAAGAAGGAAGTGGACAAGAGGCCCCGGTAGGTTTCAGTCAATCTCTCTCTCTCTCTCTCTCTCTCTCTCTCTCTTTTTCTCTCTCTACACATTCTACTCTCTTTTGTTGTTGCTTGCATTGTCCATTACTTGCATTCATTCCTTGTCCTCTTCTCCCTTGACGCAGCCCCTCCCCGCTCGAAGACGGCGCCCCTTCCAAAACGCTCACCCACAAACTCACATCTTTCCTTGTCGCCTCATCGCCGTCCGCCTCCACTCCCTTCCCTCGATCATCTTCACCACTAAGCCCCCGCAAAAACTGTTCTTTCATTATGCCCCTTGGCCCCCCTTATTTCCCACTGCCCGCTCCTCCTCTGATTACGTCATAGAGAGGTCAGGAGCTTTCTTGGATCTGAGCCAGCTCTGTCCGACACCTTCGTGTCTGTCCTCGGCTATAAAAGGGCCGACGAGTGCTCCTCTGTTTCCCATAGCCACACATTCCCACGAGTTGCACATTGCCTTGGGGAGCCGGCAGAGCTCTGCGCCGCCGCCGCTGCCATGGTGACCCGCTCGGAGCCCTTGACGGCCCATCTCATCTGCCTCAATCATCACCGTCTCCTGGACCTGAGTAAAGTCCGGGAACTCCCCGATTCCCATACCTGGCCGGCGCTGCGCGACCATCCCTTCGCCGGCAGAGACCACAGCCACCACCACGAGCAAGTCCCCGTCGTCGACCTCGAGGACTCCAGCGTGCGCTGCCACCTCGCCCGCGCCTGCGAGACGTGGGGCGTGTTCCAGATAACAGGCCATGGCGTGCCAGCGGGCCTCCTCGACCGCCTCGAGTCTCAGTGCCAGCGTCTCTTCTCTCTCCCCGCCGAGCAGAAGCTCAAGGCGCTGCGCGCCCCCGACGGCATCTCCGGGTACGGCCAGGTCCGCATATCCTCCTTCTTTTCCAAGCTCATGTGGTCGGAGGGCTTTACCATCGTTGGCTCCCCCGAGGAGCACGCCCGCAAGCTCTGGCCATACGACCACGACCAATTCTGGTGCGTATCCTCCAGCATGCAAAGGATTTCCCCCTCCGGTGATTTGATTACGGCGTCTAACGCCCCTGTCGTTATTCTCGTTGTTGTTGTGTGCAGCGAAGTGGTGGAAGAGTACAACCAGGAGCTGAAGCAGCTTGCTGGGAGGTTGATGACCCTCATGCTGGAGTCCCTGGGCCTCCCTGTGGAGGAGGTCAGCTGGTACAGACCCGCAGGCCAGGAGAAGGACGGCTTCCCCGAGGCCACCTCCGTTCTGCAATTGAACTCCTACCCGGCTTGCCCCGACCCGGAGAGAGCCATGGGCCTTGCCGCCCACACAGACTCGAGCCTCTTCACCATCCTTCACCAGAACCTCGTAGGCGGCCTGCAGGTGTCGCTGCCGGGGGGAGGGCGGTGGGTGACGGTGATGCCGCGGCGAGGGGCGCTCGTCGTCAACGTCGGCGACCTCTTCCACATCATTTCCAACGGGCGGTGCCCCAGCGTGGTTCACCGGGCCGTGGTCAACCAGACCCAGCACCGGCTCTCGGTGGCGTACCTCTACGGCCCACCGACGCACGCCGAGATAGCACCGCTGGGGCCCCGGACGGTCAACGGCCGGAAGGCCCCGCTCTACCGGGCCGTGACCTGGCCCGAGTACCTCGGCATTAAGTCGAAGAAGCGCTTCGATCAGGCTCTGGAGTCGATTAAAGTGGCGCCGATTGGAGACAAAGTGATAACTTGGGGGGATGATGATGACGACGGCGCCGTCGCTATCGTACCCACCAAATAATGACCGTCTTCTCATCACGCGCCACCGTCTCTGCTCTGACCAAACCAGTCTGCGTCCCCCCGTGGTTGCAGCTCCCCACTGGGTTCTATGCTCCGGGATACGAAGATAAGAAGAAGCACGTGTAATCACACCCGTCATCATATAGTCCAACTCCAATATTTTTTCCATACTATACACATAGAGTTTATCTCCCCCGCTGACTCTCTCTCTCTCTCTCTCTCTCTCTCTCTCTCTCTCTCTCTGTCTCATCTATAGGAGTTGATGTCGAGGCTCTCCGAGGAAGAGAAGCCGGTGCCTCCATGGAAATCGAAATCAGGAGCGCCGGGGCCCTGAGCCTGCAAATCAGGCGTTGTTGTTTCCTTCTTGGTCTTCCTGGGCGGGAGGGGGAAGAGGGGGATGGGGGGTCTGAGAGGCTGAGATAGAGTCGACTCGGGTCTACTGCAATCGCCGCGGGATGAGGAGGAGAGGAGACGCGGGAACCGACATGGCCATGGTCCCCAGCCGGCCCCCTCCCTGAAACCCTCCATCGGAACGAGACGATTCCTCGCTGTTGTAGGAAAGAGACAACGCGTGGCATATCTGAAAAGATTTTTCCCCGATTGCTCCCGTCGCCCCAGGCCACGGGAATTGCCTGGGCAGCACCGGGGTGTTCTCTCTCATCAAACCGCAGCCATCAGTTGCCAACTATTGGGACACCATCTGCCGTTTGGTACATGGCAGCCGGCAGCCGGCCGTCGGCCTGCTTTGTCACGTTGCGTCCGAGGACCGGTGGCGCTGCGCGCCTTCGGTGACGGCCGCCGTCCCGGACGTCGTTTCCGAACTATACGGCGGCGCGCTGAGCGTACCCATCGGCACGCGGATACAAAGCTTCATCCCCATACGCACCACCTCTGTTCGCGCTCATCGCAGGGGAGGATAGCTCTCCACCTCTCTGGTTCCATCCATGCAAATCCCTCTGGGACTGGGCGCGGTGCAGCGTGTTGGGTTGGAATAGAAGGGTTTAAAACGTGGCTCAGCATCATGGGGTTAGCTCACGACCTGTTCTTTTTATGCCTCAACATCGCATGTGCTCTTCCCCTTCCCAGTTGGCCGTCTGAGGCCTTGGCTGTCTCAGAGAGAGAGAGAGAGAGAGAGAGAGAGAGAGAGAGAGGGAGGGAGGGTTGGAGAGAGGGTTGGGGGCCTGACCGGCGGCTGGGCCAACGGGCTCGTGGACCGGTGTATGCGGAGGCTTTGAGAAAGGTCTCTCCGCAGGGAGAAAAGAGAAGTCGGCGCTGATAGGTCCGACGAGAAGAGGGCCGGGAGGAGACGTGATTGCCATATTAGCCGTGGCACCGGACGGAGGGCAGGCTGTCAAGCAGATGCTTACGTTCCGTGGGCGCCGCCGCGGTCGGTGGGAGGGTGCTGGTCTACCGCCGGGGGCCAGGAAGGCTAGCGGCACAGGCTGGCGGCGACCTAATCAACCTCTAGGAATCGGTGATCCGTCGCTTTGACAAGGGTTTGTCAAACATGGATTTGCAGGTAGAATAGGAGTATAGTTCTAAAGGTAACAAGGGTGCATGGGCAAAAATCGGTCAAAACTACGCTGGCATCTCCTCTTTGAGGATGGAGGTCGTCAACTCGCCTCTTTAGTGATAGAATTGCCTTTAGTTCGGTAGCATCAAGATCCTACAAAGGCAACATTTTCTTGGAAAAGGAAATAAAATCATACCCTTTAATCGCCTTTTGCACCGTGAAAAAATTGTCTGATGAACACATTTCTAAAGCAAATATCAAGCCCCACAAACTCATCACTTTTATGTGGATAATTATTCTTAACTAGAATCATCCTAACGTGAAATTTCAGAGCAAGTGTACAAAAAGATGCGTCATGGAAGCTTTTCTTTTTTGAAATTCAAAAATTTTCATTTAGTTTCTTATGAATATATTTCAATGAGAATAGCCTGTCACATTGTGTGAAATAATTTTCTCATGAAAAACCATAGAGGTCGACATTTGATTCAAGAAAATAGAGTACTTATTGACTTTTTCCAAACACCTTACATGACTTTGTTTGGCACAACAATTTGCAGTCTTGAGTAAGCGCATCCATGGTTGATGCCTCCTCTCTAGCAAAAAACCAAAAGTGTATTGAGGAGTTATTAATAGAGTAATTTCTAGTTCAAAAAACCCAAAGTTACTAAATACAAAAGTTATTACTTTCTAGTTATAATTAAAAATGGATGAGTTATGGTGCAGAAATTGATAAGAGTACATCAACACTAGTGAATAATCAATGATCATGGCTTAGAATAATTTATAAATATCAATTAAATAAAATTCCACTAATAATGTCATGAACTATTATTATATGCAATTATATGATTCATGCTTAAAGATAAATGAATGTACCAAAGAATTTGAGTATGGCAACTAAACATGCACACACTCCTATGAACATAAGTATGGGAAATTTAGAGGAGAAAAACTCCACTACTTGATCAAGCAAAACCAACAGACTAGAAGAGGAATTTTTTTCACTTGGTCATACTATTTCAGTGTAGAGTATCCTCACATATCTATTAAAAAATCCCATAAAATTTATGATATATATATTTAAAATCACTCAATGAATTTAAAATAAAATACAAGAAATATCTTTTGATTTCTTTGTAAATATATATGAATATGTTAATCATATTCAATCTATCTTTTGAAATAAAAAGTCAAGCGAAAAAACCAAAGTCACATATGAAATGAAGTTTTGAAGAAGAAGAATTAAGATACAATGTGTGTGAGACATCATCATCTCATATTTAAATAAATAATCCAAAAAATATATTTTTTCGCTTACCTGAGTCACGAGTATCACAGTCAAAGACAAACATGTTGATTGTTAATTATAAGTGGAATCATTTTCAGACTTTGAGATGGTGCAACAATAGATGTCACATGGGAGGAGAAGCCAAAGTTTAACCTTCTCATGAAATATTGAGGATTCACAAAGTATAGTTCCTCATGCTTGCCATTTAAAACAAGATACAGTAGATGTGTAAGGCATCGTTCTATGCATTAAAAGTCAAAGGATTTTGAGTCAAGTTTTCATATTACTCAAATGAAATTAGAGCAACCAAGTACGAAAAGTTTGGGGCAAGAAGTCAAACACCATTTAGTTAAATTAATGTATAAGTTAGGATGATAATCAACTTGGTTGACCCACCTTAGTTTATGAGATTTTTTTACTGAAAAATTTATGTTTTACGTTTTATGCTGAATTGAATTAATAATTTAAGGATGCTCCTTCAAGGTATGATAACCAATGTAGAACAGATCCGTTAGGAGATGGAAGACGCCTTGAAGCTGCAGTCTAAAAACAGTCTTATTGTCATCAGATCTATGCAATTATTTTTCAAAGACCTGTTTAAAGGGGAACTCACTGTAAGTCAAGATGGCCTTTTTTCAACCTTAAAATAGTACCTTTTCCCTGTCTATACTCTTGGATTCAATCAACCCCTCATGGAATCAGAGGGGTCTATTTTTTCACTCATTATGGTTTAAAGGTCAACCCTTGAAGACTCAAGGGTCTCGTCTCCTCTCTCTCTCTCTCTCTCCTGCTGCCCCTTGGAATCAATCATCATCCTGGTTTGCAATCCCAATGGGCCGCACGCTACTCCCCTCCGAGTACCCCAAGAGAATCTCGAGGAATGAAACAGTGGGCCGCGAATGACTGTCCAGTCCAATACATGGGTGGGTTTTTATTGGGTTGTATCTTGTGATTTCGGCCCAAAAATGGCTCAAGTGGGCCGGCGGCAGGGTGAGGTTGTGCTGGTTCCCTCGACTCCCTCGCTAGATCTAGTGGGTCCCCCGACAAACCAAAAATGGAAAGTCCTCGACCGAATCGTTGACCCAAATATTGTCCCTTATCCATCAGAAGCCGGTTGGCGTCGCTTCTCTCTCTATAAGTTGGCCCGAGAATCAGCCCTCGTCCCCCGCCTCCATCCCCCCGAAATTACTGCTCATTGACTTCCTAAGCCAGCGAAGGGAGCTCTGCGTCCCCTCCACCGCCCCCATGACGAGCCGCTCGGAGCCCATGACTGCCCACCTCGACCGCCTCGGCCACCGCCACCTTGTCGACTTCAGCAAACTCCTCCATCTCCCCGACTCTCATGCCTGGCCGGAGCTCCAGGACCACCCGCTCGCCGCCGCCGCCGCCGCCGGCCAGGTCGCTGACGAGCCGGTGCCCGTCATCGACCTCGACGACCCCAACGTCCTCCCCAACCTAGCCAGCGCCTGCAAGCGGTGGGGAGTGTTCACCATCACCGGCCATGGCGTCCCGGCGCGAACCCTACGCTGCTTAGAGTCTCAGAGCCGCCGGCTCTTCTCGCTGCCCACCGCGCAGAAGCTCAAGGCCCTCCGCCCCATAGACGGCATCTCCGGCTACGGCCAAGGTCGGATCTCCGAGTTCTTCCCCAAGAACATGTGGTGGGAGGGCTTCACCATCGTCGGCTCCCCCGACGAGCATGCCCGCAAGCTCTGGCCAGACGGCCACCTCCCCTTCTGGTATCTTTCTTTGAAGGGCCGCCACGATTCGAAACGCTTCATCGACTGCATTTAATTCCCCTTGGACCGGCCTCCAACGGCGTCCCTCGTCCTTACATCGTTCTGTTTTTTATCCATGCAGTGAAGCTTTCGAAGAATACAACCGGGAGATGAAGAAGCTGTCAGGAAAGCTTCTAGCCCTCGTACTGAAATCCTTGGAGCTTCCCGTCGACGAAGTGAGCTGGTACGTGCCCGCATGCCCAGACGGGGACTGCTTCTCTGCGGCCACCTCTCTTCTCCAGTTGAACTACTACCCGGCGTGCCCCAGCCCGGAGAGAACCATGGGCCTTGGCGACCACACCGACTCCAGTCTCTTCACCCTCCTTTACCAGAACCTCGTGAGCGGCCTGCAGGTGGCGCCGCCAGCCGGCGGCGGATGGGTGACGGTTCCCCATGTGGAAGGGGGTCTCATCGTGAACGTCGGCGACCTTCTCCACATCGTCTCCAATGGGCGGTGCACCAACGTCGTCCACCGTGCCGTCGTAGACCGGAACCAGGACCGCCTCTCGATAGCGTACCTCTACGGGCCGCCTGCAAACGCCAAGATAGCGCCGATCGGGCGCGGAAGTGAGGCGCCGGTGTACAGGACGGTGACATGGCCCGAGTACATCGGCATCAGGGCGAAGCACTTCACCAAGTCGCTGGAGTCGATTAGGGTTTTGCCCGAGGGAGAAGAAAAGGCGGGGGAGGATAACGACGGCCCCACCGTCTCCATCGGCATCACCGAATAATGATCGTCCTCTGACCCACAAGCCCGTCCTTCCCCTTCTCGTGTACCAGAGTTCAAACAATGCTTTACAGAAAGAACATGCCCTCTCTCTCTCTCTCTGTGTGTGTGTGTGTGTGTGTTTCTGTCTGGTTGTCGTTCGTTGGCCTCTGTTAGGGAGCGAGAAAGAAAGAAAGAGGAGGGGCGAGAAGGAAAGCTCAGGTCTTTAGCGGTCACAGGGCCTTGGGAGGACTTCACGTAGCTCTGGTTCATCGTACCCAGCAATGTGTTTACTACAAGGTGGCACGTTGACCATACCCTGTCATACGTATCCAGCTGAGATCTGATCCAACCTAGTCGAGGGCGGGCACCTAATCACCTTCAACGTGGCGAGCAAGGAACCACCGTGTGCTGCCACGACTGAGGACGCCCATCGATACGCACTCGCTATACTACCGACGCAGGAAGTCAACTAAAACCCGTTGACCGCGCCGCTGAGGCCGGCCGCTCCTGGCGGGGATGGATACTTCGAAGCCGCATGCATAAGCCCAACCAGATGATCATACAGAGACGGTTCCCATAAACATAAAACTAACAAAAAAGGCAGGAGGGAGAGAGAGAGAGAGGGGGAGGGAGGAGCCTTTACTTGATAGCGTGAGCGTTCTAGTGAGAGAAATCTGTCCTAGATGGGGGCCTGGGTCCCGAGTCTCTCATTTTTAGCTCGTTCCACCTGCAGATTGACAGCCCAAGAATCAGGAGAGAACGAGAGAGAGGCTGCCAAAAGCACGACTCCCCTTGAACTGGTACCTATCAGTCAAGGAGCTGACCTGGGAAGCTTTCAGAAAGGAAGAGAAGCGACGATGCTCGGTGACTGCTGCAGAGTACTCCTCCTCGAGCGAATCGCGGATTTTCTGCTCTGCGTGAAGTCCGGCCTCCACCTTCTTCAGCTTCTAAAAAGGGGAGGAAAATAAATCCTAGGAGAAATGGGTATGAAGCCGAAGCACAATTCCACATGATTTACCATAAATGGAAGAATAATTCGATATCTAGATAAATAATATCCTCTACTTGCATAAATAGACGGCAATTATTTGGTCACATATTTTTTGAAAAAGAAAATCCCTGATATGACAGAGAAAGGACGATCTGAGTTCATTGGATCGTCACAGGAGACGGGCTCGTCCAATAAGAAGTTTTCAACCCAGAGAAAAGCAACTACTTGAGTACTGTTCTAGCTATTGATCTATATAGAAATATAGCTACTGAGAAACTTTCTCACTCAAGAATTATATCTCTGGTTTTGTTTGTCCACGAGTTCAGGAACCTGCAGCATTGATTCATTGGGCATGGGAGACTTTACCTGTTGAGTTCCCTTCAAAATAGCTTCCATGGAGTCCATGAGTTTCAAACGACCAGTGGTGTCGACAATAGCCTCCTGGAACTATACGGGAAATGAAAATAACAGGAATCATGATTTAAATAAGAAGTGATACCTATATGCTTCCGTTATCAACGACAGCTTGATCTGAATTTTAAAAAAATTCCAAGCCAAAGTAACTGATACCAAAAACCTTCATTAATGATTAACAAGCGTAAAGTCAAATAAATAAATGAAAAACCATGCATTATTTGTGACAAATATATAATCTCACCAACAGCGATACACCTAGATTCAATGGCTTACAAACCTGTGAACTTATTGAATTTAAAAGAGATAGCTCCTTCAACATTAATTCTTTCATCTCAAGCAGAGCATTGTAAGTATCATAGTATTGCCGAGTTTGCTGAAGCCTTTCCTGAAGATGAAAGGCGAGGAGAAAAGCAAGTTCTAAAAAGCGTCACTGGATTCACAAGTGTTTGTTAACAACATTAGCAAGAAGCCCATACCTGAATATGAACATACAGCCCTGAAAACTGATGTTCATACCTGAATTAAAAAGAGAACAAATGTATAATGTGTTGCAGAGTTCATCATTCAAGTGTTCGAGTTTCTACTGTCTCAGACGGTTCACAGTAGCAGGAAAACCACGGAAGGGGAGATGGAATCAATACAAAAACTCAACGTTCCATGCATATGATGCAGGAAATCAACCGGGGAAAAACATCACCCCACTTGGACGCTTCATATGCAAAAGGGCTTTCCAACATAGCCCAATATAAGGACGCATGGAATTTTTCACTGAGGAAGCATTTACTATAAAAAATGCCCTCACTGATCCACAACTTTGCTAAAATGTCATCGATTTGCACTCTAGATCAGATGAAGGGCCGAGGGGAATATTGCATAATATTTACGTTGGATTTTGACACGTCATCGTTACATTTAAAACTATTGATTCTCAATGGCACGAAACATGTTCGCAAGAATGAGCTTCCTTCTTACACAGAGCAATATGTGTCATTAACCACTGACATGATATGCGGAGTGATGAAAAGCTTTAACCAACCTTGATGAGAAAAAAAAAAGAAAAAACCAACGAGTTTTTTACCCTAAAGGTTGGGCTGTGGGGAAGGGGAGGGAGAAACGCAGGGAAATCACAGAACCATTCTCTGATTATTTTTTTGTCCGGAATTTTATGTTCAGCTTCGTGAAGGAGAAGACATGACAAATGAAATGGACAACTGTGAAAAACGAGATGGCTAAACTTTGCAACCCCAACTCAGATCTTAACTCTCAGAATACATTTCTCAAGTCGATAGAATTTTGGAATCTATAATTCATGCTTCAAATCAAGGGGTATCTGTGTACCCGGCAAATCAGGGATCCTGGTGTAGAGAATAAGAAGATCCTAGACATCCATAGCCTCATTATAAACATCTCTTGACAAGATATTCGAGAAAATATCTTCAATGAGTAGAATATATGAAACTTTAAACGTCATGAGTGTAAACAGGCAAAAAAATTGACATAAGTGCGCTGATAACGAGAAGAAAACATACTGAATCAGTTCACTTTGAACAGGAACATCATCAAGTTGCCGTTTTAGTGACAAAATCGCCCTTCGTTTGGCACCAAGTTCCTAAAAAAGCATCAATCAAGGGTAAGGGTAACACGACAACCCAGATGAGTGGTTTACAAACAAAATCATCGGGAAAATGGAAATACAGATCTCCGATCAGAAAGAAAAAGGCCATCGAGGTAATATCATTGTCATAAAGAATCAAAGTAAGAAACAATTCCTTATGACGTTGAAGGATCAGGACGGTCCTTCAGAAGGAAAAAATGAATTGAATCATACCAATTCTGCTCCAGTTCAAACTAAAATGTGAGCCTATAGCGATGAAAGTCATTGAAAACATTGCATTTCCTTCTAAAAACCTTTAAACAAGAATCTTAACTGATTCCAATGGGTATTACGAATCAGAATCCGCAAAACTTTGGCTCATACAAGTCAGGCGAAGTCTTTCTGAATCACAGATCTTAGTCATTGAGACATCACATTAATGACAAATCAAAATATGTTGCTTTTCACCTGACGTATGGGGCATGGAACTTCCCAGTGAATCATATATTTAAAAAAGGCTTTAAAAGCCTACATATAGAAATATGCAATAATTTAAATCAGTTACACAAAAACTTCAATTTGATAACTGTATTTGGAACAGAGAGTTTGAGAACATTTGGTAATCTAAATGTATGAAAAATGAGGGAAATTGGCGATTCACACTTTGTACGTGGCTACTCATGAAGCTACAGGTTTTTGCTATACGTTCATGATAAACAAATTGCCGATGCAAAAATTTCCTAGGCTAGATTATCAGCAAAAGCTGACTTACAATAGAGAATCAATGGGTCACCTAGAGGTACATAAGATGACTTATGTAGAAATTCATTGGAAGACAAAAATGAGAACTTTATAACATTCAGTCTCCTAATTGAAAGAAATTCAAATACAGGTAAAAAAGGGAGAACAAACTTTTATAACCCTGTATATCCAAAAGACAATGTTCTTACCCTCTTAGCTGAATTGAGTTTATCATGCGCATCTGCTATTGAGCGATCAAGGAAGGAGTCATCAACTTTATTTCTGTCAGTGTCACTTATGCCCTTCTCAATATCCACCAGTTCTACTTGCATATTCGCACACTGTTGTTTGCAAGAGGACTGAAAATCCGATTCACATTTTTCCAGATCCTGAAAGATGCCCAAGTCAGTGAATTATCTTGCTACAAAAACCTAAGTAGAGAATAGTTATGAAGCACAAAGTTTCTCTGAGAAAACATAGATCTGAGCACAGACTCGAACGAAGAGACAATAACTTCTTTCAGAGTATGATAATAATGAACATAATATCATGGTCACCAAGTGTAACCTTCAATACGCCTAGCATCGACTTCAGCCTCTCAACAGCTCCTTGAAGATCCTCATTCTTGAGTTTCTCCCGTGACACTCGGATCTCATTGAAGAGATCAGCTTTTTTCCTATCCTGATCCATGAATTGAATTTAGCGTGAGGAGGCCGAAGGAGACATGAGAGCAGAAGAAACCACCGGCGGGAAGGGGCGGGTGGAATGATTGCCTCGTCAATAAGGCATTTTCTATGCTAAAATAAATATTGGCAGGAAAAACATAAATAGAAAGGAAAGAAACAAGAAATCGTGTTTTTAACTCACAAGTTCAATGGAAGCAGAACGCAGCTTGCACAGTGATAGATTCCTTCGATTAACTTCTGCTTCAAGCTTCTGAAAAGTTATCTCCCTCACTTCAATGTCCCGCAGGAGAAATTCGTTCTGTTTTGAACAAAAAATGAATAGCGAACGCATAAATGCCAAATAAACCATCAGGCTTTTGACAAAAATAGAGGATGCTTAATGTATTATTTCGAATCAAGGGAATAAAAGGCGAGGATAAAAAGGTGAAGTTATCAGCAGAAAGACAATCAATAAACTAAAAAATACGCTGATACACTTATTCATCCTCATATTTTAATGCAATGATGACCATATGAACCTCAAAGTGACGCTAAGATAGAATCATTTTTTTCCGGTGACACTGCTAGCCATCATCTAATTTTAACATAGAACTGAGCTCACGCTCCAATCACTCTCCAAGTCTGCGCATTCATTTAATGTTCACTGATCATCCATCCAATTTCACAAATACACGCCCACAAACTAATACGATCCGACCATTCGGACGCAGTCTTTTCAGGAGTTCAAATCGCAATTCCGAAGGAAGCACTTGTTCCAGGTTCAATATCCTTCTTCGGAGGGGGAAGAAAGAGGCGTCATCGATTTACCATGTTCCAAGCAAAGAATTTCTGTATAGGCGGAAGGATCCCACTTGAAAACTTTGTTCTCATTCTCATAAAAATGACCTTCGAAACAATCACCACAGGATTTCATGAGGGAAGGGAGAGGGAGGATACTTGCATTTGGTCCTGGGACCCCAGATCGCGCGGTAGCCCGTAACCGGATCCATCCTCGGACGAGGCACACCACGTGATTCCTCCCGTCATATCGGAGTGTGAGACGCTCAGACCTGTTGCGCTCATTCGATGGTTCTTCCCACCAGACTGCTCCCCATCTCCCAATTCCGACGTGGTGGCTACCGGAGACCTCTCTTCCTCCGTCTCCTCCATTGAGTTCCCCTCCGACTCCTCTGCTGCTTCCTGGAGGTCTCTCTCTCTCTCGCTCTCAAATCGAACGGCCAGAGCAATGGCCTTAATTAGGCTGGATATATCCAGCCTAACAAGATTTGGGTTGGGCTAAATAATATTGATTGGGCCGGAACAGTCCAACTCTGAGCCCAACAGCATTGCGGATTGGCCTGAATAGAGGACGGGGCATTCGGCCGACAAAGTTTGAATTATTGGGCTCAAATTCTCCAAATTTACATGAGCCCACCAACTGGGCCTTCCAGAACCGGAATTCGTCTCCGTGAAGGCAAACGCCCTCTCCGTCGGCGCCCGAGACGGGAGAGGACGAGCGTGATCTCACCTGGCTCGGAGGGTCTCTGAGGGGGCGAACAGTCGAATGCCCTCTCCGTCGACGGCAGCGGCGTCCTCTCCGCCGCCGGCGGCGTCCTCTCCGTTACCGGCGGCGGCGTCTTTTCCAGTGGGCTCGCTCTGTGGAGGGTCCTCTCTGCCGTCGGTGACCTCATGGAGCGGGCTCTCTCTGCTCGACGGCGCCATCTTCCCCATCTGCGGCAGCATCAGCATCAGCTGCAGCCGCTCCTGTGCGGGGGAGGGAGAGAGTAGAGTGACCTCACCAACTTGCACGTCGTCTCGGCATTTACTGCTTCCAGGCCGCAGGCGTGCGCCTGTGCCTCGCCGTATCTTTGACTCCTCTCTGACGTCGCCTGCATGCGCGCCAGCCGAGCCGGGGAGGCGTCCTTCCTTCCTTCCTTCCCTCCTTTCTCCTTTCGTCAGCAGCTATCAATCATTTCCTCCAGCGCGTGTGGTTGGAGGTCGTCTCCTCCGCTGCTCCTCCGCCAACCTATCATTGTCTCTTCATGGCGTATCAGAGGTAATGAACACAGCGCCGGAACAGCTGTTTAGGACGTACGAGATGTGATATTCCACGAAAGGACGGCCTCATCAATGCTTCCGAGGCTCCTCATCTCCGGCTCTCCAACTGAAAATGGTACGCCATTAATGAAGAGCGGGACTCACTCACTGTGGCTGACACAAGGGATACCAGCGTGAGGTCCTTCCTCGCCGGAGGAACAAGGAGGTGGGCTCCCGTCTCCGGTCAGCGGCCAGCGCCATCCCGTACCGGGCTGAGCGAGAGAAAGCGACCTTCCGGAGTTCGGAGAGGATGAATCTCTCGGCCCTCCAAAAGTCATCGCCCGCTAATAATGATCGGTTATTGCTGATAATTCATTTGGTTCGTCCCTGTCGCGTTGACTTTGAGTTATAATGCGTGTCTAATGTGAGGAGCCCGGGTTTGATTACATCAAAACCCTTGTGGAAATGATGGAGAGGCATCCACTTGGACGTTGTTATTGGTCGAACAAGAACATTATACAGTACTCGGGGCGAGGACCCATGCAAAATCGGGCAAATGTACAGGGAGAGCACGAGGTCCGAAGTCAACGTTCCGCGACGAGCTCATCCCAAAAAGGGGGAAGATAAGTACGAGAGTTCCTGTCGAGACTATACGGCGGCGGCGGGTGCCCCTTGCAGTGGAGGGCGGAGGGGGCGTTGACAATGGGGGCGGCGATGGGTGCTGCCGCCGCCTTGGGCGATGACGGCGCCGGAGCGCCACTGCTCGGAGATGTCGGCGGCGATGTTGATGGCGTCGGAGGAGGTGCCTTGGAGGCCCCGCATGGTGAACCCAACGCTATACAGCCCATCCTCTCCCCTCCACCCATTGGGGAAGGGCTTGTTGGGGAGGCCCTCCTTGGTGAAGAGATCGCCGCCCTGCAGAAGGCCGCAACGTCAGAAAAACTACGGGGAAGAAGATCCGGCATGCGAGATACTGAAGCCATCCTATCAGAAGTCAAACACAATTCTGCCATAAAACTGGAGGGAAGGGAGAAGAGACCTTAAGCCACGAGGGGACGTTGCTCTTGTAGCCCGTGGCGAGGATGATGGAGTCGAAGTCCCCCTCGGCGCCGTCCAGGAACCGGGCGCCCGTCCGTGTCACCTCCTTCACTCCTTGCGTTACCTTCATTGAAGATTGAATGATACAGACATTAACTCCAGAAGGAGGGAGAGAGAGACTCTGCGGGCAGCGTGCGAGCGCCAGCGACTGCTAAATCTAAGTACGTCATTAATGCGCGGGTCCGCAAGGGGGGAAGCCCGTGGGCTTTGCCTCCAGGTTCTTGCACACCCTAAATCTTCCCAGGCTATGAATCCTGGCGTCAATTTCTCAGAGGAGGGATAGCGAGAGGTTTTCTGGTCAGAGAACCTAGGAACAAATCTCTCCCGTGATGGGCTCACGAAGACAGTGGGGGCATAACATGTCTCGTGGGTGAGGAGGCCCGCTCACCTTGATCTTGCCGGCTCTGATGTGAGCCAGAGCTCCAACGTCGAGGACCGGAGTCTTGCCGGTGGAGTTCTTGAGCTCGATGGGGCCGGTCTTGGGCCGCCGGAGCCCTACACGATCGGTGTCTCCGAGGATGATATGGGCGGCCGCCAGGAGGATCCGGTCCACTGCCTTCAGTGGTAGCCATTTGAGCAGCGCCATCGCTATCCCAAACGTCGACACTCCCAACACCTCCCTGGGTAGAACATGCACCTGCAGAGACTCTCAGGGGCCGATAGATTCAAGACGAGTTCTCCCGCCGGGAAGATGAGGAATTCGCAGAAGATCAGGTCGAGCGAGAGCTGAGACTCACCGAGTTTCTGACGACCATGTGGGGCCTGGCATAGTGGCGGCAGAGGTCGAAGCTGACCTCCATTCCGGAATTCCCACAGCCGACTACGAGCACATTCTCCCCCCGGAAGTCCCTCCCGGACTTGTATGACGACGTGTGGATGACCCTCCCGCCGAACCTCTCCAGCCCCGGCAGCTCCGGCGTGTTGGGCTGAGCGTTCTCCCCCGTGGCCACTACCAGCCAGCGGCTGAGGAACACCTCTCCCGTCTGCGCCACCACCCGCCAGCAGCAGCCGGCGGCGTCGAACTCCGCGACCTCGACGGCGCGGCCGAAAATCGGACGGATGCCGAAGCGGGCGGCGTAGGCTTCCATGTAGGCCACAAACTGGTGCTTGGAAGGGTACTTGGGGAAGCCCGCAGGGAAGCCCATCAGCGGGAGCTCACAGAACTGCTTGGGGAGGTGCAGCTTGAGGCGATCGTATGTGCGGTGCTGCCAGAGGGAGGCCACGCAGTGGGCCTTCTCCAGAACGGTAGAGGGGACGCCGAGGTTAGCGAGACATGCCGCCACGGCCAGCCCAGACGGGCCCGCGCCGACGACAATGGGACCTTCCGCCAAGGTGCATTGTAGGCCCTCTGCGTCTCGCTCCGTTCTGCTGCACATGTTGGAGGGGAAGACGACGGCCTGGATACCCCCCTCACTCTGTTTCTGCCTCTCTACCTTCTATAAGGATACCTCTCGGGTCTTCTTCTCTCTCTACCCCGTAGAGAGGAGAGATGGTCGGATGGTGGGGTTTCCCACCTGGTTTAGAACGAGGAAGAGGCCACGGTAGGTCGGGTAGGGAGGATGAATGTACTCCTATGATCCTTCCTACCTGGTCATACCTCCTAAAGAGGGCTCTGTTCCCCGGCGATCTGCGGAGCACAGAGCACCTCCCTGTATCTGACTTCCGCCGAAGTGGAGCTCTTGGTGTTTTATAGAGAGGAAAGGGATCGGTGGCGGGATGGAGGCCTCTTATGGGAATTTGGAGCGTCTTCCTTCTACTTGGGTAACTGCGGCAAGTGTGGAAAGAGGAGAGGAAGTATAAGCAGGCGCGAGCACGGTAGCTCCGAGAGAGAGAGAGAGAGAGATGCCATTAATACGCCCGTGAGGAGTGAAGAGACTGCTAATAATGAGGAAGGGCATGAGAATGGATGACCGGCGTCCTCCTCGCTCCCAACCCCACACACCTTAAAGTTGAACCGGCGGCGCCGCCTCCATCCGGAGGCGGAGGGAGAGGGAAGGTGTAGGTTTTAAAGTAGCTTGACGCAATCAAGACGCCAGTTTGCTCTCGGGCCGGAGCCCGGAGGGATCCGGCGGAGGTACTCCACTCCCCCGGATCCCGGGGAGGTGACCGGAACACGTCCCTGCTGGCGTTATATAGGCTGGATAGGGCCGTGTAGGCGCTGAGGGAACATTCCCTCCGCCGCCGGCCACCGGAGAGAACCCACGGCGGGGGCGGCGGGACGGGGCGGTGTAGGCTAGTTTGCCTCTCTGCGGCTGCGCAGCCCACGCCAACCGAGAGGGTGACGAGAAGGGCAGGACTGGTTCGGGACAAGTTGGCCTTGAACTTTCTTCTGTGTAGTGTGGTGCAACTTCCACCGTCCCGTATCCTTCGCCGCCGCCTCGCACCGCCACCGCTGCCGTTAATACTAACAGTAGAAAGGGGGAAGAGTACGTTCGCGGGCCGAGGCTGGGAGGGCACTGACATGATTTAATGCCGATTTGCCTCCTGCAGTGTGTAAATAGGTGGGGTAAGACTCTCTCTCTCTCTCTATCTCTCTCTTTTGCTCTTTATCTATCTCTCTCTTGTTCTCATTCGCCACAACTTTTCCAAGTAGATGCGGGAGATCTTCATGACCAAGGTGGGCGTTCTCGTGAGACGAAAAGATCACGTCTTGCCGTTCGAGCGAGCCGCCTCCCGCCCATCTATCAGTCGCTCGGGCTCCTGATCAATGGAGATTCACCGTGAGGAGCAGTAAATGAAGGTAGACCCTCCAGCGGAAAACAATCTCACGCAACGACGAGCCCCAGAGAGATAGAGATAGAGGGAGTAAGAGAGAGAGAAAGAGAGAGAGAGAGAGGTGAGGGAATCCAAGGTAGAAGGGACTGATGGACAGCTCTGGTTGTTTTCGATACGTTAACGTCTACTGCAGCGGGAGCGGCAGGAGGTCGGAAGGGCATATGTACGGAGGAAAGGGATGACGCCGACTGAGCGAAGCGGGACACCTGGCCCACAGAGGATGGAGCGGAGGACCACGTGACGCGAGTGCTGACCCTTTCTGACGTCGCAAGGAGCCGGAATCTGCCGAGCCTCCACGTGGGGCCCAGTGGAGATCTTCTGCACTGTTTCAGGAGGAGGCCGAACGGAAGATGGCGTCATCTCCGAGCTGACAGAAACCCTGGCTTTTACAAAAACAGACGAATTGCTGACCTTTTTACCGTCACCTAGCAAAGTATATGGCCCACCCTATACTCTCTCTCTCTCTCTCCCTCTCCCTCTCCCTTTCTCTCTCTTCTCCTCTTCTCTCTCACTCTCCTCCTCTATATCACTATCTCCCTGGTTGGGCTGGGCACCAGAGAATCATTTTCTTATCGGGCTTCCCTGGTTAGAGAGACCAGCATCTCCCTCCTCCCTGCAGCTGGTAAACTTCTTTCTCCGATATCAAATACCTGAGAGAATCTCTAAAATAATCAGACAGAATTCCCACGAGATCGACAAAAAAAAGGGTGCAAGAATTCTGGGGGAAAATTTCGAGCCGGGCAAGAACATGAAGAGCAATGGTCCCTTTCTCTGGCGAAGAAATTACTCTGCGCATTTTCTCATGCGGGGTCTCACGGACCTTTGACCTACTCCTTGAAGTCGTCCTTGTCGTTCAATGGGATCGGCACGTTCCTCCAGAAAACAGCCAGAGCGCTCCCACCAAGCTGCCACAGTGAAGTGTGTAGATCAATTCAGAATTCCCTAGAGCATGGTTTCTCGGGCGGATATGCGCAATGTAAAGAAACTAAGACATTTTTGGTTGTCATATGAGATATTGATCAAGAAAGCTGCGTCTATTGGTCAAGAAACTCTGACGTTCTTGCAGAAGTGCCCCTCTCTCTCTCTCTCGCTGAGGTAATTTACTACCACTTTCTAGGTCAGATATCTCCCAGACTATCATGCTACAGAGAAGGGGATGAATCAGTTTAGAATTCCCTAATGTTGGTTTCAACAGCGAATATAACCAAGATAGAGGAACTCAGCCATTCTTGGAGAAATGTCTCCGCATGTGAAAATATGACATGGTCTGAAGGTATTAGTCTATCAAGGAGTAGCTAAATCCAGCAAGAGAGAGAGAGAGGTGTGATAACCAGACTATATCGATAATTAAAGAAAATGGTGGTCCTAATCCAAGCTCAGGCCATCTCTGTAATAGCAGTTGGGCTCATGAACAACTAGAATCCGTGGTCTCAAGGTCCCCTGGAGATGATATCCAGAGTAGGCTGACCCAGGGATCTGAGTGGTGAGCCAGTCAAAGACTTGGATGTCTGAACCTGATTTCTCATAGACCCGTCCCCAACACAAAATATGCAGAGGCTAATATGAATAAATACGATAGCCAGATTTCCATATGTATTGCAAGTTGCACCCTAGATTTCAGTGCGATTCTTGTCATGCAGCCATGGCATCAGATGCATGATGTCAATTGTTTCTTAAATTCAGATCCTGCTCCAGTGGGTTTCATATGCAAATTAGACAATCTTATGCTGAAGATTTTAAGCAGCTGTAACATCCGAACCAAGAAACGATACATGATATGAATAAAAAGATGAAATTTAGAGAAAAAGAGAAGAACTTGAAGCAAAATGTGGATGGCATTCAACCTCCAACAAGAGAAAAATGAGGAATGGAATTAGGGGATGAAAGATACCGCCATGCAGACCACACTGACAGCAGAAGGAACAGCCACCAGAGGATTCGTAAAGTGCTTCTGCGCGAGAAGGAATCCAAGAGCAGAGCTCTGCGGACAAGAAATCAAAAAGATTAGTTCATGATGAATAGGAGCACATCTATTTAAAAAATACAGCCTCATCAAACAGAATGATTTATGTAGAAGCTTCTGGGCTCAGATGTGATCCTGTATCTTAATTTTTGTCCCAAAAAACTGAAAAATAAGAATTACTTGCTAAAAAAATAAAATAAAATCAGAGAATGGCAAGTAGGGTTTCTAAGAAAAAAATGCTAAGGTCTGCAAATAATAAGAACTATTCGAGGGGTTGACAACTGCATTCCTGCTCCAGAATTTTTCTTATTACATTGTTTCTCTTTGATGTCTCTCCTAAGTTTCTGAGACTGGGGTGCGTTTAGGCTGGCATTCTGAAGAAAATAATCAAATATGGTACCTGCATTCCACACTCTATGGAAATTGTACGAGACGTTGACTCTCCAAATGACGAAAACTTTGAAACCCAATAACCAAGAGCAAACGCAGCTGCATGGAGGACTGCTACAGGAAGTATGAGTTGTGCACCTTGGGTCTTCAAGACTTCGGCAACTTGCCCAATCTGGCCAAAAGCACGAAACTTTACGGCCCATTCGTCATCCAGAACTTTGGGCCAGCCAAATTTCGAAATGAGGTAAAAAGAGTAACTGAAAATAAACTCCGAATGTACTTACCGGACTGGCACAAAGCAGTGTAGTGAGGATGACTCCGATCAATGGGGTCAACGTGATTATTCGTTCAGTGAACTTTGGAAAATATTCGTGTGCCAGAACTGTCGCAATAAATTTATTTTAAATGACCAAACCAAAAGAATTAATGCACGTTGACAGGACGAGAGCATAAGAGCAATATAAAACCGCAAAGGCTCGCTACAGGGTTCAATTACCTCCAATAATAGTTGGCAACAGGACAACTTGAAATGTGCTGATTGCCAAGCCCTGGAATTGGAAAATATTTATTTACATTAGAAATGATTTCCATATGGCAATATGAGTATTATATTTACAACTTCAGTTGATTATTGCCGAAACAGAATGAGTATTTCTTACTGCAGCATCCACGGGTACAAGTTGACCAGCAAGAAACTTTGTGAGAAGTGGCGTCATTATAATGGCGCCAATGGTTGAACACCTAACATACCAGAGAAAATGCACCATGAACATGCGTGAAACTCACCATCGCTTTAGTTTCAAAAAATTAATCACACAGACATGAAGAAATTAATACATTAAAACATGAAAAGTGGTACTCAACATTCCACATCCTGATACATAAACCACAGACATCTACTACCAAAAGGTAACTCAACCAATTGAACCTGAACAAGTAAATAATAATAAGAAAAATCAAAAGCTAGATGCTGTTAGGAATTTATTATGCGGTCCTCAAATTTCAGATATACCTAGACAAGACTAGAATGTAACTTTCAAGATCAGAGCTTCAAAATTACATGAAAATAATGTTGTCTTTTTATTTTAGGTGATGGACAAGATATTGCTACCATCAACAGAAAATGAATGATCAAAAACACAATGATGCAGCATTTAGATACAAAACAAGCAACCAAGAAGGAAAACATCCTCTTTCCCGGTAAATAGCTTACAGCTTTAACTCTGACATGACTGTCCAGATGGAAATTTTTGACGGCTCCTAGATGAACTAGGGATAGTGTTAAAATCAGGACATAGAAAGTACATTCTGTTATCCCATGCACGAGAAATCTTTTGCAGTTCCAACCATTACGATAAAAGACTATTAAGATAATAAGTGAATAAAATTCAGCTCAGCTGTAAGAATTCACATACAAAATAATACTATCTTTATAATTAGAAGAAAAAGAATTGATATCGGAGATTATTTAATTTTCCTAACATTGATGCTTAACCCATTGTGCAGACAACCCAAGATTAGAGTTTGACATTCCACAACAAGGTTGACAGCCGTTTATATCCCAGTATTCACTTCTAGTCGTGAATTTCGTCGGCAATCAGTAATAGGTAACATGGAGGGATGATACTTAAACTGAGCATGATCACTATGAAATGAGTTCTCTGAGAATATTCTAATGGAACAGCCTATCGTGTTTTCACATCAATAAAATAAAACTTCAAGTGGAATCCGTTACAATCCGTAAAAGCAAGGCAAGGCAGGAGCATGATAGAACTAAAAGACCAGAAAACTTTCATTTATAAAAATTATAATCCATCCCCCAAGACCATCCATATACAGAAATAGCAGATATCAATTAAAAAATTTCAGCTAAAGCCCTTAAAAATGGCTGACGTATGGTCCATGAAAGGCTTGCAGCTATATTTCCATAGGCTGATTTTAATTCAAACCTTGTAGACATAGCCCTCAATGATAAGTAATGTGTTGCCCATATGAGCTGATTTTCCTTTATCTAAAAATCTTGAGATATGCAATACCTCCAATTACCGTTTGATGCATGTTAGGTCCTACTTACCCCTGTCCGAAGCCAATGTCAAAACCTTTTAGGAAGAGAAGAAAGTGGATGGCATACACAAATCTAAGGAAAGAATATTATGATACAAGTCTATAGAATAACTCTAATAAAAGAAACACATTGCAGAGTAAAATCAGGGATACTCATTTAATCGCTAGAAAATAGACCTAACAAAAATGATCATCATCCCAGATAAGGGAAAATATATTTTTGTCATGAAACTATAAATAATAGAAATTCCCAAAAAAATTGACTTACGTTGTCATGAGAACCGAAAGTGCCACATTTCCTTTAGATATATATGTAGCAACATTTGATGCCTGGCCCCCAGGGCAGCAAGAGACCAAAATGAGGCCGGTTGCAAGAGGGGCAGACAACTTTAGACTCTGTAGATAAAACAACATTTTGAATTTATCAAAAATAGAAGAAAAACAAATCCTACTTCATTCAGCATCCATGAGAGATGAAATGATTACTGTGATAGCCCAATGTCAATGCTTTACTAGGCAAATAAAACCATGAAAAATTCTGAATCAAAAACAGTAAACACAACAACGAAGCTCACATCAATGTGGAATTGATTATCTGGACCAACTCCTAACAAAATTTAGTTAAAGTTTATACGAACGGCAGAAGGTGACATTAAAAATAGATGCAGGTGACAGTAACCAACTGAAAGTTCACATATGTATTATTACGGGATCCCTAGTGGTAGGAAGTGGGTGACAGGTTCGACTTTAAAGAATCAAACTATAGTTATGTTCGCATCAAAAGATAAAATGGGCTACAAAAATTTGGTTATTGATTTCAGCGTAAGATCATAATGCTGAACAGATTGAATAAGCAAAGCATCAGATCAATACATTGTCGGGAAAGGGAATAAATATGCAAAAACAAAATATACAGGGATTGGACTTTCTTGGCTCAAGTATGGATATTTGGCAGGTATTTGTTTTATTTTACCTTTTCCTCTTTGTCTATCGTCTATGATGATTAACTTGGTTCATACTAGAAGTAGGTAAGAGGTCAAGTAAAATGGAATTTATTTTTATTCTTGAATTTTAAGGTATTATGAGGCAAAATGAGATGGTGTATTCATAAAAAAACATAAAAAGACATGAAAGCGAGCACGTAGAAGTGACATCCCAAGATAATCATTCAGCAAAACTTTCGTATTAGAAAACTAACGTAAGAAAATCTCCATTCCGAAAACTGTCATTGAACACCATAGCATGAGAGGAGAGGTCCATAAGAACTACTTCACGAATCTATATTCATAATCGACACTAACATTTACTTATGCGCATGATCTGGATTTTTTTTTTCATAAAGGCTATTTTTCCAAGCGTCCAATATCTAGTATTATGTCGTTCAGTTCAAATCTAGGAAACAAGGTGCAAACGAGACACAATGAAAAGGATGGAGAAAACAGTGAACTTTGTAAGACAAGTCAACATCAGTAGTATGAACCTCCCAACTAGGATACATTATCAATTAATGAAATTTTTTCTACCAGCCAGGACAAAAGTTATAAGCAGCCTTCAAGCCCAGTACAGTATCCAGTTAAAAACATATTCTATCATTATCGGTTTCTTATAAATATTCATGAATTTTCTAATAAAATCCCCCCCTTCTCTCTCTCTCTCTCTCTCTCTCTCTCTCTCTCTCTCTCTCTCTCTCTCTCTCTCTCTCTCTCTCTCTCTCTCAATGGGGGAAAGTCTCCTCGCACTTTGCTACAAAAGATGGGTCCCATGTTGTCCTCCACGTTGGAGCACCCCATGCATACATCATATTGGGGTTTTAGATAACTACACCAGGTTAGATCAAACACCTATATTCCCAAGTTCTCCATTGAGAATCGCTGGGTCTCAAAAAGAACCATTTTTCCATGTTCATGATATGCACAATGACATCTATACAGTTTTCTACTATCGGGAGATGGAATCATCAACTTCTTTGATATACATGAAACCGCAGGCATCTCTGACAGTAAAGGATGAAAAAAAAATAGGATTCATTTTTTTCTTAAGATAACATTGAATGGCGTACCATTGATATGAAAAAACCAAGCAATGGTTTGACCATGTACTGTGCAAGAAAACCCACACCAACCTACAATCAAACGATTTCATTAGCTCAGTGATGGAGGAAATCAAAAACGAATAAAACCTTACAAAAAGTTCGATAAAACATCAAGAACGTCTCAAGAATATACATATGAGGATTGTATCTTACCGTCCAAGGGTTTCTCATACATCTTCGAAAATCTTCAAACGTCAATGTCAAGCCCATTGAGAGCATAAGGAAGCCCAGGCCAACAGTGAAAAGGTCTGTCTGTAACCAGGTAACCTGCATATAAATCAGTGAATGCAAATAATTAGCAAATATAAATTAAGTGATTTAGTTATTGATTTTCCACCTAGCCGAGAAAAAGGCAGTGGGGAGTCATTACCGCAGATGGCTTGTAAATACCAATAATTGTCCCTAATATAACCTGTGAAAGGCATTATTTTGTTAATGAGATTATCAAATTAACAGTTGAGTTCAAAAAATGGAGACTATTGAAAGCGTCCACTGAAGCATGATTACCCAGACAGGGAAAAGGGTGGTAAGCAATTCGACTATTCTTTCATACTGGCTCATCCCACTCGGAGCTTTGCTGGGAACATCTCCCGAAACATTTGCTTCGGCTTTGCACAAGAATTGATTGGCCCTGCTGCATTGATAAAGAGTGGATCATTGAACGACGTAACACTTTTCTCTATTTTTTCCAAGTAGCAATTTTCTATGTTGGCCCTATTAAACCAAGCTTCCCTCCAAACACGAAATTTTCTCAAAGTTTAATAAATGCTATTATCATCAAAGGTGCGCTGGTGATAAACTTCCTAAAACACCAAATGAACAACCAGCTAGTGGAGATTATGTTTGAGAACTAAGTTATGTGAAGTTGATAAGAAATAGGGATGTGTCTCTGAGTCACTCTTCCGTTTTTACTTGGTCAGAAAAACTCATGCCATCAATCTCGGAAAATAAAAATTAGAGAGACGATATCATCAGTGTAACCTTCTTGATGCGACGAATGCAACATTATACTAAAATTATCCACAGTCCAAAGAAAGCATCGCTATAACATACCGTGATGTAGGAACAATTGATAAGGGGACGGATGCAGTGATGGCAGCATTTAAGATTCTTTCTCCACCCCGAGGAAAAGACAGCGCGCCCGTTGGATCCGCTGCAGCAATCCAATTAACACGATAAATTTTAGCATGATCAACTCCCACAGCCGGTCGGCGTTGTTAAACCCCCAAACAACAGGAAAAATAACGTAACGCGACACCAAGTGCGAGAGAAGAAACATACCATGATAAGAGGCTGCCCTCCTGATGGCGGAACCAGACACGCAGTAGCTCTTCCAGTGTAATCCATGGAAGGCATGTGGCTGGGGGTCCTTGTGTAGGATCCTGGACACGGAAGCCATTGACGCCATCGACAGCGACTGACAAAAGGACTGGAACAAAAGGACGAGTAAATCGTATACAATCTCGTACTGCTATCACCCAATGGAGAGCTGGGAGTGGCTGCGTACAGATAGGGATGGATCGGAGAGCTCCCACTCCCCCAAATCCTTGGAGAGCTGGTAGTAGTGTGGAAGATGAGAGTAGAACACTAACAACAGCTTCTCACTCCCCCTCGGACGACGCTCGTGGACACGGATGAGCCACGCGCCCTGTCCGTCTTCTATCGGTATTGTATTGGCTGACGTGGCGCTTTTCCCGAACCGTGCGAGGCCTATAATGAGTCACCATCAATGATCTGTCGATTCCGGGCCCACCATATTGGTGAACTACGAACTAATGGGCCTAGAAGGATGGCGGCCCATTCTATACAGTCAAGGTTGATATTTTTATGGCCCAGCCCAACTTATTTATTTTTGTCGCAGTAGGTGACTTTAAGCGGCTGCGTGAGCCTACGGCTCGCGGACCGATCCGACGAAGAAACCCTAGAGGCGGTTCTTGTTCTCCTCGAACCCTCTTGTTCGTCGTCGTCTTCTGCGATCACGTCTCCTGAAGACGAAACCCTAGCCGGGGACCGCACGCCCGACGGGGTGTAATTACGTGCAGACCAGGGAGTCGTGCGGTCGAAGCGATACCTGGGAAGAAAGCGTGAAGGATTCCGTTGCGGAAGACTTCTTTGCTTCTTTCTCGACCTCTCCTGCCCTGCAGTTTCGTCTTTGTTCGGATTTGTTCCGCTGGTAGTGTTCGTCTTGTAGTGATCTGTTGGTTTGGAGGCGGAAAAGGACTTTGGCAGTATAATTGTCGTCTTTTGTTGCTGAATTTATCGACATGGAGGTGAATGAGAGCGCACTGGGCTGGTAGCGTGGAGATGGAGCGTTTTGTTAGGGATGGGGAAAATGGGAGCCCGAGCGACAGGCGGCCCCCGAATCCACTCGCTGGGGGGTATCGGCCGTTCTTCAGCGCATCTCCGCGTGTGGTCTCATCGTGCAAATCTCTCGCTCGTCATCCTTCTCTCGTAAGATCCATTTGCTCTCTGTTTATCGCGCGTCACTGGAAACTTCTGTCTACGTCCATTTTTTGGTTACCATATATGCTTTGATAGGGAAAATTATAAAATGCATAATGCTTTTCTTTCTCTGCATACTGATGTGTATTTCATCTAATTTTTAGTTTTTCAGGTGTCTCCTGGCGTTGTAACAACAGTAGATTAATAGATAGGGAGGTTGACCTTTTTTGTTAAGTTTGACGGCTGACCATGATGCGTTGATAATTGGTTTCTCACCACTTTGAGTGCAGTCTCTACCTAGTGTCCGGATAGTTATATCTGGTTTAGAAATATTACATTGATCTAATTGAACGACCAGTTTTCCTCATATTCATAGCCTGCAATAACAATATTTTGAGTGAGTATTTCACTTCAAATTTTCTTCCCTCCTCTCAGAAAATCTGATTGGGTTGTAAATGAGGTTGACTATGAACTTATTTATGTTGGGCCATGACTGCAGACTTAAGGAATAATTTATTTGATGAGTTAGGTTCAGTGGTTAATGCAAGGAGTGGTGATGTGATAATTCACTTCAGCCCACCCTTCTTCACATAGTGTGGATGAGATAAGAATCGGAATTCCTTTAAGAGTACAATGCCCACTTAACAAAACAAGGTTCCTTGATATGAAAGTTATGTCCGGATGATTTTAAGCGTCTATTTCGGTAGTTGCCTCTGTCTTGATTTTGTATCATTTAATAATATAAGCCATCTGGGTACGTAGATTTGGTTACTCAATTGCTATCGAAGCAATATCAATCTTCCATCTTGTTCTCTAACTTAAATGGCACCTTCATACTGGAGAGTCTTAATTATTCTCTTAGAAGGGAAGGGAATTGGACTGATGAATCCATGCACTCAAACCGGAGTGAATCTGACGGGTGATCTTTGCTTTTCAAACTAAAATAATTATCTTATTCTGGATTATTTTACATCCCTTTCCTATTCAGCTTTGCTTCCTGCCTTTTAAGAGAATAGGTCCTATTCAAGCGGCCTGCCTTTCTTCATGTACATCAGCAGTCTCTCGTTTAGTCATTAACAGGAACAAATATTAGACAATAACTTCTGTAGGAGATTCCATATTGATGTTTCGCTCCTATTATTTTGTGCTGTACAGTTATTCCCTGGTGGAGCCCATTCACACAGCAACATTTGACCAACGAAATTTATGTGGCCGGTAATTAATGCTTATTTAATGCATCAAGGGCCCTAGTGTTTGCTTAACCAGTTTCAAAACATCTCTCTTAGAATAAAGGTTTGTGTTTGGTCCGGTCTAGGGTTGCCGTGATTCTCTATGATAAGCCATGAGACCAAGAAAAGTTCAGTCCGAAAAGTGGGCTTTAAAAATGTTGTCTGTTCAGGGTTATCGTTATTTCATTCTACAATATGTATAATAGATTCCGGGGATAGACATCTTTATGCCGTGTGATTTTTTCAGAATGAGGCTTTATTGTCAACATCCTCTCCTGACTTGCATATCAATCATTGAAGAGTACGTCCCAATGTGGTATGGTATTTGGGGGATAAATGAGATGCATCTTAATAATGAAACCATTCCTTATATTGAATGTCATCTTGTTTAATGCAAATAATAAACCTTGACCTTAAGTTCAAGCAGTTTGATATTTAATATCGCTCAAGTGGGATCAAGACCTTTTTTTGGCGTTCCTTCGATTTTATTGGTTTATTTCTCTTTTTTAACTTATTGGACTTCTGCAAGAACAATAATGGCATTTTATGCTTTTAGATGATTTCTCAGTTTATTTTTTATTTTTTTGTGGTGCTCTGTTTATTCTTTCATTGACTTGGGCACTGCATTCAATTTGAGGTATGCATGTACCGCTAGATACATTCACGCTGCTATTTTAATTTAGTTCTTAATTGATAACTAGGTATATGACTGATTTTCTGCCTGTTCAAGGATTTTCTCTTATCCACGGAGTGAAGCTGGAATTCAAATATGTCGTTAATCATTATATCATTTCCATCTGTCATTACCCAGATCCTTGAAAATAGTCCCAAATGATAACAACCAATTGATTTGCGTTGATTTTTATAGCGTGTGAATTTGTTATGACAACCAACGTTTTTAATGTGAACAATATGTGATAACAAAGGTACATCTGACAAGAGGGCACAAACTCATCGTTCCTTTCAACTTTTCTTTTCACATTGTTGGGTCTTATTAACATATGCAGTTTTGGTTCTTGCTTCTTGTTTGTCTCAGCAACTCATTGAATTACAGAGACTTCTTCCTACTATGCTAGTTGCCTCATGAATTTTGTCTCTATTTCTTTATTTTTCACTGATAATTGTTCTTGTGGTTACTGTATGCATGCCATTATCCCTTTGCTTTGGTGGAGGATCAAGTTTAAGAGGTACTGAGTTTAGCCTTTACAGGTGACGGTTGACGCCTCTGAAGTGGAGACTGTCAGTGAGGGCTTTGAGGCTGAGTTTGTTCCAGTGGTACGATCTGGGGCTTGGGCTGACATAGGATTCCGGTCGAGCATGGAGGATGTTTTCGTCTGTTTTGACAATTTCGAACACAGTTGCGGACTTCGGGACTTTGGAGTGGGGCCTAGTGCCTTCTATGGGGTATTTTCCTTAACCAAGTAACTGTTTTTCTTCATTCATTTCTGTGGTCGTTGGTGCTCGTGATATCAGGTTTTCGAGTATGAAAAAAACTCCAGCTCAAATCAAAACTGCTGTCGTCGCTGTGGTGATTTTAATCTGATGAACAGATTACTTAGAGAAAAATTGTTTCTTTCAACTCTGCCCAGGTTTTCGATGGGCATGGAGGGAAGCATGCCGCTGACTTTGCCTGCGATAACTTGCCCCGATTCATTCTAGAGAACAAAGACTTTCCGGGGGAGATCGAGAGGGTCGTCTCCTCAGCATTTTTGCACACAGACTCCGCCTTCGCCGAAGCTTGTTCCATCAATTCTTCTCTCGCCTCCGGCACGACGGCACTAGCTGCCCTCGTCGTGGGAAGGTCAGTCTCCTTTCCATATCGGGAAAGAACTCCTTGTCTTCTTCCTAGTACCCTGATTTCTTGGGAGTTTACTCTAATGGAGGAAAGCTGCCGCAGGTGTCTTGTGGTGGCGAACGCCGGCGATTGCAGGGCAGTTCTGTGCCGCAGGGGGAAGGCCATCGAGCTGTCCCGGGATCACAAGCCCGGGTGCAACAGGGAGAAGAAGCGGATCGAAGAATCGGGCGGGTACGTCGACGACGGCTACCTCAATGGGCAGCTTAACGTCTCCCGGGCGCTCGGTGACTGGCATATGGAAGGGATGAAGGACGGGTATGGCGCTGGGCCGCTCAGTGCCGAGCCGGAGGTGATGAGGACGAGGCTAACCCAGGAGGACGAGTTTCTCATCATGGGCTGTGACGGGATCTGGGACGTGTTCCTCAGCCAGAACGCGGTTGACTTCGCCCGGCGGAAGCTGCAGGAGCACAACGATCCGTTGACCTGCTGCAAGGAGCTGGTGGACGAGGCCTTGAAGAGGAGGAGCTGCGACAACCTGGCGGTGGTGGTCGTCTGCTTCCAGGCGAGGCCGCCGCCCAATCTGGTGGCCCCGAGGGGGCCCGTGAGGAGGAGCATATCTACAGAGGGGCTGAGGGAATTGCAGGGTTTCCTGGACGGCCTGTCGAATTGACGGGCCGTGCCGCTGATCTTTTCTTTGATTCTTGAGGACGGAGGTAGGTTTCTATTTTTCTAGTAGGGATACTCTCCACACACAGGTCTCGAGATTTGTTGGTCTCAAACTGTAACATATGCGGCTGTTACCTCTCCCTCTTGGGTGGGTGCCTCTCCGCCCTCTATTCTGTGCCCGCCCGTGCTTCGGCCGGCCGTTTTGTCTCCATTGCACCAGCCACAAACTCCGATTCCTATGGCACCGCGGCTACCCTGTCGTAGCCTCCCGACGCCGGAGACCAAAGCCTACCAAGGCCCAACCACGACATCCATTTGGCTCCCCCACGGCTGCCGCATCTCTGCTGGAAATAGACCACGACTGCCAGTAAAACTCCAACTAATGGTATGAAAACATCCCCTGTTCTGGAGTAGAATCCCAAATCAGGGTCCACAAACTCATACCCTTGGTCAAAGTAGGCGTTCATCAGCGGAGCTCTAATGTAGTCGTAAGCATGGGGAAGAAGCCTAATCAAGGTTATGCCCAGGTAGTAGCCTTTTCTCAGAGGTCTGCACTTGATCTGCCATATTATGTTTCCGACGACCTGAGGAAGTAGGAAGAAATCTTGCATCAGACCTGCATACTGCTCCAATCGGGCTCCCCAATGTTTAATCCCATGACTCGGACTTTGGGAACTATTATAAATGTCTGTTCCAGTAGGCTCATGAAGATGGGTATTTGGATTTGTGAGAAGGATGACCAGAAATCCAACCGCATGAAGGATCAAGCATACCACGAGCACCCGCTTATCACTTGGCACCCCTGTTGGTAACCGGATGCGCGACTCCCACACTTTCTGCCAGAGCCTTAGAGTGAGAAGAAATGCCGTCAGTACAAGGGACTTCACAATAAAGTCCGCAATTTGGAATGACCCGTCACGTTGGAGATCGTATTGATATGATGACGCATGGTGTCTTTGCGATAGCGTTGTGAAGAGAGCATCTGCCCCTGTGATCAATGGAAGACCATACCCAAGAGCTTGGATGCCCAGCATGACATGAGATACGTAGGGGGCATCGGCACTTGTTTGCTTGACATAAAGCAGCTGGCTCAGTATGCAAGCCGCGACTATTGACAGTGTTGAAATCCGGAGGACCACTTCCACTTGTCTGTCGGAGAGTATCTCCTCACTTTGACTTCTGTACATGATTGCGGATGTCTGTAGTTTGACTGGATCGAAGTAGAGGGGATCTTTGTCTTTAGGTCGGTTGCTTTCTATCGAGACTGTGGCTGTTGGCATAGTCAGCCCTCGGAGAGTCGTGGGTGGATACTGGATCTCAACCTTAATCTCACAATCCAGATGTTGCCAGTCAGTGATGTTACATACTGTTTTCCTCGGAACAGGGGCAACTCTGCAGCCGACCAGGTACATCTTTCCGGTCGCCTGGCTGTACAGACCCTCCAGGGACAGCATCATGGACTTCTTGCGAGGATTCCTGGTGATCGCGAGCTCTGCTGAGACATTCAGAGTTGATGCGGCAGCTTGAGCAGGTTTGTCAGGCGAGTTTCCTGACGGCTGATAGAGACCATAGTCGCAAAACTTGGAGCCCAGAGTAAGTATTTGAAGTCTAAAATATCCACTCCCTGAACTGCTACCTGACCCCTGGACGGGCAACGCAGAGACGGAGAGCATGAGATCACGGCAGAGGTCAACGCCTTCGTTCATCCTTGGATACTTGAGCAAAGCTCTGTTCATATCACCACCGTTGCTGAAGGCCTCGTCGATATGGGGGAAGTCAGCGGCCTTCTTGGTCTTTGAGTACTCATACGACAGCCCGGATTCAACGAGCAAAGGGGGCAGTTCTCTACCGTCATCAATGTCTTGACCGGCTTTTATGGCCCGTCCGAACAACAGAGCGAAAGTAGAAAGGTCCCCACTCTCGCTGATGCGGAAGATGCTCCCTACTACGGCGTTTCTCTGGGTAAGGGAGAAAGACGTCGGCATATACAGGCAGATGCGGAGGTTGCACCTCGAGGGATCCACGCCGGCGCAAGCCACCATGCAGAGCTGTCCGCTGGAGGCGTTCCAAAACCCCTCTGCCGAAAAAATCGGACGAGAGAGGCTCGTGCTTTGGGCAGCTTCATAACTGAGCTCCCATGGAAGAACCTCCTTGAACAGAAGGGCCACCCTTGCGGAGACATTATCGCCTTTGGGGCTGCCCTTCGCCCTGCACTTAAGATCAGCCATAATTAGCTTAACATCGTCATAACTCCTATGAGTCGCATTGAAGTCCGATCGAAATGGCCACATCTTCTTGCAGTAGTCATTTGTGGAGTCACATATCCAGTTTGGTAACATCTCCTATGAGTTGGTAGGGTGCAAGCTGATGTAGAATGTTACAGAAATCTGGTCCCTTGTAGACCTTTATGTGATCACCCAGCCACATTTCCGGATGAGGGCCGGGACTGCAGGTTTTGGCGGTGATATTTCCGGATTGGAATTTATAGTTCATCGTTGTGTAACGACCCGACTGGAAAGCTATCTGCACCTTGCCGAAGTACCTAGGGGTTGACTTGTTGTGAAGACTGATCATCTCCACCTTGATTTCTCTTCTGGTCAAGTTAAATGACTTGGGGTCGCGAACAACAAGCTTTATTTTGTCACCTTTCAGAGGGGGGATCCGATCTACTCTGGTGTCTGAATCATTCTTCAATTTCCATTGATCAGCGGGATCACCTCCACGAGGAGGAAGATTGGCAGACCCCAGCAGGCACATCACACGCTCTCCACCAGCCCCCTTTGACTCGAAATACAAACCTTCGAAGGCAATATCGATCTGGGCATACCCTTCAAACATCATAAGCCCATATTTAATGATGCTCAGAGTCAAGGTGCCGCTCATATTCATGGCGGTTTTGGATCGTCCCTCTTCGTCGACATCCACCACCGCATGAAAAGACGCTGGGAACTGAGGACCACGGAGCCCGTAAGCATTGCTGTTGGGTCCCATGTACTGTGGTATCAGACATGTGAAATTTTTTTACATAATCTAGATGTACATCAATGTCAACAGCTGACCATGTCAGCTACTAAGCATTTAACTTCATCTATTGCAGTCAATGATCTGAAGACAAACTATTCTTCTCATATATCATGTTCTTGTTTTTCAGTCAAAATACATCTTGATCAATGTAAGGTTTCTGCATCCACCAAATGATGGATAGTTGATTCAAGGGCATCAAAACACATATCTCCATGTATTCATTTTTTTACATCACTCAAGCCAGTATAAAATTCTCAAGTTATTTTACTTGATGACACTATTATTCATGTCACCTTGATGGAGATGTTCAATTGTTTCTCACATTAGTTCTTAATAATGTTCTTTTCGTTGTTCAATTTAGATATAATGTACTCTCAGTGAGTGAACTCACTCGTGTGAATTAACTTAGATTATTTTTCTTCTCTAATTGGTTTATCATTCAAGACACACTTAAAGAATAATATTGGCAAGGCTAATCAAGAAAAGGAACTCTACATACTGGATATTAGCCAAATAAACCTTGGATCACTAAAAAGTTTAATCTCTACATTTGTCACTAAAGTTTCTTTTCAAACATGACATAATAGATTGTGGCATTTGTCTTCTAAAATTATAAAAATCTTATACAAATAGTGGTCACTTGATTCTACTTATATGGATGATATTCCTTGTACTGTGTGCCCTTTGACAAAACAAAAAAGGTTACCTTTTATAAATCATAATCACTTGTTTGTAAATTTATTTGATCTTATTCATTATGAATTTGGGGACCATTTCATACCATTAGCCATTCTAGTCATCAATATTTTTTATACCATGGTTGAAATTTCTACACGTTTTACATAATTGTTCCTTATGAAACATAAAATAGAGGTGAAAAATATAATTTCCAATTTTTTTATTATGGGTCAGAACTCAATTTGAATATCAAATCAAAAAATTGCAATCTGACAATGCTAAATAGCTTCATCTTAGTCTATATTTTCAAATTTTGGGTGTTATACATCAAGTATCATGTGTGGAAATACCTCAACAAAATTCTGATGTGGAAAGGAAACATCAACATTTATTAAATGTCATTCGGGTGTTATTATTACACACAAATATTTTACCATAGTTTTGGATTGATTGTGTATTAACATCTACATTTTTTATTAATATATTGTCATTTCTATTACTCAATGATAAACGTCATTTTGAGTTGCTTTACCAAAAACCAGTGGATTATTTAACATTTCATGTTGTTGGGTGTTTGGCTTTTGCCTCTACATTAACTACAAATTGAATTAAATTTGCTCAAAGGGCCAGAACTTATATTTTTATTGGATATCTCTAAAGAATCAAAGATTATAGACTTTATGACATAAAATATAAGAAAAAAATATTTTAAGAGATGTCGTCTTTCAGGAGAATTTATTTTCCCTTTCTATCTATTTCTCCTTCCACCAATGTACTTGATCTTTTCCCATATTTTGTTCTACCAAAAGTTGAGAATGATATTGGTGGATATCTTTCCCCTAATCTTTCTCCTTAACTCGTGCTTGAACATTCTTCTCCCATTGGTAATGCATCTTACCTTATTACCATCGATAATGAGTCTTATCTTCTTATTGATTCCACACTTTTTATAGACGATACCTTTTATTCCTTTACTCTTCCACCACGAAAATTCACTCATTCTTGTCATCCACTTTCTCATCTCCAAGATTTTCATTGCAACACTTTTTCTACTCACTCTTCCACCTCAAAAAATTCATATCCATTATCCCAATATCTTTGTTGTGATTATTTTTTCTCCTACTTATAAACATTTTATTCTAAATATCTCTACCAAGTGATTCTCAATATTATCATCAAGCGGTCAAAATTTCTCATTGACACAAGGCAACGAAGGATGAATTAGGTGCTATGGCTTCAAATCATACATGGTTAGTTTTACATTTACCTCCAAAAAAAAGTTATATTGCTGCCATTGGGTTTATAAAAAACTAAGTATTATTCTAATGAATCTATTTTTTGACACTTAATTCTTTGGTGGCTAAATCAACCACTATTAATCTTTTGTTAGCTCTTGGGATTATGCAACATTGACATCTCAATACTTTTCTTCTTAAATATTTATTAGAAGAAGCTCTTGCTTTTTAATGACACAATACAATAATCTACTCAATATGACAAACTTGTTTGTAAATTACATAAATCTATTTATGACCTTAAACAAGAGTCATATCATCAACTATTGAAAAACTCTTACATATCATCATCACTTCCCTCAATTTTATAGCATCAAATCAAACATTCAATGAACGTATTAAACATATTGAAATAAATTGTCATTTTGGTCGTGGCAAGATAATTGATAAAACTATAAAAATTCTTCTAGTTCCAGCTCAAAATCAACTTGCTGATATTCTAACAAAATCTCTTTCCCATACGCCACTTAGACTCATATTATCCAAGATGGCTGCGAAAAATATTCACAATCCATCTTGAAGGGCAAGTATTAAGAGTATTACACGTATAGAAACACGTGTCACATATAAATACTTGTATTTCTCCTTTCTTGAATACGAATCACTTTACTTTTTTGTCTCTCTCCCTTCGTTATCTTAGGGCCCTCCGTCCACTTCTGTGGGTTTTATCCATCTCTTGTTTTCAGATCTAACATGTTCCTCAACTAGAACGCGGTTGACTTCGCCCGGCGGAAGCTGCAGGAACACAACGATCCGTTGACCTGCTGTAGAGAGCTGGTGGACGAGGAGGCCTTGAAGACACTGTAACATATGCGGCTGTTACCTCTACCTCCTGGGTGGGTGGCTCCGCCCTTTATTCTGTGTCTGCCCTTGCTTCGGCCGACCCTTCAGTCTCCACTGCACCAGGCACAAGCTCCGATTCCGATGGCACCGTAGCCACACTGTCATAGCCTCCTGGCTCCAGATACCCAAACCTACCGACGCCCAACCACGGTATCTGTTTGGTTTCCACATGGCAGCCGCATCTCTGCTGGAAATGGATCACGGCTGCCAGAAAAGCTGCAATTACTGCTATGACCACATCCCCCGTTCTGGAATAGAATCCTAAACTAGGGTCCACAAACTCATACCCTTGGCCAAAGTAGGCGTTCATTAAACTAGGTTATGCCCAGGTAGTTGGCTTTTCTCAGAGGTCTGCACTTGAGCTGCCATACTATGTTTCCGACGACCTGAGGAAGTAGGAAGAAATCTTGCACCAGACCTGCATACTGCTCCAATCGGGCTCCCCATTCCTGAATCTCATGACTCGGCCCTGATGAGCTCGTATCCATGTCTTGTCGAAAGGGCGCATGTAGGTGGGTATTTGGATGTATGAGGATGACCAGAAATCCAACCGCATGAAAGACCAAGCATGCCGCGAGCACCCGCTTATCACTCGGCACCGGTCTTGGCAACCGGATGCGCGACTCCCACACCTCCTGCCAGAGCTTTACAGTGAGAAGAAATGCCGTCAGTGCTAGGGATTTCACAATAACGTCCACAATTTGGAATGACCCCTCACTCTGGAGATGGTACAGGCGTAATGGCACACGGTAGTTTTGTCATCGCCTCGTGAAGAGAGCTTTTTCCCCGTGAACAATGGAACTCCATACCCAAGAGCTCAGACGCCCAGCATGACGTGAGATACGTAGGGGGGAGCGGTACTTGCGTCCTTGACATAGAACAGCTGGCTCAGTATGCAAGCGACGGCGATTGACAGCGTTGAAATCCGGCGATTGATTCTCTCTCTCTCTCTCTCTCTCTCTCTCTCTCTCTCTCACTACAGCCCGCTTTTAAGACCCAAGGCTTCTCCCACACTATCTTTTGGTCATTTTTATTTTGTGGTCTATATAAAGGTTACACCGGACTCGGTCGTGCGTGGCCTTTTCTCATTTCTCTGTGTCTCTTGTCTTCTCGTAAACCGTATTAATCGGCAAAGTTCTGGACTTCTGGAGCGCAGATGAAATGCAATGCAACCGATTATGGAACCGGTGACAGAGCAACCTCCGCAAGCTGCTGGAAGCTCAATCTACTCGGAACGATCTCGTTCAGAGCAACTCAGAAACGCCGCCGACGGAAGGTACATAACCCAAGAATCTCATCTCCCTCAGCAACAATCGTAGCGTCCCATAAATTCGATCCATCTCTGGGTGAGATTCATCACCAGCCACAAATGTGTGAAGGCCGCCTCCGAGTTGTATCCAACTGCACCCAGGATTTTTCCGCAGTCCTTTCTCTCTCTCGTCGCCCCTCGTTCTTGATGCTTCATACCACCTTCCATCCACGGCATATGGAGCCGGGTCTTCGGATCCCGTTTCAAACAGCTGCCGTGAAAGGTATTCGCCCAGCTCTGGCCACCGATGCAGTCTGCATGCAGCGAGCAGAGATCCGAGAGTCTTGGAATCCGGTCTGAAAGGCATCGCAGAGATAAACTCGAGAGCTCCCTCAATGTTTCCATGGCGTGTTAACAGAGTGACGACGCAGTCGTGATGCTCCATGCCCGGGAACACGTGATATGTGGAGGCCATCTCTGAGAAAAGCTTCAGGCCTTCTTCCACCAGCCCTCCATGGCCGCACGCCGTCAACAGCCCGGTGAAGGTGATGGCGTCTGGACTGATCCCTTCTCTCTGCATCTGGGCAAACAGGCCGAGCGCTTCTGCAGCTCGACCGTGCAGTGCGTACCCAGAGATCATTGCATTATACAGGGGCAACTCCTTCGTCAAGCTCGCATCGAAGATCCTCATGGCGAGGTCTATGTTGCCGCATTTAGCATAAAGATCTACGAGAGATGTCACAACAGGAAGGGGGGATGAGCAGAATCCTTGCCTTGTAATATATCCATAAATGGCCTTCCCATATGGTAAAGATGCTACTTCTGTACATGCCGAGATCACAGCCAGAATGCTGACGATATTAGGTCTGAAGCCTGCCGCCTGCATTCGGATGAAGAGCTCGATTGCTTCAGATCCACATCCCTTCTGTGCGGAACCAGATATCAGTGTCGTCCATGTGACCAGGTTGGGCTGCACCTCTGCTGATTGCATCTGGGCGAGCATGTCGTATGCCTCGTCCACCTGATTACTCCTTAAAAGTCCCAAGATTACGGAATTCCAAGAGATGACATTGGGAGCTATGCTTTCCAGCTGCATCTGGTAGAACAGCTTCAAGGCCTCGCCGCTCAAACCACAATTAGCATACGCAGAAAGCTGGGTGTTCCACATGATCAGATCTCTGTTCGCCGCCATGTCGAAGACCTGTCTTGCGAGTTCTATCTTTCTGCACTTCGCGTACACGTCGATGATGCCGCTTGCGACAGTTGAATCTGTGTCGAGACCGTTTCTGATGCAGTAGCCATGCCCCTCTATACCGAGCTTCAGGTTCTCTGTGCCCGCACATGCCGATAGGATAGAAGACAAGGTGACAGAGTCAAACCTCAGATCCTCCATTACCATTCTACGGCAAGTACGGAGTACTTTGTCGACTTGGCCGTCTTGCAGATAACCAGAGATGAGCAGATTCCAGATCACCGTGTCTTTCTCTAGGGTTCGACTGAAGACGAGCTCTGCATCATCCGTCAGGCCGACCTTGCAGTAGAAATTGATCAGAGAGCTACTCAGGATGCTGTCGAGCTCTAAACCAAATAACACTGCAACCGCATGGCTTTGCCTTCCTTCGTCCAGAGCTCGCAGATTCGCTGAAGCAGAGAGGAAACTGGCTATGGTGACCCGGGTTGGTTCCACACTCTCAGTTCTCATATCATAGAAGGCTTTCATTGCCCCCCAATCTAGTCCATTATGTACATAACTTACGAGCATGGAATTCCAGGCCACCGCATTCTTTTCCGGCATTTGATCGAAGATCTTCCTGGCATCTTCCACAATTCCGGATTTCCCATAGAAATCGACAAGACTGCTCTGGACGAAGACGCAGCCTCTGTAGCCCATCTTCAAGGCATATCCATGGATCCCCGTGCCGCAGCCGATCAGCTGTGCGGAGGAGCAAGCTTTCAGAGCATTGGGGATGACGAAATTGTCGGGTAGAAACCCGTCGGTCATCATCTCGCAGAAACCCACCACGGCCTTCTCGCCGAGGCCTTCTCTGCAGAGCAATCCTATCATGGCGGCCCATGAGAAAACGTTGCGGCGGCGCTGCCTCTGGAACAGATCGAGAGCGGCGGCTGAGACGCGGCATTTCGCGTAGAAAATCACGAGTTTCGTCTCCAGGTACTCGTTTCTGTGGAAGATGTCCCCCTTCTTGATAACTCGCGCGTGGATTTGCCGACCTTGGGAGAGAGCCCGCTCGTACACGCAGGCCTGGAGCATTTCCCCGTAGATCTCGGGGCCGACGGGGGCCCCTTCCGTCTCCATGTCGCAGAGGAAGTCGAAGGCTTCTCCGATGAGCCCGTCCTTGCAGAGGGAGGACATCTGATGCAACAAGGATTTGCGGAGGGTTGGAGCTGCATCGGCGTTCTCATGGTGGAGGAGACCGAGGAGAGGGGCAGCTGGCGCGTGGAAAGACTTCCTGACTGGACGAGATTTGCTGTGGGGAGGGAGAGAGTTGGGCAGGGTGTGGAGGAGGGAGGCCATGAACGAGATCTGGACAGAGTATACATGTTTTCCGAAGAAGATCAGACACCAGGCACTGGTCGCCACCCGTTCGAAGATTTGCTCTCGTAGGCTACTCTGGTCATTTCCAAAAACAACCCATAGTCAACCTCACAAATTATCCTCCGCCGCCAGCGCAGGTACCCCTGACCCCCTTCAACGACGACGATACAAGTCAACCTCAATTCATGTCATCATTTGCCAAACAAAAAGCATAAACCAACGCGTGAAATCCTTCATTCTGACTTCATTACATACTTACTACAAGGACACATTATTTCATCGTGTGATGAGTTCCAGAGACATCGTCAAGAGGGGAGGGACGAAGTCAACTGATGAGACGCACAACCACAGAAGACACAGGCACAGTCGCCTAAAAGAGCTCACGAGGGGATGGATGTACAAGTGTTTTCATCTTGAAATCATGAAAAGTCAACCTTTATTCTGTGTCTGCTCGTTCTTTAGCCGGCTTTGCTGTCTCCATTGCACCAGCCACAAACTCCGATTCCTATGGCACCGCGGCTACCCTGTCGTAGCCTCCCGACGCCGGAGACCAAAGCCTACCAAGGCCCAACCACGACATCCATTTGGCTCCCCCACGGCTGCCGCATCTCTGCTGGAAATAGACCACGACTGCCAGTAAAACTCCAACTAATGGTATGAAAACATCCCCTGTTCTGGAGTAGAATCCCAAATCAGGGTCCACAAACTCATACCCTTGGTCAAAGTAGGCGTTCATCAGCGGAGCTCTAGCGTAGTCGTAAGCATGGGGAAGAAGCCTAATCAAGGTTATGCCCAGGTAGTAGCCTTTTCTCAGAGGTCTGCACTTGATCTGCCATATTATGTTTCCGACGACCTGAGGAAGTAGGAAGAAATCTTGCATCAGACCTGCATACTGCTCCAATCGGGCTCCCCAATGTTTAATCCCATGACTCGGACTTTGGGAACTATTATAAATGTCTGTTCCAGTAGGCTCATGAAGATGGGTATTTGGATTTGTGAGAAGGATGACCAGAAATCCAACCGCATGAAGGATCAAGCATACCACGAGCACCCGCTTATCACTTGGCACCCCTGTTGGTAACCGGATGCGCGACTCCCACACTTTCTGCCAGAGCCTTAGAGTGAGAAGAAATGCCGTCAGTACAAGGGACTTCACAATAAAGTCCGCAATTTGGAATGACCCGTCACGTTGGAGATCGTATTGATATGATGACGCATGGTGTCTTTGCGATAGCGTTGTGAAGAGAGCATCTGCCCCTGTGATCAATGGAAGACCATACCCAAGAGCTTGGATGCCCAGCATGACATGAGATACGTAGGGGGCATCGGCACTTGTTTGCTTGACATAAAGCAGCTGGCTCAGTATGCAAGCCGCGACTATTGACAGTGTTGAAATCCGGAGGACCACTTCCACTTGTCTGTCGGAGAGTATCTCCTCACTTTGACTTCTGTACATGATTGCGGATGTCTGTAGTTTGACTGGATCGAAGTAGAGGGGATCTTTGTCTTTAGGTCGGTTGCTTTCTATCGAGACTGTGGCTGTTGGCATAGTCAGCCCTCGGAGAGTCGTGGGTGGATACTGGATCTCAACCTTAATCTCACAATCCAGATGTTGCCAGTCAGTGATGTTACATACTGTTTTCCTCGGAACAGGGGCAACTCTGCAGCCGACCAGGTACATCTTTCCGGTCGCCTGGCTGTACAGACCCTCCAGGGACAGCACCAGGGACTTATTGCGAGGATTCCTGGTGATCTCGAGCTCTGCTGAGACATTCAGAGTTGATGCGGCAGCTTGAGCAGGTTTGTCAGGCGAGTTTCCTGACGGCTGATAGAGATCATAGTCGCAAAACTTCGAGCCCAGAGTAAATATTTTAAATATAACAAATTCCCTTGCTGAACGACTACCTGACCCCTGGACGGGGAACGCAGAGACGGAGAGCATGAGATCACGGCAGAGGTCAACGCCTTCGTTCATCCTTGGATACTTGAGCAGAGCTTTTTTAATACCACCACCGCGGCCGGTGGTCCCGTCTCTACCGAGAAAATTAGTGGCTTGCTTCGTCATTGTGTACTCGTACGATGACTCGGATGCACGGGACACAGTGCCCAGGCCATAGGCGCCTATGGCCCGTCCGAACGAGAAAGAGAAATTGGAAGGATCCCCACTCTTGCTGATGCTGGAGATGCTCCCGATGACGGTGCTTCTCTGGGTGATGGAGAAAGACGTCGGCACGTACAGGCAGATGCGGAGGTTGCACCGTGAGGGATCTGCTCCGGCGCAAGCCACCATGCAGAGCTGCCCGCTGGAGGAGTTCCAAAACCCCTCTGACGAAACGATCGGACGAGAGAGACTCGTCCTGTGGGCAGCTTCAGAATCGAGCTCCCATGGAAGAACCTCCTTGAACAGAGAAGCCGCCCTTGCAAAGAAATCACTGCCGTTGGGGCCGCCCTCCAACTTGCATTGAATCTCAGACATGACGAACCCGACATGGCCAAAGCTCCAATGGGTCCCATTGAAGTCCTTCGATTGAAATGGCCACATCTTCCTGTAGTCTTCATTTGTTGAGTCGCATATCCAGTTTGGCAACATTGTGAATGATTGGTAGGATTCAAGCTGATGCAGAATGTTACAGAAATCTGGTCCCTTGTAGACCTTTATGTGATCATCCAGCCACTTGTGCGGATGAGGGTAGGGACTGCAGGCTTTGGCGGTGATATTTCCGGATTCGAATTTGTACGCCCTCATTGAGTAATCAGCCAAACGGAAAGCAACCTGCACCTTGCTGAAGTATCCAGGGGTTGACTTGTTGTGAAGACTCATCATATCCCCCTTGATTTCTCTTCTGGTCAAGTTAGATGACATGGGAACGCGAACAACAAGCTTGATTTTTTCATCTTTCGGAGGGTGAATCCGATCCACTCTGGTGTCTGAATCATTTTTCAAGTTCCACGGATCAGCGGGATCATCCCCACGAAGAGGGAGATTGGCAGACCCCAGCAGGCACATCACACGCTCTCCACCATCCTCCTTTGACTCGAAATACAAACCTTCGAAGGCAATCTCGAGTTTGGAATGCCTTTCATTAGTTTGGTTGTTTCGCTGTCCCCAATTTTCATCTCTTAAGATGTTCAGAGTCAGGGTGCCGCTCAGATTCATGGCGGTTGGGGATCGTCCCCCTCCGTCGACATCCACCACCGCACTGAAAATCGCTCGGAATCGAGTAGAGGGGAACCCGGAAGAATTGTAGTGGGAGCCCATGTATACTGGCATCAAAGGCGCGTCACTGGAGTTTTGTGCCCATTCTCCATTGAGGTTCATCTCAGTGGGAATATCATCGGCTTTAGACACGTCCAGCTTCACCGAGGAAAGGATGGAGGCGCATTCCCGATGTACCTCTAAGAAGCGGGGGTAGATGTGATGGCCTACTCTTTTTGCCTCTTGGAAGCCGTAGTAGAAGGAGGCGCCGAGGTGCAGGGAAGATAACCAGAGGACTACCCAGAAAAAGGGAGCCGAGGGGGCGGATCCCATGGCCTTCCTTAAAGCTGAGAGGTTATGGAAAATCTAATAATATCCACAGGACCTGAAAACGAAGACGATAAGAAGGGAGAGAGCGTGGAACATATCAGAAAACCAAGTTCTGACACTCAGTAATCGACAGAAGAGGAAGAGAGACGCAGAATCACACCCTTCTGTTCACCAAGCGGGCGAGGCAGTCCAACAGCCCTTCCTGTTTCTCCTCCTCGTGAAGATGGGGAAGAGCAAACGTTGGGCGCCTCTGCTTGGAGGTCCGCTGTTGCTTGCCCTTTGCTGTAGTGTAGACTTCCAAAAGGACGAAGAAGATACTCGGGATTCCTCGCTTGTCTGCTCCGGTCCCGCAGTTGTTACAGTTGGCTCCACAGAAGGGTCGCGACTGTGGCAGGAGCTCTGCAGTTCCCACCGTTTGATCGATATAAGCCGCCCGGATCTGACGCGACCCGGGAGAGAGAAAGCGACAGAGATGGGGTCTTCTGTCATTTACGGGGTGAATGTGTTGACTTAGCTGGTTCATTTTGAATGCCGACTGAGCCAACTGCCGTGGACAACAGGTCATAGACTTTGACTTTGATGCTTCCGTTTGATGATGCCGTTGACTCTGAATTTTTCAAATACCCTTCAATGCGTTCTTGGCGGATCTTATCTGCACATCGTGACAGAGCTTAAGCATGCACACAAACCTCCGGGCCTCCCGCTTCCCCTCTCCACCTCAGCCGCATGTCGGTTTCTTCTCTTGGTGTCAATGCCAGAAACAGAAGAAATTCTTGTGGGTGATCACAAGTTTAATCCTTTCATTACCACCTTGATGTCCATGAAACTCTAGTAAGATTTCAACAAGCAACATCATACATAAACATGCAAACATTGTGGAGTGAAGTATATCTGTTATAAATGAAGTATATACATCTAATAAAGTAGATGTTTAGGCTTTTATTCAATCCCCACTTGCGATGAACTTAAATTCATTCCATTTCGTCATCAATTTCTATTAAAGCTCCAATTGCAATTTCAATCGCCAATTAATTTCATGAAGAAATAAGATATATTTGCAGTTAGAAGGTATTATTGCTTCATAGGCGATTGAAATTGAAAATGGACCTTCAAGGTAACCATTGAGACGCGGGTTCCCTCTCCGGCAATTTCTTGGAAAGCAAGTAGGAAGTGTTTGTATTGTATTTGCATCATGGGATTGTATAATATTTCGTTCAAATGAATGAAAACCTTTATAAAAATTAAATGTTTGTATTGATAAATTTTGAGAAAAATGACTCGTTAATTCCATATTTGGTGTATAATGGATTCAATGTCTAGCCTTGAGATTAATAAATTTCATTATATAAAGAATGAATGCTAATATCATGATGATGTGAGAAGAGCCACAATTTCCACGATTTGATCGTTGAAGTCATTTACTTGCTGCCTTCCTTTGACATTCAAGCCAACATGGTACGTTGACTTTGACTAGGTCCTGGATAAGATGTCCCCACCGTAATAAAAGCGTCTCGTGCCGTTAAATGTTCTCACCTACTGGAGTTAAAGAGTCAAAAAAGTTATGGAGTCAGGCTCTGCCAATTGAGAACACTTGTCAAATAAGCCACGATATAGCTATATATACCTTAAGAATTCTCTCAAATAGGTCTATGGGATCCCCCCCTCCCCAATCTTCCCTTCAAAGAGAGGGAGAGCTTATCTCGTGCTTGAGAATAGACCACTAGTATTCTCACATTCATTACTCATCCTTTAATCAAAGAAAGGCATCCCTTGCCTGGGAGGGCAGAAATTATCTAAACAGAAGAAGGGAGCATGGGTTCGTCTCACCTTCAAGGCGAGTAGGATATGTTCACTTGTGTAGTGGCTTTAACTTTCATCTGCTTCGTGACAATACCCATCTCATTGACTTCACTTATACGACTTTTGATCTATATTTCGATCCTCGTCTTGAGATGAGTTGTTAAGAGCCCAATCTTCCCCAAGTAACTGAAAGCTTAAGCAAGCCCCCAAACCTCATGGCCTCTCTGCCTCTGCATTGCTGGCTCCAAGACTTAGCTTCAATCTGGCCGAGATTGGAGCCTGGTGATAGAAAGAAGCATGAGAAGCAACGGACTGAGGACACCACATCATCTACTCAAAAAAAGCAATGATCCCAATATTTGACTCAAAGAAAGGTTGGAACAAGAACTGAATCAACACTTTTTGAAAGAACTATGCATTTTAAATTTTCCATAAATATCAAATTATCCTAAGTGAAATTATTTCTCGACTAATATGGCTAGAAATTTTGTGGTCTTAGTGGTCTTAGAAATAAACTCCCATTCAGTCCCCGTCATTGTCAACATACCTGGAAGGGCCATTCGTCGTCTGAACCACCTCAGAAGTTTTCTTTGGGACAACCCTCTTCTCTAGTCTCTTTCCCCGTTTATTGGCCTGCGAAGGGTTCAGGATGGGGTCGGGCTGAGAATCACTCAGCCCTGAGTCCACTTCCGTAATGCCATCAACTCATGCATCACAGTTGTCCGTTGAATCAACGACTAGCATGATGAAGGCGATTCCATCAATGGTTGGCATGCATTTCACACAGATAAGACGCTTGTTTCCTGTAGATTTCGTGGGGGGCTGGAGCCAAACAAAGAGCACAGGAGGGGATGATTGTGTAAGTGTTTTCATCTTGGAATCATGAAAAGTCAACCTTTATTCGCTGTCTTTCCGTGCTTTTGCGGGCCCATCAGTCATAGCCTCCCGACCGCGAAGACTAAAGCCTGTCAAGGCCCAGCCACGGCATCCGTTTGGTTTCCGCATGGCTGCCACGTCTCTGCTGGAAATAGACCACGACTGCCCGTAAACCTGCAATAGATGTTATCAAAACATCCCCCGTTCTGGAATACAATCCCAAATCAGCGTCCACAAACTCATTCGCTTCGTCAAAGCAGACGTTCATTCGTGGAGTTCTAATGCAGTCATAAACATGGGGAAGAAGCCTAACCAAGGTTATGCCCATGTAGTAGGCTTTTCACAGAGGTCTGCAGTTGATCTGCCATGCTATGTTTCCGATGACCTAGGTAGGAAGAAATCTTGCACCAGACCTGCATATTGCTCCAATCGGGCTCCCCAATCTTTAATCGCATGTCCCGCCCAGGTCACGAGCTCCCACGGTGAACTGGGAAGGTGCCGTGCTGTTCTTGCGTCGTTGCCTCATGCGCTTCCTGCGCATTTCAACGAACACCTTCAGCGCAGCCAAGCCTATCGTGACGGTATCGTTCCTGCTTAGCTTCTTCCGTGCCGACGCCATTCCGCAGGGCTCTGCACAGTTCTGCGCATCACCGACCTCCCGCGACCACTGTCGCCTGGTCGATCCACGACCGTCGTCGCGCAGCCACCCCGCAAGCATCATCGCCTGGCTTTCCAGCGAGCGTCCTTGATCAGGCCACCTCCGACCGTCGTCGCACAGGCCGCTCCGCGACCCTAGTCGCCCGGCTCTGTTCTGCGCCGTTATAGAACGCGTCGCCCGCGCGCACTTAGGCCTTCCGCAACCGTCGTCGCACAAACCATCCAGCGACCATTGTCGCCTTACTGATCCGTGAGCGTCCTCCCGCCGGCGCAGTTCCGCGCCGTACCGGTGTGCATCGCTTGCACGCTCTCCACACGGGTAACTCCCCCTATCTGGGCACTGTTAAGCCCCAAACCAGCACATACCGTCAGCGCGGCTGCGCTCGGGTACCGTGCTTCTCATGCGGCTGCTCAAAATGTGCTGGCACCGGTTCACACGGCACTGCACGCGACCGCGCGCCTCCAGCCGTGTCGGCGCCATTCAGCACAGCAACACGCCGCCGCCGCAGGCCTACAACCGTGCCAGTGCCGTTCCTCACGACACTGCGCGCCTCCAATCGTGTAGACCACCAGCCACCAGTACCCACACTCGAGCTAACCTCTGCTCATCCACGCCGCTCTTCCCTGCGCTCTGCGCTCTGAAACCACTTGTTAGGATCGGAGCGGCGATTCCACGAGTAGACCATCGGAAAAACCTCCGACGTAGAGCGAAAATTGTTCTTTCTTCACTCGCATAGAAATTACCCTTTTGAAAAGCCCACTTGGCCCGGATAGGGCCCAATACTTGCAGACCTGAGGGTGTCCCAGTAGAACAGTCGGATATGTGACTAAACGTGTGGAGACCCCCTCTCCTCATTTTTCTTCCCACAGAATATAACAAGCCGACTTACTGACCTTTTACCGGGGGAAAGTCAAGAACACAGAAATTAGAGCTTCTGCAAAGAACAATGCAGCTGAAAACCTTGCGAAAGTTTCCATCAATGTCAAATATCCGAAATGCTGATTGTCTGAATAACTGGGTAATCCTAGCAACTGATGTTGTATACGAAGACCATACAGTAGGTATTTAGCTCGTTCATGTTCTATATACTTCTATACATTCACACCAGACCAAAAGAATGTAGAGCAAATAGTCTGTATAGTCATCATCTTATCGAAATTTTATACCTTAATTTTGTTAACAAAGAAAAGTTATAATTGAGCATTGGGGTATACCTGCTTTCCATGTAATCACGTCCAGTGGGTGATCGTGAGTTTCTACTTGGCATTGATGCCAAAATCAAAAGAAATCCTTGCGGTCGATCTCGAATTTAATCTTTTCAAGAACACAATGATGCACATGCAACTAGGGTGATATTACTACAAGCAACATGATACATAAACATGCAAATATTGTGGAGTGTGATTATTAGAGAGCACAAAAACTATACGAAATGAGTCATTAATCTTGGCTCTACTCACCCTAATGTAGCCATCTCGAACTAATGCAAATAGCTCCTAAAAAGAGTGGAAATAAAATAAAAATTTCCCCATTCTACATCATAATAACCAAGGAATATCTATCTAATAAAGTAGGCATTAGGCTTTTATTCGATCCCCACTTCAGTGAATTTAAATTCAATCATTTCATCATTAATTTGTCTAAAAGGTCCCTCCCTGCCAAAGACTAG